AAAACTGCCTGCGCACGTCTCCCGGCCGAATTTCGGCCTGGCGACGTTCTCTGAGAAGTATGCCCTTCTCAACAGGTATCTCAACAGGTGTCTCGATAGGTGTCTCGATAGGTGTCTCTATAGGCGTCTTGACATGTGCCTCGACAGATGCCTCGACATGTGTCTCTACAGGTGCCTCGACGGGTGCCTCAACAGGTGCCTCAACAGGTGTATCGACAGGTGTCTTTATGGGCGCTGGACTTGCAGCTGGTTTGTCCAACGACTGAGGCACGGCAGGCGGCTTTATGGGAGCCTCGGCCAAAGGAGGCTCGGGCTCAGCAGCTTCTATCTTGCCAAATATCTTTGCAGCCTCGACAGGGAGTGGATCGTGCTTTTCATCGGGGGAAGCCCAGTAGTCGCCATAAACATCGCCGAGATAGCTGCTTTCTCGCGTAGGTCCTGCAGCTGCCTGATAGACTGCAGTGGGTCCTCCAGCGATTGACTTGAAGTCGTCGGACGCCTGCAGAGGACTTAGCGATTTGATGATCTCCTCTCTCAGCACGTCGCTTTCCTTGACGGGAGAACTGCTGCTAGCGTCCAGCGTCGACGGGACTGAAAACTGAGAAGGCTGCACAAAATCAACCGTTTCTACAGTTTGGTCTCGGCGCGGTTTCAGCGGCGCCGTGGGCGTGATTTCAGAGGCAGGGGAAGTGGCAGCAGTGAGATCTGGAGGGGTTGCTGGCTGGACAAGCTGCATGTCTTTGGGAGAGGAATAGGAACCATCGCCACCCTGTGTCTCTAATCCATCATGGTCGGGTGCCAGTTCTGTCGAGGTACTCAAAGCTGGGCTTGCAGTTCGCAGCGGAGCGGGTACAACTGGCGAGCCGGAACTTGGGGATTCCTTATTTACTGGGCGCCGGGCCGATGCTTGTCTGCTGGCAGACTTTTTCACAGCCTCGCTCAATCCGTATAACTCTGGATCTCGAGACTCTGCAGGTTCTGACGGAGATTCGGCGGCATTGTTGACAGCTTTCGTCACTGGTGATGCGTCTCTAGATTCTACAGCCCTGTGAGGTAGATCTTCGGGAAGGGCGGCTGGAGTAGGCGCCTCGCTGGGGGTTTCCAACGTTTCAGTAACCCAGTTTCCTGGCAGACGCGGCCTCAAGGCTTGTTTGTCATCGGCACCCAACCCAGCGTCAGGCGGCACTGCTGCAGGGGAGACGGACTCGTGGGAAGCCTCCAGAGCCCACTGCCCTGCACTTGACTGGTTCGCCTGAGACAAAGACGCAGTAGGCTGGTCGGGCTCGTTGGACGATTTTGCAGAAGTTGAAGCCTCTGGTGCCGATTGCAGCGCTGCGTCGGGCTCTGCAGTAATGCTGAAATCTCGTGCCGGCTCCTGGGCGTCAGGCTCGGTTTGCTGCGAGTGCGACTGCGAATTTTCTGATTGCTCAAAGTAGCCTGACTGCTCAAGGAAACCTGACGGCTCCGATTGCTCCAGCTGCTCCGAATGCTCGGTCTGGCCACCCGACACATGAAAGCCCATGTTTTGCGGGGTGGGAGTGGGGGGCGTGAGTGGCGGTCTGTTTAGGTCTTCAGCAACGAGGAGCGAGGATATAGGCTCCTCGGTCGAATTATGGGATTGAAGGTAGAGAGGCGGGACCGTGGAGTGGGACGTTGATGTTGGTGGGGGCAGCAAGGTCTGTTGGCTGGAGCCGGGAGGCGAAAAGAAGTCGTCGCCAAAGTCGGAGATGCGAGAGAACTCGGGCAGCATGGGGCTAGTCGAACTTGCAGATTGCTCGGTTGGTGCTTGCAGCACTTGGGTCGCAGTTGCCGGCCTAGTACCAGCAGCGGCAGCAGCTGTAGCCTTGGGCGTGCTTGGAGATTGAGTTTGGGTTTGCGCCAAAGAGTCAGGCTCCACGCTGGGCTCGTCGGACGCGTAACTGGCAAGAAGCCCCTCAATACCATACTCGCTCTTGCGTTCTGCAACCGGGGCCAAAGCTGGCCTCAAGCTGCGGTTCACGTCCGCACCTTCCTCAGCACCAGCAGCGGCACCGCCACCAGAACCAACCCCAGCACCGACTCGCCCTCTCTGGTCTGCTCCTTCCTGTCGCGACTCCAAACCAGGATCCCCATTCTCGCCGCTGCGAGCCGTGGCGCTGTCCAGGCTTGGTCGTCCAGATTCCAGCGAACGTCTCTGCTTCTCCTTTTCCTCCCCCATCCGTCGATAAATATCGGCCGGCCGGATAAGCCTAGTAGGCGACACGGGCGACGCTAGGGGTGACGCCAGGGGCTTGCCAGAAGAGGGAGATGCAGATCGTCCTTCAACCCACGGCTTGTTGTGGCTCGAGCCAGGACGCGAGCCAGATCGAGGCTGCCTCATCACTTCGCTTGGATCTGGCGCATCGTACGCCCCCATGCTGCTCTTCCGAGGCGGAAATCGGGTGGGGACAGGTCCGGCACCGGTAGGAGCGGGCGACATTTGCCTCGATCCAGGCGACGTGATGGGCGATGCGACAGACCTACCATAGGTTGGCCCGGTCGAGTATACGCTAGACCCCGTCGCAGCGCTTTCGGGCAGCGGCCCTGTTGCTTTTCGCTCCGGTGCCCCTCCAATCGGCTGTACACCCGAGAGGAACGGCGACGACGGGTCTGGATGCGTCTGCCAAGGAGATTGGGATTGTTGACCTGGGATATGCAGAGGCGGAGCTGAAGCAGGCTGGAACTGCCTCGTCGCTGGAGCCGCCGAGGGTTGGCGAGGGCCAAGGGGCTTCGGGGGCGGCGCCGAAGGCTCGCTCGGCCCGTCGTTGTACTCGTCGCCCCACTCGTCGCCGTCGTAGTTTGCGGGTTTGAACTCGGCCCATTTCCTCGTCTTCTGGCGACTTACATTCACCTTGTACTGGTCACCACTCGAAGACGGAGCGCCTGGGGACCTGTAAAGAGCACAAGTCAGACACTTGCGCTGCTTCCTTGATTCCGGGGAGGAGGCCAGCCCAGTCTGGCTTCGTTCACCTACATTGACCTGCCCGCCGGGTAGATGTTTCCATAGGAGCCGTCCATCGCTTTGACCAGTGCTTCAGCAACCCCGAGACGTCAACCTCATTCTCCGATTACAATGGCGGCACCAGTCGAGATGCCAGAGGCTGGTGGTCAGAGGAGAGTGAATAAGCGCAGGATGGTCGATCGGCGCACGAGTGCGGCAAAAGGCGCCGGTTTTCTCTCGACGGGATGCTGACGACTATTCGTATTACGTAGGTTGGCAAACAGGTTAGGTGCTTGGCTGCCAGGCTAGTACCGCAGTTCGGCGGTGCGGACAGAGGCAGCGACGCAGCTGTCAACCCTCGAAGCCGTAAAACGTTTCTTTTTTTCAAACAACAACCCACGCGAGGCTTGGATTGCTAGAATGGCAGCGCACGCAGCGGGAAAGTCGAATGACGAAGGTGGAGGAAACAGGTCGGCGGTACTATCAGGTTTCCACAGAAATCACAGCTCAAGTATATTTCTAGTAGCAAATGGGGCAGGGATTACTCAGGCAGGAGGATTGGATTGCGGCTTGTCCGCGTGGGGCGAAGCTCCAACCGTCTCCAGCCTGACAGGCATTGGATCGGACTACTAGCGAAAGCTGATGAAGCTGGTGGCCAGGCTGTCGCGCACTCAGCCAGCCGAATCCGAAACACGTCAGTTGGTTCCATACGCCGAAATACTCACCCGACGCCTAATAAATTTACCGGCTTCCCTTGGCGACGATGAGACTGAATTGTTTTCAAGTGATGCATTACGTTCTAGGTTGAACGCCCGGACTCAGTTGCTTGGCCATTGATATGGAATTGGGATTACGGATTAGGATATATCTAAGAATTGCAGGGACAAAGTTGCAGGTGCATGGTATCCGTGGATGGATAGAATCTTTAAGCGGTGGCCAATGCTCGTCTGGCCCAAGAACAAACGGTCCTGCAGAGAGCTTTGAATAACGCCACCTACGATACAGCACCTCGTAACACCGAGAAACATTTCCTCCCCGTATAGTGTGTGCGTTTGGGTTTGACGGAATCTAGAAGGAATCGATGTGCTTCTAACTGGATACTTAAGGTAGGCAATGCACCAGATCCGCCCACCAGCAGCCTGCAGCGTAAATCTGCAGCAGATTAGGTGCCGTGGCTCCCAGTTTCGGGACTTGTCTGCTGTGTGCCAACTGGAAACCGGGCTGTCCTTGGGTTCACAGGCTGAATGGCCAATAGACCGGCATTAGGTTCTAGCACCGCATCGGCGCAGACGAATATCTACAAGGCGCTAGGGAGGGCCACACAGACATTCAGCCACCCGAGCGACATTCATCAGCGTCATTTCCCTGGGCGAAGGCTGTGTAATTCGTTCCTGTCGGTCCCCTGCCGTCATTTCCGGGTTGGTATGGCAATTCAAACAAGACTCTCCGTGAAGAGGACTGCGTTACTGTGTTGACGCTGTATCCTATAAGCTAACGCGAATGAATTCAGGAATAACGCAATATAATATCAGATGAAATGCAGATACATGCACTATACTCTAGACATATGTACTAGACAAAAAGGACGGTGTCGCAATATTGGTTTCGACCTGTGTAACAATTTGTTCAATAAAAGTTCAGTTCTCCTGAGTCCGGGCCTGTGTCACTTCGATCCGTCCAACCCCAATACTTAGATTATGTACAGTGTATCGGCCTGTGTGTTCTACAAAACGCACTGTGCGAATGCTCCCGCCAAATTCCAGGGCTGCAGGGGCCAAGGGTTTGCCGCTGAAACAAGAAACCACGTTCCCTTTTCTGATCACCCTCAAGATCGCGAACTCTCGAAGACATCGCGTTGCTCGACTTTTATTTCCCGACTCGTGGCCCCGCTATCGTAATTGCTTCAACATATCGATTTTTAATTTCTCGCACCAGTGTCCCATACGAAGCACCGCGACAGTGCCCCATTCAAATATTTCTCTTCGCGACACCCGAACCGCCGTGCGATTCCTCGCGTTTGCAATAGCCCAACAGCCGACGACTCGGCGCATCATCATCTGGCGCCGACACACATAGACAGTCTACCTGTAGCGGGCCGCAACTCGACGTGCCCTCTCCCGGAACCTTTTGCGGCCGTTCCGCCCCGAGGTATCGCTTCGTAGACCGAGAAAACCCGCGGCCAAGATGGCTGTCGCCATAAACGACCGGACGGCCGAGTTTCGCCACATCGTCAGCGCAGCGAAGCGTCGCCAGGCTGCCAAAGCTGGCTCGCAGAGGCTTCTCAACGACGCCCAGAAGGCCGCTTCCGGAGGCGATGGGCAACCGCGAAGGTCCGAGTTCGCCAGGAAGGCCGCCGACATTGGGCGTGGAATATCGGGAACAATGGCAAAGCTGGAAAAGCTGGCGCAACGTAGGCAGCGATGCCCCTCTGACGGTCTCTCAGCGGATACTAATCGCTCACAGTTGCCAAGAAGAAGACACTCTTTGATGACAGGCCGGTGGAAATCAACGAGGTATGCTAGACAGACTCTGAAGGACGCAACAACTGCTTCTCTGCGACTCCACCATTTGCACCGCCCGCTATGCTCGTCCTGCTAACCCACCGAGCCAGTTGACCTTCATTATCAAGCAAGATCTGTCGACCCTGAACGAGGAGATTCGCGGCCTCCAGGCCCTTTCCCGGCGACTCCATCCGAAGCCGGACCAAGAGGGCGAAAATAATAAGAATATTCTCCTACTTCTGCAAGGGAAGCTGGGGGATGTTGGTGCGAATTTCAAGGTAAGGATATGTCTGCTAGCGTATCTGGCGACAAGTTGCTAATAGGCGCGCAGGACGTTCTGGAAATCCGGACAAAAAACATACAGGCGTCGAGGTCCAGGACCGAGGCTTTCGTGTCCACAGTAGGCCAGCACGCGCACGCGTCCATACAACAATCTGCGTCTCCACTTTATGGGACGCCGAATAGGGGGACGCCGTCTCCGGGGGCGGATCTGATCTCGCTGAATCCGTCAGGAGACCAGCAGATGCAGATGCAGATGATGGAAGAGGGCCAGAACGTGTACATCCACCAGCGCGGACAGGCCATCGAGGCCATCGAGTCAACCATTAATGAGCTCGGGTCAATGTAGGTTTGCTGCAGTTCTGTCGAGGATGCTTTCTGGACGTCGTGGCTGACAATATCGTTTCTTTCAGCTTTGGGCAGCTCGCGAGCATGGTCAGCGAGCAGTCGGATATGATCCAGCGAATTGATGCCAACACGTAAGCAGACAGCTCGAGACTTGGGCGGGGGCTATCAGCTGACACTATAACAGAGAAGACGTGGTGGACAACGTCGAGGGCGCGCAGAAAGAGCTGCTTAAATATTGGTCTCGCGTCTCGGGCAATCGCTGGTTGATAGCCAAGATGTTTGGGGTTCTTGTAGGTTGCCGCCCGACTCCGCCGCTGGCGCATTGCTAACTCTCGCCCTGCTAGATGATTTTCTTCCTCCTCTGGGTATTAATAGCTGGGTAGGCTATTATGTCTCGAGGTTCAGTTTTGTAGCTCGCCGTTTGTCACTGTCACCCTATGCCCAACGCCGCATTATTTGGTCTTCTTGTATCAATACTTCTTGTCACAACCTCTATGAACGAGCTTTTTTTTTTCTCTGTCTGCATGCAAATCAGAGAAGGGGGCGTCTTGGTCTAGACTATATTACTTTTTTATTACTATATCAGCTTTGGGCATAGGATAGGGCATTATGCAATCGATCGGGGTTGTTTACTTTTCGTTCATGTTTTGCCGTCCACGGTCCACCGAGCCAGCCCCTTTTTCTGTCTCTTTTGTGTAATTACGGCTGGTTGGAGAATAGAAAGACGGAGTCGTGGCGATCTCAGTCGCCGTGGAAGAAACGAGAGATTATCGGCCCATACCATTTTTAGATTATGTGCTGCAACATTTTACACAAGCTGGTTGCTAAGTTGTTTAGCAGGTATACTTGCGGTTATCTAAGTGTGTGCTATTATACTATCCATTGGATAGATAGTATGCATTCGTTTCGTCTGATCGTTCATTCTCGGATGGAATGGGACGAAAGAGGCGAACGCGAGTTATGACGACTGCGCTCGGCCGCAGCTCGACCGAAGGCGCCCCACAGCCTGACTGTATCAACCATCTCCTAGTCCACTCAAACCCACTTGCGAGACTAAAGCACTGGTTCTCTCGCAAGATCAGATTTTCCACCTATGATGCAGTGCAAGAGTCTGGGATGGGACGGACCCTAGGTTTAGCGAGAATGAATGAATGAAACGGCGTGGGAGACAGGATTTCCCAGATATCCGGCCCATGCGAGGAGGTACCCGCAGTTGTTGGGACCGATGAGACGGGTAATCCTGCAAGTTCCTCGATGGGCGTTAAGTGAGTTTTAGATAGACAGTTAGCTGGCTTCGCATATACTGCCTTGATTGTGATTCAAGTGATCACAACAGCAATCGACTAGGTAGATGGAAACGGGCAACTCTCGTCGTGGCAACCCCACTCTCCTCCTCGTCTCCCATGTGTTGTTAGTCGGGTCTGGAACATGCAGAGGGGCGGATATGCGAGTGTGGGTGATGCATTCACCATTTAGCCGTGACGAACAGCACAGCACCACCTCCTTGCCTTAGCTACAGCATCTGCCCGCACTGCCGGGCGAACAGCCCGCGGGTCGTCCATTTTATCCCACAGCAACGCCCAAACAACAACCCGGCGCCGTTTTTTTTTCTCTTTTTCAACTTTGCCTGCCTACTCTACTAAAGACACCTTGCTCCCTCTCTCCAACGATAGAGACGGAGACTCTTACGAACCTACCTAGTCGCGTGTTAGTGGCAGCAGCAAGCAGGTCGCGCCCAGTCGTTTCTTTTCAGCGGCCCGGTCATTCCTCGAAGTATAAGCAGAAGCAGTGCGGCGCAGACACAGACACAGACACCGCTTAGCATGGCCGCCGCGCAGAAGACGTTCAAGCTGAACACGGGGCAGGACATTCCCGCGCTGGGATTCGGTGGGTTCCACCTACCATGAAAACATGCTCACCCTCCCCACCCTCCCCCACCCCCAGAAACAATATGAAAGAAATCTGACAGACACAAATAGGAACCTGGCAAGCAGAGCCCGGCAAGGTCGAGACGGCGGTGGCGTACGCGCTCAAGGCGGGGTACCGGCTCGTCGACGGGGCGTACTGCTACGGCAACGAGGACGAGGTGGGCGCGGGCTTGGCCGAGGCGTTCGCGTCGGGCGCGCTGCGGCGCGAGGACGTCTTCGTCGTGTCAAAGGTCTGGGCCACGTACAACACGCGCGTCGAGCTCGGGCTGGACAAGAGCCTCAAGAGCCTCGGGCTGGACTATGTGGATCTGTTTCTTGTGGTGAGTTTTTTTTTGAGTTTTTTTTTTTTTTTTTGTGGGGGGGGGGGGGCAGGTTTGTGAGGCTTTGGAGCTGACTTATTGTGTCTATAGCACTGGCCCCTTTTGCTGAATCCCAACGGTATGTTTTATTATTATTTCCTGGCCAGTCTTTTGTCGACGGTGAAGGTAAAAATGCTGACCGAAAGCCGCTAGGAAACGACGACAAGTTCCCCAAGCTGCCCAACGGCGAGCGCGACATCATCCGCTCGCACAACCACGTCGACACGTGGAAGCAGATGGAGAAGCTGCCGGCGACGGGCAAGACGCGCGCCATCGGCGTGTCCAACGTACGCCCCCTGACTCATCCCTTTCTTCACTCAACAACACATCTAACAGAGAAACAGTACAGCAAGCGCTACCTCGAGCAGCTGCTGCCGCACGCGACCATCGTGCCGGCAGTCAACCAGATCGAGAACCACCCGCAGCTGCCGCAGCAGGAGATTGTCGACCTATGCCGCGAGAAGGGCATCCACATCATGGCGTACAGCCCGCTGGGCAGCACGGGCGGGCCGCTGATGACGGCGGAGCCGGTGCTGGCCGTCGCGAAGAAGCATGGCGTGAAGCCTGCGGCTGTGCTGCTGAGCTACCACAGTGCGTTTCTCCCTCGCCTCCTTACAAAGCATGGAATAGGGATTGGGGCGATGCTAACCCTTCTTTTTTCTGTCTCAAAGTCCCCCGCGGCAGCACGGTGCTAGCTAAGTCGGTCACGCCCGAGCGCATCAAGGAGAACCTGGCGCTAGTCGACCTCGACGCCGACGATGTGCGGGCGCTCGACGCGTACTCGGACGGGCTGGCGCGCGAGCGCAAGCTGCGGCGCTACGTATACCCGCCGTTTGGCGTCGAGTTTGGGTTCCCCGACAAGTCGAATCTGTAGATACCTAGGTAGTTGGCTGATGGGTTCGCTGAGTAGGTGTGTGTGTTTGTTGTGTTGTTGAAGGGATGTGGATGGGGGTGGGGGTGTATATATTCCAATGTTTAGGAGCAGAGAGTTTGCCTAGGTTCCTTGGTGTATCTACCTTGGGATATCTCCCTAGTTCTGCATTCTGCGTCACTAGACAGACAGAAAGACATGGTTTCGATAGAGTTGAATAGCCTTGAAGCTTTGTGTGCATACGGGGGCACTTGGCGAGACGGAAGCTTCTATCTTCTCTTTCTTGAAGCCTAGACGAGGATAAGCCTAGACCGAAGCGGCCTTGCCTGGAGAGGGAGACTACATATCGCTCTCTCTCGTCCCTATTTCAAGACTAGGATTGTGTTGACATCAATCACCTAAGGGGTTCTGCCGAATGACGTAAGGAAGCTAAAACATCCAAGAACCCCCCCTTAAACAAGCCCGCTTTCACCCCCCCCCCCCCCCCCCGACACCCAAATCACAGCAGACAGAACCCCGATATTACAAGTATGTTATTCCATGGGTACCTATATATATGTATACCAACCCAGCCCGGCGATTAAATGATTGCCCCTTTTCTCCTCGTATTACCACGGGCATATGTACCCCGCTGTCCATTCCGCCTTCGCTTCAGCCGCTAACACGCACACGCAAACACGTACAATAAAACAAGACTACTGAGGTGGCGGCTGCTGTTGAGGGTGCGGCGGGTGTTGCGGCGGCGGCGCTTGTTGTTGTGCTTCCTGCGGCTGCGGCTGCGGGGAGCTACCTTGGACTTCCTGGGGCGGTAGTGGCTCGCGCGTGCTACTCATCTCGACCACGTGTTGCGGCGGCGCCTGGGGCTGCGGCTGGTATAGGACCTGCTGGCCGCCCTGGTTCTGATACTGCTGCGGAGGGTACTGCTGCTGGGGCGCGAAGCCACCCTGCGGCTGCGGCGGCGACTGCATGTGCACGTAGCCGCCAGCTTCCTGGCTGTAGACCAACTGCGGCTGTTGCGGCGGGTAGTACTGCTGCCCGGGGGGAGGGGATTGGTTGTAGAACTGCTGTGGCTGTTGCGGCTGCTGCTGCTGGTAGGGGTACTGGGGGTTGTTGTACGTATACTGCCCGTTGGCCTCGTTCATTTCCGGGATGGGTGGCGGGTAGCTCTGTCCATTGCTAGGCGGCCCTGGGGTGCCGTTGCTGTTGCTGGGCGAGTACGATGCGTGCGAGGGCGGCACGGCGCCGGCATAATAGCCAGGTATTCCCGAGCTGTTATCGCTGATGCCGCCGGCTGATGTACCCGTGTGCTGGGGACCGAGCGCTGACACGCTCGACGCCGTGACGGACGGGTCTTGCTTCACAGGCGTTCCATGTGGCCCGGGTACGTATTGGCCACCGGCCGCGACAGCTTGTTGGTGATGGAGTTCGGCTGGGCCAACGGGAGCAGGGGGTTGCTGCTGCCCGGCAGCCTTTTCGCTCAGGAGCTGCTTCGTCTTCCTGTGAGACCTCCAGAGGCAGAAGGCGAGGGTTCCAATGAGGATGACGGCGACGGCGGTTCCGGCGCCAATGCCGGCCTTGGCAGCAGTCGACAGCCCGCCGCTGCCCGAGGACGACGACGCCACGGGGAACTGCATGGACCAAACAATGTTGACGACAGCCGACGTCGGCTTGGACGTGTCGGTTGGGTTGCCTGGCACGCCCACCGTAACGTTGGGGGGCGAGGCCGTGGTTCTGATGGAGCTGTAGCAAGGAGTCTGGCCGCCAACGGCGGATGTGAAGGGCCAGTAGCCACTGGTGAGGAAAATTAGCTCTGGACTTTGCCTCGACAGCAAGAGTGTCAGACATACTTGGGACAGCACCCCCCTGAGATGGAGTAGTAGTCGTCGGCGCAGTTGGCCAGGACAGCCTGGGCGCTGTCGGCGGGCACAGGGAAGTTGACGCCCACGTTGTTGACGGTATCAGAGCCGGTTCCGCCGCCGCCGCTACTGCCACTCCCCGTCGCCGCAGCCGCCGAGGCGGTGGCTACTTTCCAGGGGCAGCACTCGGGGCGGTCGCTGTTGCAGCCGTGGAAGCCGGCAAAGAAAACAGTGCTCCCGGCGTCGACCAGAGTGAAATCGGTACTGGCCGTGCAGGCGCCAGAAAGCAAAGAGCCACTGCCAGAGTAGAGCGGCGAGTTGGTATGGACCGGCCTCGTGGGATTCCTGGCGGTGACGAAAGTAACAGATCTGCTCATCTTGTTAGTCTGCTCCGGGCTGGAGAAGCTGCGGTACCTACTTGAAGCTCAGAGGAACAGTCTCACTGTGGGCACGGTTGATTAGCAGGGCAACGCCGAGGACACAGCGGCCGGTCTACTCACGGAGGCTTCAGCTGGGCCATGACACTGGGCGGGATGGATCCGCAGAATTCGGAGTAGTAGCTGGTTTGGAACTCGGCAAAGTCTTTCGAGTGGTCAGCCAGGGGGTCAAGAGACACACGGAGTCATTGGCGGCAGACCTGTGGTGCCCAGATAGTAGCTCGAGCAGCTGCCGGTGGCGATCTGGGAGTAGTAACAGTTGAGGTACGAGATGCCATAGGTGCAGTAGCAGGCCGTGGCCTGGGCCTCCAACGAAGAGTAGTCGGTCTCTTGGTAGTTGAAGCTGCAGCTACTGATGAAGTTTGCGCAGCTGGCGAGGCCGTTGTAATTCTGGATTAGTCGCCGGTTAGTCTCTTATCTAGATTGGCACATGACGACAAGCGGACGTACGAAGCAACTGCTGTAGTCACCGTAGTTGTAGTCACTGTACGTGTACGTGAAGCCATCGATGGTGGTCACGGCGCGCGGCCTTAGGAAGGGATGGTTGGCGTCGAACGCGTTGACCAAGGCGGGCGCGAGGGTGGGCAGCAGGGTGGGCGCCGCCAGCGTGAGGGCCGGCGTGGGCGCTGGGGTGAGCGAGGCCGTCAACATGGCGGGCAGATATCCTCCTCTCCTAAACTTGTCGTCGTGAAAGTCGCAACTCTGCGATGGTGTCGACTCTTGTCTTGAGGGCGACACGAAAGCTGGGGGAAGAGGGATGCAGCAGGCTGGCGCGAGCAAATTACCAGCTACCAACTGCTCTCCCCCCTCGCTTTTTCCCTCTCCCTTCTCTCAGCCTCACTCGACCGCCACCGAGCTCCGAACTCATTTTAGCTTGTTGTTGACCAGAGCTTAGCTGTTCTGGGCTCGCCCAGACTCGAAAGCCTGGGGTGTTGCCGTAGGTGGAAATGGAGGATCGACGTGCCCAATCGAAGCCTGGGCCGCACAGCCGTGCATGGCCCATGGCACGCCGAGCGGCGTCTGATAGGCCGGCCGAAGCGGGAGCCGGGGGGGTGCCCTGCCAGCTGAAAATGCGCTTGGCTATGTTCAAGCGAGCGCCCTATCAGAGCCGGCCAGGCTACCGGGGGCATAGAGCCATGTGCGGGGGAGGATTGGGATTAGGGATGCGCACTACCAATAAATCCCCTCACGGTAGTCCAAGGTCGGCGTCTCCCCTCAGCGAGTGAATAGATTGCAGTGCAGTGGGGGCGCCAAGTGCAGAGCGTTTGCACGGGCTGGATTGGCCTTTAATAGCGCCATGCAGGCGGCGACCACGATGCCGAGCTTGCCGCCGAGACGGGTGCTCTGCCGGTCTGTCCAAGTGCAGCCTCGGTAACGGTGTTTTTTGTGGTCTGGTGGTCGGTTCAGAAGACGGCAAGCATTCCATTATTCTGTGGTTGTGTAGGAGTTGGATGCTGTGCAATGGATAGATAACCTTTATCAGACGATAGCTTAAACGGGGCAGCATTGCGCGCAGCGCACAGACCAATGACACTACATACACCCCACTGATCTACACTAGATACACGGGTTATCGTCATCAAAGCACGTGGTGATGCTTCAAAACCCACTTACATAAGGTACACGCTTAAATACAAATGGCATAGAACCATTTGAATCCTGACAGCCGCGGCATGACAACCCCGCCGAGCCGCAACGCTGGCCTGTCCCATTCCACAACAGAGCCGCAGCAGCCCGCCCGCCCGCCCGCCCGCTCGGGATGCGTGGCCGGGCGGGTAAATGGGGATAAATACAGACATGGCCACTTTTTGGTTGTTCGCTTGAAATAAGGGACAAGTTGTCGAGCTTTGTCGGTCGGCCGGGGAGGGGGTATATATCACCGAGGGCAGTCCCGTGTTATCGCCTGTCCTCGGCCACCTGTATCTGTCTCTCTGTCTGTCGGTAGCCAGCGGTGTTTCCCAAGTCGAAATTAAACTCGAAGATATCTCTACACAGAAACGGCGGAATACACATCCCCACATCTCTGGTCCCACTGAAACTATCCTCTGAACATGGCGCCGCTCATCACGCACCTGTACACGGCGGACCCGTCGGCGCACGTGTTCGAGGGCCGCTTGTACATCTACCCGTCGCACGACCGGGAGACGGACATTGCGTTTAACGACAACGGCGACCGTAAGTGCCGCGGGCCTGGCTTCAAACCTTCCCGAGTGTTTTTGGATAGCTGGTTATTTTGAAGTTTACGCGTGGCTTTGTCACACATCGCTTTCACCGGGTAGATGACACAAAACTACCTATCTAGGTGCTTACCTACTTATTTATCTCTTTGTGAACTGACATGGCATATTGGGAAATAGAGTACGACATGGCCGACTACCACGTCTTCAGCACGTCGTCCCTCGACCCTTCAGCACCGGTAGTCGACCACGGCGTGGTCCTGCGCGCCGAGGACATCCCGTGGGTGTCCAAGCAGCTGTGGGCGCCGGACGCGGCTTGTAAAAACGGGCTTTACTACCTGTACTTCCCCGCGCGGGACCACGCGGGGGTATTCCGGATCGGCGTGGCAGTCGGAAATTCGCCGACGGGACCCTTCGCAGCCGACCCGGACCCGATCCCGGGCTCGTACAGCATCGACCCGGCGGCGTTCGTTGACGCCGACGGCGAGGCATATCTCTACTTTGGCGGGCTGTGGGGCGGCCAGCTGCAGTGCTACCAGGGCGGGCTGGGGGCGGACGCGTTCGACGGGGGCTGGCAGGGCGCGCGCGAGCCGACGGGGCCGGGAGCGGTGGCCATGGGTCCCCGCGTGGCGCGGCTCGCGGGGGACATGCGGAATTTTGCCGGGGAAGGGGTGCGGGAGGTGGAGATTCTCGCGCCAGAAACGGGCGAGCGGCTGGCGGCCGACGACCACCCGCGGCGGTTCTTCGAGGCGGCGTGGATGCACCGCCGCGGCGACACGTACTACTTCAGCTACTCGACGGGCGACACGCACTACCTGTGCTACGCGACGGGCAGCAGCCCGTACGGGCCGTTCACATACGCGGGCCGCATCCTCGAGCCAGTGCTCGGGTGGACCACACATCATAGTATTGTCGAGTTCCAGGGCCGCTGGTGGCTGTTCCACCACGACTGCGAGCTCAGCGGCGGCGTCAACCACCTGCGGTCCGTCAAGGTCAAGGAGATCTTTTACGACGCTGATGGTAAGATTGTGTCGGAGAAGCCCGAGTGAGAGACTATCCGGTGTCGTTTTGTAGACGAAAGGGTGCGAAGTAGATGTGCCATTGTGTGTATTCTTTTGTCATTGGTGGAATAGGGGTAGAGTGAATAACCGGATGTAAATAAAAGAAAACCAACAAGAACAAGGACGCCAATGAAATGGCACTACATGGAAAAAAAAAATCAGTCCTGCATTCATTGGTGCAATTACAAGTCCAACCCTATATCCAAGCAACAACAAAAAACCCACCCGATGAGTTGTGTATATGTGTCCAAATGTGTAAATGTATGTATAGTATGTCGTGTCCCAACCGTGCCATGTCCCCCATTTCATTTACTTTATCATATCGTGCCTGTATCATGACCAAGAAAAGAAAAACCGACAAAAACCCCTAGGTAACTAGGTAGAAGCCCGCCCGTGCATCTAATCTCCGACACACTCACACACACACACACACACACACACGCAACAAAAAGAGACACCCGGTGACAGATAGAGACAAAGAAAAGATCACGAGTCCATGACGCCCGCCTTGAGCTTGTTCAGCGCGTCCTCGTACTTGCCGGGGCTGTGGTCGGTGAGCATGCTGGTGCCGAAGCGGACCTCGCGGAAGCGCTTCTCGACGTCGCGCACGTACTTGAGCACGACGCGCTGGGCGGGGCGGCCAAAGTGGCCGGGCTCGTCGGCGTCCTCGCCCTCGAGCAGGAACGCGTCGCGCCGCCGCACGCGCGTGCTCTCTACCACAAACACCTCGCCCGGCGGCAGCAGCTTCTGGCTCATCATGCTGGCGCGTAGCACCTTGAGCGCCGCGTATGCCCACTGGTCGTCGTCCTCGCGCTTGCGCCTGCGCGACGACGCGCTGCTGCTGCCGCCGCCGCCGCCCATGAAGTGGTCGCTGACGGGGCTGGGGGATGAAGGAGGGCCGCCGCCGCCGCCGCTCGACGGGGGGCCGCCGTACCACTTGTCGGCCAGGCCCGACTGCAAGGCCTCCCAGATGCGCTGGCGCACCTCGACCTTGGCCTCGTTGTTGTCTGTCTTGAAGGCCAGGGCGACGGCCTGGAAGTCGTGCAGCACGCCGAGCGAGAGGTAGGGGACGAGGTCGTTGCCGTGCACGATGCTCGTGATGAGGCCGCGCGTGGCGGTGCACAACGAGGCCGACATGGTCGACGGCGGCCCGTAGGCAAAAACGTGAACGGGGCGGCCCGAGGGCAGGCACACGTGGCGCGGGGGCGACGACGAGGTGGTGTAGTGCAGGTTGTGGTGCAGCGATGACGGGTGGTGGGTGGCGGCGTCGGCGAGTAGGCGCGTGTGGGGCTCGGACGAGGTGACGAAGGCGGTGCCGTGGGCCGAGGGCTCGGGCTCGGACAGCATGACGCCCAGCAGGGCGGTGACGGCGCCGCCCAGCGAGTGGCCCGTCAGCACGAGGCCATAGTCGGGGAAGTCGTCGAGGGCCTTCTTGAGCGTGTGCAGGACGCGGCCGTCGCCGCCGTACAGCAGGCGCTGGGCCGAGGCGTGGATGCCCTTGTGGACCTTGTAGACCTTGCCGCGCCAGATGAGGTCGTCGTAGTCGCACGTCATGTCGGCCAGCACGTCCTCGAAGCCCAGGGTGCCGCGGCAGGCCAGTACCACGGCCTTGGACTCGTGGTCGAGCGAGATGTAGTGCACCAGCGGCACGCCCGTGTTGGTCGACCCCGTGCCGTCGGAGCCGCCCTGGGGGTCGACAAACGACGACAGCAGGATGCTGCTGGCGTCCGACTCGGTGTGGTGGGCAAACGACCGCAGCTCGTGGTGCAGGTCGTCGAGCGTGCGCAGGATGGGCATCTCCTTGGCGATGCCCAGCACCTTGAGGAAGTTGGACCCATACGACGCCGACGCGAAGCGCATGTAGCGCGTGATGTTGCGCAGCAGGTGGTAGCGCGGGAACATGCCGTCGAGCCGCCCCGCCCGCCGCAGCGTCCCCAGCGCCTCCGTGTCGCTGAAGGCGCTCTTCTGCTGGTAGTAGCCGTACGGCACCAGCGACGACTGCGACTCGTTCATCGACAGCGTGTAGATGCTGGGCGAGTACATCTGCGACTTGACCCGCCGCGGGTTGCGCCCGCCCATGCCGAAGGCCCCCGACACGTCGCGCTCCGACAGCGCCTTGGCCGCCGAGCCTGGACCGGGCCCCGACCCCGGCCCCGATCCCGAGCCCGAGCCCGAGCCCGAGCCCGAGCCCGAGCCCGAGCCCGAGCCCGAGCCTGTCCCGTTCCCGGCACCGGCAGAGGCAGCAGCAGCCTTCTCTCCCGACGACGGCGACACGGGATGGTAGTCGTCGGCCGTCGTGATCGAGTACGTCTCGGTCTGCGAGATGCTCGAGTCGCGCCGGCTCTCGTGCACCGAGATGTAGCTCGCCCGCGAGTCGCTGCGCACGTAAGGCTCCTCCATCTCCTTCGCCGCTGGCCCCGACCGCCAGCCCTGCCCCCGTCCTGCCCGGCTCACGGCCTGCGGCGCCCCTCTCCTCGGTATCAGGGACGACTGTCTCGCGGGCGCCACGACAGCCAGGTGCGACAGGGGAGCCGGAGTCGAGTGCGCCGGCCTATTTTTTGCTGTCTTGGGTGCAATCTTGCCTCCCTTCTTCTTGTCAAAGGCAGTCTCCGAGCCCGAGTCGTCTTTGGAAAACATGGTTGCCGATCTGCGGAAAGCGTTGCGGAACCCTCCTTTACCTTCTGATGACGACTTCGCCGCTGGCGCACCGTCATCCTTGTTCTTGGAGGACAGGAACCTGTTGAGCGTGTTTCTACGCGGTGCCGCACTTGGCGGCGGGTGGGCTAAGGCCGAGGGGCTGGTTGGGGGCATTCGGGGCCTTTTCTGGTTGGCAGCCTGCTCGGCGCCCTGATCCGTCTTGACTTCTTCGACAGGCTGCTGCCCCACCTCGAGCCCCCGGGCCTGCTCTGCGGCCTGCTCTGCGGCCTGCTCAGCCCCAAACCTCAAGACCACGGGAATGCGAGACGGCCTGGCCGTGGACGGCGACGACGAGCCCGAAGTGGCCGATGCAGACGAGCTAGGCCGGCGGAAGGGAGAGTTCGATGGACTGTCTAGCAGCAGTGGCCTGGGAATCTTGGGCCGCACTAGAGACGGCGACTCGTCAACCTCGGTTGCCGACCCGTCGTCGGACTCGGACTCGTCGTCGTCATCGTCGTCGACTGCCTCGACATAGCCGGCGACCTGGCTTATGTCTCCGTCCTCCTTCTGGAAGGATGTCCTCCTCTCCTTGTTCCGGTGGAGCCGGTACACGACGCGGTACGTAGGGGGGATGCTGTTCTCGGCCGAGTGTGCGCCTTTGTTGCCCTGCTGGAGCTGGGCCTGCGACGCGACCTGCCGGGAATCCCGCCGCTCTTCGATCAGCTCGACTCCAGGGGGCGGTGGCGACACAGGGAGGTCGTCGACGCGGCCGGTTATGTCGACCGTGATGGTCTTGATGGTGTTGATCTGCGTCGTGATGGACACTTTGGCGTTGTCGGGCAGCGACTTCATGATCTGGCGCTTGAGGCGGATCTCGGGCAGGCTCTCGCCGTCGCCGTCGCCGTCGCTGTCCTGGGCCCCGTGGCTCTCGATGGTCTCGAGGATCCTCCCGTTGGGCCCGCTACCCGTCGGCGGCCTGCCCGAGCCGTAGGCGCCGTTGTGGACGCCGTACAGGCTCTCCTCGTGCAGGTCGACGCGCACGCCGTCGCTAAAGACGACGACGTCCCACACCGTCTCCTCGACATGCAGCGTGCGGTTCTCGTCCTCGAGCGAGCGGCGGCACCAGCGCTGCAGGTAGGCCATGCCGCACAGGCCCAGCATCAGGTCGAGCACGCCGACCTTTTCGCCCTTCACGCCCGTGGCCGGGTTCTGGAACTCGCGGCGGATCAGGGTGATGATGCTGGCCATGGCACGCGACGAGTCGGTCGAGCCAAAGAACTGGTCGAGGGCCGAAAGCAGCAGCTGCGACGTCTCGGTGATGACGGCCAGCGTGGTGCCCGTGACGTGGAAGCCCGTCGTGGTCCAGAAGACAATCTGCGTCATGGTGCGGTGCAGGTTCTCGAGGCTCTTCTCCAGCACCGTCTCGGCCTCGGCCCTGGCCAGCAGCGAGCCCGACCGCCCGATCACGTCGCGGCCTGCCCGCCCCAGGATGCTCTCGAGGATGGCCCGCCCCAGCTCGAGGCTCGACAGCGTCGTCACCTTGGCCGCGTCGAACCCGTACCCGCTGATCAGTGTGCCCATGCGCAGGGCAAGGCTCGTCGACCGCGTGGCGAAGCTGACGGCCCGCGCCAGCGGCACCGGGAGCAGGGTCCTGCCGGGGCTCGAGGCCGCCAGCTCTCGAAGCTGCGCCGTGACGTGGTCGTCGGCAGCGACGGCCAGCCGCGCCGAAGACGAAGGGTCCATGTCGACATTGCCGTCCGCGTCAGCGCCGTCGTCGGTTCCGAAGCTGAGGACCCGCATGGCTGCTGGTCGTCGTGTGAGGCAGAGGAAGTGAAAAGGGGCTTCGTCGACACGTCAAGCCGCAGAGAACCATGACGGAGCGCCGCAGACAAATACACAGCAGACCAAAAACGGCGGAGGCGACGGCGGCGGCGGCAGTGGAACTAGCAGTGGCAGGAGTAACGGAAGTGGAAGTAGATATCGAGGCCGAGGTCGAGGTCGAGGTGTAAGTTGAAGCGGCAGGAAGAGTGGAAGTGGCACCGGCACCAGCACCGGCGGTGGCGATGGGGGGATGGCTTGGATGACTGGTATCCCGTATATCCGTAGTGCCTGGTTAGTGAGGTAGGCGACTAGACTGACCTACCCTACAGGCAAGGTATGTGGCTTCGTTAGGGCGAGGTATGTATTGCATATATTGCACAGCAGACCAAGCAGAAATTACAAGTAGAAAAGCAAGAGAAGCAGCAGCAAGCGGGGCAAGTGTGGGACAACGAACGGCCTGCTCAGGAGATCAAGTTGGCCTCCACTGTTGAAGTGTGCGGTCGACCAAGGTTTTCTCTTCAGCGTGGATAATGCAGCCGAGTGTAGGCAGAATCATGTCACGCGTGCCTCGCGGGCTGGCGGGGGCATTCCTGCTTTCCATTTCTTCAGGACGCGGATGCTGCTTGCTGGTTGCTGGTTGTTACAGGCAGGTGCTTCCAGTGCGTGCGTGCTGTCGACAGGGGCGGGCCTGGCATGTGAAAGATGCGGGGGTATCCGTACTCTGAGCGTGAGGGTTGGGCCATCAGTGGAGGGTCATCTGGACTTGGTACGGGTCGTCCAGCGAAGGCTACCACTGCCAGCCAAAGGCTATCAGGCCATCAAGGCTATCGCCTGAAGGTTCTGTTCAGCAGAGGCAAACAAACTCGACACGCGTGGCGCACCTAAAGCGCCAGCGCTCCCCAAGATTCGCGCCGTCGAAGACATGCAGCCGTCGAGATCATCATGACAGCCACGGCAGCCAGCGCGCCGTCAGAGCGTTCTGGCAAACGTAGTCGTTATGCAGCCATCCAGGCAAGACCAGCTGGCTAGTCGAGTCGACCATTGACGACAAGACTCCAATGACGAAACTTGAACTGTCGAGGTCGAAGATTACAAAGCCCTGGCCAATATCTCAGGTGCAGGACGACGGGGACTTCTGGGAGGGGAAGAATTGTAATGGGACTGTTTCGACGGGGAGCGCTGTGGCTCCATGACGTGCGAGGTGGCATAAGGTAGAACCAGGGCAGTGCATGTCTCCATCGTAGCCGGGTTGTCCGGGCCCGACCTGCCTTGATCACGCATCGCTACCACCTTCCAGGTTGTGGTATTCGGATACAGGTAGGTACGGAGGTAGCTGGGCCGTATTTGATGCTGTGTCCGACGTGGGACTTTGTGAATATCGATCTGGAGCATGCGGGCTGTTCCTGAACCGCCTGCTGCCTAGTGCAGATCCATGGAAGCCGGAAGCCCACCCACCAAAGCTCCCCCACTGCCACTGCACCTACCCCGGGCCTGCCATTTAGAGTATACTGTGCCTGCCGCAGCTTCCCGCCTGGGCTCTTCCCTAGCGCCGCCCAGGGGCTGAGGCCAGGGGAAGGAGAAGGGACCTGGACAGGGGACAGCGAGACGGACAGTGACAATTGATGGGCCGGAAGCAGCCTCTCGGGTTCGACGGTAACGGGTTACGAGCTGCTCGCATCCAGACAAGTCGAGGTGCATTTTATCTGGGATATATAAATCCCTTCCAGTTTGCTTTGGACAATTGAGCAAACATCAAGTTATAGTTGATTGTCCACCTACTTTCGATCTCATTTTACCACTCAGGGACCCTAAGGCTGCTGCTAACTTATTTATCCACTAGTTCTACCTGGCTGGCCAGGGCATCCGTAGACTCGGTTCCGGATTACTTGGCCTCAAACCCACCCGCCGTCCACGCCTCTACGATTGATCCCCCAACCACCAATCGATCCCCCAACCACCAATTGGCACCCGCTCGACCCAGAACCAACAACCAGACCACCGGAACACGCTCGAACCCGCCGTCACCGACTCCTCCGCCGACAGCAACCGCACAATGGCCGAAGCCGAGCTCTTCTCGTCAGACCTGCTCTCGCCCGAGGTGCAGGCGGCGCTGCCCGAGGGCTACCAACTGCGGGCGCTGCGCCAGAGCGACTTCGACACGGGCTTCCTCGACTGCCTGCGCGTGCTGACCACGGTCGGCGACATCACCCAGCAGCAGTTCGAGGACCGCTACAGCTGGATCACGAGGCAGGACGGCGGCTACTTCATCCTCGTCGTCGAGGACACTAATCCCAGCCCCCCGCGCGTCGTCGGCACCGGCGCCCTGATTGTCGAGCGCAAGTTGTGAGTTCTTTTTCGTCTGCTCCATGCCCCTCGACGACGTGGCCCTGGAAGTAAACGGGTTGGTTGGCTGACTTTTTTTTTTTTTGTTGGACACAGCATCCACAATCTCGGGTCGGTCGGACACATCGAGGACATCGCCGTGGCCAAGGACCAGCAGGGCAAGAAGCTGGGGCTGCGCATCATCCAGGCGCTCGACTTCATCGCCGACAAGACGGGCTGCTACAAGACCATCCTCGACTGCAGCGAGGCCAACGAGGGTTTCTACGTCAAGTGCGGCTTCCGCCGCGCCGGCCTCGAGATGGCCCACTACATTGACGGCCCCAAGAGTAAAGCCCAATGATTTCTTTTATTAGACTTCTTGGCTTTGGCTGATGCGCAGCTTACCTTTTTCTTCTTTTTCTCTTTCTGTTTTTGCAGAGAGCACGGCAGCGAATCTGTGATGTTTTTGACCGCGACGGAACAAGAGACCAAGAACGATAGACAGAAGCGACACAAAATCGAGGCACAAACACAGACGCGGACGGAAGACACAACACACACAACACAAGCCCACGGCTCTGGCTATCTACCTCGCCCAGGTACCCAGCCCTAACAAACCCGGGGACGGAAAGGATGGCTCCGGTAGCGTATGGCTGTACTACCCAGGGAAAGCTCGGCAGATCATTAGCTGTGGAGTTCGGAAGGGAGCGGGGCGGTGGGAGGGAGGGCATGGCACGGCGCTAGATGGTCCTATCGGACACAAGAGCAGAAAACGGGCATTGATGAGCGGTGCCGATGCCTGCGTGCATACGTGCCTACCTAGGTTGGTATTCGCTGACTAGTGACCTACGTACGTTGTTGTTGGATGGCATTAGATTTGCATGCAGCGTTGTAGCCGTGTATAAACAGACATACAGACAGACCTACCGAGTATTCCACACAGTATAGTGCTTGGATAAAGTGACCGTCTGTGAAAGTCGTTTGTGGACATATCGACAGACGCGGTCCGAACTCCCGTCGACTCTGTTGTTTTCTGCTACATTTATTACCTACCTTGCCCAGTACGGAATAGAGCCTGACATCCATTCCGGTGGGCGAGGCGAGGCCCGCTCGCCGTTTTGCGCGCCAATCGGCTAGCTATATGTCGTCACTCTCGAGGGAGAACGCCCTGGGTTCTTTGGAGACGGAAGGGAGGGGGTCTCGGGGAGGAGAGGGGGGCTAGGCTAGCAGGCTCGGAGGCTTGAAGGGGGGCTGGTGGTGGCACGGCCAATGGTTTTACACCCGGGCTAGGAAGGGAGTGCATTCAGCCAAGGTAGTAGGTATGGGGAATACCTAGGTCGGCAGCACAAGACGAGACGCATCTTCTTGGCGACAGTTTGAGCTACGACAAACTAGTCTCAAATCTCTCCTTCTAGTCAAACCATTGCTTATCCTTCTTCTTAACAGTGCTTGCTGGTTTAATTCCTAACAAACCATCCAGCCCAGCCCTCCCTCGAAGGGACGAGAGTTACAGACTGGACTAAGGTTTGCACCCGTCAACAAGAACAAGTGGGTATCGAGTTGGCAAACCGGGAACGAACCGGCCCAAGACCCGACACGGGCTAAAGTGGCACAACCCCACCTCTGCTGTCCGTCTCTTGGCCAGCGCTGACATGTGATGCTGCTCGCTCCGAGTCGCCCTAAACATGCTACGTACTAAGTTCCGGTATGGGGAATGGGAATGGGCGTGGGAATGAAATGAGGAAAAAGAAAACAGACCGGGCTTGTTTCGTCGCTTTTGCCGGCCCTCCACCCTATCCTGCACTTACCTACTGCTGCTAAAAACTCCTCTCGGGAAAAGCGTTGGTGCTCGTTGATCGAAGCGTCGACGTTGTGCATGGCGCCTCGCTCGGGGCTGATCAGGTCTGGGGCGAGTGACGGGAGCGAGTGGTGCGGCGGGCCTTGGAGAGACAGGCCGCGACGGATTCAGCTTCGGCGAAACCCTTTGGAGCTGATCTCCGTGGGAAGGAGGGGGAAAGCGATCACCCCCTTCCCCAGCCCTCTTTCGACCACACACTACAGGCCAGACCAGACCAGCTCACCATGCGTCTCTTGTTGTTGTCCCCACACTCCTCTCCCATCCATGGGCATATGGTCCCCATGGCCGTGGGATGGCTATTTGTGGTAAGTAGGTGTATATATATGTCGACATGCATGCATCCTCTGCGTCTGTCTACAGCCACAACGCCCCTTGTTGTTTCCTCCTGTCCATCCATCCACCCATTGCCGTTCCACGCATACAGAGTACTGAGCACCGAAGACGGACACGCGATCTGTTCCTGGATTCGGAGTATAACAACTAGTCCTGCTCAGCTTTATTGTTGTTTTCTCTCTCTCTTTCGTCTCTCCTCACGCCGGCCCACACGCCGTTGCACCTCACCGGCCCTCTCCTCACTCCCTCGCAGCGAGCCAGCCAGCCAGCCAGCCTTGCCCCGCACCGGCCCGCCGCCCGCCTACCTGCCCGCCCGCTTCGCCGGACTACCAAGCTCGGATATCCCCAACTCGGCGCGAGAGACACCCCCCACATAAGCTCCAGCAGCAGGCCAGTGTTTATTTGGTACCTCTATTGCGCCCGATTGAGCGCATTTTATCCCGGCTTTTTGGATAAACTCTGTACTATCGTGTCGGCCTTTCGCGTGGCGTGTAGAAAATAAAGATATTTAGCAAGAAGGGGCTGCTGCTAGTCAAGATGGTCGAGGATCTCCACGCCACCATCACGCGAGTGCGCATCGCTCTACTCCAGTCGCAGTTAGTTTATATTCCTCCTCTTGTTTTGATGCTATAAAGCTTCTCCTTTTACATCCCTGCCCCCTTACTTCATATACTTGCCCACCCGCTGTCCCTATCTCCTCCGCAACACCGCCTTCGAATTCACCCGCTTACTTGTGCCAAAAAAAAAGAGTCCGCGAGAAAGGAGTCCCTACTGCTGCCGTGCCCGTCGCTGCATCCCATTCTCCCGTGCGGCGCCGGCGGAGCACCGTCACGGCCGTGTACTCGGGGTCCAAGGACGGCGTGCCGCTGTTCACGAAGCAAAAGGTTGTCCGGGTGGTTTCTTGAGCTGTCATTCTTCTCTCTGGGTCTCGGTCCCATTTTGTCCTCGGGCTTTGTTACATCATCACATCTTTTTTGAGCATTTTTCTGTTGTTCTTACCAATACCATATCCTGACATTTCGGATTCTGGGAAAGGGGTCGGCATACTTTATCTGGTTAAGCATTTTCTCTATCATCATCTACCTACCCGTTTTAAACAAATTTCTTGTCATTTCTTGACATCGATTATCACAATGTCTCCGCATCGGGTCACCGAACATGGCAGCGAGAGCGAGAACAGGAACGAGCTCGGTAGCGAGGCGGCCATGGGTCGTGATTCAACATCGGCTTCGGCTCCGGCGCGGCACTGGATCATGGGCAGCGAGGCGTTCAACGCCAGGATGAAACACCACGACGGCATCAAGGCCCTGTGGGAGACCAAGTGGAAGTTCCCTGTAAGTTTTAAATACACATGTCGAGACACGCATGGACGTAGGAATACAAGAAAGAGAGAACTGTTTTGTTAATGTGTGGCCCTCATCCGTATCTCGCACAGTGCACCAAGAGCCTCTACCCTTTCCACGACGGCAAGTACGAGGACTTTCTCCCCGTGTTTGAGGAGCTGATCGAGGTAAATCCCGCCCTCCGCGCCTCTATAAACCAACCTTAACAAAAACCAAAATCTCACACCCCTCCCCCCCTATTTTCCTTTCCCCTGAATCCAGAAAAACATCTCCGACGGCACCTCGCCGGCCTACACGCGGGCGTTTTTTCCCGCCGCAGAGTCACTCACGGCGCAGGGCGACGCGGCGCTCGCGGCCGGCCACGACGCCGCCGCCAGCGCCCTGTACCTGCGGGCGTGCGCCGTGTACCGCATCGCGCGCTTTCCGTACATCACAGCCTACCCGTCCGTCAGCTGTGCGGTCAAGTGGTCGGCGTGGGAGGCGCAGAAGGCGGCGTACATGAAAGCCGCGCGCACGTGGGCGGTGCCGGTGGACGAGGTGGCGGTGCCGTTCGCGCACGCCAGCGGGCGCGACCGGACAGACGCCGGGATCCCCGTGTACGTGCGGGCGCCTCCGACTGACCAGAAATCGCCTGCCGTGATCCTCATGACGGGGCTCGACGGCTACCGGCCCGACAACACGGTGCGGTGCGACGAGTTCCTCGCGCGCGGCTGGGCATCCGTCGTTGTCGAGATCCCCGGGACGGCCGACTGTCCCGGCGACCCGGCCGACCCCGCCAGCCCCGACCGCCTGTGGACAAGTCTGCTGCGGTGGATGGCGGCCGACGGCCGCTTCGACATGCGCCGCGTCATGGTGTGGGGCCTGAGCTCGGGCGGCTACTATGCCGTGCGCGCGGCGCACACGCACCGCGCCCAGCTCGCGGGGTGCGTGGCCCAGGGCGCGGGCGTGCATTATTTCTATGACCGCGACTGGCTGGACAAGGCTGACGGGCATGAGTATCCTTTCCAGTGAGTTCTTTTCTCTCTGTTGTTTCCGACCTGCGTCCACGAAACCGAGACGAAGAGAAGACGGAGGGTGTATGTATCTATCTGTGCTGACGCGGGATGAACAGGTTGACGCCCGCCATGGCCATGAAGCACGGCTACGCTTCCGCCGACGAGTACAAGGCGGGTGTGCAGAAGAAGTTCTCGCTCCTCGAGACGGGCATCGTCCACCAGCCGTCGACGCGGCTGATGCTGGTTAACGTGAGTCTGTCCCACTCTGACCCCCTCCCCCTGGCCCAGTCATCACGTCTCTGCCGTTACACGGGGAGAAGAAAAGGGGGCTAATAGCAAACAACCTCACCAGGGCACCCTGGACGGCCTCATGCCAATCGAGGATTCGATGCTGCTGTTCGAGCACGGCTCGCCCAAGGAGGCGCGCTTCTTCACGGGCGCTCTGCATATGGGGTACCCGCTCGCCAACGGATCTGTGTATCCGTGGATGGAGAGCGTCATGGACTCTGTGAAATGAGCTAGCTGCTTACGAGGGGGACTGTCGCCAGCATGTCAAAGGGGCCAAAATACCATCTGCGGTGTCTGACTTGTACCTTTTTAATCTGTGCTGGGATGCGAATAGTTCCGTCCACTGTATTTCTCACATAATCCTAGGTACGTAGCTTGGCTGGGTGTTGTTCTACGCAACACGGAAAATAAACCTTGCTGTTTCAAAATAAGAAGTCCGTCAACGCCCCATCCACCCGCCGTCGACCACCAGGACGTGGCCGCTCACGTACGCGCTGGCCCTGCTGACCAGGTACACCACCGTGCCCTTGAAGTCGTCCGGGCTTCCCCACTACAGCGGAGCAAAGCCAGCGGACGTCAGCGCCATCTACTACAGAAGAAGCATACGCAATAGAAAGATTTCACTTACCCTCCCCGCGGGGATGCGGGCGCTGATGCTGGCCAGGCGGGCGGGATCGTTGAGCAGGGCCGTGTTCATGTCGGTGTCGATGTAGCCCGGGGCGACGGCGTTGACGGTGACGCCGCGGGCGGTCCACTCGTTGGCAAAGCTCTTGGTAAGCTGGCCGACGGCGCCCTTGGACGCGGCGTAGGCGGGCACCGTCAGGCCGCCCTGGAAGGTCAGCAGCGAGGCGAAGTTGACGATGGACCCGCGGCGGCCCGTCACGGGCGACGCGTCGAGCGTCAGCATGTGGGCGCCCACGTCGCGACAGAGCGCGAAGACGCTGTTGAGGTTGACTTGGATGACCTTGGTTGGGGGGGGGGGGGGTGGGTTAGTGGCGGTTTCGTTGTAAATAAAAGGGAGAAATGAAAAAAAAGGGGGGAATGAAGAAAAGGGGGGTGGGGGCGAGGGCCACCTCGTTAAAGTCGGAGTCGGGAAACGATTCGCAGGGGTGTCGGCGCTGGATGCCGGCACAGTTGACCAGAATCCGGAGCTCATGGCCGTCGGCGAGGATCTTGGGCACTAGCTTGGCCACGTCGGCTGCCGAGCTCAGGTCTGCCGTGTAGATGGTGGCCTTGCGACCGAGGGCCCGGACGGCCTCGAGGGTGGCCGTCGACGTCTCGTCTCTCTTTTTCTGGCGTGTCAGCCGTGGCGCCCAGGTGGCAGCTGGGGCAAGAATTCATGGGAACTGCTTTCACCTGGACCAAGATGAGATCTGCGCCGGCCTCGGCGAGGGCGACGGCGACGGCTTGGCCAATGCCCCGGGTGCCGCCCGTGACGACGGCAGTGTGGCCCTCGAGCGAGAACATGTCGGCGACGGACGGCGCCATGCTGGGCGAGTGGCTGGGAGATCTGGGAATAGAAATATGATTCAACGGCTAACACGGAGCCAGGTAGGTACTTGGTCAATTATAGGAAACCTATTTTGGACAGTTGAAGATTGGAGGGAGCTTCATATAAGATGGACCGAGAGACTCTGAATCGCAGCTGGAAAGGCACCGGTCAGGGTCCTGTCTGTAGTGTAACTGCGTAGCAACTGCGGGCCCTGAAGCGTCCAAGTCCGGTTCCGCCTTTTGCTTTCTTTCCATTGCATGTCGGATCCATGGGCCGGCACTTCAATCATGCAGCTGCTCGATCCCTCCATATGCCCAATTGGAGCTGTTCGGGGCCGTTTCCAACGAGAACCCGCTCCAGCAGAAGGTAGTTTACAACCATGGCCGCTTTTGTTTGGTTTCGGCGTGACCCTGTCAGGCTCAGACGCGCCCTGTAAATGAAATGCGCTACTGTACAGTACATACACATTCCGTAGCACTCAGGGATACCCCTACACAAGGTGGGGAAGGTTACCCGAGTTGGGGTAGGAGGGGTGGGGAAGGAGGTTAAGTTCTCCTCCACTCGTTCCTGCCTCGAACACTCACGCGGGGAGGGCAGCGGAGCTTAGTCGCGAGTTCCCCACGCCTGCCATGGTTTGTCATGATTTGATTGTGCGGAATAGAAAGGCGCCTGTTTGGGAGATGACCTCGTCGCAGAGATTTGCCCCATTCAGATGATGAAATGCTGTGTGGTTGCAGCATGCCGCCCCGTCTCGCGATCATCCACTTTTCCGTCCCACCCCCCTGAACCGTCTGGCCTGGACTTGGGCCGTTCTCCTCCATCTTGGGGCTCGGCTTTTGGAGAGATACGACTGTCTTTTTATTTGGATTTCGTCTTGGATTTCGTCTTGTTGTTTCTCTTGATGTTGCTAGGTGAATTGCTGTCGAGACAACCTATATGAATCACCACTGCCGCCAATAGCGGTTTCGGCAACTACAACCCCAGTAAGTGCCTGACCTGCCTGTTGTTCTCCACCCCACTTACACATCCATTGGCGGTATGTGTACTGTATGAAATGGCTTCAGTCTCACTCTCGGGCCGGACTTGCCATTTGTGCTCCTCAGATTTGAGCCCAACTCAACCTTCCTCTTTCATCCTCCACATCCAACTGTCGCCCGCATTCGCTTCTGGCCAACCACAACCTCAGGCAAGCTGCCCACTTTGTAGATAATTTTTAGCGTTGAGCAACACATCGTTGCCCCTAACTCGACCTCGCTTGCAGCCGACGGCAATATTCGGCGCATCGACACAAGGAGCGAGTAAAGCGAACGGGAGTCATGGCAAGTCATGTCCTGGCAAGCAATACCCTGCCGAGCACCAAGGTCGTGGCAAGCACCAAGGTCGTCGCGTCGGTGCTCCATGGACCCAAAGACTTGAGAAAGGTGAGCCAAGGTCTCTTCACAAAAAAGGAAGAATAAAAGAACAGTATAGGAGGAAACTGACTGGCCGCTTCCGTATCAACAGGAGGAGCGAGACTTGGGCCCGCCAGGCCCCGGAGAGCTCCAGGTAGTCATCCATGCGACGGGGCTGTGCGGATCCGATCTGCACTACTACAACCACTTCCGCAATGGCGACATCTTGGTGCGGGAGCCCCTGACGCTCGGCCACGAGTCGTTCGGCATCGTTGTCGCCATGCACCCCGATCTCGACACCCCGACCGCCATGTTCCAGCTCGGCGACCGCGTCGCCCTCGAAGTCGGCCAGCCCTGCCAAAAGTGCCGGTGCTGCAAGTCGGGGCGCTATAACATCTGCGCCAACATGGTCTTCCGCAGTTCGGCACGCTCCTTCCCCCACGCCCAGGGCACCCTCCAGCACGCCATCAACCACCCGGCCATATACTGCCACAAGTATGCATATTTCTCTCATGGCTGCCCCCGAGCTCCCCTCGAAGGAGCCATCTGTCGTTCTGACCACATTTTATCAACCTCAGACTGCCCCTCCATGTCTCATATAAGCTGGGCGCCCTAGTCGAGCCTTTATCCGTGGCGCTCCACGCAGTGGATCGAGCCAATCTTAGCCCCCGCGAGGCGGTGCTGGTGTTTGGCGCGGGCCCGGTGGGCCTGCTATGCGCGGCAGTGGCCAAGGCGACGACACTAGCTACTAAGGTAATCATGGCGGACATCCAGGCGGAGCGGGTCAAGTTCGCAATTGAGAACGGATTCGCCGACGACGGCATCGTGGTTCCGGCGGGTGGGCCAGGCGGTCTTGAAGACGTCCAGGTGCGCCTCGCCTTCTCCAAGTATGTCGCCGACATTGTCAAGGAAAGCAGCATCTTTGTTCAAGATTACGATGACGATGAAGACGACGGGCCCAGCGGCATCACTGCCACCTTTGAGTGTACCGGGGTCGAATCTTGTATGCAGGCTGCCATTAATGTGAGTGCTTCCAACCTAGCTGCCCCTTTTCGAAACCCATCTGTAAAACCACACGAAACCAAAACACTGACGACAGGACACTGTGACAACAGGCGACGGAGGCCGGCGGCAGGATTATGATCATCGGCATGGGCAACCCGATTCAAACACTGCCAATCGGAACAGCGGCGCTGCGTGAGGTTGACTTCATCGGCGTGTTCCGGTACCGGGAAGGCGTTTACGCGCGGGCCATTGAGCTGTTGGCAAGCAACAACCCGGACCTGCCGAACCTGGAGCGCATCGTGACGCACCAATTCTGCGGGATGGACAACGTACCCGCCGCCTTCGAGATGGCGGGCCGCGTTAAGGACGACGATGGAAGACTCGTGCTCAAGGTAGTTGTTAAGACTTAGTGAGTTGCTAATCGTTGGGTATTCTTTCAGTCGTATTGTCCTCTCGCCCCCCTCTCTCAAACACGCAGTTGAGGAAAAGGTGTTTTTGGTGGCGTGGCTGGATACCTGAGTTGGCGGAGCGAGAGGTATACTAGGTAGCTAAGGGCTACCTGGAAAGAGGAGGGCTTAATCGTTTACCGTGGCATCGTCCAGCTTTCACTGGGAAAAGACAGTGTGGTGTCGTCGTCAAGCTTTAGCGTTTTCTAAAGGAGGTAGAGATAGCGATAGAACTAGGATATCTAGTTGACTGGCTTCCTGATATGCTTTCGCTACTACTAGGTACTTTTAGTATTACCTCTTATTAATAGACGAAAAAGAAAAGGAAACATGGGAGCTACATACATCAGACTAAAACCAATCACTTTCCCATGAGTTGCTATGGTCCAATCGCAGTACTCACCTGCCTCTCCAACAATGGAAACAGGGGTAAGGTAAAGAGAGAAAAAAGCAACAGAGAGTACCTAGCTTGCCGGGAGAGATATCAGCAGGTAGTGTACAAACCGGGGGTGATGGGATATACGTCGTGGGTTCTAGGATCCAGGCAAGGTAAGGTTATCATACCTCTAGACTTTTACAACTTGATGTGGAGGTGCAAAGGAGAATACAGCCAATATAGACAAGGACAGTTTTCTACTATCTCTTGAGTTCAAGAAAAGAGGGAGGGGGGGAGGGAGGGGGGATGCTGTTCCCCTAGTATATGTGTCTAAGAACGGATAGTTCAGCTCGCGTCTGCTCTCGGGCAGCAAGGAGATTGACGTGGCAGAGCGAAGAAAACTCCTGTATACTCCCTTCTCTCACCTTGCGTTGCTATGGCGTTGACGAGGCGGGTGCGTGCGGTGCTGCTATGCGTAGTCTAAGAGACATGCTGTTTCCCGGAAGCTGTGAGCTGGTGTGTCTTTTCAAGATCAAGCAGCGGCACCGACAGCAGCTTCTGGAATTGGCTGAGGAAGCAATTCCAACTTCGATGTCGTCTTTTCCCAGCCGTTTCGCTCCCGAAGAGAAGTGTGAAGAAAGAGAAGTCAGATTGGGCTTTGCACTGCCCAAGTGGCGGTGAGGCGGTCGGGCCGCTCTCAAGCTCTGGTGGCTGCAGCCGGTGAGATATTGGAAGCTGCTGGTTCCCTTGGACGAGAAAGGGTCAGGAAAGTCGAGGCTCTACTGCTGCTGTCGACACTCACTTGCGCTCTCACGCCTCGGCCGCGGCGGCAGTCCCCAGCCCTGCCAGCGATTCCGATTGGAGCAAACTCAGGCTGCACACAGGCTTCTTTCCGCACACAGGCGTCTTTCCGCACTTTGCCCTTTTTTCTCTTTCCTTATTTTTACACTTTTAGAGTCCCAAGGGGTCAACCAGGTTGACCCCGGACGCGGGACAAGGGGTGCATAAAAAGCAACATGTCTGCCCAACGTGTCCCGTAGGGATTTGTTTCCTGGCAACCACGACTACCCGGCACCGAGCCCTCAGGATCCAAAACACAGCACGACCAGACGAGGATACACAGCTGCGCCCAGCGGCATTTTCCGGGTTTTGGAAATCTCCGTGTCCAGGGCAAGGCGGCGAATTGCGACATAGGAACGGTCCGAATACGCTCGGCATATAGCCGAGGCTGAGGATTCGGGGCAAGAACGGGCCTCGCAGGGAGGTATAGCTTACCGACTGGGTGGTCGACCAGCTCGCAGCTGCGATGAATTGAGAAGCCGTCTGGGATAGCAGAGAGTTTTGGTGCCAAGGGCTCTGGCTGAATGAGTTTATGCATTAGACAATGACAAATACCCATTGAACAGCAAGGCGAAACAAGGCTGGGGCCCGGCGCATAGCCAGGTCTGGCTTCCGGCCCCAGAGACCGACGGCTAGGTTATGGCGAATAGTGTCCATCGACAACATGGTGGTGCTATGTTGCGATTCTTTTCAGTTCGCTAGCAACCAAGTCTGACGCACGGGAAGCTGGGCAGCATGCGCGTATATTGCAGATGCTGATAGAGCCGCGCCTGTATCGGCGAGTTGGTATATGGCCTAGCGGAAAAGGGGCAACGGGTAAGGGCCTCTCCTGAGGTTGAAAGCCGGATCTCGGTCAAAGCAATTAGGAAAAAGATTTGGGCCTCTTAACACTGAGCTGTCGCACTACGAGCCGATGGCGCCGATGGCTTGTAATGTCGCGCCACATGTGAGGCCATGACAGGTTGTTTTGCGTGATGGTGTGTCAACAAGTTCAAACAGAAGACAAAGTGCAAGGCGCCGGGCTTGCGGGGTGGCCTAGGTGGGCGGCATGGTGGTGTGGTTGCTAGTAATGTGTGAAGCCATACGCAACTTTGAACACCAGTCGGGGGTAGCCTGTTTCAAGGTAGTATGTTTTCCAAAAGGGGGAAATGGAATTTGCACATCCTTGTGCCGCACCCACACTCTCGGAATGGAGAAATTGATTACCTGATTTGGTGGCGTCACCCACCTGAGAGCTCGGGAGTGCAACCTAGAGAGAAGGCCGAAAACAAGGCAGAAAATTACAGAATTTCGCCCCGTTTGCTCGTCCAAACCCTCATGAGACACAATAGTGATTCAGGGTGGCGCTAGAAGCGTGGGTGCGTAGAAGTCTTGAGGGGAATGTGTTTGCATTTTGCGCAAATTATTGGATAAAGAACGCGAGTATCGGCATAGCCGGTGTTGGTGTCCAAAGGGGTTACTCGGTGCTCTTTAAGTGTAAACTACAGCCACGGAGGCCGCGGCCACAGCCTCGTCAGCACAGCTGCTGCACGAACAAGACGAGGCATCTGCTCCGCGATGAGGTCTACCTCAGGCCCGACCTCGTCGTCCGAGAATCGCCCCCACCGCGACGTGCGCGATGCTTTGAGCTAGAGACACCCTTTCACCTCTCCCTCGTAACCTCGTGACTGCCTTGTCTCTTCTTCTTTCTGTATTAAGAACGCTGGCCAGCAGCTCAACTTGGCAGCCGCGTCTGCCTTATCCTGGTCCTCACCACCTTTCATGTTTCCCAAGTTGCGCCCGCTATGCACACTTGCAGTAGAATAATTTCATCCTAATTCGCACCTGTCCGTTCTGCACGCCATATCCCGGGCGACTTCCTTAAAGGCGGTAGATGGGGCCAAGACTTCAGGGATTGCCTCGCTTACCTGCCAGAAGTAGCCTCGAAGGCAGGTACGGTCAAATACCCTCCAGGACTTTTCTGTATGTCGGGAGGCAACTCTGCAGCCTCAACTCGATTCTCTACCACCAAAAAGCCAATGCTAACCGACCTCTCAGCTTCTGCTGCTGCCAAGAGCCTCGTCCTCTGCCCTCGCCCTTTGCCCTCTGCTCTCTGCCCTCTGCCCTCTGCAATTGCGGGAGTAGGTATATATCTCCATACCTCAGCATCTGCTTCATCGAAATTTTCAGCTCGCAGGACTAGTCCGGACCCATCGTCGGACCTCTAGACCAAAAGGCTTCCAGCTGTTCAGCTAGGACAGCGAACGCATTCCAAGCCTTCTCGTGCCCATCTGTGATGCAAGTCGCCTCCCGACGAGCTCTGTCGTGAACGGGGGCCCAGAACTGCTTGGACAAGGTATCTACCTAACCTCAGCCGGCACTATACGCCGCACTCAGCAAAGACGACTTGGTATTGTCGTCGACGTGGTTGACGCAAGTTTAGGAGGACAAGTGGCTCCAACCCCTGTGACAATGACTGCCACAGACGGCTTGGCAGCATGGAATACGTTTAATCCTGCCCTGCACTCAAGAGGTCTGCTTTCTCTGCCGATTCCCCCCGAGACAAGAGAAGACGGCTTGCTGATGTGTCGCTCTCTCTCTGACAGAGGACACGGGAGAACCACCCGGCGGCGCAAAGCCCGAGGAAACCACCGAGTCGTCTTCATCCGTCCCGCGTTCCGACAAACGCGAGGATGTTGTAATTAAAAATGACTCCCAGATCCGCATCAACACCAACTCCATCAGACCTGTTCAGCCGCTACCTCCGGGAACCTCAAGCGGAAAGTGGACCTGGAGCTCGAGAAGCCAAGACTACACTCAACTTCGAGGTATTGTGCAAGAATCCTATCAGAATTGCAACAACATGGTCTGGCTAACATGTGCCCAGACGGCAAAACCGTCTACTACACAGACTTCCAGAAACCTGACAAAAACCTAGCAGGCCCTTCTAGCTACTACAAAGCTAGCGGGAGTGAGTCAGACGTCGCGTCTGAGGATGCACAGCTAAGCAACAATATCCCTCGCCCTACCTTTGGGAGCGAGGTCGACAGTAGTTTCGCACCCGAGTCGGGCAGTGACGCAACTTCCATCTCCAGGCGAGGTTCCACAAGCAGCTCAGAAGGCAGCGACATTGCGCCCCCCCCAAAGCCTTGGGAAGAACCCCGGGACGAAGGTATGCCCATTACCCAGTGAGAATTCGTCTCTATGCTAAAGCATTTCACCGTAAAGGCTTCAGGACTGTCGACAAGCCGAAGCGCTTCTTCTCGGTGGGGCGCATTTTCAAGACGGCGTGGTTCGAACCGGGCAACGAGGACACGCCGGCGCGGCAGCCCGATGTGGAGTGGACCGAGAGGTGCGATCCGTACTTTGGGGAGCGACCGTACGCCAAGTTCCGGTGGTTCGTGGTCGTGCGCAAGCGGCTGCACCACTCGCTGTGCCTAAACATCACGTCCTTCGGCGGCCAGGGGAAGCAGAAGATGAGCAAGGGCCGGCCCATGGACTACGTCGTGCTGCACTCGGCCGAGATCCCCCCGCCAGAGCCCTACGAAGAGGAGGGCATCTCGCGCGACCCCATCGCCATCATTATCGAAGACGAGGAGCAGTACATCTCGCCCCTCGCCCGCCTCGACTGCGGCCGTATCTACACGGTCGAGGACAACCTACAGGTCATGAAGATTGGCCGCGTCCACCCAGACTGCCTGCCTCGCCTCGAAGAGTACTTTCGGGAGAGCGTGCTTTAGGAAACGTGATTCCCCGAGATTCCAGATAGACTCTAGCAGTGTCAGTTTTACTCATCATCATAAGAATGGCCCGAGATTATTACTGATATTCTAGAGACGGGAATAAAAAAGCCCTGTCTGCTTACATATCGGGTTTCCTCGTCAAACTCGTGTTAGCCCCCAGTGGAGAGTGGGTAGAGATTTTTGACAGTCCAGAACAGACTTTATCTTCATTAATTACAATGAGAGATATATTTCTGTTTCCCCTCTGAGCATGTTTTGGATACGGATGCATGCTCTAGTTCAGTTTAGTTCAGTTTACGGTAAAATCCCTCTTTCCCCTCCCCTCCTCACCCCGTTCTTTCTTTCTGTGTCCGTATGTCTGTCTGTACCTATATATGTGTGTGTTTATGTGACGAGTTATCATTCCCTATCCTTACCTGCTTGAATAGGTACCTGAGGTATCCTTTGGTGTGTATTTAATACTTACTTGGTTACATGCCATAATAGGAGAGAGAGAGAGAGAGAGAGAGAGAAAGAGAGAGAGAGAGAGAGTGCGTGTGTGTGGCAAGCCTTTTTGTCCTTTCTGGAAACTGTGTAAGTTGGCGCGAAGGCGCGGTGACGTTACTATAAAGATGCCTAGTAGTAGCGTATGTATTCGCGATAGCGAGAGGAGGGAGGGGGGCGTGTTTTGCTTTAGTGCTACGAGGAACATGGCCATTCGTGGTCGAACTGTTTATCTTTTCTTTGTTTTTTCCCTTGGCCACCACAGGGGTATGAAGCAAGCATAACAAGACATCGGCTAGGCTACGTGCTTGCACGATAACAGTGTCTCTGCTTGTATACCGGGGTATTGACATGGAAATGTCCTTGTAGGTACAGCTTACGGTGCCGCGACCCAGCCGTCGACTAGACACAATGTAGTTGACTCTGTCATGGGAACAGAAGTCCCGCAGCCTCGTGGCGGACTGGATGTACGGTAGGGTTATGGGGAAATGGTATATCATTGACGCAGCTTGACATCTGTCCATAAGTACATTACAGACAAGAAACTCTTTCCGTGTTTCTGGTCCTTGGTATTTAACCAAGGTACCTGCTTGGGACCTGTACATCTTAATAGCCGTGTGGCCCCTATCGAAACTATCGACGCCGAGTAGTGAGAGCCCAACTCTCAGCAAAGCCACTACAACCGTCGACGGGCCATGGAAGAAGCCGGGTAGTGCCCGCATAACAGACGAGAGGGCATAACAATATACCCGACCCGAAGCTTGCAGATCCTACCTCCTGAATGCCAAAGTACGTAGGTATGTACACCAAAAGCACCTAGGAGGCAGGGTCAAACACCACGACGAGGCTGGGCCGTCTTTCTCGCCAGCTCCAGGCTCTCCCCTAAAGCCAAGCCGCGACGTCGCCAACAGCATGGGATTTGGCCAGCCAAGCACAGCGCCGACTTCGGTATTCCCCGTCCCACGACAGCAGCTGGGCTGACTGCGTAATCTGGCGCTACCTGGCGAATAAGACCACGATGGAAGTTTGGCCGACGTATATGGTTGGTTGGGCAGGGTGGCCGACTGCTGTCTGCCGCGCTTGGCTCAAGCTTGTGGTCTGGCCTTGCTTGTAGAAAGAAGAGGTGTAGCACAGAACTCTGACAGGCTGTAGGTGGTGAGACAGCCAGGATATGTGTGACCTGGATGCTACCATCAGGAGGTGTCATGTTAGTTGCTGTCATCCGCTCAGTTCAAAAATCTAAACTAAGTAAGTGGCCTGCCTACGGTGCGATGCAAACGCCGGGGGGGGGGCTCTTGATAGGGATTGGTGACAAAAAAAAGGAGTCATGTGGTCTTGTGGGAATGCACGCTTCATTGGCGTAAAAAAAAGGTAGCGAACGGTTTCCCCTCGGTAGATAGTAGGGGCAGTTGGTGGTGTATTGCGGAGCGAGCGAGCATGTGGCGATGTGTGATTGGGAGCAACTGGACCCAGCCATGGGCCTGTTGCTCTGCACTACTATGTATGCATGGCCGTTCTTTGTTTCTCTCTGCAAGCACCCCCTTGAGGACCGGAACGTGTCGAGGGAGCTATTCGCTGTTTCTCTCTGCCGTGTTCAAAAGTCCTGGATGCCCGTCTCACCCGTCAGAATCCTCTCGACCGGCCGTCGGTCGTGGGCGCCAGCACCGCTGCTGCTATTGCTACTAGCAGCGGGCGAGTCGCTGGCCCAGCTGGGGTCCTCCTCATCGAACCAGGCGTCCTCCTGCTCGGCGCGCTCTAGCACGTCGTACTCGTCGTCGCCGTCGATGCGGGCGTACTCGAAGTCGTCGTCGCCGCCGCGGATGAAGCGGTCGCGCAGGTACGCCTCCCACTGCTGCCGCCCGCCCGCCCGCGTCCTCGGCGGCGCCGCCATCTCCGTCTCCAGGCTGCGGAAGGCCGTGAAAGCGTGCGTCGTTGTGTTTTCTGCCACGGACGTAGCTTGGAAGGCGACTCCCTGCGGGTCCTGAGGAGCGGAAAACATGTCCACGTCTCCGTCACCGTCTCTTCCTCGGCCCACAGCTCCGTCCGCCTCCCCCTTCTGCTCCTCAGGAGGCGACCCCGGCGTCTCGAAATCGGGGTCCGCAGGCCCAAGCCGAGACTCCTCGAGCTTGGCGAGGCGCTCTTCGCCGCGCAGCAGCGACCCTTCAAGCACGCGCGCGTAGCCCTTGGCGCGGCCCTCGGCCTCTCGCTCGGCGGGCGTCTGGAACCGCCGCACCAAGAAGTCATAGAGCAGCGGGTCTTGTGGTGTGTGTGCGTGTCAGCCAAAACGAACCTGCGAGCCTTCCTACAAGCGAGAAGAGGGAGAACGTACCGGCAAGCTCGTGGTCGGTCGAGTTGAAATAGTCTGGGTTGCGTAGGAGGTACTCGGCGCGACGGTTCTGCACGCGGATACGTGCCGACTGCGATGGCGACCGCGGGGGCCGTCGCCGAGGGGCTGAGAGCATGTCCAGACTCGTGGGCGGAGAGTCGAAACTAGGCATTGTCCAGGGCCTGGCCTGGCCTGGGCAAGGTGAGCCTGTGAGCTTGGAGTCTGATAGTGAGGCACTAGGTAAAGTACGGGTCTGGTTGCAGCTGGGCCTTCGGTCTTTATTCTTGTCTTCTTTCTGTTTGACTGGTGCTCCAAAAGCTGGAGCGTTGCGCGCGGTATAGATGGCGGTGGCAATCTCTTTCTGGTTATTTTACGCAGAGATAAATCACTTCCAGTTGGCAACGGGGAATTGGAGTTGGTGACAACCGACCGGGCTGACCGTGAGAAACGGATCTTTACAACCTAACCCGAGGCAGGCGGCATAGGTAAGGTAGCCCGCTGTGCAAGGCCCCTAACAGACTTGAAGAGTGCTGTAATTATAGTGGGCTATAAATTTTTCTAGGTCACCTCGGAACTTATCCGTAGGTACCCTAGGTTCTTTCATGTAGAGACTTGGGTTCGTCAGGGGAAGCAACCACCTCACCTGCTTGTCCATGGACTTCACTGCCGTAGGGGACCTTCCGTCCAGTTGAATAAATTCCCAGTCAAGCATGAAATACGTATGGGCATACATTCCGATGTACCAACCGAGCAAGCAAGGCACGCCACCAGTAGGCCATTACGACCTAAATAGTCGCACATGATAATCATCAGTTCTAGAAGGAGAAAGGGGACGGGGTGCATCGGCTACTGGAGTGTGCTTTTCAGGGGTGTCAACATGAAATTCCATTTGAGGGCATATACGGAGTATATCAAGTCTCAATTGACGCCCGGCAAGCAGCATTCCTACCATCCCTTTGAGTTGAAAGCCTGATTGCTGGTGCTTCATGGACTATCTCTCACTAGGCCGATGGTCCTTTGGTCTCGAACCTAGCAGTTAACCCTGCCAATTTATTGGAGAGGGCTTCGTTCGTCAGGTCGAACCAGGCATGTCAGTTGTTTGTCACTGTGAACCTATTTTCTGCCCTCTAAGGCTGTAGTCAAAACGTTCAACACAAAACAACGGACTACGGCTCTGTTCACGGTTTGACCCCCTCATCCTGAAATGGTAAGCCACCTCACTCCCGAATATAATATATAATAGAGAACATGAGTAATAGCAATAACGCATGGCTGCCAGCACGTATCCTGAAACACGGGAGCAAAGACCAGATATCGTCTAGTATCGGAGAGGTAAGGTAGGTAGGGTGCGTAGAATGTCGGGAGCCGTGAGGGGATGAGAACCCACAAAACCGCAGAGAGGCTAACGAGTCAAAGGAGCAGCGATGCCGTACCCATCTGCAGGCTCTTGCAGATGCTGGTGGGCTGGCGAATGGGATGCTAGGGAGCTTGGCTTTACGGCGGCGTGTACACAGGCTGCTTGGAGACCCCGCCGACAATGGGCGAAGGGGAGCTGAGCTCTGGACGGCAACGGATCTCAGATTCCAAGGGCAATCGGAATCCCGCCAAGCCTTGCTTATCGAGTCGAGAGTTGCCCATGCAACGCTGGAAGCTCGCTCACCTCGTGGATGTCCCGTCTGTCTGTTGGAGTGCGTGCATTGGAAGCTTGTGGAAGAGGCGGAATCGCCCTATACAACCTACGTTACGGTAGCAAAATTCAATTTGATACCACAAGGCACCTGGTCCCTCTACCTAGTGTAAAACATAAAGGCCACCGGCGTCGGCAAGTCGATTCAACATCATCACCAACCACAGACGAGAAGAACAAGCAGGAAACGAGCCTTGACGCCCGTCCTGGAGACACCAACCACAAAGTTGATTCAGACTGACGTCTCGGGCCTCACAGCACCGCTGCGGCACGACAGCAGCCAGCCAGCCTGACTTGGGCGCCGGGCCCAGTGATGGGGGTGGGAACACTCCGGTCCAGACTACGGGCGAGGTTTCCACGGAGGAACTCGGGCGGTGTCCCGTCAATCGCGTCGAGCAAGAGCAACGACAACAGCGAGAGCCGTCCGGTATCAGAATGCACTGCCAATGACCCGCACCACCGCCCGCCGCTCTACGACCACAATGAAGGCGCGCTGCCAGCCGAGACGGGCGTCGATGCGGATGCAGGGCACAAAAGGGGAGCTGGAGCTGGAGCTGGAGATGAGCACAAGACAAGCCACGGCGGCGGCACTCGAGTATCTTCGCCATCGTCAAGACCAGCTACAAAACAAGTACAAGCACAGGCCAGCGGTCACGAACAAGCGAGGGACAGGGAGCCGAGAAACGAGGGCAAGAGACAGGAAATGCAGCGGCCTGGCAGTGGTAGGACCCCGACAACCATAAATATCAGGGACACAAGCGACCAAGAAGACAGCGACGCGGACGGCGTGGACAGCGAAGACGACGACAGCGACAACAACAGCCCTGTAACTATTAATGCAGGTGCTGCTGGCGCTGTGCAAAGAAACGGCAGCGACCACGCAAGCGCCAAGAATGCCACTAATAACCCTAACCACAGCAGTCTCGGGCCGCTGAAGCCAGATCTGCCGCTGAAGCCAGATCTGCCGCTGTCGCTGCCCCCTATGTTAGAGACCAGCCACCCACACCTGCCTGTCGCGTCTGTGCCTCGTAATGGCAACGCCTGTGACGCGTTTGATAGGAACGATCAGCGGGTCCCGACTGCCAAGCTTGCCAGTATTCACGAGCACGCCCACAGCGACGACCCAGCCGGCGACGACGGGCTCCCGCAGCCGTTTACCGCATCTTTAAATCCTCCTGCCGTCACTGCCGCCCCTTCAGTCTCAACTGCTGGGACGGAAAACGCGACTGGGCCTGCCGCGGCAGCTGCGATCTCCACAACCAGAGCCACCATAACCAGAGCCACCACAACCACAACCACAACCACTTCCAGCTCCTCGCACCAAGACCCGCACCTAAACACCGAACCCTACCTCGACCTCGACCCCAACCTCGACGTCGATGACAATTATGGTCACGGTCACGGCCATCATCATTCCACCCTGCGAAGAATTGCACTGAACGACCCGCAATCGCTCGACCCCGCAAGTCCCGGCGTCCCGCGGCTGGCCGACCGCTTCCCGCCGAGCCCCACGACGACCACGTCCAGGTCGAGGTCGGTGCGTGCCTCGTCGGCGTCGCCGGCTCGTCCCGAGGGCGACCATCGCCGGCAGAGCTTGCTGCCGAGCCGACAGTCGACCCTCATCCGGACCCTGCTGAGCGCCGCCCATGTTGATGATCTCGACCTTGACCCCGACAGCCTGGAAGCACTGCTGCCCCTCGATGCCAACATGGGTACTCGCAAGATATGGGTCAAGCGGCCCGGCTCCTCGGCCACTCTGGTCACCATCAATGGAGACGATCTGGTCGACGATGTTCGTGACATGATCCTGCGCAAATATTCCAACTCGCTCGGCCGCCAATTCGACTCGCCCGACCTGGCTCTGCGGATAGCACCCCGTGAGCAGCAGCGGCAGGAGAGATTGCTGGGCCCCGAGGAGCCCATGGCTCGCACCCTAGATGCCTACTTTCCCGGCGGTCAGACGGTCGACGAGGCCTTGATCATCGACGTCCCATCACGCCGTACCCCCCGGGCCTCTCCCCGCACCGGTCCCCCCCACGCCCAGCACATCACGTCCGCCTTTTACGACGACATCAGACCTGTCGAGGGAGGTACCGACTACTTCGGCCCCGGAGCTCTTGACCAACCCCCTGCCCCCGCCGCCCCCATTCAGCCCAACGGCGGCGTCTCGCACCCCCATACCATCGCGGTGCTGAACACGGGTCAGGTGCCTCAGATTCCTTCGCCCGGCGGTACGAGGACCCGCCAGTACCGGGACAGACCCGACCGCCCACGCCTAGGCAGGCAGCACACGTCGTCGCCCACGGTCGTTGTAGGCGTCAATTCCGCTGCTCATTCTTCAACCGCCACCTTGATTGCTCCGAACCAGGGGGCGCTGCTGGTCCATACTCTGTCAGGTCCTCGGACTCACTCGAACACGCCGCTGGACCAGCCTTCTGGCGGACAGGTGGCACCCCCTGCGCCGCCTCTGCCCACGCCGCCAGTTGCCGACCCGACTGCGGCCGACTCTGTCCCGTCCCAGGTCCCACGGACTGCCACTCCGCCCCCTCGGGTAGCATCTCCGCGACCATTGGCTGCCGTGAGACCCAAGAAGAAGAAGACGGCCGACCAGGCCACGCCCAGCCTCATGCTTAACGGTGGCGTGCCGCCGATCAATGTGCTAATTGTCGAAGACAATATTATTAATCTTCGTCTTCTGGAAGCATTTGTGAAGCGGCTCAAGGTGCGCTGGCAGACCGCTATGAACGGTCGCGAGGCTGTCACCAAGTGGCGCGCCGGCGGGTTCCATCTGGTGCTCATGGACATCCAGCTGCCCGTCATGAGCGGCCTCGAGGCTACCCGCGAGATTCGCCGGCTCGAGCGTATGAACTCGATCGGGGCCTTCTCTGTTAGTACCAGTGCTAAGGCCGCCGACGCTAACGGCGAGGCTACCGAGGAGGATTTGCTGCCAAACCGAGACATGTTCAAGAGTCCCGTCATCATCGTGGCCCTGACGGCTAGCTCGCTACAGAGCGACAGACACGAAGCATTGGCCGCCGGCTGCAATGACTTCTTGACCAAGGTATGTTGGCGGTCTATTTGGAATTTTCCAACCCGGCCATGCCCTTGCTGACAAGTCCACCTACAGCCCGTTACGTACGTGTGGCTTGAGAGGAAGGTCATGGAATGGGGCTGCATGCAAGCGCTGATTGACTTTGACGGCTGGCGTAAGTGGAAGTCGTTCTCACAAAAATCGGACGCTGCTGCCGCAGACGACGCCACGACATCGTCATTACCTTCAGTGGCAGGGACGACATCAGGGACTCCGGCAAGCAGCAAGAAGGCCAAGGCCAAGAAGAACCGGCTCTCGATAACGTCGTCCTCGGATGCCAATTGAACTGGCCTACAGACTCTGTGTCACATCCACGATCGACGGAGCTTTGTTTCTTCCTAAACCCCCTTTCACGATACGCAGCAAGTGGGCGGGGAGAGGAAGCTGTACCATGCCCTACCAGATATCATATGCACTGCCACAACCCAGGAACCGACGCGGTAGTTCTCTTCCTTCTGTTCGATTTTATGTCCCCAATACCTAGCTCGCCATGTTTTCTCTGTTCCTATAACTACTTCTGCATGGTTATTAATAATGGGTAACTGCCAAGATACGAAGTCGCAATGGTGCGACTGAGTAGAGGACATAAATAGGTACTCTACGCAGAATAGCTGACTACGGTTATGACGCTACGTGTGGATGGTATTAGGGAACGCTAATAGGCGACGCGTCTTACTCTGTTGTTTTATTTGTCTATCGGTCAACGGGATAAGGGGGAGTATACGAAGGGGCACACTTATTAGGCGGCTATAGCGTTGCTTTCTTGTTTGGGGTGTCGTTCTACTCCTGATATCCTATCTCTTCTACGTCTCATTTCGCAGCACAGGAGGATTTCAGGGCGATGGATGCTTATATTGGCAATAGCTAGCATATGGCGGCATATTTGTAATTACTGAGCTTGTAGAGCTTGCAGATATTGCTGGGGTTCCTGGTTTGCTGGTGTTTGGTGCCAGGAGACAGACGTACCTTGGGAGCCGAGGCCTACTGAAGTATGCCTTAGGTATAAGCGATATGATGAATCAGAATGGACTTAGTATACGAACCCGAGCCCTCGCAGTCTAGGTTATGATACCCCTTTACTGTGTTTATTGTATTTTTTAAGAGGTGTTGGACTGAGGAGGCATGTTTTGCCGGACTCCTCGAGTCTAGGGGAGCCCGATAGGGGGAAGGGGCAGTTGTGGTGGAGCGCCGCAATAGTGAGATAAGATAAGGTTTCGAGTATACATATAGGAGTTAGACTAAGTCCTGAGGGCAAGATGGTCAATCGAATTCTAGTCTAAAAACTAGCATATTATCAGGGGAAAATGATTCTTCTTGATGACGAGATAAAACAATTACAATCGTTCAACACGTGAATTGCAACTTGCTGGTCGTGTTCTCGTTGCTGGTGCTGCGAGTTCAGGCAACCCTAACCCTGTGTATATTTGTCGGCCCAGCTCAAGCAGCGACAGTGGGCGGGTTCTGGGGTGGGTCTAGAAACCAGCGACTTGGGCCTACTAGCCAAGAGAAAAAATTCAGCGAGCATTTAAACCTACAACCATCCACGCTCCCCTCACACAAACACCCTCACAATCGCAGAATGGCGCCACGGTTACGCAGCGGCGGCAATGGCCTCTCTCCGCTGCTCCTCACGTGCGTCGAGGGCTTGTCGCAGCGAGGGGGGAGTCGTCCGCTGGCAGGACTGACGGCCATAATCCAAAACCAAAGCCAACGCATAACAACACCCCGATCCTCGTCGCGCTCACCGCCATGCTCGGCACCCTTCTCCACGTCGGCTCCCTGCGAGCTCAATCGCGAGCAGCGCCGTATGTGGGCCTGGCTCAGAGGCCAAGGCAAGAAGTTCAAGACGGCGCCTGACCCCGACCAGCCCGGCCCCGACGGCGACACAGCACGCGGCAACGGCGGCGGGCCAAACTACGTGGGCAGCTTCGACGGCACCCAGGTCTTCAGAAACAACAAGCTCTTCAAGAGCGAGCCTGTGCTCTCCGAGAAGGCCCGCGATGCCATCTTCTCGGCCGTCGTCGAGGACCAGCTGCCCCTCAAGGCCGTCTCCCAGAAGTTCGGCGTCGACATGCGTCGCATCGCCGCCGTCGTCCGCATGAGGTCGATTGAGCGCAATTGGATCGCATCGGTTAGTTGCCTGTTCCCTTTCTCCCTCGCGTTCTCCGTCTTTCTGGCGTGAGACATCTTCCTGGCTGGCAGCGGGCTTCCCATTATGATGATTCAAATAAAAATTCGATTAGTCTTGAAGACATGCCCAATGGTTAAAAAATTTACGGCTTTACAAACCTTTCTGAATGGGGAAGCCCGGCTGTTTCTCTGCTGCTTCCAAACACGCAGAAGACGGAAGACAAATCAACCTCTACAAGAAATCTTGGCTGAAGCCTTTGGGCCAACAGAAGAAACCGCTCGCGAAACCCTACCAGAGAGCCGTCTTGGCCATGCTGCCCCAAGCCGACCTAAACCCGGGGGAGATGCCGTTCGAGCCCATCAACGACATCCACGTGCACATGGCGACGATGCAGCAGCTCTTCCACCCGACGTCCGAGTCGCGCCACTTTACACGCCGGGACGCGGCCAAGGCGTTTGGCGCGCACACCCTGCCGCCCGACCACAAGCTGCGCATCCCCGAGATGATCGACCTGGAGCGCAAGCTGGCCAGCGGCGTGCCGTCGGAGGAGGCGCACGACGAGTTCGTGGCCCAGACGGCCAGGACGGAGGCGTCGCGTGCGAAACGGCTCAAGGGACGACGCACTATGGCAGAGCTCAACAGAACGCGCGTCGCCACGGACCGCTTCGAGTTCCGCTTCGAGAACTTCAACTCGTCGGCCGTCGGCCGCACCGGCCGCGGCCGCACCGCCGTCGGCTGGCGCTACGGCGTGCCGTCGCACGACCGCAAGCCGGACCAGGTCAAGATTCCCACAAAGATGGAATAAACGTCTCCCGTCACCGGGAACGCCGGTTTCTGGAGCGTGGAGATGTGTATTTTTATTACGATGAAGCCGCGGCAGCAATCCCCCGGTTATATAATCCCGTGTGTCCCACGTCACAGTCTACTGATACAAGGGGAGAGGGCATGCGGCGGGGGAGCAGAGGGCGTCTGTTTATCTAAGCCCGCCAGGGGGATTATTTGCCTAGCATGGCCCAGCCTCGGTATTTCCTCTTCTGCGGAGGGTTTTATTTTTTCCCCCCCTTTTCTGTCAGCCAGACGCGGCAGCTGTATATATGTGTGTATACTAGCATTTTAGTACCCAGCAATGGCAGGCTCTGATTTTGTCCACATCTCTGTGCTCGTAGGGGGCTTGTCTTCCTACCTAGGGGGCTGTGTATGTTGATGTTGTGCTCGGTGGCAGGTCTGTGTAGGTATTGAGCATACTCTGCTCTACCTCTATAGGTAGGTGGGTAGGTAGATGTCGACTGCACCTCTGCCTGCCCGTATATGACTCTCTTTGAACTATTAGATACCTACCCACGTAGAACTACTCCTGCCTATAAGTCTAGGGAGTAACTTAGTAGTTATGGTAAGTACCTACTGGTCAGCCCCAACCGCTACCTGAGAAAAACAGGCAAGTCTAGCAAACATCGCCGAGATCTAATTAGGACACACACTTAGATAGGTAGGTAGGTAGGTAGGTAGGTAACGAAGGTACTGAAATACGCCGTGTCGAGGATATGAGTAACGGACCACCTCTGCCTAGGTAACTTTCCTTACCCTCGCTCCCTAGCTAGTCGCCTACTAGGAAAGTTAACATCAATGGGTCCTACCTACCTACCTACCACATAAGGCCCGCGGTGTAGCATAGCATAGCATAGACCCTCACTCCCGACATAAAGGGGAGAAAAGAAGAAAAAAAAGAACGCCGCGCCATCTGCTCTGGCCTACTCTGGCCTGCTCTGGCCTGCTCTGGCCTGCTCTGGCCTGCTCTGGCCTGCTCTGGCCTGCTCTGGCCTGCTCTGGCCTGCTCTGGCCTGCTCTGGCCTGCTCTGGCCTGCTCTGGCCTGCTCTGGCCTGCTCTGGCCTGCTCTGGCCTGCTCTGCTCCGCTCCGCTCTGCTTTGCCTGTTCGTGTAGGCTAGGTACTCTACACGGTCGTAGCCACGACGTGCACCGGCACCGGCACCTGTACCTGCACCTGCCTGGTCGCGAAGATACCAGGCGGCGACGGCGACGGCGAAGTCGTCGCCCCTGTGCCCGTGCCCATGCCTGTCCCCGTGGCCGCGGCAGCCGTCTCAGGGCCGGAGCCGTCTGATCCACCATCACCTTCTTCGCCACTGACACCATTGACCTTACCATTGGCCTCGCGAACCTGCTGCTGCCTCTCCAACTCACGCTCCAGCGCCAGGGCCTGCGCGCGCCAGTCCGTCGGCTGCTGCTGCTGCTGCTGCTGGTTGGTATCAATGTTGACGATGAAGTTGCGGCGGACCTGCTCGACCGCCGCAGCCGGGACCCCGCAGTGGGCCGTCACGTACGTCTCGACGGAGCCGTACGTAGCACGCAGCGTGGCGAGGGTGGCGAGCATGTTTTCTTTTCTGTTTTGTCCAAAGGAAGGGGTTAGGTTAGTTTCGTGCGCTGTGAGGGATAGGGGATAGAGGGAGGTTGAACGGGAAGACAGGAAGGGGAACGAACGGGAGAGGAGAGAAGGAGGGAAGTGGGTGCTGCTGCCGGTTGCTCTTGGAGGCCTGTCTGCGAGCCCGGGAGGTTGCATGGAATGGCAGCGGTCGGTCAGGGACTCGGGGCACATTTCTCTTTCTTCGTCTTCCGCTTGATCCGCCTCGTCAAGCTTTGCGTCTTGTGTATATACTCATGTGCACCGTCTCCCAATGCCTTCACCGAGCATCTCCATCCATCCATCCGAGACGAGAGGCAGACAAGACAGAGAGGAAAAAGAAACAAGCAGTCTAACGTACCGCGAACTGACCATCCTCTCGGCGCGCGCGCGGTCGCCCCGCAGCGCGTCGCCGTTAATCAGCTTCTGCACCGTCGCCTCCTTGAGCTGCGCCAGCCCGAGGTCGGTCAGGCTGTAGTCGTGGGCGATGGCCTCGTCGTCGACGCCGCAGAGGGCGAGCACCAGGGCGCAGAAGATGCCCGTCCCTGGTTTTTTCTCTCTCGCGTCTGTTAGCTTAGTCTCTCTTCCTCTCAAGGCGCAAAGTCTGGGTCATGTGGTGCCCGGACACCGAGGTCAACGGGACCTCGGGTAGCTGCAGGTAGGGAATGGGGGGCGGGAAAAGGGGCAGGGCTGTGGGATTGGGTCATAATAATATCTCGGCCGAGGTTCCGGGGCTGGCTGGCTGGCTGGCATGCAGGCAGGCAGGCAGGCAGGCAGGCGAGCACAACGAGCAGGCAAATGAGAGTGGCAGGAGCAAGCAACAGGCATTCTGGAAAGAAGACGTGCGTATAGAGACAGACTGAAGGGATAGACTGACTGTCTTTGCCAGCTGTACAGTGGACCAGCAGCGGCGAGGGCGGCGCGGACGCCAGCGACTCGAATATAGTGCGGAACGGCGCGTGAGGGTGTCCTGGGTCGGCGGCGGCGGCTAGGATGGAGCTATAGGCGCGCACGAATCCCTAAAGCAGCAGCAGCAGTCGAGACAAGGCTGCGTGTCAGCCGCTAGGAATTCTTGTTTCTTTCCTTTCCTCTGCATAAGAGGCGGATGGATCGGTTGGCAGGAGGCAACGGCGGAAACAGGGTGTGGCGTAGCGTAGTAGTTCTAGAATTCGATATGGAAGCACATGGGTTTCCGTCGGGGCACACACAGCCTCCCCTTCCCTGACCGCACCTCACCCCCCCGGATGCCGCCACAGAAGGACCAATACATGTGCGGCAGCCCAGACTCACACGCACGATGAAATGTGAGGCGTGTCACAAGTCCAGCATGGTATCGGCATGGGCATGGAGAAAGTGCCCAATGCACGCAGCCTTGTCTTTCTACGCGCACGGAACAGGCAGAAGCGCCCCTCATCTGCGCGTCCGGCTGGGAGACCCAGCTGGGGCATGCTGACGCTCTGCAGCAACGTCGACAAGGCCCGCGGGCGAGGTGGGGAGAAGACAAGACCCGCATGGGGATTATTGCGGGAGTGGGAGTGGGACTGGGAGTGGGAGTGGGACTGGGACTGGGAGTGGGTGTGGGAGTGGGTGTGTAGGTGTGATGGATAAGGGGATATAAAAACAAAACGCTCCAGACTGACCTCGAGTCCATCGCTGTAGTTGTTGAAGCGCACGGCGAGCGCCTCGGGGCTGTAGTCCTTGTCGAGGAAGATGGGGACGAAGACGGAGGCCGAGCCGTCCCACGAAGGCGTGGGCGGGGTGCCGTCGCGCGAGAGCTCAACGACGGACCTGAGGTCGAAGACGGTCTTGATGCCCAGCTGGTCCGATAGCACGGCCACGCCCTCGGCCGTGAGCCCAGAAGGGTCGGCCGAGCGATACAGCAGCCCGCGCCTCACCATCTGGTGTGGCGGGCGGTGGGAGGGGCCCGCGATCTCATAGCCACCCACGTCACGCAGATTCGCCAGGCCCGGCGCGTCGATGAAGGGTGGCGATGGCAGCACGGGTTGGCCACCGCCGGAGTGGTTGAGAGTGAGGTTGTTGTTGTTGAGGCTGCGGACGCAGTTACGGTTGGGGGTGGGGGCCATGACTGGCTGACGGTAGGTGGTACTCCGTCCTCCGTACCTAAGCGGGAGTCAGCGGCAGCTACACTAGAGACGAGGGGAGGTAGGGCTGGGCAGGGGACCGACGACAGGCTGCCGAGGGCGTTTCTCACTTCGGTATACTTGGTAGAGCTTAGTCGGCCCGTTGGGCTTGCCTGCCTCGTCTTGCCTCGTCTTGCCTTGCCTTGTCTTTGCCTTGTCTTTGCCTTGCCTTGTCAGCTCGAGTCAGACGAGGCTCGCAGGACTAGGTCTAGTAGCAGGACAGGACTAGGATCGGACCAAAGGGGTGTGGCTCCGCTCCGGAGGTCATGTCGCCGTCGTTTTTGGAGTAGGAGCAAGAGCATGAGCAGACCCCACGGTTCCACGGCCCGAGATAGCACCGCGGCACAGCCAACAAGCAAACGCACGAGCTTTTTGCGTGCTGGTGAAACTTGGACTACATATACTCCTACTACCTTACATAGTATGGGTAGTACGTATGGAGAAAGAGCCGATGCGGTCGGTCTTGGTTCTGGTCCTGGTCCTGGTCCTGGTCCTGATAGCCAGCTGCAAGTCCTTTGCCTGGCGGCCGCGTTTGGCGCCGTGTCTGCTGGTTATCCCTCTCAGCTGCTGCAGCATGCGGCCAGCTCCAGAGACCCCGCCTGCCCGGGTGGCCACAGCGGTGGTCTTGGAGTGCAGCACGACTCCGGCTGCTGCAGTTCCTTCAGACGTTCCGTAGCATTAAACATGTGGGTAGCATTTTCCGGATTGAATCCAAAGCAGCGGTGAGAGAAACACTTGACCCGACTTGACGCATATGCTCCAGTCCGGGGCATTTGGTTTAAGCTCTCCGGTGCGATATGATGATGGCTCCGATGGCTCTCGATGTGACTGCTGCACGTCAAAAGCAGTGGATGGGATGCGGGAGGCACGAGCACGTAATGGCCGGAGCGGAGCGGTGCTAACTGTCTTGGTTATCCACCGCACGATTGTGCCGATTTGGATCTCTGTATCTGTCCGCATATCCGCACTTCAAGATAACCACCCGTGCGAGAGCCGTGGTTCGCGCACTGCACGCGGGGGGGGGCGACGTTCATGTGTTGTGGTATGCCAAGCCAAGCCAAGCCATGCCAAGCCAAGCCATGCCAAGCCATACGAATCCTACAATCTTTTCTTTTCTTTTTTCTGTCCTTTTTTTTTTCTTTTCTCCAGTTCTTCAAAGCTCTCTGTTCTCTCCGTTCTTTTTTGTCTATTCAGTCAGCTCCGTGCCTCGACGAGGCCGTAAACTGTAGCCTAGCAGGGCGGGGGCTAGTCTGGGCAACAACCAAAGTAGCAGGAGCCGCACGCTTTCAATATCGAGCGAGGAATCTGTTTGGCCTGTTCCGTTCCAGCGCAGACAGCCCGCGATCGTGGGCAGGGTGGGTAGGTTGTTGGCTGTGCTGCTGCTGCTGTGCGGCTGCGCTGCTTGCCCCGCATCCACGACAGGATGGAGCTTTCTTTTTGGGATGTCTACTCATCTGGAGGGGTGGTGTAGTCGGCTTCACCCCGCCCCTGAATTGGCCGGGAGACGGCCCAATTTGGTAGAGGGGCATCTATCTATCTATGTACGGAGTATGCATGAAGCTTTGTAACTCCTGCCTGTTCCGTCCTCAGAAATACAGCAATATATGCACAAACAAGTCCCAATACCGTTGGTACATACTATATGTACACTGGAGCAGAAATGACGCTATACACGTCGGACAGCAGAGAACGAAAATCGGTGAGAAATGGGTTAGTTTGTTGCCCGTTGCCCTGCCTGTCCTCTCCTGTTAGACAACGTGCCTTGCAAACACGTATTGTATGTATGCGCATTGTAAACCTGCCACCGAGAGAGGTCTCCGATAGCCTTGACCATGTTCGTTGGGGCTTAACGGCGCGTAGCTGAGCTCTCGTCCTTAGGTAGTACTCCGTAGTCGGTAATTGTCCTGCTTGTTCCTTTTGGCCTAGTCCAGTCTAGCCACAGCTCTGCAGCAGCTCGGTAACCAAAAATCAACATTCCGCCCCATGTGGCTCCGTCACTTGTCGACGGCAACCCAATCTTTTTTTCCCGAGCTGAAAGCCTTACAAGGCGAGAGGTTTCCCTTTTCCTCCTTTCCCTCCTCCCACCCGTGCCCTGTTTGGTCAAAATTCAAGACGAACTTGCCAAGTCTTTCCTTTCTCAGACTGCAAAGCAGCCGGATTCGTCCCAGCCCAAGGCAACCAGATTTGAAGCAAGGAGCTGGTCGAGTGGCGTCGAGGCAGGTACTACGATTTGTGCGCCTGTGTCTGAGTGCATGTGTAAGCATGCATGCCGTACATGCTTGGTAGCGGCAGTGGTGAGTCGCCTTGTTTGACAGCACGTCAAATAAGACACCACAGGCCGTCCTCAGCCATTTAGTTGCCGCCGGCGAGGCGTGTGTGAAGACACAAGGGGCCATACCCTCCATGTCGTGCGAGGCAGGCAGTCTCGGGCCCCGGCATGTTGGCATGTGGTTGTCTGCCTTATTACGTTGGGCGAGAGGTGGACGTGCATATAAGGCCAGAACCCACAGCAAGCCTGGGTTTTTAAATTGTATACAAGCTTGGAACCTAAAAACCCAGAAATCTAAGCCTGAATCCCGTGAGGCAAAGGCCCCCTTCCCCCCCTCCACCGAGTAAGGCGAGGATAATTCCCAACAGGCCTGCCTGTCAGGCGTATAACCTCTTACGCTCCGCTTTGCCTCACACAATCCGGAAGCCGTCGCTCAGCCACCTTCCCAAACGCCCGATCGGGCTTGTGGAAGATGCCCGTTGTCTCCAAATACTTGACCCCGTACTTTCAGACCGACCGGTGATGTTGAGAGAATACCGGTGAGGTGCCACAAGCCAGGCTTCCAAGCTCCGCCATCCCAACACTCCTTGCACCGCGCTCTTTAGCCACCCATTCCGCCCTGGAGAAAGCCATGCAGCTCCACAAGGGAGATCCGGAGATTGTAAAGTCGAGAAAGGAGACGCAACAGGAAGACCGGCGGCCACAACTGGCAAGACCGCAGGAGCTCGATGCGAAGATGGTGAGAAGACTGGCGAGAAGAAGAAAAAAAGGCTGCCCCTCAAACAGGAAAGGGAAAACGAAGAAAAAAAGAGACAAAGAAAAAGAGATCAGCACAGCTAATTAGAGACGATGAGCGTCAGATTCGCCAAAAAGAGTGTATTTTGGAGTCCGAAAATAGGAAAGAAGCAGATCTATAAGCTCAAAAAGTCTTCCAAAAGCGTCTCTCCGTCTTCAGCCACGCTAAACTAGCCAGCGAAATCCCAAACAACACGACCCAAAAAGAATCCAAGTTAACTAAAAGGGAAGCCCCACGTGTCGAGAAGATCAGCTGATGTGGAATCTGGAATCGCCCATGCGGCCTCTGCCCAAATCTGCCGACTTCGCCCACTCGCTTTGTTGCGGACGGCAGCTGCCGTTTTGCCGTAACCCTATTTCGAGCTCGAAGAATACGGGCGGGGATCATCCGGATTTCGGTGCTTTTCTTTTCTGCAATTGCGGCAGGGAGCCTTGTGGCAATCCACGCAGACCAAGTTCGTGCTGAAGTAGTTGACCATGTCGCAATGGCACTATTAACCTCTATCAGTCCCCGTCAATGCTATTCAACAGAAAAGATCTCGCCTCACGCATTGCCAGAGCTTGAAAGTTCCTTTTCCCTTTGACTAGTAGCCAAGTCAGTATTATGGAGGCCAGAAGATTCAGCAGGAATGAGACTTACTGGAGACATCTTTGTGCCTTGCGACTGTCTGCCGAAGTAGACTGTGTCTGAGTTGGCGAAGAAGACTTGAAAAGTATCAAGTAGATCGGCGAAATCCACGAAGCAGGAGATGATGGAGATGAAGGAGAAGAGGATGGAGAGATGAAGGAGAAAAGACAATAGTTAGAGGCTCGCTATCTATTTATCTTCGAGAGTTGCGTCAAAATGGAAAACCGCAGCGAGGAGCCTTGGTGCACCTCGGCGAGGCGCACTGAGGACTTCACTTCCATTCCATCCGAATTCCAACAGTGCCACCGGGAAAGCCCAAATCCCACAACTGTGACTCAATGTAAAATCTAGACGGGCGATGTAAGTCGGCTGGGACCAGCGCGCAAATGTGCGATCTGGAATTCGAAGCGGATAGCATGTCCTCCCTCGCCCCTGAACAAACATCTCTGCGCCATCCAGGATCAAGGCGTCGCGTAACAAATCTCAGGGCGGCAGTGAGGAAACCAACTGAATGGCCAGATATCTCGTCGAGGACGAAAGAGTGAGGTAGGCCGTGGCGACGCATTGGCGCCCCGTGCCTCCAGCGCACTGCCCGAACCCATTAGAGCGCGCGGTGAGTTCACCGAGTAGTGCGGTCATTTTCTGGGCCATAATATCCGGACCGAGTGATTCTCGGTCAACTAGGCAGTTTCCGAGGAGGCAGTATAGTCTGGCATATACGAGCCTCGATGGGGCTGGAGACCTGGAAGCTCGAGGGTAACCCGCCGCCTCGAGCTGCCGACGGGTAAAGGGATTTGTATGTTTGTTTGTTTAATACCGACAATGTGTATCGAGTTTGAGGACATGCGGGTTGCCCGTGGCTGGGTTACCAAGCTGATGTAACAGATGCCGGGAAACGGGCTAGTCAACGGGGCCAATGGGCGACAGATCAGGGCGTTCGACAGCTGCGGATTTTCAGCATGTGTCAGCAGGATAATCACTAATTCTTGACGTGCTCAGAATCAAGACTTGATTCTGGTAATTCGCTCTTTCCTTACCTCGAGGGAGCGAGCTTGTAAACCCCCCTCGGATCCTAATTTCTTTCGCCATGGAATTAATGACGTCGCAGTGGCCGGTGCGGAGGCCGAATCGATCCAAGGGTTTGGTAGGCCGAGATGGGGTGTGTACCACAAATCTGCCCGCAGCACACAAAAGTCATGGGACCTCTTGCTCGCGCGCCAAAGTCGCATCCGGAAACTAGATGAGGCCCGTGACTTGGAAATTCCCAAACTTCCAAAATAATAATCCCAACAGGGTCGTAAATGCCCAACAGGGTCCTAAATGTTCACACTGGCTTGTAAAATCCCCTTTCAGCCAAAATCCTCGTCTGCCTGTAGCATACCGTCGAATAGTAGCATGCTGCCGAAGAGGCCGCTCTCGCGCACCAGCGGACCAACTCAACACAAGCAGGGTTGGTGGAAGGTTGGCGACGTTAAATTGAACGGTGGAAGCGTTTCTAATTCGTTCTTCGGTGGATAGAATCCTTTGGCGGTGACTCGACTTGATTCGGATCGATCGGCGACGTGGGTGTAGCATTGCCGTCGGGAGCCTTGTCCAACTGGAGGTCTTCGGTGGTCACCGTCGTTAGCCTTGCGACATAGGCCGCGCTCACTGTCAACGAAACTCACATCATCATTGTAGCGTCTAAAAGTCTCGGTCTGGGGGAGTTATTGATGTATCTTCTCGCATTTTGGGCAACCGAAGCCCTCGGGGAAACTTTGCTAGGATGACTGGATCCTTTATGTTATGGGGCCCGAGCTGCAGTTTGGCAGAGCCTCAGAGCCACGCATGACCGGGATCTCTTCCATCGACGCCCGGTTCGCCAGAGCAACGATACTATTGGCGCTTGAGGAGAAGGCTGTATGTCCACAACATGAATATGGCGCCGGCTTGGTTCTAGACCACGGCGCCATGCTGTCACATTGTCAAATTGAGCCTCGAGACGGGCAATCTGGCAAAATCCAAGGTCCACAACAGCCATCAATATCGCCCAAACAAGAAACCGACTTCCTTCTCGGAGAAGCATAAGTGCCGAGTTTTCCTAACTGAGACCAGACAGTCTTCACGGGACGAAGAAACCCCTGATCAGAGAGGTATGTTCGACTCAGAACCGGCACAATCGACTACCTTGACCACATCGCAAGGCTAGGCCGTTTTCCCATGTTCGGCCGGTCTAAAACTTCGAGGAAACGGACGTAAGCGGTGTGAAAGGTTGTACCGAGAACGCCTAGTAGTCTAGCAGCTTATTCGGGAGCCCGCAGTTCGGTGATAGTTGGTGGGGGGACAATCTGCCATACGGCTGAAAGCAGAGCTGCAGGCATCCTCGACGACAAGGCTGGACCTGTCACGGATCGTGAAGCGTACAATCGCTGCCGAGTAGAACCCGGCGCTGGAGGTAGTCGTAGACAGGGATTTGCGAAGTGGTTGTTCCCAAACACCATAGGCTTTTAAACCCTCGAACGTGTTGATGAGCGCTACGTGATCTCGTCGATAATCGATAGTTAATCCATTTTGAATGCGGCTACCGTTGGTGGAAGATGTGTGGAAAGGATCCAGGCCCCAGGTTGACATCGTCTTGGCTTCAAGCTCGAGGGTGCCGGGGGTGATGGCTGTCTTGAAACAAATCCGTACCAGGGGTGTTACCCTTTTGTCGGGTAACGAGAGGGGTTATCCCAAACATCGTAGCCCTGCCCAGTGCCCTGCTCCCAAGGAGGAGTTGCGTTCATCGGGCCGCAGTGGAGCGGTTGTGACTTGCAGCATGGTTCTGGCGAATCTTATGCCCTCGTCCTCTCACAGTGTCCGGTCCTGCTTAGGTACTCGAAACGAGCGAGCGACAAGAGGGTCCGGGTCTGGTAGCCGTTGAAACTTGCGGGGCGGACCCAGATACCACCCAGCCATTCGGATAAACGGATGAATCCCAAAATGGGGGCCATCCATGGCCCCAATGACACGACGCGTGCATTGGCGGTATTGGTGGACGAGGACTTGGTGTGTTGAAGGGAATCACGGGTGGATGCCACTCATTGGTCTCGAAGACACGCAGCGGTTCCACGCATCACGCTGGCAAAAAGCCGAAAAGCAGCGCTGTAACAATGGAAGTAGCGACCTGCGTTTTGCTAGTCGGGCAAGATTGAGTTTCAGGAAACAGATAAGTGAAGATAAGATCAGGCAGGAAAGAGGTACTGAAATCAGGAGAGAGTGCCCGTGCATCAACCTAGGTTAGGCTTGGCAAACCCTGCTATCAGATTTGGCGGTGCTTTATCGGCAGGCGCGACTGCCTCTTGCCAGTTACCACCACCCACTACCTCAATTACGTCATCGGCGACTACACTCACGATGTTCTATCTAGATGAAGTGGCAGACTTGAAACTTTTTGGCAGCAAATATTGCGCTTCACATTCTATATCTGCGACACACGTCGTGTGTCGTTCCCGGCCACCTGCTCCAGCTGAGCTCAAGTTGGGACGCAGTCCACGCGACAAGCACAAGCTGCCATTTTTTTTGTTTGCCTTGGTCGGTTCGAGACGATTACCTTAACCACCCACCACTCATGTTTATGAGAGTACCTAGTCGTCTATAAAAACCGCCCAATTCGCCAAACAGCAGATTTCGCCTCTAAACAACAATCTAGACACCACCATTCCTCCCACAGCGCAAGCTATTTCCCGATTACCAAGCTAGCAGGCGCTAGACACAACAAGCGACACCGTCCTAATGGAACCGAAAAAGGCCCAATATATTCTCTCCGCCTACCATGGGTTTCAGATGCTCGTGGCGGCGGGAATTCTGATCACCTACGGCTTGGACGTTGGCACCCGCCAGCCATATGTGGATGGGAGATGGGTATGTCATCAGTCTTTTCGGCCAGCTTTGAAAGTAGCTAATCCCGCTCACCGTGCCTAGTATTATGCCTTGATGGTTGGCACCGTGAGCTTCCTGTCGGCAGCCTTACTGGCCGTCCCTCCCTTGCGGCGGGGGGTGACAGGCGAGGGGACTGCGGCGCTCTGTGCAGTTATCGCTATTTTAGGCTGGGTTCTGTTTGGTATCTTTGCTGCCGTAGGTTTTTGCCTGACCCCTCGCACAAATCGCAGACTAGAGCTAAAAAATCGATATAAGGGGTATATGTTCGCTGTCGATTCTAGACAGAAGCCTGGCGTCTGGCTTGACATGATCAATGCCATTCTGCATACCCTTAACTCGGTCGGCTATCAAGCCCGCTTCATGAACTGCTGTTGCTTCGCGAGACGTAGCCAGTTTACTGGCCGCGCGGATATGAACATGGAACCCTACGCCTAGATGCCACTGACGAGGCCTGGACCCGTCCTGGTCAACCTCACGGGCATATGGAAGAGGAACTCCGACGATGGACATTCGGCATGGTTTGGCGTTACGGGCGGCGTAATTTCCACGGCAAGATGGCACATGGTCGCTGAATAACATGATACCCTTTTCGGAGACAACTGGAACTTGGCTTGGAGGAAGGATGCATAGGTATGCTATACTACCGTGGTTATTAGCTTGTTGACGACGCTCTCGGTTGTCTACGTCTACAAAATAGTAGATCGACTAGCCAGGTCATATCCGGGAAATTCATTTACCCACAACACAACGGCGCGAGCCCCGCACGTCTTGATACATCGACATTTACTTGTGGCATGTGCTTGCGTACGAGTTGGTCGGTAACAGGACCCTGACGGATTTCGGGCGTAGAAGTCAACGAGATCCAAGGATGATTATTGCACTGAATGGTACTATAATCGTAACTCCTCCATTATTTCTTCTCGAGCCATGCTCTAGCTCTGCGATGCGACTTTGGGCAAGAGCAATACCCACTACCTTAGCCAAAGTCAACGGCCCGCTGGCCGATCTCGAAGCCTGAAACGCCGAGGTTTTGTCCGTAGTACGGCACTAACAGTAGGTACGCACTTTGGGTTAGCACGACACTTTCCTACCGTTCCGATCCCTTGGTGTCCGTTTGCCGTTTGTAAGTAGGTTGAGTTGCGGACGTGTAAGTTGCTGTGTCGTTGGGCTAGCTGTGGATCTCCCAAGTTGATCCCTACGGAGCAGCCTCCACAAAATCGTGTTAGCGTCGAATGAATGTATTTTCCTTCCTTCCGCGAACACCCTTGCTATGTATTGTGGAATTCCCATCATCATATCCTGAAAAAAATGAGCCCAATATCCAATGCAGTCACCTGTTGCAAGCAAATATCAAGCAATGTAAATCTTCCATTTCATTTGTTAGTCGAGGCAAAGTCCCATAACTTTCATGACTTATGGGCTTCCCCATCCGCTCCGTCCCAGTGTTACAGGCCGTTGAATATGACGTCAGACCCTATGTATCCGCCAAGAGCTCTGCAGATCCACTGTGGCATGAATCCCTGTTGATTTGGAGAACCCCCTGTTAAAGATACCGCAGCTCCCGTGGGTGGAGCCATGAGATTCAAATCTCCCCTGCTCGCTTGTCATGAGAGCCCATCGAAATGCTGCTCGCTCCCAAGTGCAAAAGTGCCTCGCTGGAATGCCTTCGAGATTTCATTGTAGCTGGCAGCAACCTAACTTACTAGCTATAGAGTCTAGCTCAAATTACACATTCCCTGAGAAGACTAAAAAGCGGTACCAAGGCAGAGAGACGCCATATTTCCCTAGGGAGCCCAGCCAGGTGATCATCCGGCTGATAACGGCCCACTCCCAACAGCCCGCGCGCCACCAACGTTCCCGATCATGCTCAGCAGACGAATTGGATAGATAAAAACATGACCGGTATCTCTGGTGTAACATACCGGCAGCGGACAGGATCAGCGGGAACGCGGGCTGGCGGCTGAGCCTCCGACGGCATCGTTTCTCGTTTTTTCGTCCCTGGGTTTTACCTGACTCGATGCTCCTTCGGTAGGTTCGGATAGGTACTCGTAGACAAGAGACAAACTTGCACAGGCCGCCTGTTGCAAACGACACGCACACTTCCCTGTCGCAGCCAGAGACAGCTTTCGACCTGAACACATCACGATCGGCAGCAAACGCCACACGCTAAAATCGCACCACTATCTGCTTCCTCTCAGAAGTCACGATACGTTGTGTATGTACACGTAGGAAATGCTTGCAGCATATGTAAATGGGAAATTACCGGTTGGTCGCCAGGGTTTGGAGGCTGGCTGTCGTGCAACCAACAGGCGGCACCCCCGGGCAGCCACCGAGCGTCGACTTCGCAGCAGCAGATACGCATAATGAAGGCGCTCGGCAGAGGATGCGTCTGCCGCGCCGGGCTCGGTCGTAGACAGCCACGGAGTTGTTAGGAAAGGGGAATGGCATTTGTGCGAACCCAGATTCTCGGTATAACTCCCGTGGATAATAACTAAATCAGGCATCCGCCCTACGCGCCAGGAACTGCCCGCCAGGAACTGCCCGCCAGGCCTAGCTGCTTATTGCGTGTGCGTTCACCTTGTCGAAGTCTTGACAGAGAAAGACGGTGTGCGCAAGCCGGGAGGGAGTAACCCAACCCAACCAAAGAACCTACCTTGCGTTGCTACCACGACGGACAGGCAGGCAGGTAGGTAGGTGGCGATATGTCGCTCGCTTTTTCCATACGGCAAACAGCGATCTTGTAGGGCGGGGCATGAGGCCATTGAGCGGCTCGCACGGCTTCGTATTTCTTTTAGTAGGGCAGGCAAGGTAGTAGGATATCCCGGGTCATCTAGCGCGCTAGAATTTTCCAACCTTCTCGCACCACCATCGAGCCATTGTAGTGCGAGCATTGCTTGGCAATGCAACTGTTCTCTCCTGAACCTCAAGCGGGGAGGGGAAAGAAGAAAAGAGGCAAACGGTATTGCTGTTGCTGCTACTGCTACTGCTACCGCTGCCACCGCTCTCTGCGCTCCTGCGTATACTCACTTCTCGTGCCATCTGCCATATGCCACAGGCCATGCCGCCATGCCGCCATGCTGCCATGCTATGGATGCCATGCCATGCCAGTGACAAACGTGCCAAACCTGAAACCTATATGGTTGGGACGGCATATGCGGGACGGACCCAGATTGGAAAATGACCTCCCACAGCCATACCTGAATGGACGGGGACGGGGACCCCCAGTTGTTTTTTCTTATCCTTCTTTTTCCTTTGTGATTCTTTCTTTTCTCGTTTGTGGCTTGCTGCTGCTGCCTCTGCCGCATTCAGGTACCCACCCTGGTTGTACGAGTTGTGCAGCGATCGGCAACGCCATCGACCCCTCCAATTCAGAGCAGAGGCAGAGCAGAGGCAGAGCAGATATCTTGGATGTAGAATTTCAGACACTCGAACAGTCACCCGTCCGTCATCTCTCATTGATCCGTCGGGCTTGGGATCGTCCGTAGAGGGATGACCTGGGTCTACTGCGTATGTGCGGACAGTACGGGGTTGGTAGATCGGGAGGAAGGTTTGATGGCTTGCTTGGGGCTCAACCTAAACCCCTGCCGCGCCCCTAGAAGCGCCCGTCGTCACATTCGCTGCAGCACCCTCCAAGGCGCCACAACGCACCCAGGCAAGCCTCCTTGTAAGTTGTTGTCGGCCTCCCACCATCGGAATTGGAAAAAAGTCCCATGTTGGATTCCTTTTCCCTTTCCCTGTCACGGCCCCCCTCCCCCAAGACGGGAGTCCCATCCCTGCTGTGGGGCCTACCTTAGTGGCTTTAGTACTTTAGCACATATGAATTACCCTGGCTGGAATAACAATCAGCGCATGGGATTCAGGCTGGCTATCCGCTGTACCATTTGCGCAGATCCGGGCCTTTGCATTCAACGCTCGCTTACCGCCCTAGCGATGCCCAAGTAAACTCCTAGTGTAGGGCAGAGCGTTACACTGTATACTGTAGAACGAAGCGATCCCCACATGCCATGGAAAACATAGGCGGTGACGAATCAAGCCATCAAAGAAAAAAAGAAGAAAAAAAACATTAGGGAAGGTGTACCCCAGGCAGTCTCTAAACTAGAACCTTGGTTAGGCAAGTCCAGGGCCCGGGCAGGGATGCCAGAGGAAGAACAAGCTGGCATTGAGACCCCAATGTCACACTCAACCATCAGGGTCTCTCCCGTCCACAGGAGCGAGGGGGCCCCGGCACTCCAGCACTCCAAGGTCGGAGTGAATTGGAGGAGGAGTGGAGCAGTGAGTGGCAGGAGAAGGGTCTCTTGCTGGGCTCCCAACCAGGTCACGACGAGAGCGATCCTGGTACGTGCCTTTCGCTAATCCGTCAGCCGGCTTGGAAGGAGTGGGAGAGTCTGGAAGTTGAAAGACAAAGACGACCCCGGGAACATAGAACCCCAGGGCTGGCTAGGTGGCTTCGGTCTCGGGTTCCGTCTTCTTTTTTCTATAATTTTAGAACATCTACGACCTCACGGTTTGTTTCCTGTCACGCCGCTCGAACCTCGTCCATCGCACCCAAGCCCTAGCACCATCTCCAACTCCATCGCCATCCCAGACCCCGGCATAGTCTCGATCTCCATGACGCGCCTGGCAGCTTCTCCTTCAGGTGTGTGCGGTGCTCCAGATCGCGGCTGCGCAGGCCGGTAGGAGGAAGGACCTGTCTATGGCGACTTGGCGCGTTGACCTTCAACTTCCTACCTGCCTTTACCCACCTCGCCCCTAAGCCCGAACCTTAACGGGTCTATACTGGAGCTTGCCACGCGTCTCAACTTTCGAGAACCCAAGGTGTGGATTCTCTTGACAGCCGCCCACGTTGACGGTCCCGAACAGGCACCTACCTAGGTGGGTTGTTGCGCTTCAAAGTTGATATTCCCCCACCGCTTTCGGATCTCAACACCTCTCCCGCTACCGAGCTTTGACCTCAAGCCTTTAGCAGGTCTTGTGGTCGCTCTAATTGCCTGTCGTCACTTGACTCCACCCTCTTCTTTCTCGGGTTGCTCTCTCTTGAAACAATAGGACTGCTCGACGTGGACGTGGATTGGGATCGAGACCTCAACCTCGACATCGGAGTTGGAAGGGAAAAGGGAGGAGGACACACTTGGGCATGGCTGGTCGAGGGAAGGAACCTATCTTAAGTTTGCCGACAATTTCGTCTCAACATCCATACGTTACGGCCTTGTCGCCACCTGCCTGTCTCACACACAGTACGACTTTGTTTCCGTTGCCACAGTGCTGCTGCTCCCAACTTCACCTCCCTCCTGCAGTAGCTGCAGGTCGGTATCAGGCACAGGCTGAGCTCGAGCTTTAAGCTCTAGTTGCAGAGTTAAGCTTGACTCTATGCACCTCGCTTCTTTAACTAACTCGCAACTCGAGAAGCCCAAGAGACACAAGGCAGTTATCTCTAGAGCTTCTTTCTTCAACTAGAAAGAGTCTATCTAAAAGGTGTTTGTGGGGTTTAGCATATGGTCTAGGAACGACGGGTCGACATAGCTTATCACATCTCCTGCCACTTAGTCACTGGGCGTGCAAAAAGCTTAGACGATAGAAACACAGAGCCGACCTGCTCACGACGAGCGCGTACCCGCGGTGCCCACGCCTCGGCAATATCCTCAACACGGCAAGAGCGTTCTCGAGGGGCTAACGGGCACGACATCATCATCACCTTATCTCGACCTGGACAAGTCACTCACCCTCTCCCGGCGCCCGGTCCCAAGCTGAGCAGACCGAGGCCAGGCCTTCCATTCTCGTCCGGTTACCTAGGACTCTGGGGAAGGCGCTCCGTGTCTCTCCTTCCACCCGTTTCTGGGTTTCTGGCAGGACTTCCATCCCGTCTCGCTCCGTCTGCTGCCGGCTCAAAAACTTCTACCTTTTATTTCCCACCTCGCAGCACACTCGACCTTTTCTCGTCTTAACTTTTCGAGACGTGCGGCCAACCTTCTTTTCTTCTCCCGGCTCCAGTTTGACTGGGTTTTGTCTGTCTAGCCTCCAACCCTTTTTCCCACGCAGCCCTGTATGTGCGATACAACCCTCGTTTGGCGTCATCAGCCCGTCTTTTTCTCGCGGTTGCACGTCAAGATGGCAAGCCATAACACTAACGGACGCGTCTGCTCTGTCACGCCCACCAAGGGCCGTCGCCATTTCCCACGCCGCGCACACACTCGCACTGACTCAAACGAGTCTATCAAGTCCTGGGAGTCGTTCAGTTCGGGCTCTGGTGCCGATGAGCACTTCCCCTTCTCGCCTGGCAACACTCCGATCAAGGGACGCGTCCCCATGGCATCTCTATTCGGCGAGACTGCGGCTGGTTTCTCGTCAATAGAGTCTTCATTGGCAGCCGCGCTTGCTGCTCAGTCCTTTAGTGACAAGTCCAAGAACAAGGGTACGTGAAGCTTATTTCCCTTCGTGTCTGCCGCTCATCTGCCCTCTGCCTTGTTTTACACTTTTTCCCTTTTTCCAGCAAGCTCACGTCTCGCATATGCTTTTCTGCCCATGACGTTGTGCGGCTCGGGTCTGCTCGTCATTTCTGACTGGCCGAGCAGTCTTCGTGGCTTGGATCATCATTTCATAGCACAGCTCCAGCGCTACTCTTCTAGTGAGACATGCATCTGCTGGGTCCGGGGTCTAGTTCCGCATCTTCCCCAGACCACAAGGCGCCTGGGATTCCCCCTTTTGCCTCCCCACCCCCCAGTTGGAGCACCATCCCCATGGGCCCAGCAGCCTTCGCCGGACTCCTCACTAGGCGGAGGCGTTGGGATGCCAGCTCGAGTGCCGCCGCCTCCTCTACGAACCTTAACTGGCCTGTAACGGCCCATGCTTGCAGACCGCTGCGTCATAGCCCTGCGGTTTAAGTTCTTGTCATTCAGGTCATTTAACGTCCGGCAATGCTGACTCTTGAACCGTTTACCAGGGCCGGACACTAGCTCGAATGATCCGTTCCAGGCCAACCGCTCAGACCCAGACAACGGTCTTAGCCGATCTAAGCCGATTGATATTGAAATGCCCGCCTTCCGCCGCGCCAGCGGAGGTGTCGAGACGCCTATTGAGCCATTGTCGGCACGTGGTGATATTCCAGGGTACGTACCTCCTGACACACCAGCAGCTATATATGCCCTCCCAAGGCCTTGACTTGCTGACCCAGTCTTTTACACAGCGCATACTTTCCCCGTCATGAAGACCCCGAGTCCCGTATCAGAAAGTTGCATCCGTTTGAGCAAGAGTCATTCGCCTCGCCAGTCCCGGACCCTCAGAAAGATCTAGTAATGGACAGCACTGGGGCCTTTCAGCAACTCGAGCCATCGGAATTTAACTTCAACGACGAACCCATGACCGGTGTTGAATCGTTTCCGTTCTCAGCCCCTGTCGCAACAGGCACGATGGATGACACCAGTACTCCGTTGTCATCGTACCTCCCAACTGGTACGCATGAAAACTCTGGCCTCCCCCTGGGTAAATACTACCCCAACAATTGGGAACGCCGCCAGCGCGCACGTCAAATGCGCCATCAGATGATGAGGCCGGGAGGAACTTCGCAGGCAGAACCACAGATCCAGCGTCCGCGTCAAATCACCCACACTCGGTCTGGGTCGGAGGTTCAGCGGCGCCTGATCCAATATAAGCTGGATATGGTCACGCAAACTTCGATACTTGCGAGCACGTCAACAAACCAGGGCAGCTCATTCTTCGATTTACATAAGCCAGTGTCGCCACGACTCGCGCCGTTGGGCAGCCCTGGCCCAGTTACGCCGATGTCTCTGGAGGCATCAGGCGGTGACTACATCACGCTCGGCCAGCCCATCGCACAGGGACTGGATTTTGGAGTGTCCAAGGGAAAGGAAAAAGTCAAGCACAACCGTGAGGGCCTGCTTGCGTCAAACGCTAAGAGCGCTATTTCGATTTGAGGCCTCACCGACTGTGTTCTTGCCTGAGTATTTCATTTCATAAACGGCTTGGAACTTTTCTTGATACCCATCCTTAGACTCTGGACACCTTGAGCGTGGATTTTCTGACATGTATTTTGGGAGGGGGGATATTCAGTTAGTTGCTGCCGACACAAATATATAATTCGAGGCCTCACCGGCTGTGTTCTTCGCCTTGGTATTTCATTTGCATGCATTGGCGGAGCGTCAGAGTGGCTTGGAACTTTACTTGATACCCTTTCTTGACTCCGGACGACATGGACGTTCATTGCTGGCATATGTTTTGGGAGGGAGAACATTCATTCAGTTGCTGCCGACACAAATATATACATGGGGTCTCCCGTCTACTCCTCTGCATGACATCACGATGTGATGGCTTTTACATAATTTACCTTTAATGTGTGCATGGTTATGAGTATAAGCCATTCCACTTTTGTGATAAATCTAATGTGGAAGTCTCTGCTTGAGCATTGCCTCCTTGAGCAGACGAAATATTATTTATATGATATGGGCACGTGTGCTCAAAATACCTTTAGCATCCAGCTGTACAAGATCGACGAGACCGTGACGTGGGTCTGGAATTACACGAACATGCAGGGCACGCCGACGGCCATCGACGCGCTGGTCAATTGCTCCGTGGCGCGACGAGGACGTGGACGCTGACGTAGAACATGACGTTTGCGACTTTTGTTCTTGTTTTCTTCATCTATCTCTCTCGTCTTTCTCGCCGTGCGTTTCCCCTCCAGTCTCCTCTTCCCGGCTTCAGTCAACCAACAACAGTGACAGTTATGGCCTCGACAGCGCTCCTCGCTGCTCTTTACCGTGAGCGTGGATTTGCAGGCATATATTTCGCGAGGGAGGAAGATTCACTAGGCAACTAGATAGGTACGATACAAACTAACATATACATGGTCTCTCCTGTTTTCGCTGCTGCACCGGCAAATGCTCAACTGTGTTCCTAGTGTGTGCGTCGTGGTGACGAATATAAGCCATTTTCCTTTGGTGATAGATCCTACTGTGGAAGTCCCTGCTTGACCTTTGTGTCTTGTCTATTCTATCAAGAGCATAGGTAGACGTAGCCTTGGACACTCAGTAAGATCTGTGCTCCTTTACGAGATCTTGCTAAGTGTCTGAGGCTGGCGCAAAGGAGCACACTGGAGAATTTCAGCAACTCCCATTCACCCCGTCAGTCTCGGACACTCAACAGGCAATGTTATATAATACGCGCCCCTGTGCTCAAAATATCTCCGAGTGCGGATTTGCAGGAGGAATGTATTTCGAGAGACTAAAAATTCACTAAGCAACTAGATAGCTGCCGCCAGGAACTAATATTTGTATGGTATCTCCCGCATACATTCCTATATATGATGTCCCGATGCGATAGATTTTGTGCGATGTACCTGTGTACTCAAAATATGCCTCTGTGGACTAAATTCTCGCTTCATGCCTGGTATCTCCTCTAGCGTGCTGTTCCATGGAATCCCGTCTACATGAGAGAAGATAACCGCACAAGTTGCTCTCGCTCGAGGAGATCTTATTGTAATGTTGAGAAAAACTCAACACTTGCCCCTCGAATTTCCGAATCCTTGTGTGTTTATTAGGAGTAGAGGCAGACGCGTTACTATAGTTGACGAGGGCCTTCCCACATTCTCGCAGATAAAGAAAGGGCCAGCCGGCCATGGCAGCTATCAGGGCGGTGGGTATATTCCAGGGCTTTCCAACGGCGCCAGTCGGGGTGATACGAGCTTGTGCAGATCAAAGTGGTGTCTAGACCGAAGGAGAGATCGAGAACCAGGAGGTAGAGAATGTAGCCGATCCCGCTTATTTTGCTATGCCCGGTGACAACTCACGAACAAAATGCCGCAAATGCGGAGACCAGCTCCCTTCGAGAAGAGCTCTCTTTGCACATGTTATGTCGAACACATGTACCCCCAAAGGAGCCGGGCACTCGAACCATTGAGCCTCCAAAACCTTACACGCCAAACTTTGCACCATGGCATTGTCGACAGCTGTCAGCTCAACGCAAATGGCTGTCTGAATAGATAGATGGCCATTCACGGGGCTCATATCTCAGGCGGTTGTCTAACGCAGTAAGGGGACCGGTTGTAGCTGTTCAGGTGCTATACAGACACTGCAACAATTTCTCTCTTCCTCAAGTAGATACGGCAACTAGGCACCTAGGGTAGATAAATAGCTCTCCGCAGTGTTGATCTTGAGAATTCATCTGTTAAGAAGATTTAGTTGAGCTCTCAAGGGACCATATAGACACTGAAACTCCCTCAAGTAGATAAACATAAAACGGACAGGAGTTGACACCGACTAGATGAAGTTTGTAAAAAAGTTCACACTGCATTGCTATTCTAATAGTTGCCAAGTAAAGAGACATAAGTCAGATATCCAACCATCTATCTCGTATCGGCCGTCGATCGTATCTTTAAGCACTGCGCTGCTTGCCTTAACCTACCAAGATAGGTTGGTACCTAACTAAATACATGAGCATCACGAGAAAGCCAACACTTCTATGACATGGAGAATATTTTCCGGCAGCAGTTCATGACAGCCAATCCGAAGAGCTAGATGGAAAGAAAATAAAGCAAAAATATCTTCATGTCGTTCCCAGGCTTCTTCTTCCAACCCCCCGTCTTATCCATGTGACGGCGTTCAAGCAAGGAAGGAAAACCCTCCTTTTTTTTTTTTTTTAATGTTGCCTATAGCAACAGCCACGCACAAGAGTCAGATATCCGTCGACCTTGCCGCTTCTCCCAAAAGGAATATTAAAAAGAGGAGAAAGATGTAAGAAATAAAGTAAATAATAAAAAAGAATCGTTCAAGGACTGTGTCAAGGGGTAGAAAATAGGAAGGGGATGGCTAACACCCCCTTTTCAGATCCCTTGGTTGTTGGGCTTCATCCAAATTTCTTTTCCTTTTCCCCTTCTCCGAAAGTCGTCTAAGCCATATACGCTGTGTACATGCCGTGCGCCGCACGAAAGCTGGAACGCAGAAAGTCATTATCGCGCGGAAATAGACGTCGCTCCTCTCTTATATCTCCATCGTCATCAACATCAAAGCATATGTTGGCAACATTCTCGACGTCCTTGGTCCGGACCGATAGTGGCGCAGCCGCTAATCTGAATTGCCAGGGTGGTATGTGGGTGTGTGTCGCGTCGTATTAAAATCTTGCCCTCCCCCCTCTTTCTTCACAGGGGCTTGCAGTAGTTCGCGGGGAAGCTCCCCTTCCTGCCCTGGAATTCGCCCTCCCACCAGTCCTGATCCGTGTCCGTCTTCTTGACGATCTTGATCCTGTCGCCCTCGTCGAACGAGAGGTCGCCCGCGCCCTGGCCGGCGAACGGGTACAGCGCGACGACCCACTCCTCGGGAGCCCGCTTCTTCGGAGGCGGCGGCGGCGGCGGCCTCTTCTTGGCGAAGCCCTGTGACGTGTAAGAAGAGGCGAAGGATGCCTCAGTCGACGCTGACGACGGGCGCTGGTCGCGGTTGTTGAAGTAGCTGCTTCCCTGGGGCCGCAGCGTGTTAGGGGACGCGCCGGGCGACCAGTCCTTCCTAGTGCGGTCCACGGGAGCCCCGCCGAGGATGGTGGCAGTGGTGAAGTCAGTGGGAGAGAGCCACTCGGGCCGCTTGACCGTCGGCGACGGGCTTTGCTGCATCTGCGGCGATGGCTCGGGAGTAGGCAGCCGTTGTGAGTTGTTCATCGAGGGCACGCGCATTGTTCGCGCCTGGGGCCCGCTGCCAGCGCTAGGTATCAGCCCCGACGAGACGCGCTGAATCCCGTTATTGGGAATCGTGGGCTTTCGGGACGGCGCTTCGCTGGGGGCCTTGCCCATGGGCTGATGCGCCGCCTTCCCGCGAGCTATGAAGCTGATAGATTCGACCCGGCTTTGAGTGGCCTTGAAGGAGCCGTTCCAGGTTGCAACCACTTCGGACATTGGCGGGGGCGGCGAGGGAAATCCGAACTCTTGACAGTAGCCGTGTAAGGTGGTGTAATACAATCCTAGCAGCCGGTTCTGGATGAGAACCAGACCGGACAGCAGAGGCGGTATTAGACTGAAAGTTGCAGTAATAATCGGGGGCAGGGTCTCGCGGAGATGCTCATCGGCGATTCCAAATTCCTATTCACGGATTCAGTTGTGTTTAGGGACATTGCATGGCGACGACGGCTCCGCGGTCCTTACATCAGCGGCACGGGCGGAATCGTCCTCGGCCTTTGCTAGCGCGGCGTCCTCTTTGGGAGTCCGGCTGCCCTTCCTCTGTAGCTTGGTGGCCTTGTCTTGTAGCTTTTCGTAGTCCACTCTCTTGTTCTCGCGCTTCTTGATGGTTTTGCGGATTGGCGCAATGCAGTCGCGAGCTTCTATGGCGGGCTTGACGATGCGTTCCTCAATCATGGCTACCTCGCCATTCAGCTCGGTCCTCAGCTCAGCGTAGGCCTCCTTGAGCTTGAATGTGCGCTCGAGCTGCAGCTGCGGTGTCTGGGAGAGGACGCGCCCATGGCCGTCAGATGCGCCGACAATTGGGTCGTAAAGGTTGTCATATTCGGTGACGATCTGGAGCTGGCTGTCGACCACGGCGCCCCACGAATCCCTCCACAGTTTTGCGTTGTCAATAATCTATGCGGTAGCAATGTTAGCGGCGGTGACAGTGCCGATGGCCGTGATAGGCGCGCAAAGACAGATTTGGAGAACCAAAGTAAGTACTCCGTACCTGCGCCAGGACTTTGTCCGCATCCTCGTAGTCGTTGATGAGGACCGAAAACTTGGCATTGTCTCCGGGGCCTTTACTCCAGAGCTTGCCAAACTGTCGAGACACGGACTGCATTTTGGCGCCTGTTGCAGATTGGGGGCCGAAAGCTCGACGCACACGCAGCTCCTGTTGTCGATGCCGTCGGTTAGTCGAGATGGAAATCTAGTGCGAGAATAGCGAGGTGAGATGGGTGGCGTCCGGGTGCAGGAGGCGGAGGCAGCATTGACGCATGGGATGCGAGATGGCGGTCAACCGCGGCGCAAAGCAGAGAGAGGGACGGGGCAGGTAGCCTTGATGTAGGGTCGAGTTTCGAAGGAATCGGACTTCCAAACGAGTAGAGGATCGTGGGCAAAACTCTATCCGTGGGAGACCCAGAGCTAGGGGATGGATATGCCCACGGAGTAGGAGAGCCTTTAGGTGGTATTGTAGCACTATAGCCTGGACTCGGAAGTCTCTGGGTAGGGTGGTAATGAATTCTACAGAAGGAGGATTCTCCAGTATGCTAAATAAGTTGAATAAATTGCACGTCTCGGCACCGGCACGATGGCCACCTAGGCAGAAAACGCCAGGAAAAACAAGCCCAAGCCCCCAAAACCACGGCAACAACTGGGTGTCGGTGACCGTATTTCCAATCCCAAGCGGCGTTGGTTTGAGATCGGGCAAGCCGGTTACTCGTTCCGATATGCCAAGTTTACGCGGCGCAGCGGGCCTTGATTGGTGATACGCTGTCGCAATCCCACGGTCGAGATCGAGGAGCGAATAAAACCGAGGCGATGCCCTCGTAAATGGAAATCAACGACGCAGATCGTCGGAGTAGTGAGCAACAACGCAACGAACGAGGGGCAATTGTAAGCACCTGGAAAGTGTGGGCAAATGCAACGACCAGGGCCTGAACTGAATACGGATATCCCAGGGCATTGCGTTGCGGGCCAATAATCCAATCGCGCTACGGACGCTGTCCCGCAGTGAAACAAGGCGCCCAGCCTGGGAAGCTCAAACGTCACTGGGCTGGCGGGGTCAGGTCTGGTGAGCACCCTTGCCCTTGACTTTCGCCCGACTGCGCAAGCCTGGTTCCTGGGAAGCGGGGGCTTATTAGTGGAACGCCTCACCCGGCCCCTGTCGGCCTCTCAGGTGACAACGCGGGCAGAACGCGGCTCCCCAAATTGTGTTGCGTCAGTCACCTCAGTCAGCCCACCTTCCACTTCGGCCACGGCAAGCATCCATTGGCACTGGGCCAGTTGCCCCCTACTCAACCCGGCTGTTGCCTACAGCGTACCTTACCTTACTCTGTGCACCAGCCTACCAAGGTGCATGTGTTGGGTTATGCGGTGGCAACCTAGCAGTTCGTTTTGCGACGCGCGCATCGAGGATGCCGGCCATCACGATGTCTTTGGAATCCATGGCCGCCGGCGGAGTCGGGCAGGACGGCGGCAGCGCTGCGAGCAGCGCGCCTGTGCTTGAATTCCAGTGCCTCTTTACCTACGACCTGCGGCGCAAGCAGAAGCGGTGGCAGGACGGCCGGATTCGCTACCACACCTTCAACAAGCGCGTCATGGCGTATGACGACCGCGGCAATTTTGTTGGCGACATGCACTGGCGCGGCGACTATGATTTTGACGAGGGCGAAGAGGTCAAGCTGGAGCGCGGCGGCGTCATTGTCCAGGTTGCCGAGTGTGTCGGCCGCCACGATCAGGATCTCTCTGAGCTTTTGGACAAGCGCGTCAAGGAGAAGGAACAGCGCTCCGCACAGGCAGCCGCTAGGCCCGCCCGCCCCGGCCCCGTCCACAATGCTGGCTCTGTGCCCCGACTGCAACCCGCCCAAGATCACTTCCAGACTCGGCATCGCCCCTTGCATCGGCTTCTCGGCACCCCTTCGAGACCCTACGGCCGCGCGACGGTGCCGACAGAGTCTCCTTTTGAGCAGCGCCATAACCCGAACGAGACCCCCGCGGGCCAACCCGATACGCGGCCGTCCAAGAAGAGGAGATGTGATGACATTCCTCCGAGCAAGATGGGATATGCTCAGAGCTTGTTCGGCGCGCCGCTGATCCTCTCAGGGGCACCCATGAGCTCCGCCTCCGGTCCTCCCGCCCGGCGCCCGGCGGCTCCTATCGTTCGGCCAAGACCCGAGACGCCATCATCGCAGGAAGAGCTCTTCGTAAACCAGGATCAAGAGCCTACGCCGGCCCCTCTACAAGTATCCAACTACATTGGCGCACTCCAGGACTCGGCAGAAGTGGCCCCAACTGCGGGTCACCTGCGAATACACCCAAGACGCCCTATAGACCCTCCACTAATTAGTCGGCCGCCTCCCAAAGCCGCGACAGAAGTTCTGGATCGTTCACCCCCAGAAACGCTAGTTGCAGCGAGATGGACAGAGGGCAACGGGAAAGGGAAGGCTGACTCACATACTGATCACTCGAGCGGGTTGGACACCAATCTCAGCACCAGCACCAAGATAATACGACCATCCAGAAGCGACGAAACCACGCCGAATCTGCCAAAGAAACACACTATGGCTTCCTCCCGAGACCAACTAGCCCAAAACGGCCTCTCTGCTGAGAGGGTCCTTCCTAGAAAAACCAAGCTAGACGAGGTTATCATTCTCGACGAAGACACGGATGACGGACCTACAGATCAAGAGCCTGTTATGCGGGGAGTCACGGGCTCAAAGCGCGGTGCCCCTGACGTCGAAAATCAACGCCAAGCAAAACGCAAGAAGGTCTCTTCAGCGGCCCTCTCCCTGCCGCTTATCGAGAAGCCCATTGAAATGGTGCCCGTCGAACATGTAGGGGCAAGGAGTGGGGAGGAATCAGCGCCAAAGGAACCCAGGACCGAGCTGCGGCTGAAGTCGCGACAGAAACGCGGCTTATTGATGGTTTCTGAACTGGCAAGCAAGCCTAAACGGGTCAAGGCACAAAAACAAGCAGCTAGGAAGAAGACCAACCGAAAGTCTCCTGAAGAAGCCCTGGAAGAATCTTTGGAAGATCCAGCTCAGGATATTGCCATGGATCGTGTGTCCGAGGACGACATTGCACAGCAAAAGCCGTTCCCTGCTTCGGACGACTTTGATGACCCATTTACCTACACTCCTATAGTTCCCAAAATTTCGAGACAGCCAGACGTACCTCAGCCTATACAGAAACCGCAGAGGACGCCCCAAGCATCACCCGGTATGGATCCTAGCGATGATGGGCACTTCACATTCAATATTAGTCCTCGGAGATCGGATCAACTTGGTGGGCCGACCACCGGTCAGACAAAACTTGCCAAGTCCGTCTATGATCTTTTAGCAACCTCCGACGATGAAATTACCAACCACTCTCCCTCGCCGCCAAGGAACAAGAAGCGACTGTTATCAAGGAATGACGCCAAGGCTGCGAAATCGGCACAGGGCGAAGGCCCGAAAAAGGCACCCAAGAGTGCAAGGGCTGGGAAGGCTAAGAATACCGGCCTCGACTTGAGTAGTTCCCCAGAACAGCAACCCTCCCCTCAGACAAGAAGGCAGGCTCGAAATACGAGGAGACTGGAAGAGACATCTCTCAATGCTACGAAAAGAAACAGGCAATGCTCGGAACCACAGGAGAGCACCGATGAAGAGATGCCTCAAGTCCCGGTTGGCCCACGATTTGCCAGACTCGGGAGCAGAAGTGTTAAGAGCAAGGAAGTAATAGGTTACGTGGTGGCCGTGCCACCAGTAACATCCACCTATAATGCCCTGAACTCAAGACAAGGTTCACTGGTCGACTATCGTCCTGCACCGGTCGAAGATCATCCTGAGCCGGCGATAGACGATGGAAAGGAGGTTACGAATGACAAGGATGACGCTACCTCCGGGGCAGTACACAAACCGATACAGACACTCCAGAAAACGGCAAGGGAAAGGAGTAAGCCACCATCTTTTCCAACGACTATCATAGGTGCCCCTTCTCTTCAACGGCACAATTCTCTTCCGGAGAGCAGACAGAACCAAGATGCGAGAGACGGGGATAACACAGCGCCGTCTGTGGACATACGCCTGAGCCGCTCTGGACTAGTACGTCACAGGTCAGCAGTTGCCACTACAAGAAGTAGCAGTGATGAAAGTGTCTTTACGCCGGCAGTCAATGCCGGCCCACCAGTTTCCGGCTTGCGGGACGTCGACCCGACAGAGGAGGCGGTCTCGACGATGGCACCAAGTCCACGCCCTGGGGATCGCCAGAATATGGATTCCGCGGGAGAGGGTGACTCGCAGTCACGGTTACACAAACCCTCCAATTATCCCGAATCCCGACAGCAACCAATGAATCGGGAGCGCGAAGTTGGAGAAACCTCAGCCGCAGCAGATAGGCCCATCAGCGTGCCCCCGGGTATTCCGGCTGCTACAACAGCTGCAACCACCACAACTGCTGCCCCCATTCCACGCCTGAATAGGATAACTAATCCCGCCACTCGAGGCCGCAAAGCCGCGCTCAAATCTCATAAGGCTGGTCAGACACCCCAATCATTCCTGCCACCCGAGGTTACTGTACCGGCTGGGCGCGTGGTGATTGTGCGGGTGTCTGAGACAGTGCGGCCTGAGACTGTTCCCGCCGTCAGCGAGCGCCCAAAGAAGAAGATGACGTTCCCCGGGTTTGCCTCCGCAGCAACAAAGGGCGGTGGCCCATGGAGCAGGGAGGCGCACGACCTTCTCAACATGGAGCGGCCCTGCTAATGTTACAGCCTCAGCTTGGCAAGCGAACTCGACAACCCGATCGAGGGAGGGGGGGTCCGAAGGGCTATGCACGTATACCTTTAAATTAATGAGGATTTTATAGGGCGTTCACGAGGCGTCTCAATTGGGATATAAGAGTCGATACACGAAAAATGGGCCACAGGGAGCACTGCCAGGGTGGGTACTCGGTTAGCCATTAAGCTGGGTCTATCGTGGCATTCATTGCTTTTGCATGTCCCAAGGAGGATATGCATGCTACCTAGAGTATATTGCTATTGCTTGCCTATCTTAGAGGCCTTACCTAGTAGTTTGTCTTTTACGCTATCTAGCTACCTAGGAGACGTAGCTTGCTGGACAAAGTAGAGAAGACAAAGCGTGTCAGAGAATATATTATTTACCATGTGCTGCTGCTGCTTGCCATTTGCCAGGGGTTCTTGCTGGTATGGTAAAGTGTTGACCTGAGAGGGATCCGGTGGTGGGAGACGATTGGTGATATCATGTTGTGCTGCTGTCAGATCAGGGCTTACTTACACTGCGGGATTGCGGCTCTGTTTTCGTTTTATCTTTTTTATCTTTTATCTTTTTCCTTTTTCTTCTTGTCTCCGTGCCCCCTGAGCCACTCGGAATCCCCGAGGTAGGCTGAGATGACGTGTGTTTATCCCGTTTCTTCTCTCTTATGAATCTTCTGAAGAACGAACTTCAGCATTATTATTATTATTACTATTACAGGTATATAGATGTGGCCCAAAAATAAGAGAATAAATTATGCACCCAAGGCGGTGGGTGGCCACTAATACCTGGTTGGGCACTAACGAGGTGAATTGTCAGTTGGGAATGTAGAAAGGCCGTGAAGCAGTCTGACTCGTTGGGTACATTGTGTTCTTGCTTCTGTAAGTTCTAGGGTTGTTTGACAGTCTATCACCAGCGATGACTACTTTGGCGTTGTTTTCCCTACCTCTTCCTCCCCATTTGTTCTCCCCTTTTTAGTCTCCCCCTTTTTAATAATCTAAACTATTACTAATTCTAAAGAATAACTTCATTAGTCAGTATCTACGAATGTCAAATCCGTTTCTCCATTAAAGTCTTGCATCTCGTGTGTGGCATTCTGTACGGTTTTTTTTTATATTGGGGGTTCAGCCAAGCTATGGTGGTTGCACCCCGAGACGCAACGTTGGACTCGGTCAAGCCACGTAGTGCTGACGCCCCCAAGGCATTCATTCATGTACGGTTCCTTTCTAACAAGTTAATTAACACGTCCTGATCCCGTTCTTTCGGGTCGGTTGTTCCCGTGGCCGCGGGCTCGACGGTCTGGATCGCGTTCGGGTCTAAACGGGTTCGCAACCATGGATGCGTTCATTAACACGGAATCCTTCAGGGCGGACGAGATTGTAGCGTGCGAGATAAACAAGTTAGGGGGTGGCCATGAGTAACCTCCCTGGATTTTCATCTGCAAAAAAAGCCCCATTAATCCTATGTATTGCGGGAGGCTTGGGCTGGAGTTTGGGGAACTTGATACATCGAATGCAATTGATGGTGGTGAGGCGGTTCTGTGATACACAAACCTGCACTTAACGGCGTTGGGGGGTGGAGGGGAGGGGAAGGGGGAGGGGAAGGGGGAACTAGTGGGAGGTGGGACTTATGTCGTCCCCTTGCCAAAGCGAGGCTTGCCTTGCCTTGATATGCGTGAAATCACTATAGCTGGTTGCATATATGCTTATATCCTACACATGTCAACTCTGTAGAAGGCTATTGGTGTCCGATGATATAAGCCTTTTTTCTACCTTCGATTCTCCGCTGAGAGACTCGCTTCTCCCCGCACCCGACTTTCGTGGGTTGCCCGGCTCTGGTGCGCGAACCGCCCGCCTTGTTAGCAACTGAGAGCAGAGCTGTCAACCATTTCCCGCCCGCCTTTTGGGCGGTGAGGGCCAATTTGCAAAAATTGCGCCCAACCTCGATCATGGCTCCCCTCAGATGACCTTGTTTGCGCCAGCACAGCGTGGCCCTTTCTCTTTCTTTGTTTTCTTTCGGTTTCTGCGAGGCCTGGACGGGCTGGCGCGTGTTGTGCCAAGTCAGCGAATTGAGGCCGTCGAGGGTGTGAGAGAGAGACTGGGAGCCAGCCCACAGGGCACAGGCGTTGCGGCGCGAGTGCCCTCCAGCCCAATCCATTTGCGCTGGGAGAGCATGGCCGCAATCCCGAGGCCGCCTCCTCTGGCGCGCTGCTTCTCCCCCTCCCCCTCCCCTCACTTCCAAGGAGGTTACCCCCCCCAGTTGCCCTTTTCTGTCACCGGCGTCATTGTCAACCGCCCAGCTAAAAGCAGAAAAATTGAATTACATCGACGCCTACCTCTATGGATGTTTGAGCCTGGGAAATGCGAATGCTGCCAAATGATCGTTGCGGGTTCCGTGAAGTCCCGTTTCCATATAGGGCTGTACTACACCGGTATACAGACATGGAAGAGCAGCGCGGCTTTTTTTCTTCGTCTTCCTCTTTTTCCCGCAGCCTTCCTACCCGTGGGAAGCCAGCGGACTGACAGCTTCGTCACTAGCTTGGCGTCGCGGGGCACAACTTCGCAGGTGCGCAACTATAGTAGAGAGGCTGTGTGTGCCTTGGTCTCTGCCTTGCTCCCCAGTCTGACGGGTACTAGACACATCTGCGCCCCAGACCACTTCTTCTCTTTCTTGTTCTCTCTTTTTTTTCTTATCCTTTCGGCTTATAATTCTATTACTGCTCTCGTCTTTTCTTTTGTCGTTCTATTGTTTTTATTCCCACTCGTTCTCTCTATTTTGGCTTGCTGCTTCATTTTTTTAGTCGTGTGCTATATAAGTGCTGCTGCCCTGGTACCTTTCTCGTCTCGAACCCCGCAGCCTTGTGCCGTCCATACCTTCCTTACCTACCCCTCGTAGCCATATATTTCGTACGTTGAGCCTACGTCTTCCCACCGTCGACGAGGCTGGCACTTGGCTGGCCGGCATCGATGCCCACAACCACAATGGCACAACGGCCCAAGCGGAAGCGTGGCGGTGACCAGGAGCCACTTCTCATCGTGCCTCCTCCCCAACATCCCAACCAGGGAGAAGCGCTATTACAACCAACATGGACCAGCGAGCTCCAGGACCTTTACAACACCATGCGTCAGGTGGAGGAAGAGCTGCCCTTGATGGAACGTGTCGATCTCCAAAACGCGCCAGGGAACAGAGACGGACAGAACGACTTCCTTCAGCCTCCGACGCCTTCGACGGCCATGTCCCGCTCGCCCTCGTGCGCTAGCACAACACACTCCGTCACACGTGCTCTAAATAACGTCGAAATGGACAAGGACCGTCCCTCCAAAAAACGGGCTGTGCGCCACGGCCCCTTGGACAAGTACACAAAGGCGCGGGCTGCTTTCATCCGGAAGCTTGGTGCTTGCGATAGTTGCCGAGGACGGAAGGTCAAGGTACGTTTCAAGGCCCGCTTGAGTCTCTGTGAATTCAAACTCACCTGGTCTCTAGTGTAACCACTACAACTTGGATCGCTTCCAGCAAAAGTACGAAGCATCCAAACGGCCCACGATTGCGAGTCAACCCGCACCGATGAATCTGCAGTTCCTGCCGTATACGCATCCCCAGACGTATTCCGCTAGACCCTATCAGCCACGCTTCAGCGAACCGGTGGATCTGATCGGTGTCGGCCTTGACCTTCCGCCTCTTCCATTCCAATATCCACAGGGTACTCAGGAGGAGGACTTCGACAACATCTTGCTGGCAACTCGCTCACAGCAGCCAGCCATCCCTGCCAGCAATGCGGCCCCCCTATACAACTTTGGCCCACCCACACGGAGCCTCGGCACCTTATTCCCCCCTCCACCCTCGACAATAGCTACGATGCCCCAGGAAGCTTCACCTAATCCACATCGATATGTCCCAATCGGGAGAAAGGTGCTGTCCCCCGGCCAAGAGTGGGAATGTCTTTGGGGCATTAATGATGGGACCGAATCCTCGGTATCCAGCGGAGAAGCTGAAGCTTGCAATGTACGCTGTAATACATTGGACCATCTCTACATTCACTTCAGTGTTGAGCACGCGCCATATCAGAATCCGAACTTCATGTGGAGATGTCTTGCCTGCAACTTCAATTGGATCAATCCAAATGTCTCTTGCCCTAACTGTTCCACGCTGTGTTCCTGGCAGAAGTGGTGTTGGGGCTACATCAGCAGTATGCCGAGCCTTACCTCAGGGTCTTCAATCCCTCTTGCCAACCAAGACGGTGCGCCCTCAAAACCGTCCACCGGGAACAACCAAGCTGGGTATTTCAGTCTGGCTCCGAACCCGAATCAATACAGCACAACGAGATATATGGCTGGGGGCCAGGGCAATCCGATGAATGGAGGCGGCTACCAACAGTACGGTGTGCGGTTGGGGAATATGCCGCCAGGCAAGTCGAAGGATTTCCAGGCCCGGCTGTCGCATTGTGTGGATCCTTATGGCAGAATATTCTACCCAACGCCGAGTATTAGAGCGTCTTACACAAAATCGTCCTGCTCGGCATATACCAAGAAGATAATATTCTTCAACTCTGTACACGCGTCATTCTCTTGGCTCGTCTGCCTGACTCTCCTCTCGCTTCTTTATGCCGAAAACTGGTTCCAACCTGCCGGAGCGCCCTCGTGGGCCGTACCCGCGCTGATGGCAGCACATGTTTTCGAGGCCGGTCGAAGGCATATTCCGGAGCTGTCTGTCGCATGCATTGTTGCGGGTCTGACCGGCACGTGGCTCTTTAAACACGTTCGGTTTCGCCTGGCCGGCAACGGCGGCCAGGATGGTGACATTTCATTAGTAAGTTCATCCTATCGTTCTCATCTATATGGCTGGCGGGCCCTTGTTAGCTAGCAAAGTATAGCAATTACAAATGCTGACATAATTGCGTAGAAAGACGTTTCAAGCATATCGGAGAGAGACCTAGAGCATGTCTTCCCCGCCCGGAGAGGCAATAGCCAAGGAGCAATCCAAGATTCAAGTGATGGTACAAACCTCACCGAGTTGATGGTAATGGCCTGATTAATTTTCATTTCATTTTCGTTTTGGCTGCCTTCCGTATTGGGGGCCACGGCTTTTGGGTGTATGTTTGGAGTTGGCTTGCTTTTCGAGCTCGTCTGGGACAATTTGTTTCTGTTGGGTTTCTTTTTTTTTGTCGGTTGGACTCGGTTTGTTTGTTGTTCAGAATATCCTTTCATGCATTGTCTTTTCAGGGAGACGGATGGACGGATGGACAGACGGGCGGTATTTTGTGTTGGAGGCCCTTTTGAACATGGGACGCGAGGAGCATTGCGTAAAGATTCATCGATATCTTGGATGGGAGACCCTAGGTCATACCAGGTTTCTTGGACAGTCACGTAGGGGAAGGTGGATTGAAGGGGATGTCGAGCCCCTTTTCTACCAAGTTAGAGAGGTCAATCACATCCATCTGCCTTGCATTTCCGCGGTCAAGGCATTCATTCCGGCCACTTTACGCCCTTCCTCTGTTGCTCCCTCCCTTACCCCTGACGCCTTGCCGTTCTGCCTGCGTCTCTGGTGGTCGGATCTATCGTGAGATTTGTCCCCATCTGAGGGTGGAAAATTGCATGGCGAGGTGCATCTCGGCGGGGTGCTGCAGATTCGCCCGTCCACGACAAGGCGCACTGCCACACTTAATTTGATGGGGTGCAGATTGGCACCGTGCATATTCCGGACACAGCCCTAGACTCATCAAACCTAGTACCTCAGTAGGACCTCCAGAACGACGCGATTAACTGCCAAGGTTATTTCGCGTCTATTTCTCTTTCAAGGGTTTGTAGCCGTAGGAGGGGAAGAAGAGTCATTGGAGGCGGTCGCTGCTGCATATCGCAATTGCGCTCGTGAACTTAATCTTCGGTCATTCTAGCTGTAAGGTATATGTGTATGCATACTACCTCGTGCACAACGATTGACTCAATTGCACATTCTGTGTTTCACGCGGCTATCTCTGGACGGTACACATGCCGAAGGGAGAGCCTAGAGCTTACGAGAGATGACGAGATCGCATTCTGGGCTTGGACTCTTGAGAGAAAGTTAGCGATGACTCCCCCGTCGTCTGCAGTCGTATGCACCCCCATAGGAATTGGATATCGGATGTTTTCTAATGGATGAGGAATTGCCCTTGGGCGGTGGTGGGGTAAAACGCTAAAGCTGAGGACGGGCGACCTCCCCAGGGCAGCGGCCCTTGGCATCCGATTGTTTCTCCCCTGTCGAAGGACGTCAACCTTGTGGAGAGCCTGCTAAAAAACACCCCCACCCCCCGCGTATTGTGCGGATTACCGCCAGCGAACCGCCGGCTGATCCCATTGAAACCCCATTGGAAAGCCAGGGCAGTTTCCGTCGTGACGGTAAGCCCGCGCTGTACTGAGGCCGCCGCTGCCAGCATCGCGATGCGGCAGCCCCCCTATGCGCGGATATCAGATTCCAGATGCCAGAATGCCAGATGCTGTGCGTGAGGGATTTTGATTACTGGCAATTGGCCCAACCGACTAGGAGATATCACGACAAGAGCGGAAAGTATATTCGACTCGGCTGCGTACCTACTCAATGCAAGAAGGTTGCATGTTGCAATTGAGTCAATTGCTCCAATATCTAAGGTAGGGAGGGACAGAGACACCTTCCATGACTGGCCAGCTTGGTTGAGTCATCGCGAGACCTCCCTCAAGTCACAGTACGACCAAAAGGAGGTCCCCCTGAGGAGGACAAGACCCACAAGCCACCCACCACGACAAATTTCAAACTTCATACCCCGTTCCCGTGCGCTGGTGTTCTTCGCCAGCCATCCGGGCGTGTGATGGGCCTCATTCATTATGCACGCCGGACTTTCTCCTTGGTCGAGGCCGTGACTTCTTAATAAACGAAGTCACCAACATCGGTCCTTCCATCCTAGCCTCCACCAAATGGAGGTGGACGGCGAGTGGGAGGAGCGAGGTGGGTCCGCAGGTTTGCCGTGTTCTCGCCGTGTCCTGCAGCCATGACCGATGCTCTGCCGGGGTATCTAGTACGCTGCCTGAGGAATATTCTGTAGCCAATGCGGGAGTCTCCACAAGGTGCAGCTGGGCATATTAGAAGTCCCCTCGCCAGGGAATTGTAGTAAAGAAGTGAGGAAAGGAAATCAAACAGACTAGAGTGTCATGAGAGAGTAATTTCCCATTTGAGAGTTTGCTAAAAAGGATATGATGGAAAATTACTATCGCACCAAGCCTGGTGCTGGAGACAGGTCGACTTACACATCGACAAGAAACCTCAACAACCCAGGTATCTGCCCCACGACCCCGCCGGGAGGGGCTAGTCCTAATTCGACTCGCCGAAATGCTCAGAGGGAACGGGGTGGGAGCTGCGCTTGGCTTGGCTTGCACGGGTGACAAGCCGACCCTTTTTCAGGTTGTTGGAGGAAGTGAAATATCGGCCATGACTCCTCCGGACTCAGGTTCTGGATTTCCTTTCCTCTTTCTCTTTCATCCATATCGAAGGTAATACCAATCTCGCGCCAGAAACGGCACACACCCCAAACAGCTGTGTTTGTCTGCTTGCCTGACCTACTCCAGCGGAGCAGCCAGGCAACTCAGGCACCCCAGCCCCAGCTCGCCGCTGCAGCAGCGCCTGTGTCTTGCCCGCCAAACCCGGACTCTCCAGCAGAGTTTCGCCGGCTTGGTGCGGCATAGGTTGCCCTGCTGTCGACGCGCACACCTAGCATCGATTTTTGCCCAACCGTCAAAGTTGTTGGCATCTTAACACACTTGAATGACCTACAGGATACCAAACCCGCATTGTTTTGACTCTCAATTCTTTGACTCGACGAGTCCCCAGTGACCTTGGCCCCCGTCTTTGTGACGCTTTTCCCTCGGCACCCTCACAGACCACCATCCTGTCTTCACATTTCGCGCTGCCCGATTCCCACAGGGCCTCGTCAAAATGTCTCGACAAAGCTCCACCAATGCCTTCCAGGGCTTTTCCGTTTTCCAAAGCAGTCTCGGCGAGGCCTTGCAGTGGCTTCCCGCAGTCGGCACCCAGGAACTCGATGACATGATCAACGCCCTGCTCCCGGGTCCCAACTCGATCCAGGACAAGCGTGCCCACATCTCCATGGACTTTTTCGCCTACGCCACACAGACTGGCGAGACATTCAAGTTCTACCCCGTCCCCGTCTCCGCCGCCGCCCCATCTCCGGCGAGCTCCGCCGCCCTCTATGATTCCGGCTACGGCTCCAGCTTCAACGTCTCTCCCATCGTGTCCGACATGAACTCCTGGACCCAGTCCCCCGCGTCATTTGCCCCTGCCACCTCCTTCAAGGACGCCCACGCCAGCTCTAGCTCGCGCTCTTCTTCCAAGCAGGCCAGCACATCCAGCTCGCGACAGCCCACCACCGACTTTGCGACCCACCCTGGCATGCGCATCATGACCAAGGACGGCCGCGATGTCACCAACTCGGCATCTCGAGGATGCAAGACCAAGGAGCAGCGAGATCACGCCCATCTCATGCGCATCATCAAGGCCTGCGATGCTTGCCGCCGGAAGAAGATCCGCTGCGACCCAACCCACAAGAACCGCACTGCCTCCAAGCGTGCCGCCCCGCAATCATCTCCCCAGGCCGAGGTGAAGCCTGCAAAGAAGTCTAAGAAGACTACAGAACCACCTCCAATAGGCTTCCCTGGTCTCAGCCCTGACTTTGCTGTCGGCAACGCTTTTGAGAGCCCCGAGACCACCTCGCCATTCACGCTCTTCGAAGGAAGCTTCCCCGAGGACCCCGAGGCCTTCTGGGACCAGTTCTTCCTATTCGATCAGGATTCGAATGCGCTCGACTCCCAATACACACCAGACCTTCACGAACTCCTCAACAACCCCCAGAGCCTCTCTCCTAGCTCCGGCTCTTCTTCTACTTCTCCGTCGCAAGTTTTCACGCCTTATACTCCTGCACCTCCCGGACTTTCTCCCACAATTGCATCCGAAATTATCAACCTAAAAGCGTCTCCTCAGGATTCGGCACTGCCTTATCTCAACCCTGGTGTCGCTCATGGTACCAACTATGTCGACTTCAACCTCTATTCGCCAGCGTCTGACTCCTCTCTTGACGACGAATTGTTTGCCCCGAGAGATGTTATCTCTGTTCATAGTCGACATCAATCCTCGCAACGAAACAATGCTGTGATCAACACGGCAAGCTGCAATGTCCTCAGCCAGAACTATTGGACGGAGGTAATTCCGGTTGTCAACAGTGGCGGGACGTTGGTTAGTCCACAGTCACTACGCCATGTTGGCGAGCAATTCTCGGGTATCCGACATCTCGACGAGCGCTATGGCCCCCATGTTTCTTTGACGTCTTCTCCGGCTGCGACAGACCAAGGAGGAAATCTTCAAACCAGCCAAGGAGCCCGTGGACCTGCCAGCAGCGTCATTTCTCAGCAGGAAGATGCAGCACGAACTCAGTATAACAGGCAGCCCACGACATCTAGGACGAGGCTAGTCCTGGCCCCTGTCATCAATGACATTCAAGCTTCTCCGACTCGATCATCTGTTGCCCGATCATCACAGTTTGCGGGAGGCTCCCTAATCCATTCCCAGTCCGCGCCCTCTGGGTTCAGCTCTAGCATCGGTGCCATTGGTTCTAATGGCGGTGGTGGCGGCGGCGGCAGGGTAGTGTCATACAGCCAGAGTAATGTCCACGCTATTGCGTCGGCTGGAGCGCTTGATGATTCTCCGTCGGGATCAGTTCAGACCCTCGACTCCGGACTAGCATCAAGATATACACGAAACTCGATGCCATCCATCATCCAGCGATCCTCACCCACGCTACCACAAACCATCCAGCAAGCCTCCCCCACACAACCTCGGGCCATCCAGCAAGCCTTATCCACACGACCTCGGGCCATCTCGTCAGTAGAGATCAATTGGCAGCAGCCGACTTGGTCTCGACCTCAGTCTCAAGCGGACGCTGATGTCCGTACAACGATGGCGCTTGAGCGCCCCACACCTATTGCATCCACATGCAACGGTATCCCGTGGTCGACTGCGATGAATGCGGCCCTCATGGCTGTCATCATCTCAACATTGCCATTGCGATATAACTTGACGGGCGAAGATGCCATAGACCGGAGTGTCCGGAATGTAGTGTCTTTCTCCCACTTTGTCGTATTTGGTCTTGTCTCTTTTCTACTGGCATCTTTTCTGCCCTCGCAGTTCCCGCAAGGCAAGATTGACATAGTCGACTCTGTCAGCCTCGCTATTACAACTTTCTCCTTGGCCTCACTTGCTGTGAAGCAAGTGGGAACAGGGGACCTGAAACCGATCACCTCGGAAGGCACATCACCATCAACAGGCACCAACATGGCCGGCATTGCTGTTTGCAGTGCTGTGCACAATGTCAAATCGAAGATTCAGGCTAGCGGCCAACGGCTTCAAGCCCTTCGGTGTGCAGCTTCCCGGATTCTTCGGCGCGCCAGAACGTTTCGTTCGGTGAGGATGTAGGATTCAACCAGGCCCGGCACCGGGCGTTGGTTGGTTGATAGGTTTATTGTTGTCAGCGAGCGCATTTTGATCTTGGTACCCAGAGTTTTAGACTATGAGACATGTGGTCGTCCTCGTCGTTGTATGTTCGCTCTTCAGGGCTTGCCTGGCTCAGTGGCTGGGAAACAGGGCTTGTATGTGGTGGTGCTATTGACGGAGGAGGGAGACTATTCCCGCGATGGCCGCGAAGATCTGACACTGCGACTTATAGGCAGCGCTGCCTTCTTCTGTTTTCCGAGCGAGATACTAGCGCTCCCCATAGTTGTAGCGCCTTTGACAAGAATATACAGGTCGTCGCGGACCATCGTAATTAAAAACTGTCCCGCATTTTCGTAGTGATTTGTGAGGTTTTGTATCATGCTGCAAAGCGTGCTTTCAAAGGCGTGTGCTTCTTTTGCAAAGTTCTGCTCCCTTTGCTAGTACTATCTGTTTCTCGGTGCGGCTTTCTTGGAGCGGTCGCCTTTGAATTGCCTTTTGCTACTCTGTCTATATGGCGGGGTTAGCCCGTCGTTTTAGGCGGGTTCCTCATTTATTTGGCAGCGGTCAGAGCTTCTCCACTAAGCTCGCACCGTTTGAACTTTGGAGTTTTGAAAGGAACAAGGTACAGGATTGACGTAAGCAGGTCCGAACCAGGTCATATGCATGTAGCGGGTCCTTGGCGCATATTAGCGGCGCCGGTTGGCCTTTTTTTTTTTTTTTTTTCTTAAAAAAAAAAAAAGAAAAAAGAAGAAACGTGCGCGACTGTTCCTATATGGGTGACTACAGTCATGCCTCCAATGTTTCGCATTGTTCCTAGATCAAGCCCTCCGCTCCTGGTGCAAGCCGATTAAGTAGCAGCTGCACATTTATCTTCAGATACGCTAGCTAGCGAACCCGAAACTGCGGCTCTTCTTTCATTTTTGGCGTTTGGCTGCCGTGGGCTGGGTACGTACCCCGGAACCTTGCGAGCCATTGGCTGAGCTCGTACCTGCTGCCATTTGGGCTTATTCGTCTCATGCCACTGTCACGGTCCTAGGTCTCGAACGGTTGCGCCTTCCGTTTCCGCTCAACCTCACCCGCCGCTCACTTTCCACTCACTCCGGCCTCACTTTCTCTTCACTATTTCCCCCTCCTTCTATAGGACCCTGCCAGGCTGCAACTGCTGCACTCGAAGGCGCCCCGGCAGCCAGCCTAGTCAAGCTTAGGCCGCCCAAAAAAAAAAGATGGCCACCCTCACTCTTTCAAAAGCTGCCGCGACAGCAGGGCACCGAGTTTCCGCCTTCTTTCACAGAATATTCCTCTACATTCTCGATGCGTTCCGCGTGGCTCTGAATATTTTCTCCCCAAACACCGGTCAGAAACACGCGACGCCAAACCTCCCTGTCAACGCCGCGCCTGCGGCATCATCTACCTCATCTGCTGCTACTTTTGTTTCCTCTCCATCGTCGCCCCGGAGGCCAAAGTCTCGCGCACTAAACGGCGACGGCGATATCATCGCAAATATGACTGGGTCTATGTCTACCACTACTGTTGTGTCTCCCTCGCGTGCGGGCCAGCCGCCACGGGCCCCACCCTCCCAGCGTTTACCTGTGCCGAATATCATCCCGGCACTTCCTCGTATCGGCCCTTCAAAGAAGGAAAATGTGCCGCCGCCGACCCAGGCTTCTTCATCTGCCGATCCAGCTGGGGCCGTTACTAATGGAATTACTCGTCTGCGTCTTAATCCTTCTAGTGTTGTCGGCGAAGAGCGTGCCCGTCCTGCTGCCCAGGTTGGCAGGGTCGATAAAGTTGCGGCTCAAAACGGCGGTCGCGGCATCAGCGGCGACGTCGGCCCTGGTACCCGTGTCGGGCGAACCTCAAATGCAACACGGTCTGTTCTCCAGTCGCTGCCACAGACCAACGGTATTAACGGCGCGGTGGTCGCCAACAGCAACATCGTCACCAACGGAAATGTTCTCAGCAACGGCATCAATACAGGCCTTGCTGCTCGGGGCCTACCAGTCACGGTCGCCCCTGCAGCCATTTCTCAGACTAGTAGGCTGAGAGAGACGCCTGTCGAGATTCAGCTCATCGATGACAATACGGACGGTAAGGAGGAAGTGAGGGTCTTGACTCCGGAAGAAGAAGCCGAGATTGCCTATCATAGCCAGTTTATGGAACAGGCACTTGATATGGTATGTCTTAGACACCCTGGTCTACCTTTTCATTTTTCTTTTCCTTTTTCCCCTCTTTTCTTTTTGTTGGCCAAAGTCCGGATCTGAAAGTTCCTGCTGGCTCCCCAATGAGAGCTGGCTCATTCTTTAAACCCCAGTCTCATTTTCACCCCCGACTGTACGGGCATTTGCTTTTCGTTTCTTGTTCCTTTGGCTCCCTCGAGTCACTGTCCAAACCATGCTTGCTGCCTGCTTGTTTGCCGCTTTTTCTTGGTTGTACGTCATTGCACAGAACCCCTCATCGAGGGGTTGCTGTTGTGCTACTGGCTCGCCAAGTGGTTGGAAGCTTCTCAGGAACATACGATCTGCTGTGCTACGGCAAGTAGCCATGCGAATCTACCTTAATAAAACATGCTGTATTGGAATATTGCGCGCGTTCTGGAGTATATACCAAGTCCTTGTTAACCCGCTGACCTTTTTTTTTCAAGGCTCGCTTGGCGCTGAAGACGAACGAGACTCCCGTCGGATGTGTACTTGTCTACAAGGGCCAAGTGATCGCGAAGGGCATGAACGCGACCAATATAACTCGCAATGGCACGAGACACGCCGAGCTTATGGCCGTCACCTCGCTCCTTTCCCGAAGAAAGGCATCTAACCTCGCGCCTGCCCGCATGCCTCTCAGCGACAAGACTAACCAACAGTCAATCCGCGACGACGACCCGAGCACCTGGCCCGACGTTGACCCTGAGAAGAACAGCCACGTCTTTCCATATGGGAAAAAATTCCACCCGTCGCCCTGCGTTGACAAGTCGATCCTCCAGGAGTGCACGCTCTACGTCACGGTGGAGCCGTGTGTCATGTGCGCATCGTTGCTTCGACAGTACAAGATAAAGAATGTACTCTTTGGTGCAGTTAACGACAAGTTTGGCGGCACTGGGGGTGTTTTCCGCATCCACAAGAATTCGCCATTCGTGGCGTCTTCGGCTCCCACGACACCCATGCCCCAGAACGGCAAGGGATCGGTGAGGCCAGTCATGGGGCCTCGGGCAATTTCTACAGTCAGCGCCGATGATGGTCAGGCGTCATCTTCTGGAGATGACAGCAAGAGCGAGCATAGCAATGATGCTCCGTACCGTTCTCTTTTTACGCCTCTTCCACCGACACCCAACCTTCCCGGAGATGGAGGGAATGTTGAGCGCGGCTATGAAGTGGAAGGAGGCTGGGGCCGGGACGATGCGGTCACCCTTCTGCGGCAGTTTTATGTTCAGGAGAACGGCCGAGGTACATACCATCTTCCTTGTTATTCAGCCAGTCTTTCAAGACAACTAACACAAACCTTTGTAGCACCGGTCCCGAGAAAGAAGGAGGGTCGAGCTGCTCGTCTAGCAGCAATGATGCAGCGCGATGGTCATGCCGGCGGCCCGATGCTTAGTGTACCTAAGGTAAAGGGGGGCAATGGTTCCGCGCTGGGTGATAACGAAGCCAAGGCGACACGCGGCGCTGCCGCGAACGTTGGAACCATACTGGCTGAGGCCGACGCAAAGCTCGAAGCCGGCGAGACCAACGATGACATTTTGGTTGAGTCTGAGGCTGAGGGTGAGGCCACGGCCGGAATCGATGTCGCCGAGATCTCTGAGGATAATCTCGAGCTCTGATCCTTATGTAAAATGAGGGGGCATGAATAGGCAAGTAGCTACATGGCCTTGCTTGTCTTGGGAGTTTTGGCCTTCTTACGCCATTCCACCCTGAGAAGGATACATCTTCAACTACTTCTTCGGTTCGCTCTTCGGCTCCTCTTTCGACTCCCCTTCCGGCTCATCCTTTGGCTCCTCTTTCAGCTACTATGGAAGACGGAAGTGGTCGGGGCCCTTTGTTCTCTCATCTTGGTCGGTATTGTTATTACTCTCGGATGTATCCTAGCGGACACACTGTGAAGCATATAACTTGCAGACCACAGCTCTCGTGGCCATTTCTGGCTGCAGAGAGGTGCGTGGCCATCGACGTATTCCGACTATTACGGTGTAGTGCTTTTAGCTGATAAGCACGCAGTTATTATATTTTGCGTTGCCCATTTGCTAAGGGCCGCAATGATGATGGGACGATGGGCATGACTGCATGCGATGGAGTTTAGGCACTTGCGCATATCGCATTCTTTCTATTTTGTGTCTGTACGATTCTTGTTGGCATCGTTGCATCTTTCCACTTGGTAGGGTCTGGCTTCCTTTTTCTTCTCTTTCTTCCACTGTCATCGCCTTCACGTTAGGGTAAGCACCATTTTGTTGGGGTGCCTTGTTATCTCGCATGGACCACATGCCGAACCGCCTTGGTTGCAGTAGTAGGCTCGGGGTCAGAAAATGGGGTCACAGGCCAGGCCAGGTTAGGTCAAGACAGGTTGGGTCGGTTAGACAAAGGAAGACGGCACGTCTCACGGCAAACTCATTAAGTTCACGAGCTACCTTGAATTATTTGCATTCTACAAGAGTTTCTTACTTGGAAGGGTTCCTTTGTTTTCCTTCTTTCTTGCACGCAGCACACACTGGTTTGAGTGTGTGCTGCTCTGTTTGTTATACTTGTATATGGATTAGCTTCCGATATCTGTCTCGGCCACGACGGACGAGACTGTCATAGTACTCTGCATTTCTCCCGCTACACCTTCTCGGGAGGAGCCATCTACCCGCATCCCGCTAGCTAGAGCATCAACTAGATCCCTCGCCCAGAGCGTCGCCATCCCCGCCGCCCGCCGCCCCTTGCCGGCCTCCTCGGCGAAACTCACCCGCTCCGTCCACCACACTAGCCACCCCGTAGCACGTGCCCCCTCCGACTCAGCCCGCAATAGCCCAGTGCTCACGTCGACTAGCTCCGGCCGGAACACGTCGTGCCAGAAGACGGTCGCGCCGCACCTGTGGCAGAACTCGCGCGCCACGCCCGGGGACGAGGTGTACCGCTGGAGTGCGGGCGGAGGGTGGTTGAAGTCGAGGGGGATGAAGGCTGTTTCTTGTGTTACTGCCTGGGATACCGCTTGGGTTTCTGCTTGTGTCTCTGCCTGTAGTGATGGTAGGCTTTGGGGAGTGGCGGGGTTGGCACTGGCAGTGGCGGCAGAAACCACAGCGTCATTGGCAGCGGGCGCTTCAGACGAGAGGAACAAGATGTTGCCCCGCGGGATGAACGCCCATGGCTGGATCTCGAACCCGCTCGTCAGCCGACACGAGCGACATGCGCACGTGCCGGCGAGGTACTTTGTTGTTGTTCCAGGGGATTGCTGCATTTGCGTTCTGGGAGTATCATTGCGGCTGGAGCTAGGATCGAGAGAGGGGGCAGAGAGGGGCCCGCCGCGCAGCCACCACTTCTCGTCCCCTGGATTCGAGAAGACTTCCGGGGGCGTGCTGCAGTAGGCCAGCATTAGGTCTGGGAAGTTGGACCGCGGAGCGGTGCTGGTCACGGCGTCTGGCCTGGTTACGCAGAAGGAGACGGCCGAGCAGTGGCACGAGGCGCGAAGATAGTCGTCTTCTGGGGCGGCGGCGGGTTGTGTCTCGCCATGGTCATTATCAGGAACTATTGTTGCTTTGGGCCCCCTATCTTGGCCGGCCCCTATTCCCTGTACAGGGGCCGCATTGCCTAGCCCCGGAATCCAGATGGACAGGCCCCCGTCACGGGTGTCGTCGACATTAAGATGCTGCCATGCTTTTACGGATTTGTGATCTCGCTCCCCGCCGCTGCTTACGAGAGAAGGGCCTGGTTCAGGGGAGTCGGCAATGACGCCGGTTGCCACCTCCCACGCCAGAGTCTCGTCCCCGTGAGGAGCAGGAAAACAGCGAAAGACATGGCAGCCACACGTCGCGCAGAAGAAATACCGGCATGCTCCCGAGTGCGGCGACGGCGCGTCGTAGCTCCTCAGGCCAACAACCGACGGCGTCGGGGGGGTGGTGGTCGAGATGGCGACGTAGGACGTGCAGAGGACCCCCGTCAGGCGGCGGCAGCTGTCACAGTGGCAGATCGGGACGTGGGGCCAGCTGCCGACGAGCGACGTCAAGTTTAGCGACTGCTGAGCAGCCCCGCATAGGCACGAGATGGCGACGGCGTTTTGCTCCATTCTGGGAAATATTTGCATTTCGTCCCATCCAGGCGGCAGCAAAAAGTGAATAGTCTTGCCACCTACTTGGTATAGATGGTAGTGTAATATTCGTCCCGGAATTACGGATTGTGTAGGTAATATCCAGCCCCTTGTCACGACGCAAGGCGACCAGGAATGGGGCCGGTTCCCGGGTACTGCCCACCCTCGTGACTCCTAGTTGCCTATGCATCATGTAACACCATTAAACGACGAGCCGGGAACAGCAAGCGCAACTGTCAAGGCTGCGTCGTGCAGATCACGCAATATCTCGCAAGGTTAGACGCCAAAAAAAAAAAAAAAAAAAAAAGCAAATCTGCAAATTTGCGCTTTCGCCAAGTCCATCAAAGTGACTGTTTTTAAATTTTAAAAGTGTTAAAAAATTCGCTGGAGAACGTAAACAAGTTCGATCTTTCCGCTTGCGCTTCGAGCTGATTGGGAATCATCAACAAAGAAACAGCACTGCTTTCCTCCCCCCTTGCCCGGAATCCGCCTCGGCTCCTGCGCGCACGCAAAACCCGCCCCCCCCCGGTCTAAACAATCTTCTCATCGCCCTTCTCCTGCGACAGCTTGGCCATCTCGGCATTGTCGGACCCCGAGGCCTTGCGCTCCAGCTTCTCGTTCACGGCCTCGACTTCAGGCTCACCCTCGGAGCTCGAGATGGGATCCTCCCTCCAAAAGTCCTTCTTGCCACGCGAGAGACGCACAACCCACGGCGGCAGGAAGCCGCCCGGAATGCGCCACGTCCACGGCTCCTTGTCGGCCTTGTTGGGCGGCACGATGCGGCCGCCCGACGCAAGCTCGATCAGCCACACGGTCGTGTTGAGTAGGATGTAGGTGCACACGCCCGCAATCAGGCCGTCGGCGATGGAGTAGGTGAAGGGCATGATGGCAATGGTCAGGAAGGCCGGGATCGAGTCGCCCATGTACTTCCAGTTGATCTTGGTCACGGACTGCACCATCATGGACCCGACCAGGATCAGCACGCAGCCAGTAGCCCACGGCGGGATCGACGCGAAGATGGGCGCGAAGAAGATGGCGATGAAGAAGCAGATGCCCGTGACCATGGCCGTCAGCCCCGTCTTGCCGCCCTCTCCAATGCCTGCGCCGGACTCGACAAAGGCCGTGACGGGCGGGGTGCCGAGCAGCGCGCCGATGGAGATGGTGATGGAGTCGACCATATAACTACAGTTGCCAGTTTCGAGTCAGTCAAACATTCGGCGCATCCTCACATACTCGAGGAGATACACGAGAGGGGAGGGCAGAGTAACACCTACGCAACGCTAGATCCCTCAAAGTCTTGGGTGACTGGATCAATGAGGTTGGCATACTGCGCCATGGAGTACAGAGTCCCCGTCGTGTCTAGGATGTCAACATAGAGGAAGGTGACCAGCGCAAGCCCAAACTGGCCGCCATACTCGCCGATACTCCACGACTGGACGTTGAGGGTGCGCTTAATCTGATGGAAATCGACGACCTTCCTGAAAAAGTCGAAGTTGGCATCGCCGAGTTCGGTGTACGGAAAGTAGGTAACGGGCGTCGGCCGGGGCCACGAAATGATGGAGACGAGGATGATTCCGAAAATGATGGCACCCTTGACCCTGTACATCATAAGGACCGAGGTGAAGATGCCACCGCAGAAGATGCCGATCCACATGACTGGGTTGCGCATCTTGTAGGCGTCGATGCATAGCCCAGTTTCCAAGTCCATCTTATCCTTAGGGCAACCGGCGAGCTCCATTGGCGTAGCTGTGGCGCCTTGGACAAGACCGATGCCTTCAGAGTACGTCAAGCCGATGAGGGTCAAGAAGAGGCCGATACCGACACTGGTAGCCAGCTTGATGGACTTTGGGATGGCGCGCGCAAGCCACTGTCGCATTCCGAGGATGGCAAGGCCGAAAAAGATCCAGCCTTCGACGAAGATGGACGTCAGAGCCACCTCGTACGGGACCGACTTGCTGCCGTTAAACCCGACGACGGTATAGGCGAGATAGGCGTTCAAGCCCATACCAGGTGCAATGGCGACGGGCCTGCCAGCAAGTTAGTCAACTTGGCGCATGCCCCTTTTTCTCTCTCAACTCTCCACCGCTTTTGGTCTTCCGGGTGTACTCACAGATTGGAGAGCAGTCCCATGAAGAAACTCCCAAAGGCAGAGATGGCAGCCGTGGCAGTGACAAGATCCCGCTTGACCTCGGATTTGCACAGGGCATAATCCTGGTCGGCATCGCAGACAGCTTGAGGTCCCGGAGGGCACACACAACTACCACCGCTATCCGCGACGATGCTGGCGTTCACGGCGATAATGTAGCTGTTGCTCGTTAGTCCCCGCCCACACACGGACTCGGGCCGACTAGACTTACGCCATGGCGAAGAAGGTTGCCAGGCCGGCGCGGATCTCGGTAAAGAAGAAGGAGTCCTTCCTCGCTTTCGGCTGTTGAGAGGCTTATTAGCAAGATGAGCCTCGTGTTCGGCGGCAGAGGGCCGCGCTTACATGACCGGACCCATCCAGCCTAAACCACCAGCCAACCTTGCTGGCGGCAATCTTCTGGTTCGTTTTGTGTATCCAACCCATGACTGTTGATTGTTGTTCGACGTTCGAAGATAAGCAATTCGTGACCAGGACGTGCTCGGGGATTCGAACCGGCGGCTTTGCGGGATCGGGACAACGGAGGCAGCAAGTTCAGACGAGAGATGGACGGCGGCCAAGTCTTTTGTTGACAAGACCCTGCCCGTTACTCTGAGACGGTTCGCGGGAAAGCTGGCGAAGCCTTCACCGGACTAGGGCGGTGGATTTGATGAAGAGTGGCTTGAGGAAGCTTCAGTTGACCGAGGGGTAGGGCGACCCCATCTTTTATGATGCTTGCTCCTTAAGTCCGTCTGGGCCTGCAGGGGGGTTCGAATAAGATGGGAAAAATAATCGAAGCAAGTCCTTATCTCTCACTCGCAGCTCCATTGAGAAGCTCACCATCCCACCAACCGGTGGCCCACTTGAAAGAGGGTTCTGTTGCTAGTTTGGGCCTAGTCGGCATGGTACATCGCGGCCTGCATCTTGGCAGAGTGGGCAAGGTTGGCGTTCGAGAAGGGGATTGCCTGCAGAAGGTGTGCCATCCATGTGCTGGAGCATGCCCTGGGATCGACATGGAAACACGCAGCCATGCCAGCTCCCGTACTGCCGTGCGCCGTGGTTGCTGCAAGCTAACCACTTGGGAAGGGCCATTTACGCTGGGCTTTGGGGTCGGCCGTAGCCGGGTGAGCCTGGTTGCGAAGCAGCGGCGATATCCACTCTGGCAGCGGCCGGCCTCGTCCTTGACAACGCTGGCCCCATATCGGGAGCTCGACCCCCCAAAGCTCATGTCCCCATTCGCCAAATCCCATTGAGGATTAGGATTCTTCTTTGCAGAGCAACAGCAAGCGGGCAAGGCTAAATGACGGTGCCGGAGAACCCGGGCTCGTTATCGGCCATTTGCGATTTGCCATATTCAATTTGCCATTAGGGTTACCTATCGAGTAAAAGACGAACCACCATTGGGGGGGGGCTGTACTGCGTAGAGGCGATTGAGGCCAGAGCTCTTCTCAAACAAGGGAAGCGCCAAAGCTGGTTATCTCTGCCAAGAGGTCAAGCCAGTCAGAAGAGAGACTCGGGCTCTCTGAGAGTAAACGCCTCGGCACCGGTCCAAGCCTAGCTTGATTGCCAAGCCCGCCACCCCAAAGCTTCTTTCGTGCATCGAGTTCAATAGCTCGCTAAAGCCACAAGACGCCGAAAGATAAGATAGGCTGGCCTCGCCTGCATCGGCTAGAATCTGCACTGGGGAAAGCTCGTCGAGGAGCTGAGGCCACGGCCGCCAAACGAGATGCAGGCAATCAGACCGCACGCGACCAGCCCTCTGGATCGTGGGGTGTCTGCCGTGCCGCGACGGACATGACCGCTGCTACAGAACACCCCAGTCGCCGAATCGCTGTGAGGCGACAGCCGATTCAGCATCGAGGGCGGCGCCCTCCGAAGTTTGAGCCTTTCTGTCAGCAATCAGCACTCGGAGCCCAACACGCCTCGTTTATCATGGTTGCCCGATATCAAGCTGTAATACCTCAGCTTCAGCACAGAGCAAATTGAAACCCTTTTAGACGCGACGCTTGGCTTGATCCGCTCAGTCAGCGATACCATTGTTTATTTAGCGCGTGCCGTTTCATTTGCGGATACTGCCTGAGACCGCGCCGTCGTAGCGACTCGCGCGCAAGGCTTGCCCCAGGCTTGCCAGTCAGTCTCTGGGCGCCCTGCGGGGGTGGAGAACCCCCACCCCAGCCTCAGAAGCTCCGTCGTGAGTAGGAGCGACTTCAAAAAGGCGACAACGTTCCCGAGGCAGTGGTAATGATGGAGGAGGGTTTGGTTAAAAGCATTCAAGATGAAACTCTAAACAACGAGGATTTTAGAGGAAAAAGGAGAAGGAAAAAGGAGAGAGAAAATTTCAATTTCTGGCCAGCCTCTGGACTCTCTCTCTTGGCGACACTGAAATTGGGCACGCATGATCAACTACTGAACAGAAGCACAGTAGCACCCTTTGACAGGAGATAGTTCTAGATAGTCCGAGGTACGGATCGATAGCGCAACCACACCGGCGTCCACTCACATCGAGACCCAAATCAACCCGAGCAGTTCCCCAGACATAAGCAGCCCTAGCCCCAAACTACATTCCGTCTGTAGAGGGTGTAAACCTATGCGGTTAGGAACCCAGCCTGGTCCCCTGAAAACCCGTGACAGAGCGGCCCCTATAAAAAAAGAACTCGGCCCCAAAATCCAGGTCCACATATCCACAATTTCGCAAATCTAACAGAGCAGTTGACTGGGCAAAAAGACTGGCTAGGCAAGACCCAATAATGATCGGGCCGGCGCTGCGATTGCCAGATTACCCAACGCAATTTATAACGGCCGCGGCAAAATCCCCACTGTCCGCTGCGTACGCACGGTTGTATTGTACATGCGGTGGATCGAGAATTCGGCAAACGGCTTTGCACGTGCTAAAGGTAACAAGACGCACTGTGCTTGTAGTCTGAAAGGTGCGGAGTAATCGACAAGTTCCGACAGGAGAAAGGAAGGACGGTTCGGAATAGAGTGCCGACGTCGTCTTCAAGGTTAGAATAAATAAATAAATAAAATAAGAAAGGGGACAGTAAAGGTAGGAAGAAGGAGAGAAGAAGAAAGAAAATAGGAAGGGAAAAACTGTACCCGAAGCTTGGCCTGCATTTCCGTTCCCCAGGTTTCGCTCTGCACTTTGCATCATCCCCCGGCCGCCCGGCCGGATGCCATGCCAAGCCAAGCAAGCCACGCCGGCCGAGACCACCAAGTGTGGGCCGCGGCTCGATACCCGCCGTACGCATTTGACTCTCGGCACGGAGTACGTAGTTTCACCAACGCGGCCCCGCGTCCAACCTCTCGTTCCCGTTCCCGTTCCCGTTCCTGGTTTGGGTTTGCCCCCCCTTATCTGCCATTGAAGAAAAACGAGAAAATGAGAGAACAGCACAGACAAGCCAGCAGCCAATCGTGACTTTTTTCCCCTCTACAAACTGCTCCAAACAATGCTTGGTGACGAAGCGGTCGGGCTCATTTTTGACAAGGCTGGTCTGGTTGGGTTGTTGTGTTGTGTTGTGTTAGGGGCCATTACATGGCATGGCATGATATCGGCATGGTATGGCATAGAAGTGACGGTATCGTCAGAGCGACGCCCTGCGCAAATATGCCTCAGCGGCGGGAGGAATAAAAAAGCAACAAAACACGGAGTTCATCCGGGCTAAAAAGAAATAACGGCTCAATCTTCTCTTCATCTTGCCCTGGGGAGGAGAGTAGGAAAGAAAAACGGCACAAGACAATGGCGGAAGACGTAGTCTCGTCACACACGGGAATACACCTACTCCGTTGTTGTGTTACGTCCGTTAGTCCCAAGACAGACACCGAGATGATGGTTCCCAACGTTTCATGAAGCAGGACGGCGCGGGCCAATTGGGGGCGGTGAGTCGTGACAGCGCGCCGCCCCCGCAGCAGCCCTCCAGGACGGGAGGCCTGCGGGAGAGCAGAGTGAGCCTAATAACAGCACCATGGGGGCTCTCGGCTCTGCACGCGAACGGTCTACGGTAGTGACGGCACAGCGTTCCAACGTCGCATTTTAAAGGAGAAAACGGGTTCGTCTAGCTAGTGGCTACTGGTTGAGAAGAAAAGGAATGCCTTTGCCAAGGTCCCCAAGTTTTGTCCGTTGGACCCCCGGGTTATAAGAATCGTCGCCGTATGTTTTCGGCACCACAAAACCCGTACCCAACTGCACACTTGCATGGTGGGTTCCCTCAGATACAATATAACATGAGAAAGAAATACGCATTCTCTCCTCGCACTGCGCCCAACCGCCGCTAACTGAGGTTTCACCGTATTACGGTATTGCGAGTGCAACAATTAGTACGTCGGCCTCTAACCCGACTCGGGCGGACTTTGAATCGCCGCGAAAACCACGAGCAACAACCGACGATATTTAGAGCCATGAGCAACATTCCCGACAGTCCTCCGCCGGCATTCTCAGCGGTGGTGGGGGAGCAGCATGACGCGGGGTTTCTCTCCGCAGCAGAAGGCGGGGCTGGCCCCTCTGGCTCTGCTTCCGGCACGGGGGCAGGCAGCAGCGCGGCATCAATAGCGTCGGCCTCGGCGACGCGGAAGTGGGACGACCCGCCCGAGGAGGAGCCCGAAGAGCACCAAAAGCACCTCTCTCAGCCCGAGCTCGAGAATTTCAACACCATGGTCTTCCTGGGCGGGCAGGGCATGCCCTCGATTCCGGGCCGCGAGGTGCAGCAGCTGTCGTTTACGCCCTCGGGGAACCACATAGTCGCCAGGATATCGATAGACTCCAACTTCATCAGCACGTCGACTGATGGGTACTGCACCCTCCAGATATGGCAGCTTCCGAGCACCAAGAAGTTGCAGATCCCGACGGCAACCCACAGGGAGATTCGCGTCAATGGCAACTTCGCCGCCACGACGCGCTATGGCCACGCCGACCATACCGTGTTCGACGTCGTGGTCGTCGGCAGCCGCCACATGGACATCGAAAGGGGCTTCAAGGGGACGCTGGTCGAGCTGTTCAACCTGACGCGCGAGAAGCGGCGGCAGAAGGCGCACGCGCCGCTGCAGGCGCCGTTCGCCTTCAACCCGGATGGGTCGCTGCTGGCGTCGGTGTCGTCGCGCGAGCCGAGCCGCATCATCATCTCCAACGTGGCAGGGGACTCGGTGCAAATGTCGCGACTCATGCCGTACCACCTGGCCGAGGTGACGCAGCTGCGCTTCACGCCCGACGGCAAGGCCGTCGTCAGTGCCGCGCGCGACGGGAGCCTGCGGTTGACGAGCGTCGTGTCGGGCCGGACCATTCTCAAGTCCGAACTGCCTGTTGAGCATCTCCGGTACGACGCGAGCCTAATGGAGGTTAAGTCTGGCGGCGAGTTCGCGGCCACGGTCTGGGGCCGAGAGGTTGTCATGTGGGACCTCAAGAGCGGGCAGCTAACAACGTACGGCCTAGACCAAGTGCGGCAAGGCATGCCTGAGGGCTGGCCGCTGGCCATTTCACCCGACTGTAGTTACTTGGTCTGCCGGACCGAGGACGGATTTGACGTGTCCGACGTTGCCACCGGGCGGTTTCGCGGCGGGCACTCTACTAGCGGATCACCGGTCACAGCGGCCGGTTTCTCTCATGACTCCAAGTGGCTTGCCATGGGATTTTTCAATGGCCAGACGCGCTTGTTCAATATTGTGACGGTTTGAGACAGGGCCTGGTGACTATGGGCTGGAAAAGTAATGCTGAATTTTTTTTTAAATGATACCTGACTGAGAAGAACCTCCGGAAAGTAATGAAATGGAACGGATTTGGCTTCATCGGTGTTCATATCATATGAAATTGGAAGCCGTACCTAAACCCACTCTGCGCGATGACTGTGAATGAATCGAGCGCATCAAGACACTGACACTCGTTTCTTCTGCTGTTGTTAGAACTTGGATCGGATGATGCGCTGAATCATGCCGTCTGTGAAGGTCGTAGGGAAGAAATAATCAAATCATTTCAAAGGCACCGGATGATTATCGCCCGCTTATTCGGAAGGCGCTATGATTGAAACGTTAAACCAAGTCAACTATCATGTTGTCAGGCGTTGAGCTGGCCTTTTCGATGCTTGGACTTGACAATAAGACACCGTCTGGGATGGGCTGAGGATGTTCGAGGGCCGGCATGCCCGCTCGTAGTAGCTGAGAATCGATTTCGTCAATGTGATCGAAGAAATGGCTCTGAAGGTTGTCCCAAAGCTTCAGGCATTCCGCTACCATCGTGATCGGTGTTGGTTAGCCATCGTTGGCAACTCAAAGAGAAACCGACCAGGCAAAAAATAAACAGGCACTCACGTCGAATATCGGGGTGTTTTCCTGTGGCCCATTGTGTGAGCGCAACATGAGACGATATATGGAACATGAATGCTGTGCATAATAGACTGAATTAGCGCCCTGAAATCCGTAATCGGAGCTTTGCACCAGAATACTGCCTGCCACATACCGAGATAATCGTGCGACACTTTTACCGGTGCTTGGGTTGCCTCGGTGGCATGCATATGGGCCTCATATGTCTCGCCATGGGGCATGTAGCTTTGCTCAAAGGACAAGCCGCCAGCCTCGAGCGGTCTAACGCTGCCGGGATATTCGCCCTCAATGATGCCGCATATTTCGGTCGCCATGGTACGATGGTAATAGGGGATGCGCAACGTATCTTGAGCAACGACCCATTTTTCGCCGAAGATGCAAAAGTCCACCAGGCTTACGCCAGGCCACTTGCTCGGTGCTCTGAGGACGCAAAACGCGGTAGGGTCCAGCTGATCCGTGTTCGCCGTCAGATGACTGAACCGCGACAGCTCGTACCGGAAGGGCGCGTATTTCCCATGCCAGGCCACCACATCGAATGGTGTGTGCGGCTGCGAGTAAGAGAAGAGCCGGCCCGAGAGCTTGACTGTAATCTCCCAAGGGGCTAGGGGCGAGATATTGGCTGCTTCAACATCAAAGGCAGCGACGGGGTATTCAAAGTCACGGACATGAGCAAGGCCGTTGGCACCTAGCACACCAAGATCCGGCAGCTCGTAGTGGCTGCCAAATATTTCTAGCGCATACCCAGTTGCCTGTCTGTTGAGGTCTAGCTCTTTGAGGCCGTTGCTGTTATCAAGCCCCGTGACATCAGGCGCGATGATACTGACTGAGAAGCGTATCCCCGCTGGTATGACAGCAACAACGCCTGGCTTGACGCAGAGGTTGCCAAGCTCTGTCTTGATGTCCAATGGGCCACATTGTGGAACAAGCAAGAGGTCGCCGTCGTTGTCGACAAAGGCCTCTCTGTGCATATCGGCATTGAAGGCATACTGATGGACGGCGAGACCTTCTTTGAGTGTCGCATCGCCGTGCCCTCCGACGGTATTCAATCCCTGTACGAAGGTGATATTTTTCTTGCCCTCCGGTACCGTGATGGGTCCCCACGTGTGCGCGAGGGGCGTGAAGGCCACGTTTGGATTGGTAGCAAGAAAGCATGCTTCAATCTGCGTAGGCAAGACATCTGTAAGTCGTCTGGGGGTCATTTTAAACTCAAGATGGGGCTGCTCACTGGGAACGGGCGTTCGGCTTGCTTCAGGGGTGAGTGAGCGGCGGCTGGGCGCTGCCTGTACATCCAACTATCACCTGCTGTGAGCATGGCCATAGCCTCCTCGGTGAATATGAAACTTACACGTTTGAAGCGCTCTCTCGCGACGATATGAACGAAGTACCATTCAGGTGCTCGGCGTAGAGACCATAGCGGCTCTTTTGGGGTAGGTTAGTTCCATTCCGAGGAAGGGCTCCAGGGATGGCCTCGGTTACATGGTGATTGCCAAAGCCAGTCTGGTACTTGTATGGGTCGGCTTCTGGCTCTGGCTCACCAAGCCCGGTTCTAGGACCATCGTCCTCGTAAAGTTCTTTGACAAGCATCGTGTGGAAAGGAATTGTAACTCGGTAAGGTGTAAAGCCCAGGAGGCATCAACCCGTGAAGGTGAAGAATGACTTGAATGAATCCGCAAGATTGAGGCTATTGTTGGAATAGGATAAGGCGTTGAATTAGAGAGTAAACTAAACAGCCGTGTATAGAACGTGCACGGCGTCCCAGGGGCTAAATACGTGAGGTAGGCTGGTATAGAACGAGAGGCCTTTACAGCTGGCCTCTTGTAGCAAACCTGCCGTGCGAAGCTGATATGAGGGACAAACAAGTCTGTAGGTGCGATGTGTGTGGGAGGAGGGACTAAATTGCTCAGGATCATGGGGCGTCGTGGCCCGGATAGGTGCCAAGGAAATAGACCCGAGCTTGAGGATTAAAAATCAAATGGTGATGCTCTGTTTGCGCAGCTGCATGGTATCAATGTACAAGGGCCTTGGGTTGGCGAGTCGGCGAGCCACGCACGGAAAGGGTTAGCCACTTACACGTCGGGTAAGGGGAAGTTGGGAACTCTCAGGCGAAGAATCAGGGAACCGCAACTGCGCGGATATTGCTTGGTCTAAAAAGGGGTACATACAAAAGGTAGATAAGCGAAGGGAAGGAAGCCGTCATGCGGCCGCTCGTGTGCGGCCTGCGGTGAGCTAGGTAGTCGGTTGCGCAAGACGCGGCCCGCATCCATTATTGTCCACTGCTGTCACCCGTGGAGTTCAGTACGAAATCTTGGGGTGAAACAAGAGGAACGGAAATACCATGGATGTCAGTGGCGGACGGGGGTCGGGGGCCGGGAGATTCGGCCTGTTAGCTCGAGGGGATTAGGGCGAGGGAAGGGGAAAGGAGGGTAGTGTACAAACGGACTCTATGTTCCGTACCCCCTCCCCAGTCCACGCATCAATAACAAGGCACGAAGTCCACCGGAGTTCGGCCACTGTGGCCAATCGGCGAGGCATTCCCCAGACACTAGGATTCAGGAAGGCGGGCAGCTGGCGACAGACGTATGCAAGTCAATTGGAGTACCAGCGAGCTGGGTCCGGCCGAACACAGACACGCCATGGCCATGGGCATGGGCATGAGCATGGACATGGATTGTGGCTCTCTGCGACTCCGGGCGGCCGACTCAAGCAGGTCGTATTGTGTTCCAGCCTGGCCGCCTTGGCACTTCTGACGACCCTTGCTCTTCTCCGGCCTGCAGCAGCCACACACTCGGCTGTGCTGTGCTGCTGGCCCCTCAGTAACAGTTGGCATTTCGAGGCGGGGTTGCGTTACGCTGCGTTGTGTTTGCGCCTTGAGTGTTGTGTGCGGGCTGGTACCGGAGAAGGGAGAGCCGGAGCGGGGGCGGGTGGAGGGGGGAAAGTCGGTTGGATCGGGTGGCGCTGTCGGGAATCCCGAGAAATCGGGCTGAATGGAAGCAAAAAAAAAAAGGCAAACACGCCCAAGGCATCGAATACCTGGGATGGTGCAACGGCTTATCGCATCCATGGTGGGGGCAAGCCGGCAGGCCTGGGCGACTGGCTGCTCCTTCAAGTTCTGCTGCGGACTGCTGTTGGCTCCTTCCTCTGCCGCCGGCTGTTAGGTTCGTGTGCCCACCGGCCGCCCTGCTCCTTCCTTAGGTGCACAACGTGTCGTTGCCCGCACGCATGCATAGACGAGTTGCCGGCAGGCAACGGTTTGGCTTCGTTTCTTGTGGGGAAGGGACGGTACATGTACATGCAAGCACGCACACGCAGCTGCCTTCCCAGCTTTACTCCCGTCGGTTCCCTCAAACCTGTTGTGGCTTCGTGCCTTCGTGCCTTCGTGCCTACCTTCCTGCTGCCCGCAGCCCAGCACCTGGCCAATGGCTCCTCCCTCGGGGATACCAGGGAGTCTTTTATCTAACCTAGAAAGCTTGGTCAGCTCATCCTAGACTCCTAACAAGCGTCTTGGGACCTACTACGTGTCATGGAAAACAAACACCTCAACCAGGGAAGACTCTCGGCTGGCTGCATTCCCGAATCCCGTGCGGGTCGACGGTCCATTGGATTGACGGCCTCTTTGTCAGATACCTTGCCTACCTTACCTTGCTCTCTGTACTGACCTACCTAGGCAGCCTCAGCTAACAGGATCTGGCATGTACATGCACAGTACAGTCTATCGATGCATCATGGTGCAGCAGTGTAGTGCGTTAGCTGTTGACGCGACTGACGCGGCCCGACCACAATCACCGTCCATGGCCTGATGCGCTTCTGCCGCTCTACCTACGGATACCCTGGGCTGTCTTCCATTCATGCCTGACGGCCCCCTACGGTTCCTTACGGTTCCTGCCGGCAGGCTAGCTGGGTCCACATGGCCCGCCGACGCCGACGCCGACGCTGATCAACCATGCTTGCCGCTTCGTCATCCTGTCGGGGGAGGTGGGTCATCCTGTCGGGGGAGGTGGGGAAGGAGAATCGGTATTGCCTTCCGCCGTACAGGGTACCGACCTCTTTGGCCCGACGTCGTCTACGCTACTAATGTGCGTATACAACTTACCAACACGACACCCAGGTCGAATAGGCAGCCTTGCCCAGATACGAGCATGATGGCCGAAGAAGAGAGCAAACAAAAACCAGGGGATCGCTCCCATAGACAACGCTACCTACCTCGAGACTAGTGCCAGGCAGTCCGATCCTGACATGCATGGCGCCGGGTGGAATCTCGTCTGATGCATTGGTAGGAAGGGTTAACAGGTTTATCGCGTGAGAGAATCCCTGACTGGCATTCGATCTAGAAAACGTGAGCAGTAAGAATCTACCTAGCAGGCACCTGCCTAACAGCAGCTTGAAACTCGAACTTTTTACCACGTCCGATCACCGGGGTCTACAAAAGTGAAGCTAACAGCGGCGGCTACGCGAACCAACGGACAACCAACTGGCGCGAACTAGCAGCCAACTGGGCGCTCCGCGGCAGTAGCCCCTTCCGCCTTTGCTGGCCCGGGGTGAGGATTTGTCACACCTCGGACCAGAGTCACATGGAAGAGGCCAAGTGTGCTACGTCTCCAGCCAGCTGCTGTTGCTTCTGGCCTACCAGAAGCTGGGAGCATAGCACACAGTACATGGGGACGGGCCGGGGAAATCCCCCGGATACCCCCAGCTCGGAAGCGGAAGTGCCACACGTCCAACCATGGCCATATGAGGAAGGAGACAACCAACAAAGATACTGCACCAAACTTTGCCAGTGCCTGCAGGGCAAGTGCGAGTCAAACTCGTATTCATGGAGGCGGCAGACCAGGAAGCCAACCACTTAGCATGTGTCTGTTGGAAGATCGAAGCTTGGGCCTTGTTTGCGTAAGGTGTGTCCCACTCTTTATCCTGCTCCTCGGTCTCGCAATGCCAGGCTTATATATGTTTGATGCCAATATGGACGTCAGAACATCCCAGACAGGCAGACATTAGCGAGCCAGACTGTAGCGGACATTAGTGGCAAGTAGGTCTGACCCACGTGCATCAGGGCTGAGCTGCCTGTACCTCTGGCCCCGTGGTTTGGTTTGGCTCTCGTCTGTAGGTCTCCATGTCGTAAAGTCTTCCATCGATGACGGGGATTTGGGCTGGTATGCTAAGGGGCTCAGCCGTGCGTTCGAATGGTTGACTGCCGCAGATCCCAAAAGCTCCGAGGAAGAATGAAAGAACAAGGAAGGGAGCGCTGTTGTGCACCACGAGTAAGTTCACACAAGCTGTTCATCAACCGTCAAAAAATGACTACCTGCATTATGATGCACTTGGACGAGTACAGTAGCGGCATTATTACTGGTAGACGGGGTTTTGTGTTGCACGAGGTGCTAGGCCTCCGCTACGATTCGGCGATTTCCCTGCACCCTCCGGAGTACTTGGGCTTGTATAACCGCCGTATCTCTCTCACACAGGTCGTGTAGGGGTGGGGAGAGTCTAGAGAGATTTTCGTGGTGTTGTTTAAAGGGGGGGGGGGGGTTGACGGTTCGAATTCCCCTTTCTTATTGACCAATGCTGGATCCCGAGTAAACCAACTGACTCTTCGCCACCAACCAACCAACTAGCCATCTAGCCAACTAACCAGCCATCCGGCCAACCAACTAGCCATCTAACTAACCAACCACCTACCTCTGGTCATGGCTTTGCAGCCTCGCGGCAGGTAACCCGCACGGTAAGCAAGCCATGCCTGGACAGTTTGCGTGTTGGCTCTTTACCACCTAGACACATACGAAGGTCATATCATGGAGAGGAGGAACAATGCGCGGTGCTTGCATACCTAAGTTCCTAATCAAGGCAACAATGGAGAAAAGATCTAGTTGAATGCGTGGGCCTTTCTTTGTCACCACCTAGGTAAGGTACCGGGCATTGTGTTGCAAATCCAAGAGTAACTGTAGGTGCATATAGTATATTGCCGGCCTAAACAAGTATGTACATCTACCCAGGTCTAGTTGGTCGCATGTGCCAGTCGATCAATGTCCTCGCGGCCGCCATGACCCGACCCGACCTGCCTGCAACGTGGACAATCCCCAGCTATCGCTATGCTTCGACACATGCCCCCCCCTCCTCCCAAATACCTTACAGGCGTGTGAAATAGAGACAGCTAGCCGACAGCTAGCCGACAGCTAGCCATGATGAGGTCGAGATAGTAAGCTAAGAAATATGTAATTAGGTAAGGAAAGTTCCAAGGTAGACACCGTGACTTTCACAGAGTAGGCAGGTAGACGAGCCATAGTTCCCTTCCCTGCCACTAGTTGAAAGTCTAAGCATATCATATCATATCATTACCACGTCCGCGTCCAAACCGCCTTCCCTATTTTATTTGTATCAGATATTTTATTTCTGTCCATCTCTCTCTCTCTCTCTCTCTCCAAGACATGTATATACAAAAAAGACCACGAAAAAAACAAAGGGAAAAGTACCAAAAGAATTGTGTGGGTACGTGTGTGTTTGTAGGTATGCATATATGACATGATGTGACGTGAGGCGGGCGTGTAACATTTGTAAGAAACTAGCGGTGGGTAATGTGCTGGATGGCGGCCATCCACTTCTGCTCGTCGGCTCTGATGTGAGAAGGAGCGCGTTAGTATATAGTGATCAGACAGACACCAGTAGTGCAGAGAAAGGACTCACTTGTCAAACTTGAGCAGCTTCCCTAGCACGGGAACTAGCTGGGCGCGCAGCTTGTTGTCCTTTTGCTCGAGGAACTGCAGCAGGATGGTCTTGAGGTACATGGCGTCGGGGCTGGTGGAGGCGCCGTTCTGGGCGGCGGCGGCAGACCTGATGGAGGCCGAGTCGTCAAAGGAGCTGCGGCTCGACATGCTGACGGCCGTGGCGGCGGCGCTCGATAGCGACGGGGTGGCGGCGGATAGGGCTAGGCGGGCCTGCAGCGTCTTGGCCTCCTTGGAGAGCTTGTCGTAGCGCAGGCGGTAGTCGTCGAGGCCCTTGCGCAGGTCGGCCGTCTTCTTCTCGGCGTCGCGAGCCTGTTGCTCGGCGGCGTCGAGGGTCTGGCGCAGGTTGGCGACGGTGGCGCGCATGTCAGCGAGGTCGGCGTCGGCCGTGGCCTCGCGGGCCTCGAGCTCCTCGCGGCTGCGGCGCCACTCGCGCTCCTTGTAGTCGAGGTCGTCGCGCTCCGTCTGCAGCTGCTTCTGCTCGCGCTCGAGGTCGCGGATGCGCTGGCGCAGGTCCTCGGCCTCGCGGGTGCGGCGGCGGGCGAGCGCGCTGGCCTCGTCTTCGAGCCGGTCGCGCTCCTCGACGGCCGCTTCCATGCGCCCGCGCATCTCGCGCACCTTGGCCTCGGCCCGCTCGTCGACGTCGGCCAGCAGCCGCCGCATCGTCTCCGTGTCGCGCGTGCGCTCGCTCAGCAGCCGCCGCGCCTCAGCCAGTTCCTCGTCGAGCGCCTCGCACTGGCCCTGGCTCTCCTTGAGCTGGATGCCCACCTCGGCCGCCTGGTCGCGCATGCTGCCCAGCAGGCTCTGCGCGCTGGCGTACTGGCCGGCCTTGAGGTCCGCCTCCTCGCGCAACGCGTCGTGACCTCGCCGGAGCTGCGCCACCTCGTCTTCCAGCTTCTTGATCTGCGGCCGGAGGTGCGACGCCTCCTCCTGCACGCGCTGCAGCTCCCGCGCCGTCTTCTCCTCCTTGGCCGAGAGCTCGATCTTCTCGGCCTCGGACCGCCGCAGGTCGCGCCCGGCCACGCGCTTCTCGTCCTCGAGCCGTAGCCGCGCGTTGGTCTCGGCCGCCAGCTTATCGTGCAGCCCCTTGACCTCTGCCTCGCGGTCGGAAGCCAGCCGCTGTGTGCGTGCCAGCTCCGTCTTGAGGTCCTTCTCGCGCTTCTCGAGCCCGCGCAGCTCCGTGTTCTTAACCGCTAGCTCCTCGCGCGTGGTCTTGAGCGCCGCCGACTCCAGCCTGAGGCTCTTAAGCTCGGGCTGCGCCTTCTGGAGCACCTCGCGCAGGTCTGTGAGGTCCTTGTACCGGGCCTGCGCCAGCTGCTGCGCCGCTGCAATGTCCGAGTGCAGGGTTGACGACTTGGAATCGAGCTTTTCGAATTCCGCCTTGAGAGAGTCGTACTCGCTCTTGAGTTTCGTGTTCGTCTCCTTGGCAGCTGACGCCTCGCCCTCGACCTTTTCGAGGTCTGCGATGCGCTTTTCCAGCATCTTCTGCTGGGCCTTGGCTGCCGCCGCCCCTGCCTCGACCTTTTCAAGCTCGGCGATACGCTCCTCCAGCGTCTTCTTCTCGGCCTTGAGTTCCTTCACCTGATTCTTGGTCTCCACGAGGTCGCCGGAGAGGGTCAAGAAGTTGTCTTGCAGAAACTCGTTGTCCTCGCATGTCTTTTGCGCCTTTGCTAGTTGGCCTAAGAAGGCTTCTATGCGCCGGTCCTTGCTCGCGAGCTCGTCATGAAGGCGCGTCAGCTCCGTCTGCAACTCCCCGCTCACCGAGCCCTCGGCTGGTGAAAGGGGTGGCTGGTCTCCGGCTGATATATCGTTCGAAGTGGTATCCAAGGCGGCCGTAGACCCTGTTGTAGCACCGCCCTTCTTCTTCTTCTTGTTCTTCTTCTTGGAGCCGCCGCCGCCGCCGCCGCCGCCGCCGCCGATTGTAACTGGAGTAGCCGGAGGTGCGAGAGTTGTATCCGTAAACACATTCGCAAGGGCTGCTGGCGGTAGGGAGTCAATCTTTGTTCGATAGGTTTCGAACATGGCTTTCATGGCTTGCTTGGCGCTCTGGTCCTTTTTCAACAAGTCAAGCTCCGCTGCCAACTTGTTGCACTTTGCCTCCAGGTCCGCCTTCGCCTTCTCCAGCTTCCACTTCTCCTCGCTCTCCGCCAGATTCTCGGGCTTGAACAAGTTGACGGCGTTTGTAAGCATGACCGACTTTGCTTCCAAAGCTGCGGCCGCGTCATTCTTTTCCCTTTCTAGCCGGGCTTCAGCCTCGCTCAGAGCTGTGGCCGCGTCCTTCTTCTCCTTTTCTAGCCGGGACTCGGCCTCACTCAGAGCATCGGCCGCACTCTTCTTCTCCAACTCGAGCTGTGACTCGACCTCTTTCAACCGGGATTGCGACTTTTCAAGACGGTCGGTTAGCGAAGCAATCTCGGCCTTCTTGGCCTCGAGCTGAGTCTCGACCGAGCCCTTGACCGCGACAACGTCTCTCGATTCGCTCAGCTCTCGGGCCGTCGACTCGAGGCTCTCGACAAGGCTGGCGCTGTTTTCCTTGGCCAGCAGCAGCTCTTCTCTCAGGTTCTGGATTTCGGTGTGCAGCTTTTGAATCTCGCCCGACTGCTTGTCGACTTCGGCCCGCAGCTGCGGCATCTCGGTGTCGTATGAAAAGAAGTCGGAGCCGCCCTCGGCTTCGGAGCCCTCTTCGGCCTTGGGCTTGGGTGAGAAGACGGACATGACGCGCGCCACTGGGGACTTGCTTGCCGATGGCGCCCGCGAGTGTTGGGTTTCAGCCGGGGCACTTTGTTCCACCGTTGTCGTCTCTTCAGCTTTGGAAGTAACGTCTTCGGCGGCGGCGGCCCTCTTGTCCTTGTCCAGCTTGAGTACGGCAACCTCGTCCCTCAGGGTAGCTAGCTCCTCGTCTGCGTCGTCGGCCTTCTTCTTGTACGAGTCCTTCTCAATCGACACGCGCTTGAGCTCTTCCATGACCATGTCGCTCTTCAGGTTAAGCTGGTTGAGGTATTCGACGAAGGCATCCGTGTCCTTGATCGAGGTCAAGGGAGAGTTCTCCTTAAGAGCCTTCTCGAACGGCTCGATGGACGTGGCGCGGCTGTGCGCGATGCGATAGGAGCGGAGGAGTTCTGCAACTATTAGTTAGAGGGAAAGGGTGTGTGGCTGGTGGTGGAAGCGAGAGTGAGGGCGCCAACCTGGATAAGTCTTCTCCAGCTTCTCCAGCTTCCGTAGTTTGGTGCGGACGTCGGGAGAGAGCTCTGCTGAGACGGGGGCTGATGCCGACGTTTGTTTTACGCCTGTTTTCTCTGCATCTGCCGTAGCCGGCTCGCCGTTGGCTGCTCCGTCCTTTTGCGAGCCAGTGCCATCTTGGGAGGGAGTGGCAGTGGCAGTGGCCGACTGTGCCGCGTCCTGTGCGGCGGCGTCCTTGTCAGCCGGAACGGGCGTAGCCACCCGGGCAGGAGTGGGGACCTCGTCGTCGTCGATGACAAAGGCAGCCTCGAAGACGGCAGGGTCGGGGTTGGAGGATGCCGCATCGGCTGAGCCACTAGCATTAGAGTCTTTGGCCTCGCTAGGCTTGCGCGGCCGTGGCTTCCGGGCTGGGGACTGTGTTCCGGCGCCGCTCAAGGATCTTGCACGCGACGTCGAGCCGGAGCGGCGCGTCGAGTCAGTCGCGGGCTTGGGGGTATTCTCGACATTGGCCTTGTGTCGAGCCTGCTCCTCGGCAATGGTGCGGTCGATCGTGTTCCGGAGTCGCTGCATCGTGGTCGTCGAGGTTAGCTGCCTTAGTTAAGACGGCAAGAGGAGCGCTGCGGCAGCGATTGAAGACGACGCTTTGACAGGAATTGTCTGCCTACCTGGAACATGATGGGCTATTGGAGTCTTGTTCACTGGCAACCGGTTGAGAAGCCACGATAGCGAAAATAAAGAATGCAGCGAGCGGGATCGTCAACGCATGCACCGGAAGTCATGGGTGTTTGGCCCCAATGCCCAAACTAAAAACGAAATTCTGCAATGGCAAGATGTAGGGCCATGCACTGCTCATACACAGAGCAGTCTCGCTGACAATATGGGACTTCCTATTCAGAAAGCACCCAGAAATGTTGCAGTTTCTAAACTTTTTTCAGTGCGGCTGGAAACTATCCGTAGAAGCCACTTGTAACAAGTGACCAACCAGCCTTCCATTCTGAGCCGCGCCAAGACGCTGGTCCTTCCTAACGAAGAGAGCCTTGGGCTGTCAGGGGTAAGGGGCCCCTGCGGCGAGGCTAGCACAAGCCCGATTTCCGTACCAGTTTACAAGTTCCGAAGAACAAAGACAACAGGGAACCCAAAATGATGCGCCCGTCTTGAATAATAACTATGGTTCCAGATAGTGTGGATATTTATTTCCAATATCCTCTAGTTTTAGACTACATACTGTGTATATCACCTGGTCTACTAGCATACCCTCTCTCACCAAAGCCGTGGCCGGGTTTCTCTTCATGAAATGGGCGAAGACGCCTGGCGAGTCATTCTGGTGTATGGGGCGCTTGGAGACAGCAACAGCTAGCCTGTTCACTTGAACATACACTAAGTAGAGGCCTGTGCTCGGTACTCCATAACACGGATCCGTACGGAAGTAGCCGTTAGACATTTCGACCAAATATTGGTTTAACCGCTTGATGAGGTCACCGTGCACAAGCTTTCTGTTCTTCCCGCCAGTTGGTTGGTCTGGGCCCACGCTGTCATCGCTGCTGCTCGTCGGAGCATGCCCTAAAAAAACACTTTACAGCGTGCTCCGTTCAGAGGGTCCGGTCCATTGCGTCGCTGACCTGCTTTTTCCTGCCGAAATCGCCGCCCTCTCGCGGGGCAGAAGAGGGCTGCCGTCTGCATCCACTGCTACCGTCGACAGCTAAAGAATATTTGCGACGCAGCTTCGAGTTTTTTGCTGCCGCGCCGACACGGCAACCGCGCCAACACGGCAACAGCAAGCAACATGGTCTCGTTCTGGCCATGGAAGGTATGCGCCACATCTTTCTTCTCTTCCTCTTCATGACAGACCTACGGAGTAGTTCTAGGTAGAATTGCCTTGGCGGAGAGCTGACTTTTCCCCCGTTGGACCTGCAGCGCGACGACTCTTCCCCGGCGTCGTTTGAGAAGACGCTCTCGACGCTGTCGACCAAGATCGCCGCCACCCAGGCACAGCTCGACAAGGCCCGCGCAACCCTCCGACGGGTCAAGGTTCTCTCGACGCTCTACCTGGGCTTCGCGTACCTGGTGTACACTATCGTGCTCCTGCTGGTCCTCGGATGGCAGAACATGGGCACTCTGGAGTGGACGGGCGTGACGGGCGGGCCTGTGTTGATCTACCTCGTCCGCGCCGCCTCGTCCGCTGTCTTCAACTATCGCATCGACCGCCTCAGCGCGCGCCTCGAGGCCCACCAGACGGAGCGCGCCAAGACCATCCAGAAGCTCAAGGACGCAACCAAGTACGACTCGACCCTCGAGCTGCTGGAGAAGTACGGCGGGCCCGAGAACAAGGCCAAGAAGGGCAAGAAGAAGGGCGGCCCCGACGGTGACGACAACAGCAGCAATGATGAGAACAGGGGCAAGCAGGGCCAAGGAAGGCTGCCGAACCGCACCAACGTACCGCCACCACCCACGGCCAACATTCAGCGATCACCCATCCCGTCAAACCTGAGCACGCCCCAAACACGACCTCGTTCGGCCCTGGGCACCCCAGCCGGGCAGAACTCGCCGCCACCCGAGGCACTGGACGCCTCGGCCGAGTTCGCGCCCAACGCCTACGATGGACGGCCCCCGTCGTCTCCGGCGTCGTACACGCAGTACCCGCCCGCGCCCGTGTTGCCGGCGGCCGAGTCGCACTGGTACGACCGGATCCTGGACACGCTGCTAGGCGAGGACGAGACAGCGGCCAAGAACAAGATCGTCCTGATCTGCGGCCGCTGCCGGCTGGTCAACGGGCAGGCGCCGCCGGGAACCAAGTCGCTCGCCGACCTCGGCACGTGGAAGTGCATGGCCTGTGGTGCCGTCAACGGCGAGATGGACGAGGGGAAGCGCATCGTCCAGGAGGTGCTCGGACGTCGCTCCGCCGTCGGTGCCCAGGCATCCGCGGCGGCTACAGATGACGACGATGACGCGGCCGAGGATGCCGCCGGAAACTCGAGCGACGTGATCGAGGTCGACAAGTACGACGCCTCCTCGGGGATCCCTGAAGGCTCCCGGAGACGCAAGGGGAAGAAACAGCAAAACTGATTGATATACGCGGATACACCACTTCTATTTTTCTATTTGGCTGCATTCATGGGGGCAATCTACCTGCTGCTGTCGCCGGTCTCTTTTGTTAGGTTTTGCGCGGTTTTCTTCGTTGATACCACCTCGAGGCTACATAGGCTATGTAGACCGGTACTCGGTTCTATTTTCTTGCCGCTGACATCGCTGTTACGGCTGGGTTCTCTTGCCGTTGACATCGCTGTTACCGCTGGGTTCTTTGTGAGTGATCATCTTACACTGTGAATACCTGCTTCCCGTTGCATTTTAGCATCAAGTGTCTCCAAGATTCCGCAACTCGGGAATATCAACAGCGGGATTGTGCTCTGGGGAATGTTAAATTAGCAAGGAGAACAGGGCATTAGTCAGCAGCGGTGGCCTCTTTGTCTGGGATGCTCCTACTGACAACAAAGGGTTCTGCGATCTCTGTTTTACTCGGCAAGCACACGGTACCGGAACACAATAGGGGGTTTCCTTGGTGGAAGCAGAGCAAGCTATGCTGCGGCTTTGTCTGCAAGCAATAGCGTCGTGACTCGTGGGTATTCTGGAGACTAGACGGGTATATGGCCACGTACCGGCCGTTCTTGAAATTTTTTTATATAAATGGGCCGAATTGTCCGTCTTGGGATTAGCAATCATCATCCTCGTCACCGCTCTCGACTTGCAGCGGGTCTGCATAAGACTCACGCCGCGCTCCATCGAACTTCGGTCAATTAACACAGCCAAGATGACTGTCACCTGCACGCTCTGCGGCGGCAGCTGCGCAGACGAGTGCTTTGCGAAGCACAACGGGGGGGACAACGGCGACTTCTCGTGCCACAACCCCTCGTGCAATCTGCACAAGGGTAGCACTATCAACTACAAGAAGATGATCTACCCCTGTTCCGAGCTCGGGCGCCTGAAGAGGGAGTCAGGGGCTAACAAGGTCCACTATAACCACCCCGGCGATAAATCTGACGACGTCGGCGGGAAGCGGCGGCAGCGGCGCGCGGCAACGGGGCTCGACAAGGCGTTCGAAGACCTGAACATCGACGAGGACTCGTACGTGGAGCGGGTGCGGCGGAAGCGGCGCGAGTCTGCAGCCCCCGCCGAGTTCGGCGCCGCGTACCCCAAGTCCGGGCCCATTTACACCGAGGCCAAGCAGGACCGCGGGCGCGCCGCCGCCGACAAGTACTTTGGCCCGGCCCGGTTCCCGACGCGCCCGCCCGGGTACGACCCCGGCGCCGCTGGATACCCCCCCGACCGGGTCCGCGACTGGGGCTGCGGCGCCGACACTGCGACGCGTGGCCGTCCGCCTTCCCGTGTTGTTGGTGATGATGATGATGATGATGATGATGATGATGATGATGATGATGATGATGATGGCGACGACGAGGCCGCGTACAAGCCGACTCAGCGGCCGGGACGCTCGCGCTCGCGCTCGCGCTCTCGACGGCTGTCTTCGTTAGGCGATGATGGTGGTGATGATGACAAGCGCCGCTGGAGGAGACCAGGCCAGCCGGACCCAAACGCGCCGTGCTACCGCCGCCCAAGCTCCGCGTACGACCGCGACGGGTTCACGTTCACGCACATCGGCAAGCCGGACAGAGAGGAGGAGGACAGGAAGCGGAAGCAGGCCAAGTGGGCCCAGGTCAAGATCGAAATGCAGGCTCAGGAAAACAAGGAGCGTCGTGATGAGGATAGAAAGAGGAGGTCGGGGAGGTAATTACCTAACTTGCCCCCTTGTGTCCTTTTTCTTCTTTTTTTTTTCCTACCCCCTTTCCCCCCCTTTTCCCCTCTTTTCCTTCTTTCCTGGTTTAAAACCTAACAAATAAAAAGTACAAAAACAGATCGGCAACCGGCATACTAAATTGATAAATATAATTCGTATGGTATAATTAAGTTCTCCCTTTTCCTCGTTTCTTTTTCCTGCGTGTCACATTCCCCTTTCCTTGCTTTTCTTTGTTTTCTTTTGCGTTTCAAAGCTTACAAAAGGAAAGGCGAATAACGACTTCAGAGAGCTTCCAGCCAAATCAGCAGCTAGCCAAATCAGCAGCCAGCCAATTAGATTCGTGAGTGAAATTCGTGTGTCTTGCATTTCCCGCCTTTTCTGCTCCTGTTCCATGACTTAAATCCATTACATCACCTCTGGGCTCTTGAGCGGGACAATTCGCATCATGGACCGAATAGAAATCCAAGTAAAAAACTCTGAAGGACATGTGCCCGATTCTTTAAATAGCATTGTGATTTTATGGCTTTGATTCGTAGATTCTGCGTCTGGCGGCGTGTTTCAGAAGTGCACTTTCAGCGAGAAGTGCACTTTCAGCGTGTACCTGAGTAGCTGAGACAAGAGAGCGACCACGTCGACACCTAGGGTGCCTGACTGCCTGAGCTGTTGCTTACTTGGCTGGTTTCTCCGCCAAGAGCCACAGGTTAGCAGGACGTCAGGTAGAATTGTGTTTTACTGTCGGGTGTTTCAGTTTGCCGGGGGACGGGCCGGTGGGCAGGACGGTGACCTCTTCCGTCTCACCACGTAGCTGCCCGCCGTGGAGCCGAGGTGGTGGGCAAGTCAGGAGCCGCTCCGATATCTGCCTCACCCTATCCGACGCCCAATTAGGACGTGCAAGCGCTGCAAAAGTTGCCACGCGTTTAATTAACCAAAATGCCCGGTGTTCGCGTCGGATACCTACGAGTTCGTCGATGATGAAAGTGCACCACACACGGGCAGCCGAAGCCTGACGGTGTGTTGGCACGCTACTGGCCAGCAACCGCTTCCCTCCGCCCTGCCCAGTCGGCTACTGGCACTGGGCACCACCACACCACCACCTCACCTCGGCCCCATGGCGACCTGACCACGGTTGCCACTTGGGCTGCAATTGCAGACCAAAGCTCTGCAACTTTTTCAATCTTCATTTCCAAACAAAACCCCCCGGCCCCTTATTTGAGTCTCGCCGTCCTGGCCGAGCTCTTCTCTGTTTCTTCTCCTTCCTCTTTCTCTGCTACCCAGCAATCGCACCAGCACATTCAAACACACCCACACAGTTTTCAGAGTCGTCAGGATGGTTATTTTAAATTTTCCACGCCGACTCCTCCACTACCACACCGCCGCCGCCGCCATCACCAATGCCAACACCCCAGACCCTCTCCGCCATTCTTCTAATACGAGCAGCAGCAGCAGCAGCAGCAGCAGCAGCAGCAGCAGCAGCAGCAGAAGCAGAGCTACACGCGACCCCAACACAATATGGATCCCTGGGACCCCTCCCATGCCAACGCCGACACCATCGCCGTCGACAACAATGACGGCAATACCACTGCCCCCACGACGGACTGGGACTCCGGCGATAGCGAGGGGGTTGACTATGTTTACAAGGCCAGGAGGAGGAGCTTTGAAAAAGGCTCTGCCAAGGCCATCAAGAGCAGCCCCCCGGGACGGCAGAGATCACCGCGAGGCCGAGCCAAGGTCCTCGCAAAGGGCATCGCCATCCGCTGCACATGCGGAGCGGCTGAGGCGGCGGCGGCGGCGGCGGCGGCTCGTCGGGCGGCCGGCCACGGTGGTGGCTACCACAGCAACAACGAGTCGACCGCTTTCGAGGATGATGACACTGATGTCGAGGAGAATCACACGGAGCATGCGTGCTACGGTGCTGCCGCCGCAGACGCCGCCAAACAAGGTCATGGTCGCCGACTCTCTGCGCACCGCCGAGGAGGCCGCCGCGGCAGCACAGAGGCGGAGCGCGAGGATACGGGCGAGGATGGCACTGGCAAGGACCGCGGCGTCGGAAACGGCGGGCGCGGTGATGGTGGCGGCGGCGGGAAGAAGATGACGTCGCCCAGCGGGAAGAAGCTGCCCAGCAAGAACAGGAAGCGGACCCCCTACATCGAGGAATACCCCGGCGAGCCGCGCCGGCCCGTGATCCTCCTGAGAGAGCACAAGCTTCCCCGCAGGTTTTCCACCTCGGATGCGAAGCGCGTGCGCGATCTCGAGGATGGCCCGGCCTCGGTGTCGGGGGGTTCGCGAGGGAGGTCCCCTCCGTCGTTCGCAGGGAAGCGTCTGCCACCGGCGTGGGCGGCGTCGTCTTCGCCGACCCACAAGTCACCAAAGCACCAGATCCTAATCAACGCCGCCAAGCACCGGTCCGACGTCGACGACAGCTCGCAGTCCGAGTCGGAGCGCGAGCCCACCACGCCACGCCACCGCCGCCGCCAGCATCAGCAACACCCCGGCCACGTTGACGGCGGGGCTGGGCACACGTCGACGGCGGCTGGCACTGCCATTCCCGTGCCGGCTTCCACCGTCGCCCGGAGCTCTGCCTGGACCAGCCACTACAGCCGCGAACAGCAAGAGCCGCAGTACTCGTCGTCGTGGCCGATGCAGAGCGGAGCCCACTACCCACGAAACACCAGCCGCAAGAGACGCAGCAGACACTACGACCAGGGTGGTGACGACGTTGTCGGTGGCGGCGGCTACGAGAGCGAGGACGAGAGCGACGACCAGCTCTCAGCACGCCGCCGCGACCGCAACCACGGCACTCGCCACCCCCACCACCAACACCACTACGACAACCCCGACGAGGAGGACAGGGACACGGACACACTTGCTAACAGCACTGGCGTCGCTGAAAACGCACGCCAGGCTCGGCAACGGCCTCACGCATCTCCTCCCCCGCCGCCGATCCACATCAAGGCGCCGCACCGGCGGCCGCGGCAGCACTCGCCGCTGCGGCCCGTGACGGTGGCCAGCCGGCGCAGCTTCGCCACTGGCGCCAGGGGCCGGTCGCCGACGGGCACCGAGTTCTGCGAGATCTGGCGCGGCCGCCCCGAGGACTGGGAGTCGCCCTACAACTCGGACCTCGAGGTCGGCGGCGGCGGCGACGACGACGACCCGGGCCTGCTGCTGCTGGACGAAACGCCACGGCACCAGCCCGCCCTGCTGCCCCCGCCCGCCCTGCTGCCGCCCCCGCCCGCCCCGTCCACGCGCCGCTCGGCCTCGAGGACTACGCTGGGAAGGGGCGGGGCAAAGTCGCTGCTGTCCACGCGCCGGTCGTTCTCGCGGTCGCGGTCGCGCTCGCGATCCCTCGCGCCAGCCCGCTCGAGGGGCCGCTCCAGCCGCCGAAGGATCGTGGCAACGCCGGCGCCGGCGGTGGCGGCCGAGTATGTCGACGCCAGCGGCATGGAGCTCGGGCCGTTTCTGCTGCTCGACGGGCCGCCGTGCGCGTCGCCATCGCCACTGCTGCCCGAGACGAGGAGCCGCTCGGTGCTCTCGCGCGGATGGGGCCTCGAGCAGGACCCGGACCTTGACGGCGAGTGGGAGCGGCAGCGCAGGCTCGTGCGGCGGGAGCCGTCGCGCGGCAGCCCCCGCAACCTCGAGTCGGCGACTCCGCCGCTCGCCGCCTGGGAGCTGGAGATCCTGCCGCCGCGGCGACGGCGCGAGGACGTCCGGCCGTCGCGCCGGTGGACCATCGACAGCCACTACCCTGACGCTGGAAGCTACTACAACGTGGCTAACTTCGACTTTACCCACAACAACAACAACAGCTATGACGGCGGCTACAATCACCACAGAACCTTGAACAATATCAGCAATAATTACCCCCCCCACCACGACCAGTACAACGACATACCCTTCAACTTCAACGCCAGCAACGCCATCGCCCCCATGCCCATGTTTGCCGAGCCTGAGGTTATCATCACTGCCACAGCTCCCGTTCCTGCACCACCACCACCACCACCACCACTACCAGCAGCTCCGCCCCAACTAAACTTGCGCGGCGGCGGCGACGACGGTGGAAACAGCAACGGCACTGGCACCGGCAGCGCCTGGCGCCGCGGCGTGTCGCGCGGGCCCGTCTTCTTCGCGGCCCGCCGCACGCGCGAGTTCCTGTGCCCGCAGCCCAAGCGCGCCGCCCCGTCGGCGCGCTTCAACTTTGACGCCTGGGCTACCACGCGCAGCTCGCTGGCTCTGCCGCTGCTGTCTACTGTTGGTGGTAGTGGAGGTAGTGGAGGTAGTGGAGGTGGTGGAGGTGGTGGAGGTGGTGGGAGTGGTGTGGGAAGGCAGAGGGGTGGGCTGGCGGCCGCTTCGAGGTCCGCGCTGTCGCTTGCTGCTTCTGCTGCTTTTCTTTGAGTTTCTGACTGGTTTGTTGGCCAATGGGGAGAATTGGAGGGGTTGGGGGGATGAAAAGGAGATGGAGATGGAGGTTGAGGATGGAGGCATGAAGAGGTTGAGGTTGAGGTTGAGGTTGAGGTTGGAGGATGGAGAATGGAGAATGGAGAATGGAGACAGAATGAAGAGGCTGAACTAACATCTGTTTCGGTTGTCCAGGAGAAAGACGACAGAAGGGTGTGGAAAAATCGTGACAGCGAAAGGCGAAAAGAAGACAAAAAGGAACCGAGTTGTATTTCGGGCGTTTGGGCGTTTGGGAGTTTTGGGGTTGGGTATTTACTTGTTTTGGTGGGGAGGTCGTTTGCTTGTTTTGCTGAAGGAGACGGCGGAGAAGAGAAGAAAGAGAAGAGAAGAGGAAGAAGAAGAATAAGAATAAAATAAACAAGAACGCTAGAAAGAGGAGGACTGAATCACTTTGAGGCTGCTAATGGTCATGATTATGGGTATACACGACGGCGGAGTTTTGCGCTTAGAGAGATTGGCACCACATAGCCCGTTTTTGCTTTTTCTTTTATTCCTTTTCACTTTTGGATTTACTTTTGCTTTTGCTTTTGGGCTTCTCGGCTATTTCCCAGGTCCTAATTGGCGTCCTTCGGGGGGGGTATGGCCGGGCACCAGCAACGCTCTTTAGACAGATATATGTTTCTTATGTCGTTGTCATTTTAATAATTAGTATACCCAGTTAGCATTCCATAGCTTGCAGTTCCATGTTGGAGAGCATCGCTCGCCTCGCTCCACTCATAAACTCCGATTAATTAATGCTCCTATGGTCGTGACTTTGTGTTTGTTGAGCTGTGCTGCGGCGTGTGACCCCGGGACTTTTTCTGTCTGTCTGTCATCCGTTACATAGATTCGTGGCGGCGAGTTGGGTTTGTGCGAGTGCGGCTGCTGGCATCACATCGCTGACTTGGGTGTTGCGTTTCAAGATTAGCCCCCTTTCAGACAATTAAGTTAGCCTTGGGCTCTCTAATTAAGAAATGGCAAGGGACAACTATTGCCGGGGATGCTGTAGACAGTGTAGGAGAGGTGACCAGGTCTCTCGGCGAACCCGGGGAGAGTCTGCTAGCAGCCCCTTCTAGAGCGGAAACCGTTGCTTGGTTCAGGGGCTTAGTCTGTCCCCCTATGTGCCAAGGTTGTGCGAGCCTCCGGGGAATGCCGTGCTACCTCTGGGTCCTTCAGGGGTTGGACATGGTCATGTAGCCTCTGGCTCCATACTTGAGGGGTAGAGCAGAGCCGATATAGTTGGGATGAAGGTCGTGATTAGAAATCGCCGGCTCCGGCCAGCCAAGGTCGGCCGCGGTTTGAACCCCTTTGTCGGTCTTCGACATGTCACGCACACGATCTCATACAGATATTGCTTCACATCTATGGTCATATGCACAACGAAGCTTGGCGCTTGAGTCCGGGAGTGCGTTTTTGGGCTCCTCTGTGGTATAAGATGTGCCGGGTCGGCCCGTTGCTTCCACGGAATCTTCAAGCCACCTCCGTTGCCAGCGATCTTTTGCCTTCCAATGGACCGGAACTCTGTTGACACCTCCAGGCCCGCGCTATCGTGATTTGAATTGGAAGGCCTTGTTGGTCTTGACGCTTACCTTGGGCCTTGAAGCCGCGTGCAAGATGAAGCATAGCACAAAAGAAAGGATTGAGGACTGGAGGCACGCCGTGCCTGAACGAAACGCGGAGGAAGAGCGGGGACAGCGGCGGCAGCGTGCCAGTGAGCCTCAATATCATGATAATCATGGTAGATTGCCCCAGCAAACATCTACATTTGGCGATGACGTACTCAGCGACGACGAGAGCATTGAATCTGTGGACCTGTACAGTCCACGAAACAACCCAATTGGGCACTCGAGACGCTCATCGTTTGCCGAGCCAGCCAGCGGATCCAATGGACCCCCTGGCCCCTTACCAACCGCGCCGATGCCCCCTCGCATGCAGCCCGCAGGACAACCGGAGAGCAAACACCGGCACAGATCTCGCCACCGGACCGGCTCGGCTCGCCCACGGTCTCGAGACCGACATTACCCAGATTACCAGAGAGACAAGACAGACAATTGCCAGAGAGACAAGACAGACACTTACCAGAGAGACAAGACAGACAATTGCCAGAGAGACAAGACAGACAAGAGACACAAGAGAGACGTCTCGACGGCTAGAAAGCATGACAAGAGCGATATGGGAGTGCCGTCAGAAGTTGGAAGACAAAGCCGGCAGAAATACTTTTCCGAGAACCCGATACGAGAACCCAACGATCGATTATATTTCACAATGTTCAAGAATGGTACTCAAAAACCAGAGCCCGCCCGCCTCTACCCTCCACCAAGCAACACGAGTTTCTACGATGCCGTCAATGACGCCGGAATCGCCTATGCAGCCGCGCAGTTCGCTGGAACGAACATGAACCGGGCTCATGGCATGAGCCGTTCCAGGCCCAGGGCTCCGCCCGGACACGACACAAACGCTGGTGCCTACCCCACCGGCGGCTACGCCAACGGTGCCTACGTCAACGATCCCCGTATCTACTCTCAGACTCCTCGGCCTCCTCAGCCTCAGCATGGCCAAGAACACCCTGGGCATCCACCACCACCGCAAGGGCCAGTGCCGGTGCCGATGCAATATCCAACTCAAACAGCTCGACCACAGCCCCGGCGGAAACCACAGAGCGAGGCCCGCCCAGATTTTGTACAGCCAACGCGAAGACCGAGTGTTTCAATACCCGACATGCCACCAAATTTTACAGCTTATCCCATGCGGCCCGTCGACAACCTATATCAAGCGCCGATCCTACCCCCTGCGGCTCCCCCAATCATACCGTACAGGTACCTGAAATTCCAGACCCCATTCGAGAGGGTAGCTGATGAGCACCAGCGGAATGAGGATTACCGGGAATATGAGCATCGGAGGAAAAGTGGTTGGAGGAAGACGTATATGCCTACATTTACGGATGGGAGACGTTGAGGCCCCGGTAGAGTGCCGAGTAGATTCTTTTTCTTTTTCTTTTTCTTTCTTTTTCCTATTTTCTCTTTTTTTCTTTTTAGCGGCAGCAATTATAATTAGTCTAGAGACTGAGAAGCTGGGTATTACAAACCACTCGACTGTTAGGGTCGTCTGTCTGTAAGGGAGCACGGGCTCCACAGAATGCTGGGGTTGGTAATTATGAAGATAGAACAAAGGGCAAGCTCCTATCGCACGGGTAATACAGTCAAATCGGAATGCCACTCAAAATGTATGAGTGCAGCGAATGTGTATTGCTTGCTTGAAGAACCAAGCAAGAACTGTCTAAGACCGTGGCTACGGTCATCGTATATATCTAATTCAGGTAACCAATCAGGACTTTTCCTTTGCGTGCTCAGTGCTCCTCCTAACGCTTGGTACACCGAGCGTCTCAGAGACTACCGAGCGCCCTGCTCGGTGCGCTCGCCTAGTCTTGGCAGACCAGTCGCACCGAGCGCCTCCTGATTGGCTGTGTCGAACACTTGCGGGGCCCGACCCCGCCCACCTGTGCGGCTCAATTGGCAATTGGCTTCCAGCGCCTCCTGCAGTCTTGGACCAGGATCGTAACACTGGGGTCTTGGTCTTTGATAACGGTCCCTCAACTCAGAAGGCCTCAGGTTTGACAGGTCCGGAGCCAGCTGGCTAGTATGAGATCTGGAGTTCAAGCCTCAAGGCCGAGACGAAAATAGTTTAAGTTTCTTTATTGTTGTGTGGCGTCAAGGCCCACAGAGCAAATGAAGAGGTAAGACACTTTGTACAAGTCCGGGGCAGTTTGACGTGCGCCATGTCTCGGGCGACATCTTACACCTGTTCTTGTCTTACTGATCACTTTGAGAGTTTGTATTGCCGATGTTCGTTTAATTTCTCCGCGAGGTCAGGGGTAATTGCTAGCTAATTGCGATATTGCAATGGGTGAAGTAAACACAATGCATGTGTTAGGAGGTGACATCTGGAGATTGATTCAGCTGAACGGAGCCACCGTAGGCGAAGAGAGGCTGTATTCTATATTACCGTGAGGGTGCCGAAAGTTTCTCGCACAGCGATTGGCCAGTTTTCGTCCGTGTCGAAATGGACTCGAGGGACTGGTCGATCGGATGAACCTCGGACAGGTTAAGCCGCGAAATGCCGCTTTGCTGTGTCGTGGGTGTGTGCGTCAGGAAGGAGCAATTTCCTAATTAGCAGATATAACGCGTAAGCTGTATGAAGGAAAGCGTCATAGGCTCTAAGCGCCGTAGGCTAAGAGCGTCGTAGGCACTAGGGGTCCTAGGGGGCTTGCCCCCCAGAAATCCAACAATTAGACCATGAACATCGAAACATCGAATTATCATGAGAATTTGTTCTGGTATTGAGGGGCTAGAATAGCTGTAAATCCGTTGTCCCGAAGTTCAGCTAGGCAGAGTCCTTACTTCTGAGGTTTTATAATATCGCTTGGGCTGCCGACGTGGAAGACCCTCGCCGCGAGGCTCCCTTTGTTCTGCTTGTCAAGATGGACAAGTATGACGGCCCGGCTTGCTTCCCTAACGATGAGGCTATTCCGAGAAATGTGGTGCCGATCTTCCAGTCCTTACGGGGCTTCCAGAGCGGCAATACGGCCTACTCTTGCCGTCAGTTCCCCGTTACTATTACGTACGCCATCACGGTTCACAAGTCATAGGGAACTACGCTTAACAGGGCTATGCTTGATATCTCTCAGCGGGATTTCTCTTTAGGGCTTACTTATATGGCTATTTCACGCTTTACTAGTCTACAGGGCTTAATGTTTGACGTTCCTTTTGCCCTGGACCAAATCCAGGTCAAGAATGACGTCACAAGTGCCTTGCGTGCGGCGGATTACCAGCGCCGTGTTGACGCCGGCGAGGTGTTGGTTCCGGGTGTAGCCTAGATAGCAGAATCGACTTTTTTTGCTTCAACACCATGCTGTTTACGTTGTGATGACTCTCCTGTGGTTTTTACTTTTAACACAGTTGACACAGTTGACACAGTTGAGTCAACCTTTGGCTGTGCCACAAAGCGGGGTTGTCCTTACTAATTTCTTAGTAAAATGGCCCAGCCACCCATTCCCTCGAGCGAAGCGAGGACAGCCCGCGGCAGGCGCCGCCGGAGGCATCCGTTCAGCTGACCCCTTCCTGACGGTCAGGCAGCTTATTTTACAAACGAAGAAGTGAAATATGCAGTATTAATTAGTTGAAGGGGCTAAACTCTCCTCGTATCATCCATCGGATGATTGACTTGAAGGTAATAAATAGTAGAAGTTGTCTATTAAGTCCGTGAATTGACCAAACTTTGACCCGCCGACGAATATCTTGGCATGCCATTGAGCTGGGCCCGTGTGACGGGAGATGCTGTGTCGCCTGTTCGGCTTCTATGTTTGTCATTCCGTTTGGTGGCTCTGGGACGGATTCGGCGCCAATTCTCGTGTGGTGGCACAATCGAGGCGGGGAAACGGAGACGACTAAGATTGCTGCACGATCGCACTCCATCACTAACCACTTGAACATGAAACCAATTTCATGTCTCTCGTCCGAGACCAAGTCTAGCAATTTGACGTGCTTGCCACTCCAGCCATTTTTTCAGAGTCATAAATATGACAAGAGTGGACTCTCTACAAAGGCACATTTCCAGGTATAAATAGGTAGGGATCTGTCGCTCTTACCCATCATAACCCTTCACTGCATCAACATCCCAACAAGTGCATCAAGCGGGCAATTCCAACCACCCCAACAGCACACCCGTGTTGACATTCAACGAAGACTTACATACTGTGGCAATCGCATCTCGCCGAAATGGGCGACTATTACGTCTACGAAAGCGACCGTCCGACACGGAGACGAAGGTATAGACTGGTTTCTTCCAGGGCGAGCCGCTATCCACCACCGGAGGAGGATTATGACTACGACGGGGACTACTACTACGAGAGCAGCAGAGAGAGTCGCCGCGCCCCTCCACCGGCCGACTACGAATACGACATCCCAAGATCGCGCCGGGAATCATCAAGACCGCGCCCGCGTGCACGTACGCCGGCTCGAGCGACGGACTACCGTCGGCGAAGCAGCAGGAGTAGGAGTAGGGCCCGAGACAGAGAGAGAGAGAGGGACTCTGACGAATACCGAAGCCGAAGCCGGCGCCCCGCACAAAATTCCTACGAATACGAGCGGAATGACGAGGGGGTCCAGTCTAAACGATATTACAACGTTGAGACAGGCCGGTGGGCCGGCACTGATTTTTTCGTGGATGGCAAGCTGGTTGACAGGATGGATAGATCAGCCGACTCAGACCTACTCGAGACACTGGAAAAGATCCGAATTAAGGAGCACGAGGAGGGCGAGAAGAGGATCGGGGAACTGAAGAAGGAGATTGAGGATCTGAACAACTATTAGCCCACGATCTGGGAGGTGTGCGTGGTGAGACGTGGCTCGGCCGGTCGGATTGAGAGACTGAGAACTACTGGCTGAAATTTTTGCTTTGGCATTGTTATGACCGCGAATAATGCGGGCTAAGAGGGAAGTAACCACAACTGGTAGCGAGCGTTGTTTTGAATGGGGATAAGATTATGTGCGACATTAGGTTGGCGCTGGAGATACCTCGAAGGGAAACAGGGAGGCGGTGGCGAGCAGTTTTGGCACGGGGTAATGTTTTGCTGCTAGTAACATCATGGTCGAATTACATTTGCGTTTCCCCCCCAAACTCTTGCCTACTGCCTTGATGACGCACTGCGCCGGCTCTAATGCTCTAATTGAGAAGTTCGCTGCCGAATTGTTTACTTACCCCTGTCAGGTTCAGGGGTAAAACTGTGCACCCTTGTCGAGACCTGATCATTCACTCCCGCCATTGAAATACACAACGTGACCAGACCAAGGTAGACTGCGCAAAAGGAAGTCATCGTACTGAATGTACACACAAAAATTTTGGGGCTAAATACCAAAATGCAATAGTGGTCTCGTCTCTCTTCGTTATGCAAGTAACTGCGCATTTTCCTCGGTAAGATAGCTTCTAATCTGCATGGCTTTCCATATATAGTTTCCTAGCAATATATCTGTATCCGTACCGACCTTGATTACCCGAGTTCTGGTGATGTGAATGGATTGCAATAACACAATTCGGCGAAGCGGGACTAACTCACATTACATAACACGTTGTCCGGCAAGTGACTCCTCGAGCATTGGAGGAATCATTCATGAAGCGCCGAGAGGGTATCGCCTTCGTGTGTTTCGAGATATCTGAAACGCTCTTATGACCCAACCGAACGGTGTTTGAACACTGACGCATCACGTTCTCACCCAGATTGTGCACCTTAATGGCCATCTGCGTTTAGTATAAATACCTCCGAGGCGTGTCGAGTTCTGGCTTCCTCGCAAGCACTAAACAAAACATCAGAAGCCACAACAGAACTTGGGCATTGACGCAACTTCTCACGCAATACCCCTCACAGAAACGACAGCCACACAGAAACGACAGCCACACAGAAACAATGTCCGACAACCAGCGTGACACGCGGCCGTGGAAAAAGCTGCGGCAGCCGGGGGATTTCTTCCGGCCGCGACAATCTAGCCCCATGTACGAAGACGAAAACACGTCCGAAGTGTACCCAAGCTCGTCGTGGTCCACGCAGTCGTCGCGCAGAAACCCCCAAGCAACCACGTACCGCGACGGCGACCCCACGCTGCCTGTACAAAACGTTCCCGCAATTATCAAGACCAAAGGGGACGTCGCGGACTGGGCCCAAGATATCAAGTACGCCGAGGCCCAGGACCGCCGCGACCGAGAGCGCCGCGCGCGAGAGCAGCGCGAGAGGGAGGAGCGCGAGAGGGAGCGCCGCGCCGAGATGCAGCGCCGCGAAGCTGAACGCCGCGAGAGATCGCGCAGTGCGAGAGCGCGTCGTGAGGCTGAGCGCCGCGACGCCGGCAGCTCCAGGCCTCCTCCATCCTCGTCGCGGTCCACGTCCGTGGTCCGCACCACGACGACGTCCTCCTCGGGCTCTTACCGCCCGCGCTATCGCTCACAATCCCGCGACAACGGGGACCGCGAGCGGGATAGTTCCCCAGCGACGCTTCGTCAACGATGGCTTAGGCGGAGGCGTGGAGGAGGAGAGTTGGATTTTGCTTGATTGCCTTGGTATTTTGAAATGATGATGATATGTCCTGGTGGAGATAATCGTCAAGAATGATTTTTACGGAAGAGCTACCACCAAAGCGTGGCACTGAAAAGGAGAAGCACGCAGCACAGTAAAAAAAGAAGGACAGAACAAAGTTCGGGAGAGCTGCAGGGTCGAATACGTGATGTAATTACCTTGGCATGGAGTGAATATCGATGTTTTATCTTTTTGGGAAATGAAGAGAGCCCTGGAGCAGAATTGCTACAGAGCGGCCCATGCCCCTAATATGTGCCCCTGACTACCTATGTTTGCTATTGAGCTCCTTGTCAGTACAAGAGTAGGTACTTGGGCGGCGAACGGAGGTGTTCGCACGTCTGCCTGCCGCTGATAAATCCACATGGAAGTTAATTGTTTTCTTTGTTAGACATCGTATGGGGATTTTACGAGTAACGCTCGATTTCTTAGTGATTGCTTTGCAAACCTACCCATAAAGCGACAAGCTGTTCTTCACGGCCAAGCAACCGTGATGAAACAAGTCATGTATCGGAACATAAAATAGACTGCCGAGTTGTAAGATACTGAAATCTGCTCTCTTGAAACCTTCGATCTTCCATCATCCATTCAACAGCCTGAAACGGTCCTAGATTGTCAGCGGCCCTAATTGCCTCATAGAAAAACGCGCCACCTGATAGATGGCGAGACAAACCTTCGGCCTTTGTGTCTGAACACGCCATAATCACCTGGTACCGACACCTCGATGGGAATTTCCAAGCAGTATAAATACCCCCCTAATCCGCCAACGACGTTTTGAGTTCCAGCTTGTTCCTCACAGACATCAAAACCAACAAATTACCAGTACAAAAAAACCCAAACCTCAATTTTTGACTTCCCACCCACCATATCCCAAGAAATTCACAAAACGCTAAACACCATGTCTGCCGACAGGTACAAACAATACGCTCGCTCACTCTCGTCAGGCAAAAATAGCAGCGATAAGCAACGGACTCAAGACAAGCAACAGCCTAAAGTCAAGCAACAGACTCAAGACAAGCAACAGCCTAAAGTCAAGCAACAGACTCAAGACAAGCAACAGACTCCGGCCCGCAAGAGCATCAGAGGCTGGAAAGACGACGACGACGACGCCAGCACCTACAAGAACGACGCTCGAAGCTCACTGCGGCGCGAGAACGAAAGACGCGCTGAGCGGCAGCAGCAAGAGAAACGGCAGCAGCAAGAAGAGGCGGCGCGCGACGAGCGGGCGCGGCGGGCGGAGAGAGAACGCCGTGAGGAGATGGATCGTCTGGCTAGGGAACGCGAGGAGGAGGACTGCCGTCGGCGGGTCGGTTTTTTTTTAGTTATTTGACAGTTGACACCGTGGCGCTTGGGTTGTAGCTTGGGGCGAGGTTCCATGTATCCTGAAACCGCGGAATCCAACAGTTTCCGCAAATTCTTCAGCCTCAGTATTTCAGCACTTTGCATCAATCAGCTATGCCAAAATTTTTGTTTGTGCTGTATCCTGTGAGAGTCAAATACCTTGATAGTAAGACCAAATTCAGACAGCATTGGATTTGCCTTGCATGGCTACTTCCTCGGTTTACTTTTCGGTCATCCCTGGGAAAGATGGCTTATACTCGTCAGCACGTACAAAATGACAAGAAACCTTCCCATTTTGACTCCTCACAAGTGAACTAATCAGCAAACTCAGAATAACCTCCAAACCCATGTCATCTCACCCTCGTCGATCCAAGACCCTACCCTCAAACTGGTCTGCTTCAACTACACACAGTCTCGCGTGCAGGGACAGCGGGAAGAACAGCAACAGGATGCGTCACCTGGTAAGACAGAGTCAGAGTCAAGTAAACACTCAGTGTCAAGACGCTGTCATGAGACTCACTCACTCACTCGGTTCGAGGACCTTGATGGTCACACCTTATTAACTGTAGAAGCAGTATAAATATGCCCTCCTAGAGTCCTAAGAATGGTCCGAGTCTCGACCTATTCCACACCAGTTTCACCATCACCATCACCATCACCATCACCATCAACACCACACCACAACAACCACAAGATCAAGCTTAGAACACCTCCACCAACACCACCTCCATCAACCCCAGGAAAATGTCAGACAGCCGCTACAGCCGGCGCACTGACACGGGCAGCTACAGCCGGCGGCGGTGGGGCTCGACCGACCGCGACACCATCACGTCCGACAACGACTCGCTGGTGTACCCATCCTCGTCGGCCTCGCAGCAGCGGCACCGCAACCGCACCGTCGCCGTGGTCCCCGAAGACCCACCGCGGCCGCTCGACCTCGACAACGTACCCACGCGAACCGCCATAAACCGCACCACGTCACGCTGGACGCAGAACGTGGCCGACGAGACAGGCAGCACGACGCCGCGGCGGCGCCCCTTCTCGTCATCCACAACAGACTACAGCAGCGGGGCGCCGGGATCGTACTACGCGACGCGCGCGCTGCAGGGGCGCGAGCGCGACGACAGCAGCGACCTGTCGCGGACGCGGGCCGAGGCGGACCGGCGCGACCGCGAGCGCCGCGAGCGCGAGCTGCGTGACAGCGAGCGGCGGGAGAGCGAGCGGCAGGACCGTGAGGATGCAGATACGCGGTGGCGCACGACGCAGGTGGTGACTGTCACGCGGCTGCGCTCGGAGCCCACGCTCGTTCGCCGTAGCACCGAGTCGTATTACAGCCGTCGCGAGCGCGACATGGGCACCATAGACGAGATCAAGGATGATGACAAAAGGTACCGTGGGCACGGGCCTAGACGTTATTAGATCCTGCGTGGTATGTGAACCTTTGATCCTTGACGAGTGCAGGGGCTAGTCAAAGAGCGACGAAGCTGGAGTTGCTTCATTTGTCTCTGTCTTTTTCTTTTCTCTTTTTTGTAGGATACTTGGATGGGAATTTGTGGCAGTGACCTCGGACACCCACATATCTCCTCAATCACAAGCGTTGACTTGGTATCCTTGTCCTGAACTGCACTGACAGTGGAAGGAATACCATGCGGAAAGAGGCGTGAACAAGACGCCACGAAATTCCGAGACCGGGAGGCGGAATCTGTAACATAATTATCCACAGCGACAATCGGGTCGCTGCGCGGTCAGGCACAGGTGTGCAAGAATAAACACCTCTCAAACTGCCAGAAATTCTGCTGCCCTATGTACTTTATTTCGTGAGAATGAAACCTATATATACGGTGATCTGTCTAAATTCAGTAAACGTTGTATTCAGAAAACAAAAGGCCTTAACTTGGGGTCAGAAAACGGCTTGGCCGCTGGATCATCTTCGTCAGGGCTGTCGACTTGGATTCCTTTGCCCTTGTCGACTGGCTTCTGCTCTTCTCCCCCCTGTCCCCTGTTCCTCGTCGTCCACTGCAAGTCCCTTGCCCTTTGAGTCCTTAACCGCCGAGTCCTCGCTCGTGACACTTGGTAAATTGCTGCCTGAAAGGGTTCCAGAGCCAAAGTCTAACGGCTTGACGATATATTGTGGAATTATATCATCCTTCCGTGGATTCCACCAAGGGCCTAGGTAGGACAGGCCGAACATAGCGAGGTACTCGCGGTCGTGGGCAAGCATTCTGATGTTGGGTGTGCGCATGAGCCAGTCCATGCCGTGGGGGTCTTGGTCCGAGGTGATGACGACAAGGTCGCGAGAGAGGACCCAGCTGTAGAGAAGGTTCTGTCTCGGGGCGTCGTACTTTCTGGCCATCTTGTCGAGCAGCTGATCAAAGGGGTAGCGCCTGAATTTCCTGACGGTGTTGAGAATATCAAAGACCATGATCTGGCAGCCCAACAGCTGCATGGCCGAGACAAAGCCCTTGTCGCGGTGCATGAGGTAGTCGTGGAAATGCAGCTGGTTGGCGATAGGGGTGATACCAGCACACTCAAGAACCCAGTCGAATTCTTCGCTCTGGAAGTTGGACAGGCCAATGGACCTTGTCTTCCCTTTCCAATACAGCAGCTCCATGTCTCGCTAGGCCTTCTGAACCTGCTCTTTGGAAGGTCGCGGGGCTCCCGAGGGAATGGTGAGGAGGTACAGATCCAGACACTTGACGCCCAAGTGCCCCAGCGTCCGGTCGATGGAGTCTTCAATGTGGTCCCAGTCCAGCTGGGCTTTGGAGCTGAGGTAGAGGTCGTCCCTCGGAATCAGAGTCTCGCGGATTGCGTAGCCAATCTCCCGCTCAGTATTGTAGCTGTCGGAGGAGTCAATGTGTAAGAGACCTGCGTCGATGGCGCGGCTGCATATGCGAATGAGGTCTCGGTTTATGGCGCCGACGCCGGGTGCGGTGTCGACCGAGAAGGGTGCAGTTCCAAAGGCGATCTGCGGGCGGGGTCAGGTCAATCTAGAAAGCAGACGTCTTATTCGAGGAGAGGGCCAACAAACCACTGGAATACGGCGGGGAAGTTGGAGGTCATCGCACCGTAGGGGCCAGGCTGGCAATTGCTTCGGCACGAGGGAATGGGCGGCGCTCGACAGCATGTCTGCCACGTTCATATTGCCGAAGCGCGCGGGGGATTATGGGCTAAGATGGATTTTGCGACGCGCAGACGATGATCCAAGGTCGACAACTCTTCCCAAGGCGTGCGCGAGGAGGCACCTAATATTTGAATGAGAAGTACTCAATGGAATCGGCCGGGGAAAAAAGGTGATGGCTGGACTAAGTTTGTGTCTATGATGGTTGCGCTGCTTACGTAGGCTGTAGCCTGCTTGTCCAAAGCATTGAGAGGACAGGCCCATGTCAGACGTACCTTTTAGGCAGGCACGTTCCGTCTTCAAGCGGAGGGCAATTACAGTGCCTGTGGTAATGATCCATGTTGGGCGGATCAAGAAGTGGGAAGGTGCAGACGGCACCATCATTTTCAATCCAAATTTTTCAGAGCGCATTTCCCCTCTTATTAGTCGCCCCGCACAGTCAGATTCTCGGCCAACTCTCATCTAATGGGTCATTCTACCATCGCCTATGGCCTTAGAGATTCCTCTCATTCCCTGAGCAGTGACTACATGGGGAGGCCGTAGAGGCATTTCTGAAGGTCTGAAAAGAACGGTGTGGAATGGGTTGTCTTCTCTAAAACTACAGGCTGAAGGCCACCAGCTATGAAGTGCGATTCTAGGTGCGGGGATACCCCAAGCCTGAGATAATCCTGTGGTAGGGCTTTCAGGTCTGATAGCATATGGCTGAAGCAAGGCACTAGAAAAGTCTAAAATACCCTGAATTTGAATATCACAATTAAATTTCAACAGCTTGATAGATGGCAGATTGCTGCAAATGCAAATATAAACACTTCATGGGATAATTTTTCTTGCCGGGCACTCATTACGGACCTCTAGCTCCATATTATCCATCTCAGCTAGAAGGACACAGCGCTATGACATGTGCCGGGACGTCCATGGTCTTTAGCATATCAGCCCTCGACATAAACTGCATTAATAGCCCAGCCTCCATGTGCCAGGCGATGTGGCAGTGGAACGCCCAGAGTCCGGGGTTTTCGGCAACGAAGCGGATTACGGACCAGCCAAACGCGTTGATGGTCAGCGTGTCGCGGCGGAGCGGGTTGGCGACGGCGTCGGGGTTAGAGGGCATCAGGTTAGCGTAGTAGTTTGTCCAGTTGAAGGGGCCGGAGCCCGTCTCGAGGATCCAAAAACTGTGGCCGTGCAGGTGGAAAGGATGACCGCCTTCGTCGAGGCTGTAGACGAGCACATCGACGACCTCGACGCCCGTTGAGCTGACCCCGAGGACGAACTGGTTGTTGGACGGCAAGGCGCCACCAACCTGCTCGTCGACGGACCACGAGCTGGCATTGCCGCTGTTAAGCCCTATGACTGTCTCCTGCAGCGTCGTTGTGTTCGCTAGCGGAGACCAGATGGTGCCGTTAACCTTGGCGCGGTCCAGCTGGTAGTCGCCGATGCCGAAGCTAAAGTCGACGCGGTAGAACTTTGTGGCGGGAGGTGGGAGCATTGCCCTTGCAGGCACGAGGTTGAATGGATCGAGATCGTGACATTCCACTTGTCAACGCCCCTACGTTAGCGTTTCCCCTTTTTCAGAGATTCGCGTTGAAAACATACCACTGTATGCATCCTTCCAGTCGACAGAAGCGTTGGAAGGGGCAATAGTAGTATTCCCGGAATACGAAATAACGGCCGTCATGGCCGAGTTGAGGACCGGATTCGTGCCGGTGAAGCAAAATGTTATCATAGACATGCGCAGCCAGTAGTTGGTAGCTGTTGACTGGTTCGCTTCGAATACGACACTATATCGCTGGGCAACGTGGATTTGGCCTCGGTCTATTGGGTGGGGGTTGACGAGAGTGGAATCGGCCTCAATGACGGACAGTGAGTGATTGTCCACGCTGAAATCAAACTCGGCAAAGGCCCCCGTGTTGAGGAGGCGGAACCGAGTGCGAGAGTTCTGTTTGCGTTAGGTTGGTTATCTACACAGGGGCAGAATTAGGCTCATACCGGCTCCACATTGAAGACGTTGTAGGTGCTGTTTTCGTAGCATGTGTGGCCTGAATCGTTGCCGTAGGAGGAGCAGTTGAAGCTTGCGTGGTCAGCAATAGAAATTATCCAGGGGCCCACGAGCAAGCACATACTAGTTCTTTCCATTTATAAGGCCGTTGTCCGGAACTGGCTCCGTGTTCTCGTTTTCCGGCTCGAGGTAAGTGGCTAAGTTGACGGTACTAAAATCGTGGTACCAGTCCTGGACTAGCACAACACGATCGGTGTCATACAACTTCCTGACCTCGGCCTCCTCGGGGGCGTGGATGATCAGGGGGCCGAGAATGCCATCGAGGTACTGGGTGCCGGAATGAGAGTGATACCAAAAAGTTCCGAATTGGTTTTCGATGGTAAAGTTATAGAGCAGGGACTGGCCGGGAGGAATCCCGCATTGCGTGACGCCTGCAGAGGGCGCACGTGTGAGCACAGGTTCACTTTCAAAGAAGCTATTCAACACATACCCGTCGTGCCATCGAACCAGTTCGTCCCGTTCTGGTAGAGCCCATGCCAATGGATGCTGGTGGAGTTGTCGGACAGGCCGTTTGTGACGTTGACGAGGAGAGTGTCCCCAATATTCGCTTCTATAAGGGGTCCGGGGAACTTGCCGTTCAGAAACAGCATGTCTCTGACGACGCCGTCGGGCCAGCCGAGGCCTTTGGTGATGACGAGATTGTAGCTTCGCACCTGTGGCGGGGCTGTGAGGTTCCAGGCCATGTCGAGCACATACTCGCGCTTGGTATCCAACTGCCAGCTCTCCAGAGCCGGCGCGGTGCCGTTGGCGGCGAGGCCCGGCAGGACGGCGCCCGTGGGCGTTGCATTTGGCGACGACGTGCTTGACGGGGATAGCGAACTTGAGTCCGGGATAGAGCTGGTGTCGTCATGCTTAAGACCCAGTCCGAGGCCAAGGCCGAGAGATAGGCCGAGGATAACCAAAATGCCTAGGCCCCCGATTGCGAGTAGCCAGGGACGTCTAGCTGGAGGGGGCAGGCTTTTGTCGACTGGGGCGGGCGAGACGCCATTGTTAGACATAATCAGTAATTGATCTGCTGGACCGAATCCAATGCCTGGACCAGCCGTTATTTGCGACTGCGATGGGGGATCGAAAGGGGCTGCTCAGAGGAGCTCATGTTTGCTCAGAGAGAGAATCTCGAAAACCTGTCGAGGTGCATCCTGGTGGGCAGCTGAGATACCTGCTCGAAGATCCGGATCTGATAAAGATAGCGCACGCCCTGGCTACGCCTGGAGAAAAGACAAAAAAAAAAGACTGCAAAAGACGGGCACAGGCTTCGTCGGTTGTAGCAGGCAGCGAGGCAACCCTACCGTCGGCAGCACCGAAACTGGGATCGAGTGCCCGCTCTTCAAGTCGTCTAAGTTCCGGGTTGCAGGTTGTAGGTTGCACCGGCCCTTCGTCGGGTGGTATCCATTTTGGAGAGACAGGGGACGCTAAACATTTACCAGCCTAGCCTAGAAGGGCAGCAGTTTGTTAACGGTTTTTAGCCTCCCCTTCTATGGCCCCGGCGTTAACAGGCCACGAGGCCCCTGCTGCCAACGTGCACCATCGCGCACCACCCATTGGGGGAGTTCCAAACACTCGGTTAGGACGAAAAACACGTAAGATTTGCTAGGGTATCTAGAAGTCTGGATTTTTCACTGCCTGATACATGTTCGTCCTCGCTCACGAGAGCAGCGCTGAGGCCACATCTAGAATTCCCCCGCGCCAAGATTGCTCGCGGAAACAAGCATTCTTGGCGCGTCAGTAGCGGCGATCATCCTTCTTGGCGCATTGGCGATGGCAGCCACCATCAACTCCATCCCACCGAAATAAAATTGCAAAATTCTATGCCGAAGCCTGATATCAGATAGATCGGAGGACTACGCAAGCAGGTACAAGACCAATGGCTCAGCGTCAACGCCGCCCACGGGTTGGCAGGTGGGAGAGTTGCTATTGAGAATATCTAGCGCCTTTCTGCTCGATCGTCAGAAAAGCATGCAAAGGAATGGAATTCGCCAATTTGTTCCAGACGAGCCGCGAACAATCGCGACTCGGCCAATCATGCGGCTGCCAAAGCACACATGCGTTAAAGATGCTCCGGGCAACGAATGGCGGGCAAACTTGAGAACTAAAGTGCGGGGTACGGATGCCCTGTGTAAATACAGAGGCGATGATCCCCTGTACACTCGCAATAAGGCGGCAACGACCTGCCTAATGGGGCAATTCCTTTTATCTTGCATCTTTCATCGGTTTTTTTGGCCCTGATCCACCAACGCATCTCGAATGCGACCTGGGCATGCTAACCCGTCTCGCCACCGAGAAAGCGTCTTTCGAGTGCGAGCTGCTAACCGGAAAACCCCCGGGGCTCAAGAGGTCACGGCCTCATGGGCAGCCTGCAATTGGTTGCACAAGCTGAACGGGTAGAATGCGGAGGGAGCTACGGTGCACACCTGCGTCGAGGACACTGGAAACACACTGGAAAGACACTAGAAAGACACTGGAACACGACACTTTTGTCCTCCCCTCCTGCACGTCATTCCAGGATATACCCGGGGTCGGTCTTGCAGCCAGGTAGCTGCCCGCCCTGAGCTTCTCTGCCAAGAAGACGGAAGACGAATACAAAGCAGCGCCAAGCTCCTTCACCTAACCTCTGCCAAGTCTGCTGAAGCTCTCGAGTCTCAATCGCCACATTCACAACCACAACCGCCAATCGGAACCAAGATGAAGACGGCCGCCCTTACTGCGGCTCTCTGGGTCGGACGAGCTTTGGCAGGCTCGGTTACCGTGCCGCTGTCACCAGATGCCACGGCCACCGACCGCCCCGCCGAGTCCACGATTGAGCCCTCGACGGCCGCCATTGCCTCGGCCTCGGCTACCGTCAAGCCCCTGTCGCCGACTTCCGATGTCAAGGGCGTCGCCTTCAACCGCATTGTCCAGGTCTGGCTCGAGAACACCGACTTCAATGTAGGACTTCTGGAGCACCACTCACGAACCGCTTGATACTGACAACTCCGACAGGCCTCGGCTGCCGACCCTAGTATGCAATGGTTGGCTGTAAGTGGCCCACGTCTTCTGTACGTCTTCTGTATGGCACTTCCATGAGACTGACGCATGATTTCAGAGCCAAGGCATTCTCTTGACAAACGTGAGCAACCAACCCTACGTGGCCCACAGGCCAAGTCACAATAGTAACACGAATGTAGTACTTTGCCACAACACATCCTTCACAACCAAACTACGCGGCCGTTGTCGGCGGTGATAATTTTGGAATGGTGAGTAACCGCCAATAATTGCTAGAGGAGACTCCTACTAACCGAGGCAATGAAGGAAAACGATGCAGGTACCGCCGAATTCGAATCGTGCCGGATCGCAATTAACGCCGCAACCTAGGACTTTGATAGCATTCCGGCAAATGTCTCCACTGTCGTGGATCTGTTGGACACCAAGGGAATTACCTGGGGAGGTTGGTAGACTTGTAAGAGTTTGTCTTTGGCTTCTAGAACACAGCTAACACATTCCGCAGAGTATCAGGAGGGCATCCCGTATGCCGGCTTTCGGGGCTACAACTATAGCAACCAGGCCACCTTTGCCAATAACTACGTTCGGAAGCACAACCCCTTGATCTTCTACGACTCCGTCACGAGCAACGCGACCCGCCTTTCTCTCATCAAGGGGCTCGGTGCCTTTGCGGACGACTTGAAGAACCAGAAGCTCCCGCAGTGGTCGTTCATCACCCCCAATATGACTAACGACGGCCATGACACCAACATTACGTTTGCGGCATCGTGGGCCAGGGGCTTCCTCGAGCCCCTCCTCAACAACAGCTACTTCTCGAACGACACACTCGTCATCCTGACCTTTGACGAGAACGAGTCCTATTCGCTGAAGAACCGCATCTACACTGTGCTGCTCGGTGGCGCCATCCCAGACGAGCTCAAGGGAACTGCCGACTCCATGTTCTACAACCACTACAGCACCATCAGCACCGTGTCTGTCAACTGGGGCCTGCCCTCGCTCGGTCGTTGGGACTGCGACGCCAACGTTCTAGCTCTGGTGGCGAACAAGACGGGCTACAAGAACTCAAACGTCACGCTGGACAACCTCTACTTCAACCAGTCGTACCCCGGACCGCTCAGCGACTCCGCCTTTACCCCTGGCTGGTGGCCGGTCCCCAACACCCAGGCCAAATGTGCCGCCGGAAAGGGTGTGCTTTCTAGCATTGCCGACACTTGGTGCGTATTTTGTCGGATGCATATTTATGCAACCTGAAGCAAGAGCAGATACTAACCGCGGCGGACATTTCTGGCGTGACAGGGGCACATCTGACGGCTCGTTCAACTACACCAACGTCTACCCGTACGGCCTTGGCGAGAACACCGGCGGCACTCCGGTCGTGGGCGCCAATGATGCCCCGACCTCGACATCTGGCTCCAGCTCCGGTTCCGGCTCCGGCTCGACTGGCACTACCTCCTCGACAGCTCCCGCCAAGGGCACCAATGCCGCTGCCGTTGCCGCCCCCGAGAGTATGCTCTGGTTTGGCACCGGAGTTGCTGGCTTGCTTGCTGCGTTGCTGTGATTGTAGAGGAGCGTGGGGGCTGTATTTTGTGGTGAGTGGCTTTGACCGACCAGTGCAGTCTGCTAAGTACTGGAGTGGCGATGTAGAGAGTGGTTCTCGGGATTCACGAAATCAAATAAACGGCGAGATTTAGGGTGGAAAAATAACTGCGAGTAATAAATATAATCCCACTTGCCACCGAAAAAAATCAGATAAGACGCGGCCGACCTGTCTTAGTACTGTGATGCCAATTGGGTTAACTCATCAGACAGCAGATGTAAGAGGGCTTGGTAGACAAGGGAGTCGAGATTGGCAGAGGCAGCGAAGTTTGGGTGGCTTTGGTGTGTAGCACTACTATATATTCCCACGAATACCGGAAATGGGGGCAGAGACTAAAATTAAGAAACCACCAACAAGAAACGTACTATAGGCCGTCTGTAAGGGGCTTTGGGGCAAGAGTGTCTGTCGAGAGCGGCAGAGGCAACAAAGGTTAGGTGGTGTTGGTATGCAGCACTAATCTCTGGCTCGCAGCTACGCCCTAGGTCGACCTTCTTGTCTTACATCGGCCTTCCCTGCCCCTGAGCGGGCCTCAGCACCGGTCAGGTGTTCCTCACGCGACTTCCTCCCCTAAGGTCTACGAACGACCATGACACGGTTCTACAGCTAATGAATCCACTCGGAGGATCTCACGTTGTGCCGTATTTCAAGCTTGTCATTGGCAGCTTGGACGGATGTCTCCATTTGTGGCCTCAACCCCTGTTTCCGACATTTGATAGAATATGCGGTAATTTCTAGCTCCCAGCTAAAGCTCTGCAAGTCAGTTCGTCTTTTTATACGGGTAGTCGAGAGCCTATCTGCCCCTGAGCCCTTAAGTGGACCTTCCTGTGCCCCCTAGTGGGCTCCCATGGCCCTCAGAAGACCTCAACATCTGTGACGTGCTCCTCGGGTGACTTACTCCCACCAAGTCTACCGACGACCATAGTAGCAGAGGGCACAAACGCTTTCTTAGGCGTCACAAGACGTTCGTCATGCTAGATCTGAGGCGAAATGCTATTCTGGACGGTCGAGGAGTCGCCATATGACAGCCTCAATGGTTTCGCGATGGTTTGAGCTGCGGAACCATGCTGCCCGTCCGGCCAACTGTACATTCTATGACCATTTTCCGACTGACCGGCCTCGAGCGTGACTGGACCAATGGCTCGTCATCATCCACGTCGTTTGCTTTCTTCAAGCAAACATAAATATGGCCATCTCACCATCAGAGAAACTTTTATCAACCCACTCTCCATTCCACAAATCAAACAGGGCCCAAACAGTACTGACAGGTACCTTTCACCGTATCAAAGCACCTACATTGGCCAACCCTCCTTCCCCCCCGAGGAGCCCAGCAGCCATGTCTAGCGAGGGAGGAGGCAAGTCGAAAGACTCTGTCAGCAAAGGCAAAGGCGGCGGCAAAAGCGGCGGCAAAAGCGGCGGCAAAGGCATTACTTGGGGAGAAACTCCCAAGCGGCCCAAGGGACCTACTCCACCGGACGACCCGCATCCGGACCTGGGAACGTTTGGCTCCATCGATAGTATCCTGGCGGGCTCGAATACCGACAAGGGCAAAAAATAACCGCAACATCTCACTACCTTCAAGCCCGTGAGTTGAGCCCGTCTCCTGTCCTTTCAGAGTTGGCAGCTTATTCCAAGAGCCAGTGAGCAGCAGCACGAAACATGCCGAGTGCGAGGCAATCTGTTTCCACTAAGACTCTTGCTGGACGGGGCGAGATGGAGAAGCCTGTGCTGGGGGATGCCGGTGGGGATCGTGGTTCTCCGGATAAGGGAAACGGGAATAATAGTGGCGAGAAGTACGGCAAGGATGGGCGTGAAGTGTTTTGGTTTGGTCGCTACTGCTGCAACTGAGGTGTCTGTGGGATCTGCTGGAGGATCGTTAATTACGGAGATAATTAGGGGCCAGCGATAATTTTGATTTGCAGGGCAAGCAAGATTTCAGGAAATCGACTTTTTTGGGCACCGTTATGCGTAATTAAGCAAGCAATTAATCATGGTGAAACGGAGAATGTGGTTGAGGGTCGATGGTGTTGTCATGGGGTTAAATGCACATGGGAGTCACAGGCAGGAGAGATGTAAGTGTCACAAGCACGAGAGATATAAGTGTCACAGGCACGAGAGATGTATCAAGTGTCACGTTGGCCAACCACGAAGACGCTCAAGATTTGTTGACCCGCTAATATTTCCCAAAACAAACAGCTATAAAGCTATAACGTAGTTGCGAGTCAATGTGATATCCATCAGGGTAGGGAAGCCAGAGTCGAAAGGTGGCTCAAAAGCTTCGGTGAGTGTCGTCCCGCTTCCCATGAGCCCAAGGGATCCCCAAAAAATATGCTAAGGCCAAGAGCCACCAAAGGAAAACGGCTATATCAAGGCAAGCCTTGATTCTCCAAGAAAAGTTGCCTCAAATCCCGGCCGCCTGAGAATGAGATCTTCACTCTCCTCCTCGTCCTGTCTTCGTCCCTTCCACAGACTGCCCAGGCTGTTGTCCTCCATTCCAAGCTACACGAGTGTCTCATCTTCCAGATCTCGATGCCCCCCTGATGATTGAGATCGGCGACGTCGAGTTGTCGAGCTCCCAGTTCGCGAGACAGATTCCGAGGAAGAAAGGCCAGCTTCAGAGTTTGGGTAGCGACTGACATCGGATTCGGCGGAAGATTCGTACTCAGAATATTCGGAGCTCGACTGGTTTCCCGACCCGTCGTTTGCGCCACGCAAGCGAATAACTCAATTGTGCGAGGCAGACCCTAAAGACCTTGCTTTAGCCGTCTGCCTTGCCCGTCGCGGCGAGTGAGGCAGGTTAGAAGGCGACAGCCGGGGTCGTAAAGGAGTAACTACGGCTCTACCATCTGACAAGAGCTCGACGATCTCTTCCCGTCTAGGAGCATTATATATCTTGTCATGTATCGCTTGATCCCTCGGACTCGTCGGAACATACGGCGAAAACTGCGGTATATCCGACGGGTCAGCCTCCGAAGGGGCTGCGGAAGAAGCGCAGGCAGAAGAAGAGACCACGGAAGACGTGTCTAGACCCGCCCCCCCTGAAGAACCAGAAGCTGAAGATGCCTCGGACGGAGCGGGTCGAGCTGAACGGCTGCTCGACGACTCGCCTGACTTCTTTTTGCGCTTGGGGCGACCGTCGCCTTCCCTTCCCATGATTGCTGGACGACCTGAAGTATAGGTGTGAGTGTTTTGAGGGATGGCGCGCGGCAACACTTTGGTCGCTGCCTGGAAGTCGTGGCTACCGCCAGTGTGAGTTGATTGCTGTTGAGAAAGAAAATTGGACTTGGATCACTGGGGTGCTAGAATATTTATAGAACCTTTCGGGGCAAGGCGACCGGCCGTCATTCGTAAGCAGATACTCGATGGGCATTTGCGTTGAAACAGAGGCCGGGGTGTGATGGCTGGTAAAGCGGCACATGTTGCGGTATTTCCTGTCACTTGACGCCTCCTTGGGCGGGCCGTGAGAAACGGATCAAAAGTTAGTTGATCGAATGTGGCTGATCATGTTTGGAAAGGGGTAGGATGTAAACCACGCTGTGCTACAAGCAACTCCAAGATGACCTCAGTCTGATAACAACTGAGCTTTTCAATGTTTCACATTTAAGTCTTGGGCCTGTAACAGTGTGGCCGGCCTGCGTGCGAGGATACGAAACAGATCGTGGTACACGCCCATCCGCAGCGCGTTTCCAGCCTGCCTTCTCGTCATCTCCAAATTAGGCGTGGCCCGATTCCTACATTTTCTGAACACTGGACCGGCTGATGAACACAATTGATGTCAGTTGGGCCCTGTCATGCTATGAGCCATGCTCGTAAACCAGGAAAGCCGGACGCAAGCCCTGTTTCATTCACCCTCCACGAGGAACCTTTTCTGGTCTTCCCTTCCAACCCTATGTCTATCACCACTCCTTTTCCACCCTGCTTTTTATTCCACTAGGGCCATACTCAAGCATGCACCTGCACTGCGTACAAATAAAAGTCGCTGATCTTGCTTTGAGAAGGTCTATAAATTTCCCTACACTCCAGAGATCCAAGTTACAATTTCCCAATAACTATCCACTCAGTGCTTCTTCTCTCCAATAAATCCCACTCACATGGCAAGCAGGCTACATGGGGATATGAAACAACTTCTAACAAGTATGATACATCCAGCTTCCAAGTGTATGGGTTGGCTTTGCTATTTCGCGCCCCATGACCTGCCTGCCTAGACAAGGTCACGGCCACATTCTCCCACAACTGGACCGGCAAGTAGGCACAGGTAGTAACAGTTGAGCCCTATTGTGCCACGAGCAACGCCCGTAAACCCGAAACGCCAGATACAAGCCCCGTTCCATTAGCTTCTACGAGGTGTCTTTAACCGTCTCCTGTTCTGGCCCTGTATCCATCATTGCTCACTATTCATCCCACTCGATAGTCACGCTCAAAGTGCCTTCTGCAGTGCTTATAATTGCAGTCGCCAGTTTTGCTTCTTTGATGTCTATAAATATTCCTTGTCTTCCAGATTTCTCAACGACTGACCCACCCGCACTGGTGACAGCCATAACGCAGAACCACTGTCTGGCGCAATTCACTGCCACGCCCAAACCCCTATCGATTCCGCGATCATGAGCAGTCAAAAGCACAACAGTCGCCGTGATAAAGACGGCCGGGAGGAAGGCTAGCAGCTAAGAGACAACTCACGTCGACGTATTCCTCCTGAGACCTCGCCGAATCTGAAAACACACAACTCGGGGCGGCCAGTTAGGTCAGCAATCAGAGTTGAATGTGAGCATAGCGGCTGACCACTATCAAGATCTCGGGAACGACGGTTACAAGGACGATGGCGATGACGACGACGATGACGACGACGACGAAAACGACGACGACGACGATACCGAGACACAGGGTCATCTAGAATTCTCGGCCAGGAGCAACGACGAAACCCACAGGGACTACTTCATAGTGCAGCTAGTGGTTTATGCTGAAATAAACACTCGTCCTGTTGTCGAGACCATGGTCAAGACTAATAAGAGCGAAGATAGGTCACGGGTGGTGGCGGCTGAGCTTTCTCGCAGGTATTGCAGCATCAAGGATGCGGTTATGCGTGCGCTTGGAAAAGTCGAAGTGTCGGACTTTTTCCTATTGGGAGATATAATCCACGCCGACTTTGAGAAACGCCTAGTCAGAGAGAGACGAAAAGCCCGCCGTCAAGACATTACAAACAAGAAAGGACACCGGCGCAGCGGTGTGACGCCCCCAAACTCTTCCCGTACCCGGAAACTGCATGTTGAGCCTACGCGACTCAGCATACCCCTCCCTGGGGAATCCTTATACTCTACGGCGGGATACTCGCTAGGCGTATCCTCCCGAGTCGTACTATGGCCACACAGCGCAATATCCCCCACAACCGCAATATCCTCAGTAGTACACTTACGAGACGCAACCTCGCCGGTAGTTCAGCAACAGACTCGCCGGTAAACCAGGAGCAGCGAGACTATCTAGCTAGCGGTTAAAAACCGTAGCTCGTATTAGAAAGAGAGATCTTGAGATTTAGGCACAGCTAGGGGTGAATATTGGTCCGAAGGGTTGACAGGGAAATTGGAGAACGTGATGAATGGGGGGATAGGAGATCTGACAAGCGCCGAACGAAGCAATGTTATCGGGGATTGGGAAACATTATATAGACGATCATTTCAAGACGGGATGTAGCTTGGGACAGATCCTTGGGAAAGTCTAGGGCGGTAATATCTGGATCTTGTCTTTGGTTCTCTCCTTCTTTGCATAATACTTATTTCTGGTCGAGTTCTAAAGCTCGTGGAACGGCCTTGCCGGCGAAATTAACAGATATCAGACCCCTCCTCTGCATTTCTTCTCGAATAGTAGCTTGACTTCCCTTTGCTTTATGGGGTCTGTCCAGTATGACCTAATTAAATATTTCCCATTTTTAACGTGACATACGCGTGTGGAATTCCCATGACCAGGTTATTGATTGGCCTTCTATCCAATTTTAGTCGCGGGCATGGTAGGCACACTGCGTGCGAGGATCTGAAACTGCTTCGCACAAACATTCAGTTTCAGAGTTTGGGGGCATGCCCTGCCATTTCGTGCCTCATGATCTGCCAGACTGGCCAAGGTCACGGCCTCATTCTCGAACAACTGGGTCGGCAAACAGGCACAGTTAACAGCAGTAGTTGTGTGAGAATCTTGCTTGTTAGTCCGTCATGTCCGCCTACAACAGTATCAGCCCCAGGTCCCAAGCCCTTCTTGCTCCCCACTTTTCCCACAACGGGTCTATAAGTACCCCGGGACCCCAACGCTCTAAACCCACCCCCCTAGCAACAATTTGACTTTCACCAGCCAGAAATACGATATAGAACCGCTTTCTCGCTTCATCCCCTGCAACACCCACGCCCACGTGTCAGGCCGTATTGCAATCATGGGAAGAGATAGGAGTCGTCCCTCTGAGTCGAGTAGCCGCCGGCGCCGATCGTCTTCTGCGGACACTTTGGGCTCCTATTCCCTCATCTCGGCGGGCTCATCCTCAGGAATCTCTTCGGATTATGGTTCTGTGGCCTCGTCGGAATCTATTTCGAATGTTTCGCGAAGCTGTTCTCGCCCCAGAGCTCACGGTAGCTCACGTACTGCTTCCGCTGCCCCCTCGAGATCTGCCTCGCGTTTTTTTGGAAAGCCGTCCGACCCCCAAAGATGACTAGGAAATAGTATTATACTAAGATGCGAAATCCGCGGAAGCTCCATGTGGAGCCGGCGAAAAGGTCGGAAATTTTGACAACAGCAACAGAAGACCGAGCTAGGGATCGCAATATGCAGGGTTCCAGGTACCTGAGCCACCTCGGGTTAACCAGCGATACGAGGTTACTGATGCTAGGTTCCGATATGCCCATCCTGAAGAGAAGGCCTTATTCGAAAGAGGGCAGTTAGGTGGTGTTCGGCATGTCCACCCCAGTTCGCTTCCTCTCGTGATAAAGCCCTCATCGAACGAGCGGGAGCGGTCAGTAGTGGCCGCATATAATGGTCGGGTTACGAGTAAGCAGCAGATCAATGCCCTTCAGTTCTTAACAAACGCCAAACTGACTCGATGTTTCCTATGGCGTCAGTTGCCCGCGTACGTGCTGCCGAACAGGAGCAATTGAGGTCCCGTCGCTAGAAACGGCACTGAGCCATCAGGACATTCCAATCCGCGAGATACTTCTTGCTGTGGCCACAGCGGAATTGAAAGCAAAAAACACTCAGATTCTTGGGAACGGAAAACAGCAGCCCGTGGGACAGAAAATAAGAGAGGGAAGGTGCTTATAGTTTGCTGCATTTACTTTTGGTACACCAAGGCCATGCCTTGCCGCTTACTATCATATCACTATATCTCCTTACGTCTGCATTCTCGTTTTCTTCATAAAATAGTCATTGGTTGACGAATCATGAACGCATATAAAGTGTGACCTGCAATGACTGAAGCAACAATCCACGGTCTCTCCCATGACATCTTCTGGTACTACTACGGTGAACCACATGCCTTTGCCAAGCGCGTGGATCCCACAAAGGTGGCCAGCCGTAGCACCATTTCGCCACGTACTCTGTCTTTTGTGGCACCGGGAGTCATCGCTGCGAGCCACATGCCTTTCGATAGCTGCTGGCCCTACGCTGCCACCCTCTCAACACCTAACTCATTCCCATGACCTTGGGCAAGGTGCTACCTAGCAGATGTGCCGCGGCAGTTGGCATCAACCCTATTCATGGCCATGACAGCAACAGCTTATCCAAGTCAAGTCGAGTTAGCTGTGAATGTCCCGGTAATGTCAGACCAGGCCTGTGATACCCAGGTCTAGATAAGAGTTACACGTCGCCACACGGCAGCCTACCGTACCTATATAAGCCAGCGTAACGTAGGTCGGGAAAAGGCTGAACCGTGAGGCTTTTACCTTGCATCAAAACCGTTCTGAACTCAACTCACTAAACAATAAGGAAATATCGCAAACGCTTCCAGGCATACGACCAGAAACGACCTTGTCTCTAAAGAGTGCTAAGTCACAAAAAATAACAGCGACACGATCACCGCCATCAAAGCAAAAAGCAAACAAACAAAATGGATAGACATGGCAGGAACTGCTGGGTGCAGTATAGCCGGCCGGGCGGCTATTATTATCCTGGCGCGGGTCCGGCTTATTACACACCGACCCGTCAACACCGGCGACGACACTCATATCCCGTTCAAACCATACCTATTCCCGCACCAGTGGCAGTTCCGGTGCCATATCTCACATATCCACTGCCTCTAGCGTATCCGATGCAGCCGACGCGCTCGCTACCGCCTCTCGCGATCACCGGACCGATACCAGCCCCCATTCCGCCGCCCACCATGAACGTACTCGTTACGAGACCGCCGCCTTGTCAACTAGTCTACGTCCAGCCTGCTCCCTACCCAGTGCCAGTAGTCTACCGCCCACCTCCACCTCGCCACCGACCCCGGAAAATGACGCCAGCAACCCGACGGCTACCAGCACCACCTCCAGCCTCGACAGCGAACGAGATAGCAGCCGTGAAACTGGCGAAAGACATGGCCGAACAGCTCGCGGAGATGAAGAGCTCGACATCCTCGCCGCCGCCAACGACGGCAACAAGATCAGCAGCAGACGCCGCAAGCGAGAGGAAGCAATGGGAAAAGATGGAGACGCTCGCCGACCACACGGCCGCTGTGCAGTCGGCTGCCAAGGCCGCGCGCGAACGCGGCGAGAGCGCGCTCAAGGAGAATGATTGGACCCTCCAGCTGAATGATCTCACTATCGCGGGGGATCCGAAGCAGCGGCTTGGGAGTCTGAGGGATGGACTGTTCGGTCCTTAGAGGGTTGGGTGTGGGTGGAAAGAGAGGGTGGGCGGGGATGGTGTGTAGTGATTAGTAGTGGCAGGGTTTTGTCCTTGGGGTTTAAGGGGGCGTGTTTTGCTTTGGTTGGGAGGCGATTATGATCTTCTTTCTTTCTCATCTGTTCTATTTTTAGTTGTCTCCCTCCCTGCGTTGTCGTTAGAACACTGTGAAATATTGGACGCTAACTATTGCCGTCTTTGGCTTCTCGGCTTGCTTTGCATTAGGTTTTTTATGAGCGGGCAAAAAGAACAGATAGCAAGATATCCGCTGTTTTGAGGGAAAAGCCAGGCTCGCTCCCACGTAGGTATACCAAAAAGCGAAAAGTAGGTTGGATAGAAAACAAAAAAATGAAGAGTGCCCAGTAACAGGATTGAACTGTTGACCTTCGCATTACGGTATACAGTCTCTCGACGGTATTAGTACGACGCTGCTAACCAAACTGAGCTAACCGGGCGCGCTTTCGCTTTAAATGAAGGCTCTGTCGAGTAATTTCCTTTTTCCTGGGCGTGCAGTGTTGGCGTTGGTGTGTGTGGGTGCCGGCGGAGTTCGGTGTGTTCCTTTCGGGATGATCCTGCCCGGAGGGAGCCAAATGACTCGAGCCTAAATTCAGGGGCTGGCCGGCTGTTTGTTTAGCCACGCAAACCCTAACCCTAGGATTTACCAGCTGAGATGCAGAATGTTGCAATGATTGATGCTGAGGCTGCTGACTAGTACCATTATTTTTCTTTTGTAATTACTAGAAAGTGAAAGTGAGGAAGCATTATACATAGTCTCAACTACTAGTTGGCTACACCCCCTCTGTGGAGGAACCTTTCAGGGCGAAACCTTTGATACATAATTGGGGCCAATGGCAGTGCAAGTTCCCTACCTAGTCTCAACACAGCATAATTATACCAACTAGTGAGGGAATCTGAGATCTCATGTTCTCAACTCGGGACATTGGGAAATAGCGATCTCGATGAGGGAATTCCGTAATGTTAAGGGACATCGGTAATATGCGCGATGGCAGGATGAGTCTGGCCGTTGCGGAGATCAAGGCCAGCCGATATCGAGACCCCCCCAGTCTCGCATGATGTTTGAGATACCTATAGCAACTATGCAGGTAAAAAAACAATGGGGGATGATCATGAGCGGCCTGCATCATCTCTGAGCATCATGATCTGACTCGCAGGTACATCCCTTCTGCCATCGGTGATGTGAGGGATTTTGATGCGGCGTCATTGGACGCATCCGGGAAATGCCTAGATGACAGCTGTGGACGAAACTTGATGTAGCCTCAATCCTGTGGAAGAATGTGTGACTCTCGAAATCGGGAAGAAAGCAGCTCAAAGTCAGATCATTAATCTTGGGAATGCCTGTCTCGGCATTGGGTCTGAGGCTATAGTCGCCGCGGCACCTGGGCAGGCAGCTCGGAGTTTCAAGGTCGCCAAAACGCCGCCAAGGAGCATATATCCGTGGCGATAGGCTGGAAAGCTGTAAGAACCGACAAATAGTTGCATTGCCGGATAGAATTGACCGCGAGTATGCGTCTCTGCTCCTCGGCCATGGCTGTTCAGGTGGTGGTGCCCTGCTGCCCCCTCTCTAGCCGGTGTTGATCGCTTGTCTGATCCCATGCATGTAGAGCAACCGGTGAGGGAATGCCGGCGCCTAGCACAAGCCTGGGGTGCATGGAAATGCCTTGTTCTGAGTAGCATGAGCGCAATCGGGGACGTAACAGGGATTTGAATGCAAGTGTTTCCGCGGAGACCTAGAAGGGGATGGTTTGAGGTGAGATTACGAGGCGCTCATGGGGACGAGCACGGATCTTCCATCGAACTATGCCAGAAGTAGAGGATGGTGGGCTTATCATCCGGAACAAGTTCGCCTAGATCGGCCCAGGTCGCGTATTTCCCGAACTCCTCGCAATATCGGAGTCTGCCACGAGTCACAGCAGCCACTCGCCAACCTTGGAGAGGGCCGGAGACCCATCCTCTAGGCCCTCGGTAGTGTTTTTGGATCCACGATATGAGCTGCGGCTAACGCGGCTGGAAGGAGAGACACACAGCCCTGACTGGTGTGTCTAGTAGGAACTAGAACGCGATATCGATCGCGCAATAATGAGGCAAAAATAGCGGGTATGCTCGCAGGACCGTCCTGGGGCTGGCTGTGCAGTGTGCAGCTTGCATTCGGCGGCTGTCCCAAAAGAGGCAACCGCATGGTCAATCAGACGCGAGGCCAAGACTGCGATTCTCGTGAAGGCCCAGTTCGATCTAGGGAACCATGGAGGACGCCCTAGATCGGAGGGACGTGATTGGAGGCTGCCGGAAGCTTTGAGGTATCCCCAGGTAATTACCCAAGGACCGATGCCGTGTGCCGACCGAGTAGCTGTAGGGAACATCTGGTTGACGACAAGGACAAGAAAATGCGCAGACATGAACCAGGAAGTATTCGCTCCCCGAAGCAGAAGAATTAACTGACAAAAGGTAGAAGGAATGCGGGCACTCAGGGAATGAAGCCGTCTTCGCGACTTGGCGAAAAAAGCCACAAGAGACACCGCGCCGAGGCAAGGAGGCTGTACGGGCCAGCGGGGATTGGCCGACGGCCAAACTGGGCGCCAGCCACGTCGAGCCATTTCAACAGCTGCGGCTTGCATGCGAGCAGTCCAGAACATGGGACCCGGGTCGGATACAACCGAATAGGGATGATAGAACCGGCGACCGGCCCATGGGCGGTTCTCTGTTGGCGACTATAGAGAGTTGATGTTGAGGCTCGCGAGCTCATTTTGGCAAAAATGATCATGTTTGTGTTTCTGGTCTCTGCGAAGTTGTCGAGCCCGGTTGGTTTTTGGAATCGCAGAGCCGCTTCTTGACTCTCACTAGCTGGGAGGGACCGCCACAGAATTAGGTAGCCAAACGTGGGAACAAGAGATGGCTAAGCCGGCAGGCAATCATTCAACAACGGATTTATCGCACACCAGTTCGTGTGGGAATCTGTATGTGCAAGTACCCAAGTGAAAGGAAATATGTTTAAAATAATCAAGAACGGCATGTACCAATTATTGAACACTGATTAGCTCTGCGCAGTATCGCAATGTAGTATAGTTAATTAACTAGGTAGGTAACTCGGCCTTCGAACAGCGAATGACGCCTGTCGGTTTATAGCCCCTTTTGCCCGTCCATTCGTCCCATCATTATATTTGGCTCAAAACGCCAAGCAAAACCACCCCGAGGTATCTTTTTTTACCCGCATGCAAAAACCCGGAACGCCACACGGTCAAAAGACTTGACCATGGCAAAGCAAAGAGGAGAGATCAAACGAGAAGTTTTGAGCAGCATCTCGAGTCAAGAAGTTCAACTCCAGATGGCGCCGGCGCCGCCACGGTTCATGAGCATCATCTCGAGCCCCTCCATCCTGCCCCTGAGCGCATTGTTCTCCGTCTCCAAGCTGCGGTTTCTTGTCTCGAGCCCGGCGATGTACTCCGTTGCCTTGCTCAGGATGGTGGCCTTGTTGAGCTTTGGCGCCTGTGCGCTCGCGCTCTCGTCATCACCCGCATCTTCTTGGTCGTCATATCTAGAGTGCTCGGAGCGATGCGACACGACCCGGAGGGACGGGACTGCATCGCGAAGCTGGGCAATCTTATCGTTGAGATTTGTGCGGTACCGCTTCTCGATCATGTTATGTGCCGTCTTCTTTGGCCCGTGGGCCGCCTGGTCCTTGTCCTTTGAGCCGCGGCGGGCGGGGAGCGGAGAAGGGGACGACTGCTTGGCGTCCTCGCCGTCCTCGGAGCTCGAGGTGGAGGACTTGCGTTTGAGACTGCCGCGCGACATGTAGCCTTTGGTTTCCTCTCCGCCATCTCCAGAGCCTCCGAATGCGGCCTGGCGCGGCTGGAAGAGGGGCGGATAGTGGTTGAGTTTATCGGAACCTAGAGTCAAGTTCACTGGAGATGGAATGGTGAGATCCATCGGGTTGACGGCGGGGCTCAGGGAGATGTCCCGTGCTGGGCGTGTTGCGAATAAGGACTCGTCAATGGGCTCCGCCGCAAGGAAGGTACTGGGATGGGATGAGTGTTCGATGCTGTCCCAAAACACCCAGTCGTCTCCGGGAAGCCCGAACGAGGTGGTCGAGAGGACCGGTGATACAGGAGAGATTGGTGAAACAGGTGAGCCGGCCGAGTCCGAAGTGAAATCCGTGCTAAAGTCTTCGGGTGAGTTAAAGAGAGAGGTCGGCGAGTTGAAGTCGGAGTAGTTCTGCTTGCCGGACATCGTTAGTCGCTATGAAGTCATGTAACGGAAGTGGCGCCGGCCAGTGGGCCGCGTCTAGGTTAACTAACCAGCTGTGCAGCACTAAACGATGTCGCGAAGGAGTCGAACGACATGGGCGGGGGGTTGGCGGTGGTCATGCTGACGGTGGTGGCCAGATCGTATGGTTTGATATGGTCTGCACTCTGCAAGCCAGCAAGCAAATAATTGATGAGGTGGGATGGCGATGGCGAGGCGGCGAGGATGGCGGCAGCTAAGTGGTGGTGTATTGTGTGGGGCCGCGGGGAAGGTGGAATGTTGCGAGTGTCAGGCCAAGGGTCGGTTCCTTGTCTGCGCTGTTGAGTTGGATGTCAAGTTGGATGTCAGGTTGGATGATGTTTGGATTTATGGTGGTTCAGGCCGATCCTTCAGGACGAGAGACCGGGGAGCTTGGGCGTATTTGATGTGCGAATGGGGGCGACCAACACCGGCGCGGAATGCCTGCTTGAGCGTGCATTGCTGGGGAATAAAGTGCCTCGGCGCGGCAATGCATGGTGGACGGCACTAAAAAGTCTTGCGGTAGCTAACAATAAACTGACCATTTCTCCATCGTGGTACGAGAACGGACTGGGCAAAATTGGCGAGATGGTGTAGAAAGCGGGGCCTCTGACGTACTAGGTTTGCAAACAACGAACTGACAGTGGTACCAACGGCGTGGATTGGCGCGGAGCTGCCCGAAGTCTGCACTGGGAGTTGTGGGGCCCGCCCTTGTAACGCCCTGCTTTTGTTCTTGATAAAGCTTGACAAAGCTGCTCTCCACGGAATGCCGCTGGCTCCAGTCCCTTTGCTCGTTTCAAGGTGAGAGCGGTCGAGGCCCGACAAGCATCTAGAATCTGCATGCGATCGGTCTCTAGAACGACCCATGCGCGCCAAGATTTCGTCTTTGTCGGCGAAAAGTGACTAGCCGTGACAACAACAACCACCGCTTCGCACAGCTTTGGGAATTCCAGTTTTGGGAATTCTGCGAGGTCCCAATTGAGGCTGGACGAGAGGAAAAAACTGGTTGCTGCCACTCGCCCAATTGCTTTAGGTTAGCACATGCAGCCCCGCTGCAGGAGCCGATCCAGGCAGCTTGCTTCTGGTTCGACAAATTGTGGCCTGACCCATGCAGGGAAAGGGCTAGACCCAGATAATCCCACTAAAGGTGGGCCCAAAACGCGTGACCGGAAGCGCCCGGGCTCGGAATTGTTAGTGGCGAAGTCACCCCAGGCGGGGCTTGTGCGAGAGAGCAACCTCGGATGAATCTCGAAACAGGAGACGCTTCTTGAAAATCAAGGTCTTCTCTAAAACCTGACAGCTCCCGCCGTCCGGAAACCACGGTACAGGACGAACTTGTTGCAACATGGAGACGACGGACGACAGACGGGAGTTGGGAATACTTCCTGCTTTTTCGCCGGCGTTCTTGTGCCTGACCTCGAGCTGTTTTGTTTTGTCGTCGACTAGTCATTTCGACGAAGTGTACGTACGACAAAGGCCCTCTTCGCGCCGCCGTCGACTCGTCGAGCACATGCCTGGCAGCCAGTTTCTTGTTCGCATCGAGGCTCTATCATTGTTCGATTCCTCTGGCTTAGCGGTCGACACCGGCGACGTCAGCGCTCCGCTAGTTGACCTAGAGTACAACGGGAGCCTGCCTTACCTGCCTTACCTTCTTTGGATAGTAGGCTACATACGAATACATTGTTGGTAGGCAACCGGGGTAGCCAAGGCCACGGCACGGGGACCTCGCCTAGCTCTTCTGAGCTCATCGCGAGCTTGCGCATAATGTGACCGTTGGGCGGGCGCCCAACGGCCGCCACGGGCCCCATGCCTAGCGCCCCATAGCTTGCCCAACTCCTTCTCTGTCCTTTGTCGAGCCAAACCGCCATTTCCAGTTGATCCGAGCGAACGGGAACGAGCCGCCCCCCCGGAGCCGTGGAACTGAGCTACAGTACCTGTGGTGGGGCCGAGTGTGGCAAGTTACTGCTTGAGGCTTAGACTTGCGAGCCGACCTCCTTTGATGCTAGTCCGGATCCGTGCGTCTGACGGACCCGACAGTTTGGTACTTTGCTGACCGAGAGACTATGAGATATGGCCGTTTGCCTATTGTTCAGCCACCAGCGCCTGTCAGTAGTCGATTGGAAACATTGTCAACAGTACCGGGGCTGTGCCCGAGTGGAGCTTAAAGCGAGCTTCCGTCTTGCGGGGTTGAAAGGAAACTAATTCATCATCGATCAAAGCTTGAGCAAATACCCAAGATCCCAAATACGCGGCGACAAAGTCGGCCTCTCGACAAGAAACCCCACCCTCTCCCTCCGAAAATTCCGACAACACGGCGCGCAGATGCTTGGCGAGCTTACCCTTCCGAATCCGGATGGCGAGACGGCAGAATAGCCTTTCGGCTCGCAAAATTCGCCGTTGACGAGAAGTGTCTTCGTCTCTACGCTAACGCACGATTAGTCTCGACGGCAAATGAAGAGGGTCAAACAAGCTTGAGAGCAGGGCAGATTTTCTCGATTCCACTTCCAACCTACCTTTCTACTTCCAACCTGCCTTTCTACTTCCAACCTGCCTCGGCCTTTCTCTCCACAACTGTCAGCGGGTCTCCGGACGGGACCAAATAGCCTCCCGTGTGGACCGTACCAGCATGTCGGGTCACCAAAGTCTAGATCGGTCCGCCGCTTACCTTGGACTCACCGATAACAAAGAGCCTGACTTGGTTGTGGACGGGAGGCGGATTAGATCCAATCAGGTCAGGATTCCATGACTCGGCTCACCTTAGTGCAAGCCAACCTTGCTACTTAGGCCTGCTGAAACAACAAAGAGAGCTCGTCAGCAGCCCCAGCACGCAATTTTCCACGGTTGAGTTGTGGGACGTGATCAACTGCTTCAGCAAATAATGCACTTTCATGCGCAGGCAGGGTACTAACCTCACCCCGCTTCAGGTTCAGGCGCAAGGGACCCACGTTCAGGTGCTCTGGTGCAAATATGGCACCTTATCTTTGGACAAATAGTCTACGGAAGCCCACAGAACACCCGTGACACTCAAAATTGCATGTCCACAAAGACTGAAGTTCTTTATCAGACACAGGTCTCTGCTGGATATAGGGCGGAGTAGACAGGCCGCGGTGCGCGTTATGGGTTCTTCGTGCATGAGAAGTATCCAGTGCGGTCGCTAGGTGTCTCACGAACACGAATGCTGCCTGAACTAACCATCAACCCCGTAGACTCGTGTACGGCACGTTAGACCTTTGTCGACTAAAAAACCAATTAGGTGTGCTGATATGTTCTCGAGGACGAATGCGGGCGTGTTTCCCTTCCGGATTATCCACGTGACGCGCAGTTCAAAAAAGGGGAGTTGACTTGCGTTGCCCACATCAGGAATAGGAAGCGAAACAGGAAGCGAAACCCAAGATTAGTAGCATGTCCTGATGATATATAGCTTTCCCACGCAACGGATGGGGTTCGGGCAGAGGAAAGAATAAAACAGGTTATGGCGGCGGCGCGTCGGTGCTTACGCGGCAGCCATGGCAGCCAGGACAGAGTGGAACGGCTCCCGCATCCGCGGCTTGGCGGGCCTGTGCTTCCGTCTCCCGTGCTCGCACGGGGATATGAAGTATGCCCCGAGAGATATGATAGATAGCGACACAATAGATTGGAAGGCTGATGGATGGGATGGAGTGGCATGTGAGACTGGATTGAGGTAGCCATAGCGATAACACCATAAACATAGGCATAAGCACGGCCAGGCCCATCTGCGTCAGCTTATTGATTCTGTCTTGTTTAGGACACGGGAGCAGAAGGATGAGGATGAGGGGGAGGGAGGGACGGATGTATCGGACCTCCCGCTCGAAATTTAGCACAACGAGCAGGGGAGGACCAAAAGTAGCATTTGGGTTGCATCACCACCACATGGCGGTGGCGTGCGATATTGAAGTTCGCCAAGACGTGTGAACCCGGAATATGGGACTGTGGGATCGAAAACATAGAGAGAGTGCCGGCCGAGGCTCATGTGTCACGGCGATGTGTCTTTTCTGGATATGTTGATGCACGACCGGTTTGTTCTAGAAGTCGTCTGTTGGTTCGAGAGGCTCCGGTTCCAGGGGCGGGGCTGTAGAGTGCAGTACCTTGCTTGCCTGCCTGTCTTCCATACATGGGAAGTGCGTGGCAAATGCCTCAGCGGCTATTGGCTCGGCCGAGACCGCTTATACTGCAGAGTAGGATTTCAAGGGCCGATTTTGGAGACTACCTAATCACCTCAGTTGTGCTGAGGATACAGAGTCCCAGCGAGTCAGATTAACTGTAATTGTAGGATGGAGAGAAGGGGTAATTGTCACTGCAACAGAGTCGTAATTACTCCGTCGGTGAAGTCTATAGGCGAAAGGCACGTTGTCGTCGTCGAGTTCTAGTCGAAAGTAGACGGATCTCGGAGCATTCTTCAGGACCCAGGTCCCTACCAATGGTCTGGTAGGCACCTTAGGCAGGACTGAGCAGGGCGTAGCTTCACAGGACCTCGAATTTATTCTCGTTGCAGACCCAAAGTCAAGTGACGAGATGGCCCAGATGAGATCGGGGGTTCGGCTTGGCGCCAAGGCGCATGCTTCTGGAAAGACGCAGGCAAACACATGCCTGAGGGGCACTGCAACCTGGAAATAGCAACAACATGGGCAGCAGAGAGCAAATTGCAAGGCAACCTACCTAGACACGCACATATTGCAGGCACCCCCAATGGGGAGAGGGGGGGAAGGGAAGACAGGCCAGTGCCAGTGCCAAGCTCGGGGTTGCGGCTCTGGGGGCGGCTATAGCAGACGTCGTTTTAATATACGGGGGCTATTTACCCCTCGGAGCGTGGCCTTTGAGATGCCTCGAATGCCCTCTGGGCTCAATCTGCGGCTAAAATGGGCAGCCATGTTGGAATCTCGCACATGCTCTGCGGCGAGTTCTTGGCCCCGCACCTGGGCCCATTGGTTGCCCTCTCTCTCGCCCAATATGCCGGACCGCGCCTGCAACCACTCTCCAAGGAAGTGGCTTCCTTGGGAGGAGGGCTAACTTCCATGAATGGGGGGGTCACCACGGCGGGCGGGCGAAGCCTACCTACCCTAGCCCTAGGCCGGGACGTGGGAAACTGAGGAGGAGCGCTCTCCGAGTCCAAATAAATTAACAGCTCCGAACAGATGGCGTCACGCGATTACACCCGCCCAACGGGCATACGCCCGTCGACCTGTTCCACCTTGGCCTTCCCCACACTAACGGGCCCTTGTCCCCTGGCCCCCTGGCCCCTAGGTGGGCAAGTGCAAGAATCTATTTCCCCTTACTCTAGTGGAAGTAGCCAAGTCGCTCGCTCGCTCCTTGCCTCCGTTCATCTGGCTGCCGGCGCCGATAATACGCCGTCCGCTATAATTATATTTAATCATGGCAGGAGCACGCCTCTCTGCCGCTATCCATTCTTGGGGTCTCTTTTTCGGCTCAACCTGACGTGTGCGTCTGTCTTTTGCCCCGGCCTGTCGTCCGTCCACTGGGAAAAAGACCGAAAAAAAAGAAAAGCTGGTCTTGTTCGCTCGTCGCCCACACGTCTTTTGCCAAGCCTGCCCGTTGGAGTCGTTCACGGTTGCACAAGGTGCGTTACGTCGCTGCATTTCGTCTCTATCTCTCTCTTCTCTCTTTGCATTGATTTTCGCAGTGAACGAGGAGAGCTAATGCTATGGAATTGTAAAACTGACAGGATAGTGCTACGGACAGACTCCAATCCTCGACGAGTCGACATCGCCGCAGGCCTGGGACTGCAACCCCCCCCCCCCCCCCCACTGCAGATCCCCCGCACCGAACGCGCCAGCAGGCCCGGTAAAACACTCGATTCGAAATGCTCAAGAACCTCTGGCTCGGGCTCGTAGCCCTCGCTGGCATGGGTGGGTGGTCTTGAGTGCCCCGACTGAGGAAGCCTGGCAGCGTTACGAACGAGGAAAACTTTGCTGACTTGGGTTTGTTGCAAAAACTAGTAGCGGCGGCTGATACGGCCATCTACCAGGATCCGGACACGGGCCTGACGTTCTCGTCAGCGTTTGCACTCTACAAGTCGGACGGCCGCGGCATAACCTTCCGCATCGCCATACCGGCGAGCGCGCAGCAGTACGCGCCCTTCGACGCGGTGCTGCAGGTGGTGGTGCCCAACGACGTGGGCTGGGCCGGGCTGGCCTGGGGCGGCTCCATGACGCGCAACCCGCTGCTGGCGGCCTGGAAGAACGGCAACAACGCCGTCATTACGTCGCGCTGGACCACGTAAGTCTTTCCCGGCACATGATTGCGAGGAGCTGGAGGAGAGGACGACGGGAGACAACAAAAAGAAATGAAGAAAGGGGGAGGAAATGAAAAGAAGGAACAAGACTGACATTCGTGCCAGCCAACACACGCTGCCGCCGACGTACGCGGGGTCGCAGTACACGCTGTACAAGACGGGCACCAAGTCCAACTCGACGCACTGGCAGTTCACGGCTAAGTGCACGGGGTGCACGTCGTGGGACGGCGACGGCTCGGGCACGACGCGCTACCTCAACCCCAAGGGCGGCAACCGCCTGGCCTTTGCCTACTCGCCCAGCAAGCCCAGCAACCCGTCGAGCGCGTCGTCATCGTTCCCCGTCCACGACGTGCACGGCTACTGGTCCCACGACTTCAACGCCGCCATCAACCAGAACTGGGACGCTGTCGTGCAGAAGCTCGTGGTGCAATAGTTTTTGGGGGTGTGAGGTGTTCTTTTTTGGACGAGAAAGGAGATTAGGCGGAGTTTTGAAAAGAGGGTGGAAATTCATGAAGCATGATGTAGGGAGATGAAGGGGAAACAAGAGAGGGGGGGTCGAAGGAGGGAAGCATTGTATATACGTTGGACTTCCATTGTTTTACTTGGTAGCCATCTGCTCGGACAACATCAACGTCATCTAATCCCGGTGCCGCTTTGAGAGATTTTCATGGACGCGAGTGGAAATTTTATTATCAGGGGCATTTAGGGACGTCAAGGACGAATAAGAGAAGCCCCAAGTAAGGACTCTAATCATTACGTTGAAATTGAAAGCTAACGGAGCAATCGAGTAAGTTGTTTGCTCTCATTAGGCTCTATTTAAATTAGCACTCATCATTATCTTGTCGGATTGCTTAGCTTTGCTGAGAATGTAAAGAAGCATGCGTCGACACGATGATCTCCAGGTAGATGGGACCGACTGGCTTGGTGTTCATATATATGGAAATGTGCAAGCGCTGGTTGCTGAGAGGTGAATGGCTTCCTTCTGTTGGGCTTTTGATGCTGGAGAACAGCATGGTTTGAATGGTTTTTAGGGGGCAGCTAATAGACCCAAGTTATATGAAAGACTACTGTCACCTGTGCCTAGTTCAGCCTCCTGATTGGCCTTTGTGCCATTGGCATGTCTTCATGCGTTGCTTAGGCGAGCCAAACCAATTCTTTGTCCCTCCCTCGCCTCGGAGGCCTGAGGCTCAACATTGGTGACGACGGGCTCAATAGTATTGTCCGCTATGATTCGCGAGGGGCAAAACAAAATATGGCAATGGCAATGAGGGTTTTTCAAAAAGAAACATCAAATGATTTGCCACCGCATTTAGCATGGGAGTAAAAAAAAGGGGTGAGCAAAAAGAGGTATTGACACTGCTTTTGACCCCGGGGGCAAAAAAGAAGTTGAGAATTAGCTGCGACTCGTTTCGATCGAGTGACCTCCGGGTTATGAGCCCGGCGCGCTTCCACTGCGCCACGCAGCTTGGTTATCGCTGTGATTGTTAAAGGTGAGAGTGGATAAGTCGCAAATATTGGTAGGCGCTTCCTAGCACAGAGGCAGAAAGTGGAGGCAAAACCTTCTACACACGTTTCCGAACCTCGGTCACCTTGAACTTCCATCTACGAAATCTCTGTCGCTTCGTAATAGTGAAAGCTTCCACAGTGATCAATAATTAATTCCGTGCCACTTTAGGTCTGCACACTGCATGTCACGGTTGAAGGAAGGCTCTCGCCTTGTATTCTTCAAGACTTCACTTTGAACGCGGATCGCCGCGTACCCACTTGGCTTCAGAGAGATAAAGCACGGATATGACCAAATTGTGAAGGGCAATAACATTAATACTCGTAAATTTGTCCATTGACACCCCTCCAGAGCCAGATCGGAGGCAAGAAACCAAACACATCATTGGACAAGCCTTGGCCCAGTTCACGTGACCAGCGTTGGCAATGGCTCAAACAACTCAATCTCGAGGCTAGAATTGACTGATATGGTAATAATTGATGATATTTGGCGGCATCTTCAGCTCCACCAAAAAAAATGTAAAAAGTTATCAAAGAGGTCTAAAATAGTAAAAAAAAGAGCCCTGAAGCCCGGAAAAGCTCGCCAACGTACCCAATCCTTCAAATACATGATGTTATTGAAGGTATCGTCGCCAATTCTATCTATGCGCCAAAGACTAGCTTACCGTTACTGAATGCCCTCTCCGGGTCCGCTGACACAAGTCAACTAGGCCAAAAGCGGAACACCCTGACTGCGGAATTTGCCGTGTAAGACACAAACGCCATCACATCCTTCGCGCAGGTCACCCGCTGAATACGCACAACTGCTTCATTGAACGGTAGTAATTTGTAACTGCTTCATCGAACAGTAGTAATTTGTGTTGAGTGCTCTAGCTGACACGGGCGAAAAAAGCGCCACCGGCATGTTCCGCAGCTAGGGTGTTCTGCTTTTAGCCCAGTTGACTTAGACCTCACGCCGTCTTCCTCCACGTGAAACTTTCGGCATGCTCCTTTTGCAAATGGCCTGCCGCCGAGCTTGTGCTTACGGCCGTGAAGACCTTCTCGTAATAGTGATATGCCTAGAATCGCTGTAGGAATGGAAGGTTCGGTAGAAAAGTCGGATTCGGTAGAAAGGTCGGATTCGGCTGTTTATTTACGTCGTGATGGTTGCATTGCAGCTTCAACGGTGCATTGCAGCTTCAACGGCCTGCCTGGCAGTCAGAGATTTTCCCGGGCTCAGGAAAATACAGGGCTGGTCTTCGTCAAGGAGCGCCCTGGACCCAGGAAAATCCGAAAAATCCGCCCTAAAAATGGCCTGGCCAATGGGAAAGAATTGAAAATTCGCCGATTATTTTGGCCTTACGAGTTAGTTGAATTTGACCTCAAAATCGTGTAATTAATTGCTCTAAATGGCTATATTTGATCGATTGAATTGGATAAATTTGAGTTGGCGCCGGCGCTGCACGTGACACGATGGGTCTAGGCATTGAGAGGAAGTCGTGTCAAGGAACATGGACGAATGGAGCCCACAGAGCAATGCGATTTGACGAATATTTCTGGCTATCGGTCGGATTCATCTTGGTGTAAACGCTCTCCGTTGAGATGCCCATACCTAAGCCGTGTAGCTCGTCCAGCAAGCCGGTCCCGCCCGGGCCACCGCCTTGTAATAGAGAAGGGAAAGGGTTGGCGCCGGAAAAATACTTCACGAGTTCTCTCAACACCCAACTCCACCTCCTCCATTGTACTAGCACCCGACACTAACACCTCAACCATGTCAACCATCTCCTCCACGCCTCCCCTCCACCCTCTCCCGTTGCCCTTAATTTTAGGCTGCTACTCGTGAACTACACACGGATTTCGATGCTGAAGGAAGCTCTGCTGTGCTCTTGGTTAGCTCAATGTTTAAAGAAAGACGGGGTGTCGTGGGTTTTGTTCCGAAGTGTTGCCATGTATTTTGCAAAACATGTGTAACGGGAAGTGTGAAAAGACATGAAGCAGGGATGGTGAAGTGTTGAAGGACTAATTGAAGACGACAGGATGAAACAGAGCGCTTACTTGACAACGCCGCAGATACCACGCCGAGGCCGATTTGGGGCTCGAGGCCGATTTGGGGCTCGAGACCGATTTGGGGCTCGAGGCCGCTTCTTGGGCGCTGATAAGATGGATTTAGTCTCTCTGGACGACAATATTAGCAGGAACACACGGCGAACGCGTGGTAGCTAGGTCAAGACAGAACTCACCAAATCTACCCTGTGTTCCTAAACGTGGCAAGCTCCCTGTGTAGCCCGCGCCGCCGCGCAGTATCGATCTTAAAGGTGTTTGGATTTGTGCTTACCAAAAAGTCCTCTCTTGGCCGAGAGCCTAGTCGCCTTTTTGAGGGAGGTAGGTGCTTTTGCGGCAGTGGGATTAATTAGCGACACGGCATCAAAATGAACATCGGCCCCCGACGAGGTGACCGAGTAGAGGGGTGATCATTGTTCCCGAAAGACACACCGAAATAGAAGCATCCAGAAATAGCAAGAATAGCTGTGTCAAGGAGACGAGCCAGGGCGAAGGCGAGAAGGCGAAGGGAATTGAGCACGTACCAGTTAGTAAAGATGATAACCAAAAAAAACAACCCCAACAAGAACCTCAAGGGAAAAAGATATGGAGATAAAATTGATGCGGGAGGTGGGCGGAAAAAGGTGAATGAGAAAGGGAGGCGAAAGGAAGAGAGGAAGAAGAAGTTGGTGCACCGTGCAAGGTCTGATCTTTGCTGCTGTTACGCTTGAGCGGAAAGCGCGATGGAGGAGCGGCCTTGTGCGAAAGCAGTGTGACTGTGACGAAACGACAAAAAGACGGTGAGTGGGATGACTCTGGAACAGGCCGAACCTTCCCATGCCTCAGGAAAGGTTGTCCAGAGTCGAGTAAGGCAGAGGAGGCCGATGAGGCTAGGGTAAGGGGCTGAGTCCTTTCTAATTTGCTGGCACAGTGCCAAAACTGCTTGTCAAGCGTCTGTTGTATGGGAAGTTGCATGGGGATTCATGTTGCTAGGCTGCGGAAAACCATTGACGCTACCGAATTACCTCCCAAAACCATTGCCTAGTAGACGGACAAACCTCCTTGTTCATGACAACATTGTGCGAGATTCCACAGCCTTATAAGACTAAGATGTCATCACAACTGTCACTGACCTCCTTTACGGAGAGCTAGCTCGCCAACGGAACGCCTTCTGCTACCGTCCAGAGAGGCTCTCGTCGTGCATGAAACGGCCCAAAAAAACAATAATCATCTGACGCCGAGACCGCCCGAGCGCGATCATGCCTGACGATAAGCCGAAACATGAGGGGCGTCGTCCTGACAAGGAGACCGGCAAGCCTGAAAGAGACCTGCTCGCGACCAGAGCCACACCTCCAAATACCGGAGATAAAAGCGCGAGCTCGCCCAGCAAAACAGCAAGCGAATCGGTCAACCTCAATTCCGAGCTCCCCGGACTGGCTGACAGCATCTTGCTAGCACCAGAAGCAACCCTGAGCCTAGAAAATACCTTGGCACAATCCAGCAACCCCATCACAAGCAACATGGGATCTCTCGCCGGGCGTGCCTCGTCGGCAGCCAACTCAGCGATGAGCCGCGCAAGCCAGGCCGTCAAGGCGACGTCGTCGGCAGCATGGCAGGGAGCCGCAGCAGCAAACCAGTCAATCCAGGGCGTAGCCCGAGACTTCTCAGGCGCACTGCTACCGAGGCCACCATCGTCAACTGGACTTCACAGCGCTGACCGCTCCAGGACACGCCGTCACGCGATCCGATCGGGCGGCGATAGGTACGAGGGCGGTGCGCTGAACGAAGATCACGGCATCGCGAGCCCCGACGACGTAATTGTCATCAGCAGTAGCGACGAATCGAGCGGGAATAGCGCCGGCAAAGATGACGAGTACCAGACGATCGCCGAGCCCGGTGCTGAGAACATGAAGAGGAAGGAGTGGCGGCTGGCCAGGCGGCGGCAGCGCGAGGGGGAGAAGAAAAAGATGAAGGAGAACGAGCGCCTCAACAGCGCCCTCGACAGCCTTGACGATGGGTTTGAGCCGACGATCAACTCTGCCCGGTTCCCGCACACGCACGAAGCAAAGAAGAGGGCCTGAGTGCCTTTATGAACTCTCAAACCATCAGAATCATAGACTCGGTTTTCGAGACCATCTGATCCGTGAGAAGTAGAGAAGACCCCGGCCATGGCACCAATGGCGTTATCTCCGGCCCGACGGGAGGAAAATTTCTTGTCTTTGATCTGCCCCCCCTTGACTTTCCGACATCGTCTGAAAACTTTTTTCATCTTTTTCTCGGCGCACCTACAGCTCGGGAGACTTCAACAATTCTCTACCCCCTCGGAAGCGCGCCATGAAGCATCTCCGCGACATCTGGCACCCTGACGGGTGCGAAAGGTTCAACTGGGACTACGCTCCGCTGTTTCTCGAGGGAGGAATGGCCATGCCCAGGCCAGATACAGCTAGCTAGCCAATGCAATGGGAATCGACCGGTCCACAATCATGAGCCTCGAGACCTGTCAGACTGCAACAGCACTTCTAGGATTGTGTGCATCAGAGTGAATTGCTCTCTTCACGTCTTCCAGTCTTTCCACAAAAGGCTCTCTCTCTTATACTTCCTTATGTGGCAATTACATGACGAAACCCAGTGGCGAAGATTACGCATCATAGATTCCAGCACCTTCTAGGCCATTCCATCTGACAAGACCCAAACAAGGTCGAGGGCTTGGTCTCCAATATTTGTGGACCGAGGACCAAGTTCTCCACCTTATTTGGGGTATTGAATCACACCCGCACACCTCAAGGCCGGTGATTGCTTCGATCAACAATGTTGCAGCCATTCCCGAGCACCCGCAAGCATTTTTGGATGTATTCTTACAGAGCATCACTAATCGGCATCATTGGTTGGACTAGGTAGATCGAGCATTTAGACCAGATATCAGATAGCCACTAGCCAGAAAATGCAGACATTTCTGTGATCTTTGCCTACACGGGGACCGGGAAGTTAGAACGAGGCAACGTGATTGTTTTGTTACCTTTCCATCCACGTGTAAACCGTCTTAAGAGCTGCCACTGCACCAGCAGACGAACGGACGCGTGTTGCCTGACAGCCTGAGCAGCAGTAGATTCATGGTAACGACTACTGCTCTACCTCTGATAATAGATAAAGGAGAAAGAAAAAAAGTGTTAAGAAAGTCACGAGAACTGTTGTTGTAGGTCATAGTAAGGAAAATCCAACAGGAATCGCTGGATTGCCATGTTGCACAAAGACAATGTGTGACCATATCTGATTGAAATCTGATTGAATTACATTGCTGTTAAATTCTCTCTGCCTCCACCTTTGTCCGTCGCGTTCTTTATCTCATCCTCCCACAGCCCTATCATCAAAATGTCTAATCTCCCGTAAAATCTATGCTAGCTCCATCCTGCAGACCTCACCCGTTCATGTCCCTTGCCTCTATCAATCCAATCAGTTGAGGGCTGTCGCTTGCAAGACTCTAAGAGTGTAATCGCCACACAATACCATGACCATCGTGGCAATGCTAACCTGAACAGCCACGAAGGCACATTGTTGCACGCGATCGAAGTTGACAGCGCATTGAATTTTCTGCTCAATAGGTCTAAAAGTACAGAAAAGAACGCTTCCTTATACTCATGGAGAGAGGGCAAGGGAGGCGTTGTAATCAGCCCGAAAGAGGCATTCCGAATGAAATAAGGACATTCCGAGTCAAGAATGAAGGAAATAACAAAGAATGAAGGAAGCTCAGAGGCATGTCAACCAGGGCCTGTCCAATTCCATGAAAAGTGGGTGAATTCCAGACGACACACATTGATGGCTACCAGGACGGCTCGAAGTATGAAATTAGGAGAACAAAACACCACCATATCCCTGTACGAACAGGTGTCAGCATGAGGTCGGCCAATTCAAGGTGAATGCGCTACAGAAACACACCAAACCACAACTCGAACATTTTTTTTATGCCGGCAAACCCGAAGGAAACAAGCAGATTGCCACAGATCCGATCGAAGTGCTGTAGGAATTATCGATCAACTGGGAGCTGTGATTAATCCAGCAGGTTGAATAGTGGGGCAATTACGTCAGCGTACAGGCCACACACGCCTGGCACGTGATTTGCCACGTGTTGGCGGGGCACTGAAAATCAGCCCCTCCATGTCCCCGTAGCTCGCCATGACTGACAAGTAGACAGAGAACAGTACAATACACAACACCCTACCTTTCGTTCTAGTTACTGCAGTGACTACCATACGAATGACCTTCTCATTCCAACACTGATCAGTGGTTGACCGACCAGGCCAACCGCAGAACAGCAAGGATTCCGACCGCGGCAGCGATTGCACCCCGCGATCGCTGGACAGGAAGCGGCACGAAGGACTGCAATCGAGAGAGCACTGAATACGTAGAAAGCTCAATTGAACGCAGGACTACGAGCGCGAGAGAAGCTCTTCAACGCACGGGACAACCGAGACGAAGACCTCAAGGGTAGTCGAAAGAAAGGCACTGTGCTCTACTTGGCTACCTGCGTCCACCACGCAACCCCCCCCCCCCCTCGCGAGCGACCCAGTGGTTAGAAAGAAAGGCTGTGGCCCTACTCAACCACCTGCATCTCTCGACAAAGACAAGCACCACGATGGCGAGCCTACGTACGAACGCCCGTATTATCAGCATCACCGACCCACGTTGGGAAGGAGCAGACTTCGACCCCGAAGACGAAGACCAACTTACGGCAAAGCGACTCAATACCTACCTAGTCGAATGTATCGAGGTATACGACAACCTCGAGCTACGAGATGGCGCCTTGTTCGATATGTTCCGAGATGACTTCATCAATTGGACAGAGAACTACTTCAAAACCCTCGACAAGACCCTGCGTGCTACGTTCAAGCAGACGCTCAAGGACCACGGCATCTATATCGGCAACGAAGGGATCATCCCACAACAGCTCGTTAAGATAGCTCAGTAGAAGGAGGCCCCCGAGTGGCCCGATAAGGAAGCAGAGACATGTAGCGAGAATAGAGGAGAGAGATTTCAGTCAAAATACAACCCGCACTTTCCCAGACCCCTAGCACCCCCCGCGGAAGCCTCAGTACCGGTGAAAAAGGACTCGCCAAGCATGACCCCGTCAAGCCCGATAACCCCGTTGAATACGATCGAGGACGGAGCCCTCGATACACACCCATACCTAACCAACATAACGCTGCTACAGCTACGGCGAATGATGATAGACCTCGTAAAGATATATACCAACGAGGACAAGTTTGGAGGCGAACGCTACGATATACTGGACTCGAAGATCAAGATCTTCGAAGCATACTACAGGATTATCGGTATCCTACAACAACTATACTACAAGATGTACTCAGTCATGCTGAAGGATAGAGCTAAGTAAATCTACTTCGACCGGTTGATCCAGGAGAACCTCACCTTCGACGAGATGGTCAACCGTACTAGAGTATTCTTCTACTCCGTTGAAGATCGCCAGATATATCTCGAAGAGTGGCGATCAACGACCCTTACCCGCACCATCAGAGAAAACCCCGATAAACATGTAAGAGAAGGCAGGTACGCCTGATCAAGGTGGTCACAATAGGAGCAACAAGCAGGGCGAGCAATGACTGGTATTGGCGTAAGACTTCAACCTGGCCTGAGCTAAAGAGGTGTGCGAAGGCCATGGTCTATATACACGTGAAAGGGGTTACGAGTCATCCTTGCGTGGCCAGGGTGGTAGTGGCGATAGTGCGTGGCCCTGTTAGCGGTGGCGATAGTGGCGATGGTGGCGAGGGTGGCCCTGGTGGCGGTGGCCATGGTGGTTACGAGGGTGGTTTCCTTACAACTTTCAGAACTGTTGACTTCCAGATCGTTCTAGCGAATACCCCCTTCTTATTTTGCCTGTTAGATATAGACGAATCCGGAGTTTACCTAAATAACATCCTCAATATCCTAGTTCATCAGGGTAAAGGGTACCCGGTCGTACAGAAATGGGGCCACCCCTGGCTCCTACTGGACGATTTGGAGAAAACTATCATATGGTGCCATCTTACGGAAGTGGAGCTACGCCAACTACACCGACGTATTACAAACCACTCGACTGTTAGGGTCGTTTGTCTGTAAGGGAGCACGGGCTCCACAGAATGCTGGGGTTGGTAATTATAAAGATAGAACAAAGGGCAAGCTCCTATCGCACGGGTAATACAGTCAAATCGGAATGCCACTCAAAGTGTATGAGTGCAGTGAATGTGTATTGCTTGCTTGAAGAACCAAGCAAGAACTATCTAGGACCGTGGCTACGGTCGTCGTATATATCTATCTAAGGAGGACCAATCAGAGTTCCTGACTCACATGCTCAGTCGTGCTCAGTCCTAGACGCACTGATCCCTACTGAGCTCTCCGCTCAGTGCGCTCAGTGGGTCTCGGCACTGATCCTACTGAGCTCCCCGCTTAGTGCGCTCAGTGGGTCTCGGCAATGGCCCCACTGAGCACTCCCTCATTGGATGCACCCTCGAGCGAGAGCCCCCCACCTTAAATGCTGTTCCAGCCAATCCACAGAAGGCGGGCAGCGCCCTCTGCACCTTTGAACCAGGATCGTAACACGACGATTCGGTCACCCAGCGGCAGAACGCCTATATAAGGTACTCACACAAGCAGGCTACGAAGACCTAGAACACGAGTGAAGCGGTAAAACCGAGAAGGAAGCAAGAAAGTGTAAAAGGTGATGCTTTTTCTAAGGCTAGGTGGGCGCGGCGGATTTCCCCAAGGTAGGAAATCCCCAGACCCCGCTATGTCACGTGCTAGCGCCGAACACTATTAGTGGGGCTCCCACTAGCGCTTCACGTAATGAAGCTAATTACACTTTTCGTGCATCAACGAGGCTATCTACAAGATCAATAAGTTCTGCCACCAATGCCAAATACACGGCGGTAACCCCGGAAGATTCAGATTCACTCTGTATGACGATATCGACTTCAACTACCGAGTACTGGTAGACGTTATGTATATTAACGGAAAGCCAGTTATCCGCGCAATCGATGAAGCGACCTCTTTCCAGGCCGTACGGTTCCTCCAGAAGATGACGGCGAAGGCGACGTGGGACGCAATCCGAGCTATGTGGATCGATACATACGTTGGACCCCCTGAAATCATTGTCACCGATGCAGGAACCAACTTCACGGCGGAAGAATTCGTCAATAACGCCCGTAATATGTCGATCAAGATTAAGGAGGTCCCCGTGGAAGCCTATAACTCTATCGGCAAACTAGAGCGGTACCACGGACCGCTCTGACGAGCATATGAAGTCATTACGGCTGACCTATAGGGCTTTGACTTGACGGCAGACCAAGCCCTTCAGATGGCCGTCAAAGCAGTCAACGATACGGCAGGCCCAGAAGGCCTAGTGCCTACGCTCCTTGTTTTCGGGACGTACCTTAGGATGACTACCTCATCGCCCCAGTCCCCCTCTATTCAGGCACGCGCGAAGGCAGGAAAGCAATGACGGAAGTACGGATCCTCAAGGCAAAGAGACAGGTATCCGAGGCCCTAGGCACCCGTAACGGCCCGAACAACCTCGAGACCCTCAATCTTCCTCTCCAGAGCGAGGTAAAAGTGTGGCGAGAAGGCCACAAATGGACCGGCCCACATATATTACTCGCACGTGACGGAGAAAACTGCATAGTTGAAGTCAATGGCAAACCTACCAACTTCCGCATCGTAGTGGTCAAGCCGTACTACCGGGACGACTCAACCATCACACCGACCCCCGAAGAAGGCGGAAGACTCCCTCATAACGATGACAACGGCGATAGCGAGTGGACCCCGCCACAGGAAGAACCCCGGGTACTAAGACGGCGAGGACGCCCCCCCGGATCAAAGAACAAGCCAAAGGCAAGCCCTGACGTGGATGTGGCGATGACTAAGGGCACGAGCCTCACAGAGGCCTACCTAACGGCGAAAGAGACTGAGGACTACAAGCGACAACAAAAATGCTGAGCCGGATGCGATGAACGTTTATAAGGAGTACTGCTCCAGCGAATATGTAGCCCACGCCGACGTGCTCGTTTCTGAACTAGTTTTCTTCTTGTTCGTGGTATTCTAGTCATACCACTGATGGCTGGGTCCTAAATAGTTCGTAGTAGTACTACTAGTGTTGAGGGCAAGATTATTCATGTATATATTGTTCTCCTTAAGAAGTAACCAAAGTATGTGCGATCTTGGTTTTGGTAGATATGTGCGCAAGTCCCGTGCGCCCACGTAGGCATGTGAGCTAGCACATGACATACGCCATCTTCCTCCTACACCAAAAGTACGGTCATGAATGTCGCTATTCCAACACTTCTGCTACGGAGTTGACTCTGATTTGCCCATGTGATGAGGCCGACATGTCTGGCGACTGAGGTGGTGGACGATGTTCGAGATAAAGATTTTGAACTGCGGAAGAGATGCGAACCAATGTCCATGTGGGAAACAAACAGACGGCGTGAAAGAGCTGCTTCTTGACGTGAGCTCCTCCGTGACAATGAGCGATGTGTGCTGTCAAGAGAAGAGGTATCGACAAGTGTTGAAATAACCCGACCGGGTTCCAGGGCTTGCCAAAAGGCCATCAAATGTAGAGTGTCTGTTGTGGCCGGTGGTGAAGTTTCCATGGGTTGCAGGTGGGGTCGGGGGCTCTGTAGTGACACAAAGATGTTAGCTATGTTATTCGTAAGCACGGGGAGAAGGAAGGCCAAGATTGAAGGCTGACATGCCCTTCATCTCCCTAAATCCTTCATTGTGTAGACAAGACGCCGACACATAGTGGCAATGCAAATCTCCCAAGTCCAATAACGTGTGAAGAGCGTCCCGATGGAGGCATCTCGAGCGGAGAATAAATCGTCTTTGTCAGCTCATCCGCGACGAAAACGATAAGCTGCCCTTGGCCGGGCCAATAGCAGACAGTGGAAGCCGGCACTGATGGAGGGCAGCGAGTGTTTCCTTTCGTATGGCGTTTGCCCCTCAATCAGTGCCAGTGGGTTCGGCGAGTTGGGCGAAAGCGATGGCCAGCGGAAGACCCAGTTCCGCCCGTTGTTGGCCGACCAAGGGAGCGCTCAGCCATGAGCGGGGTCTCCACCGCCAAAAGAAAGAAAGGTAGGCTGCCAAAAAAAATAATGATAAAGAAAGAGAAACAAAAACACGAAAAAAGAAGCCGAAGGAAACCAGCCCTGAGATGGGGCGTTTGGGGGGGCGAGGAATCGAGGGTCTGGCGACTCAAATTTTTTAGTTGGGGGATGGTTACTGTATAGGAGCAGCCAGCGAGGCACCGTTTCTGGCCACCGTATTCAAGTAGCTGGAGGAGGGTAGCCCAGGTAGGCACCGTAGCTGGCATGACGCAAGCAGCTAAAGTGGGTAGCTTCCACTATGCTGTGCCGGACAGCTTGGAGTTCTACGCTAGAATTCGGACGCGTAATCAGCGTCCTATCTGCCGCCAATGTTAATTTTGGCACGAGGGAACATGGTAACACTTCCTGTAGGGATTCCGCTGGATCTTTCGTGTGTCTTCCTTCGCTGTTTCGGTTCCTAGGCAATTCTGAGCTGCTTGCAGGTCACGCCGCAGCTGGACTGCTTTCCTGGCAAGGCGGATGCCTGATCGCCTTCCTGTTGTAGCTGCTGTCTGTACTTGATTCACGACCTCTGCGGTCACGGTCGTGCTAGTTAAATGCCTCATGCGCGCGTGGGCTTGCGGGGTCCAGAAATAAGTATGGGCAGGTTGGATGCGCCAATGTTATGCTTGAATGTTGCTTCATGAACCTGGGTCACGGATTTCTGGATATAATCTACGAGAAGCAATTCCTCATTGCAGAAGCGATTACTCATTGCTCAAGCCTACGTAGCTCCTAATGTCAGGATGTAGCCTACTAGAACTCAGCGACGGCGAGCGCAGAATGCCACCATTTGGACGTGAAAAATCAAAGAAGGCGCAGAACTCCAGCAACGCCGTCATAGGAAGGCATCAGTGTTAGCAACTCGAACGTGCGTATCGACTCGGTGCCTGGACTGCCGTTTCAAGCCGTGGGGTGATCACCAATGGTAGCTTTGAGGAAGAAGTATGCTACACGAGGAATTAAACGTAGAAAATTATCGTCATCGTCGTTAGATCGGCAGAGGCGGGGTGGAAGAGCGATCGCGTTGAGGGTCGGGATCGAGATGCCTCCAGCTCGCCACCTCGATCTCCCGCACGCCGGAGGAAGTCACACCCGCGAGTCAGCAAACAAGCACAGGGAGTAGATTATGCAACCCGTAGGCCCTCACATGTAAAGATAGAGGCACCAGGACCAAATTTAGAGAGCATGTAATTAAAGGCGCCTGCCTCCTTCCACGCGTCAGCGAGCGGGCGACACGCGTGCTAGCACAATCAGTCACCAAAGACGCAAAGGCGGCACAGTGGGAAAAAGACAAGACAAGAAATCAATCAATGTACACAGAGCTTCTTCTCCATGGCATCACTCTTGAGCGGCGATCACAGCGAAAAAGAAAAAAGAGTAGAGTGGGTTATCAAAAATTACGGTTCCAACGGCCCCGAAGGACCATCAATAGTAGGTTGCTCCGGTGTGCAATGCAGGCCCCCTACCATGGAACAAGGAAATCTTGAGCTCCCTGCCCCGAACCAAGGTAAGTATGAGGGAAAAAAAGAGAAAGGAAGAGGAAGAGAGGGGAGGCTGCGGCTTGCTTTATAAGAAATTTACTTGGTCCGTGCACAACTGCAAAAAATGAGGGACCCACTCCTGAAAGGAATTATGGGGCGCTATTGGAGAAGTGGAAGATTTGGAGCCTTAGGGGTCAGGCACCAGGGCAGTCCTCTTGGCAAGCCGAAGGAAAGTCGGTAGACTGTTGATTACGAGAATGTCTCGCTCTCAGCTATCATCGCCAAAATGTCGGGATAAATACGTAATTATTACTCCCCGCCTCCTACTGCAAGTTGGACAAAACGGCGACATTACATGCAACGCCTCTCTCCTATTCATCCACTCTACACACCGTACTATCACAACACTGCTAGATCTAAACCAATATCTCCACTCTATAACATAAAAAAAAAAACACATCAGTTCCCCTCTCCCCGCTGCACGACCCAGGTGCGGGGCAGCTGCATGCCAAGCTCTTCGGGGGCGGACTCGACGAAGCCGTTCTGCGCGTAGAGCCTCCTGCCCGGGGGGTCGGCGAAGAGGTTGACGAAGGGCAGGCCCTCTGGGGCGACGGCCTGGATGTGCGCCAGCAGGGTCTTGAGGATGGCGTCGCCGAGCCCTTTGCGCTGGTGCGCCGTCAGCACGGCCATGTCGGCGATGTGGAAGCACCAGGCGCCATCCCCGACGATGCGGCCCATGCCGACGATTGCCGGCGCTGGCGCGGGCTGGTCATTTGACGGAGGTGGTGTGTATGTCGCGTAGCACCCGTACCAGCTGCCGCTGGCGACGGCTGCCGCCTGCGCTGCGTTCTTGGGCGTCAGCCCGCTGCCCGCTCGCAGGTTCAGGTAGTCGTCGGGGGGAGGAATCCCGATCTGCAGCGCGTAGCCTTCTGGCAGGGGCTTGGCCATGGGTGGGGCGGGTGAGGTGGACATGGTGCGTAACTGTGGGAAGAACCTTGAACTTAAAAGCTGCACTTCAAGGAGTCTAGTTTGCAACGACAGTCTTGTTTTATATTATTGATATTCACGAACGGACAAACTTCACAGCGCGCTGACCTGGTGACTCATATCTCCATTCTGACACGAAGGAGCGCTAATCATGCATCCATATGCGGGGAGTTGCGGCGACAGTGGGGCCTGTTGGTGGAAGGGCGTGTGCACAAAGTGTGCGACTTCCAAGAGTGAACATCACCGACATACAAGAAAGCCGATGGCAGAACACAATGGATCGCCTAGATCACGAGATACATGGGAAAGTTCTCTGTACTTGTGCACTGACCCCTTCTCGGTATGAATTGTATACATCCATCCGGAGACTGCCAGTCGCTTTTTAATTGCCAAACCCTCTGCTTTCTGCTGATGATGCCATTAATTATATACCTAACACAAACCCACCCACACCACCCTGCCCCAGTATACGGCAACTACCGTGCACGAAAACCCTGCGGACCGGTCTATTGGAGCCCAAAAGACTCGAAAAGACTCGATAGGCGTAAGGGAATACCCCATGTGCGGCGACGGGTGGGCTCTGTGGATGCCTGACTGGTCGGCAGGCACTGGCCTGACTGGTCGGCAGGCACTGGCCTGACTGGTCGGCAGGCACTGGAACCGGCTGGGATTGCGAGTTCCATGACGGGGAAGGAAAAAAACTCGGTCTTGTCGAGAAAGATCCTCGTAGGCTCTGTTGAGGGCCATTTTCTGCTTTGATCGTCGATGGCGGTTCAGAGGGATTCTTCCATCTTCCATTGTTCTTTCCCTTCTTCTTTTAGTTCGCCCTCATGTCTTCAGCGGCCAAACCAAACTTTCAGGAGAACCGTCAGTCGTGAATAGAGACACCTAGCTAGCTGCTTCTCTTCTTGGCGGCAGGCTAGCCAGAAGTTCTCAGTCCGCCTCTGCTGCTATCGAGGTTCGAAGTTGGCATCGGTAAGTCGCGTTTTGCAATTTTAGGGCGCGCGCGATCAAATCCATTTTCAGGCGACGTTGTTCTAGATGATGTCGACTGGGAGTACGTCCCCCTGACAAAGCTGCCTGGAATTCAAAACTCAAGATCATGGTTAGTGCAGCGCTCGCAACAATGCAAATAAAAATGCCCGGCACCCGTATTTGTATTTAATTTGCAAAGTGAGGCCATATTTGAGCTTTTCCAACATATATTTGAATTAATTGTTTTATTTACAAATATTTGACCGGCGCTGAAAAACAATATTCCGGCCCGGGTAAACCCCGGCATGGAAAAAACCTGCCAGCCGAGACGCCGAAAGCCAGCCAAAGCCATGCCGAAGCTTCAAAACAGCGCTGGCATCAATTCAATCAGGCCAAATATGAAGCCTTATTTGACTGTATTTGAGGCCCAAAATGGTGTATTTATCTGTGTAAGAGGCTCTCTCTGATTGGGTGGGTTTTATTTGACTTAATTGACGGAATTTGCCGCTCCACCAAAAAACAAGGAAATCGAGCCCTGAATGGCACCTTGAGACCGGAAAAAAGCCCTTGACCTTCAGGATCCTCATTTACTCGCCCAATTCTTCGTACACATGAGGTAATTCAGGGTTTCGTCGACCATACTATGTCTCTGTGTGCCAAGGACCAGTTTTCCCTGGCTGAATGCCCTCTCGCACTCTGTTGACATAGACGGTATTGACAACAAGTCAAAAGCCATCTTTGACAACCGGGGCCAACGCTCTCTTCTTTCCTTCCACCAAGCCAGTATATCATCCACCCGCCTGACGCTTTCGTGAAGGTATTCAGCTAGTTCATCCTTCTGGTTGGGGTCATCAGGTTCATTATGGTAGTCGTGAGTAATAAGATGACTCCCTTGACCTTCGTGAGGCGTAAGAACCGGCACCGGGAGAGGGATGACGGCGTACTCGGCCTCGTAGAGACCCCGGAATGCCCTCATCGCTTCTTCGGCCCGCCCACCGCCCAGGGACTGGGTTACCCACTTCTCCTTATGCCCTGGGTGTAGTATCATGGCCGACCAGTATGCTGGGCTCTCCTCCATCAATCCAACGTATTCTCTGAGCTTCTGAATAGCTAGGCCAATGCTTGTTCGAAGAAAGGATAGATGATCGTCGTCAAGATCAGGTGTTGAGGGCGGCGGGGAGGGTGGAGGGTTGTTTTGTAGGTCGGCAACAAGGTCGAGGGAGGGCGGCCTGATCTGGCCGGTCGGCAGGCGCCGGGGTAGGTCGATGACCGAGTCGTCGAACCGGGCAAGAAGACGACGGTTACGCTGCGACCGTTGTGATGCTTCCCTAGTAAACAACACGCCGTTGTCATCGTCGTTGTCTATGCCGAATGATAGAGGCTGTTGGCTTGCGACCGTGATCTCTGGGTGGGTGTGTACTGGGCCGCCGGTAAAATCGGTAATGGCTTCAAGGTTCGGGTTTAGGGTTCGAAGGCGATCCTCAAGCAGATCGATTAGCCACTCCTGTGTAGCGAGGACTTCAGGAAAGGTAGCCGCGCGCCCTTCAAACCACTTTGTAATCTTCTTGAAAGGTTCAAGAATAGACAAAACAAGGGAAAGTAGGTGCCAGTCACTCGGTTGTAGCAGGTCGGCGGCGGGCATACGCTTCCGAGGGTCCTTCTCGCTCTGATTTTTATGGCACCAGTAATCTACTTGGCTCTGTAATTGCACCGCGCGTTCGATCATGAAGAAAACAGAATTCCAACGCGTGGAATTATCACCACAAAGCTGTAAACCTTCGACTGACCTGTCAAATATAACCGTGCCGAATTCCTGTGCGTCTTCATCGCCGAGCTGATTGCGCGCGACCTGTAGGAAGGAATCCCGGCGTTGTGGTGACCTCCGAATAAAGTGGACGACATTATGAAGCTTTCCAACCGGCCCTCTCTTTCGCCACATCTTCAACAACGCTTCTTCCTGCTCGGGCGGTAACTGGACGATGAGGTCATCGTCAAAGGTTCTTTCGAGGCCAGTCGACTTGCTGAGAATGAAGGCCTGCGCTGCTAGGTTGAGGATGTGGCCGAAGCAACGTACACGACGCTTTGTGGCTAAGGAATCCCGGGAAAACCGGCCAAGGCTAGGAATTAACGACTCTAAGGTAAATTTTACTGCCTAGTCGTTCGATCTACGTTGTCACACTGAAAATAACCAACGTTATTAGCGAAGCCGTAGTCGTTGACTAGCCGAGAGATGTAGAGAGCCTGGTTCTCGCCGCTGTGAGAGCCTCGAAGGTGCGGCATTCCAAGCAGGTCTTGTTGTACGGCGCCGTTAACATCGGTGTAATGCACGAAGACCGCTAGGTAGGAAACTGTCGCGTTGGAAGTCCAAATATCGAACGAGAGATGCTTCTTGTATGGCGATGCGGCTAACCTCTCACGTAGGGCCTGTTGTTCAGCCTCAAACCTCTTTCGAATATGCTCTCGTATGGTGTTGTGCGAGGAAGGAATCAGGGCGGCTGTCTTCTCGGCATTCAGGTTCATGCAAAAATCACGAAATCCCTTATGCTCAACGATGCTGAAAGGCAGGTTCGAGCCGACGACTAGATCGACGAGCTTCTCTTCTATAGAGAGCTTGTGAGGTAGTAAAACATGCCTCGCGCGCTTCGTATTGACCACTTCAAGCGTACGTTGCCTTTTTCCTGGCCTCTCAATACCAGACTGGGAATTGGATAGGTATAATTTGTGGTCTTTTTCCAAATGCATAGTCGCCGAGCTTGTTGACTCTGCCTTGAACAGCTTCTCGCAATAGTGGCATGCCCAGTAGTATTCTCCCTCGATGACGGCGTTGTTGATGACCTGGGCGACCTAGTAGCCGTGATCACGAATCCACGATGTCCTTTTTGGTGTTTTTCCTGCCCACTTTTCCGGTATGAAGGACCCTCTTGGTATTTTTATCCTCGGCCAATCCTTGACTTCAATTCCTACTACATCTTTGAGATCTACTCCCTCTTCAAGGAGCGCATCGAACTGTCTAGCTACTCGTGATAGCTTCGGACGAAGGGAAGGAGGACGATTTTCGGCGGTAGGGGGGCTTGTCGAGAGGGTCGCGACATCAACGGTGGAGGCAGGCATGTTGTCGAGAACTCGGGAGCCAAGGAAGCAGGGAAATCGCTGCAGGAAGGTAGGATTCGACAGTTTATTTACAGCGGTTAGCGATAGTTGCATTGCAGCGGCACGGCGGCACTCGAATTCAGGGCATTCGAGGATTTTCCTGGGACTAGAAAATGCAGGGTTGGCCTTGGTCAGGGACTGCCCTGGTGCCAGGAAAACCCGGAAAATTGGGCCCAAAAATGACTCAACCAATGGAAAATATTTACAAATATGCCAATTAACCTGACCCTCAATTTGGCCTGAATTTGACCTCTAAAATGGCTTATTTGCCTGCAAATACGGATTTCCTTATTTGATTGATTTGGCATTTATTTGGATTGGTGCCAGCGCTGCTTCAAAAAAGGCCATATCGCCGCCAATTTAACAGGCGCAATAGCTTATTGATGGTATCGCTACTGAGCCCGTGTCTCTGCAGTCCAACGGTCAGTTTAGCCATACTGAATAGCCTCTCGCAGTCTGAAGACATGGCCGGGATCGAAAGAAGGTCAAAGGCCATTCGTGATAACCGTGGAAAGCCGTCTTTATTGTCGGTCCACCAAGCTAGAATGTCATCAACGGGCTTAGTACTTCACAATCCACTTGTCCTTATGCCCAGGGTGCAGAATCATCGAGACCCAGTAAACCGGTGTGATTTCCAACTTCTTGATGTATTTCTCGAGCTTTGCAATTGAGCGGTCAAGGCTTTGAGCCAGGAAGGCCTCACTTTCGCCAGCCAAAGGAAGCTTGGGCGCGGCGGCAGGCTCAGGGTGTAGCAGGCGAATATTAACAGCGAGCCGGGGGATTTCGGAGGACTGTCGGAAATGGACAAGGGACTTCTGGGAGGGCTCTCATCGTGTTGACAGGCCGGAATGGCTTCAGTTGCGATAGAAATGCGGGTTTTCGTAAGTATGGTGGTGTTCAGAATGTTGTTCAGAGGCTGCCAGGCAAATGCAGGATTTCGCCTGGAAAATCCACTTTTTCCTGGGCCGGTAACCCACTGTTGGCACCCCGAACCTAGGAAAATGGGCTATATAAAATGGCCCCACATGTGTCAAGTATGTTTCCGGGTCTACGGCTTCATATTTGTATTTAATTTGGTCTTTTTTGGCCTATTTGTATTTGTCTATATTTGTATTTGCTTTGTTTGCATTACCATATTTGCATTGTTGCGAGCGCTGGGTTATTAGTGTCTAGCCAAGACGAGAGACCAGTCCCGTGAATCAAGCGAAGTGCAGGCTCACAATGAATCGTGAAATATTGCGCAGACGGGGAATTGCGCAGACGGGGTATTGCGCAGACAGGGTATTGGGCAGACGGGGAAGGGAGAGTATTCTTCTGGTGTAATTCGTCATCAGGAGACTAGGCTAGAAGAGCTTTGGTTAGTCTCTTTTTCTTCATCCCGCGGCCGGTGCATGGGCAAGGGCAAATACTGTGAGTGACTAAGAGAGCGAAATTGCTTATCTAATTTCTCCAAGCCTTCGAGAGAAATCCACGCATCTCTTCATACAAAGACCGTAGCGATATATAGGAAGGGCAGGCGCTAAAAGAGGGCGAGGAGTCGATTTCGGAGGTGGCTTTTTGAATTCCGGTCGAGGCTGCAGAAAAACCCCTCGAAATTTAGGAGAGAAGTGGACAGGTAACAGATCCAGATTGAAATTCCATTATTACAGACCAGTAATTTTACCCCAGGAATGAGCAATGGGCCGTACTTTCCTTCCGTGCTGGGCGTTTTTCTTCGTCTCCAGTTCGCACGGAGGGTAGTCTACCGTGGCGATGGACTAATTAGCACTGTCCGGATGGCTGGAGTGCCAAGAAGCGCATGGCGGCCATTGCCTTCTGTGTTCAAGGGTCTCATGTCGTTGTCAAAACGATCTTCTTACATTCCCATACGGCCGCAATGGCCGCAATGGCCGCCATTGATTAGCTATGTCGCTCGGTCACGGTAATGTTCCATTTCCTAGTCATTACCGACCTTGACCTCCGCGACAGGACATTGAGGTCGATAAATGCCAGACAGCTTAACAGGTCCGTTAAGCCGATCACAGCACCTTTTCTTCTGAGCTAGCTTCATCATAATCAGGCTTATCCTCTGCCGGCAAGACGAATCGCGTTTACGTACCAGTGTAGTACTTGGTACCAGAGTCTAAAAAAACCCCGTCGGGCCTGTAATCAACGTCATTATTCATTGTTTCATATCCTAGATTTTAGCTCTACACGAGGGTGAAACTAAGGTATGCCCTTAACACCCTGTAAATAGTAAAATGTACGGAGTAAGAGAAAATCCCAGCAATCCTTGACATGAAGAGATTGTGGTTACAGTATGTATGACACAAACCCATCGAAGCCCGTGGTCAGTCATTAGAGGCCAAGAACGTTATCTCGTTCCCTTGGCATTTCCCGGTCTCTCCTCGGGGCGCGGCGTTCCAGCTTTCTCTCTCCCCACTTCCAGCACCAGTATGTGAGACTGGTCATGACAGTCAGCACCGTCACAGTCCCAAGCCACCACTGAAAGGAGCGGAGCGAGTCTTCTTGCCCCTCACCAATGTTCCAGTGGCTGAGCAAGTTGGTGCTGAAGACAGACTGCGGCGGCCTTGCGTCAGCGTGCGGTTCTTCAGACTGTAGGTTAAATGCGATACAGAGGCAGAGGCGGGCGGCTGGAGGCGAGACCTACTGTTACAAATGAGCATGGGAGGTATATGAGGGTGAGAATCGTCACTATCCGCATCGTGACCGTCTCGGCTCTGGTGACTTCGGCAATGTGCTTCATCTCCTCGGTCATCTCGGTCATCCTCGTACTCTCAAGGCTTCCCCGGACAGCTGCGTCAGCTGTGAATTGCAAGTGGACCTAGTCCCGTGAGCGTTGTTAGCGGGGCGTGGTGGTAGCATTGCACTAACGAAGGAGTAGATGGGTGGGGAACTGACAGCGTGGAGCTTATTGGAAATACTTTCTTTGACCATCTTGGCTCGAGAGAGGTTGTGCTCGAGGTCGGCCCTGATACGAGCTAGCTGCCCCTTGAAGTCCGCAACGAGCTGGGCGGTGGTTGTTGAACCGTCCATGGGTTCGACCGTCTCAAAGGAGGCTACAGCCTCGTAGTAAAGTTGTAGGCTTTCAAGAACTTGCAGATTTGCCCGGATTGCAAGCACTGCATCATGGCACTTCTCCTCCAAGTCCCCTATACGACACATTGTACTGGACGCACTGATAAGCGTTCTTGATGCATAGTGAATGCCGTTGACAGATACAAGCTATGATACAGTGAGTAATAGTGCCAAAAAGGTGGCGGGGATCTTGACATACCATCATGTTGAACTCGTCTTCGAGTAACCTAACGTGGAGGCCCCAGAATTCTTGTCGACATCCAATGGAAAACAGATGGTCGTGCATTGCTAGAAGAAAGGATTTTGCGAGACTTGTTTCAGCCATGTTACCAGTGTCCGAACCGGCGTTGCAGAGCTGGAATTGCAGAGTCTCTGGGGCTCCCGCGAGGATCCAGACGGTTCTCTGTCGGTTGGTGTTGATCTGGCAGTAGACTGCCATTTGGCGAATGGACCATGGTTCCTGAGCCTTTCCAGAGCAGCTGTCGACGTAGCGTAAGTTGTAGGAAAGCTCGAGCGTGCCCTCCGACAGGCCGCGATGGGGACTGGTGACAAATGACGGGAATCTGTGGGAGAAGCCGCTGGCTGAAGCGCTTCCAAAGACCAGGACGACGTCGAGAAACGCGGGGATGACCTGGAAGCGGCTCAAAACCAAGCGTGACATGTCTGGGGTGATCTGAAGCGGCCCTCGTCCGGAGCGGGTGCCAATGGAGCTGAGAAGCGGTCAATTTACTGGGCCGCAACTAGCAATTAAAGGCAGCGAAATCTTACAGCACCAAAGGGTGGTAATCTCCTTCCACCCGGGCCGGCGAATCTCTCAACCAAGTTTCGAGCTCAGCTAAGCTCTTGAGGTTGGAATTTGCCGCCTTGCTGTCAGAAAGAGCCAACCCGGGATCCCGAATATCAAGTTGACTGTCGGACTCGCGGCGAACAAAGAGACCCTTGGAGTTCAATAGCTGCTGGTACCGGGTCACGATCTCCTGCGGGGGGCTCTGGCTGACGAGGTTGGAAGGATAGTCCTGCCAACGGACGAGCGCATCCTGCAAACCCTGCTGTGTGATCATATTCTCCCTGGATGAGCTCCTAGCCACGGAGCTCAATCGGCAACTACGGAGCTAGCAAAGGGGATAGGGATAGCGATGGCGATAGCGATGGCGACGGCGGCGGTAGTAACAGGAGCCCGGACATTCGGGGGCAACGGGAAATGAAGAAAAAACGACGCTCCCAGGGAGGAATCTTGGATTCTGGAACCGTCGAGTGCGTGCCCGGGGGGTGGGGGCGGCAGGCCAAGCCGGGCGCAAGTCCCTACCGCCCATGGCTTGCAGGTTGCGTGATTTAGGAAGGGAAAAAGCCCAGGCAGTTCGCGTTGTTCAAGGCGCAGTCAGGCCGGGCGTCTTGAGCATCTGCCAATCAGGGCCACTAGCGTGGCCCTGTCGGCGACCTGCAACAGCGCCGCACGCCGCACAGGGCACACACAGGACGGGCGAGTGTGGCATTAAATCTGCCTTGTCCAACACGGCCGCTGGGGGTTCTGCCTTGTCCCGTCACCCGTCACTCGCCTGATTTTCTAGCGATTCACACGTTTTATCGTTTCTCTCTACAATTGCCAGCATCACCGCTCACATCCTCCGCCGAAGCACGACTCCAGCAAAATCAATCATTCAAATTTCACCCAAGCTATTACCGCCAACTTCCGCGATCCAAGTTGACCCACAAGAAACGGACCCGAGCGAAATCGGCACGTCTTTGCAAGGGCGACAGTCACCGCTCCGATAGAAGACTCGGCATCTCACAGATCACACCCCAACAGAGCTGTCTGAGAATTGACTCCCATGAAAAGACATGCAATGGGGCCGCCTCTTTACCTGGTTAAGGTCTGGCGATGCTGCGAATGCGGAAAGTCTTCATTCGACTACCACGAAGATTACCACGAAGGCTACCACGACGACTGCCACGAAGGCTACCACGAAGACTGCAACAAGGCCCAATGCAACAGCTGTGCCCCAGGCAATACCCTCACTTGACTTGGCGTGGGAGCCGGTGCGGGACTACCTGAGCGCCCTGTTTCCGCATGCAGCAGAAACGCTGGAGAACGAGGTCTGGCAGCGATTGCTTTCAACTCTCTGGCCCTGAATCTTTGCTAACCCCCGAGAGCAGTCCCACACAGAATCTTACCATGTCGTGTTTCTCCCGAGAGAGCTGACCAAGGTCGGTCTGGTTTCCATGTTCAAACGACAAGACTTGTACGCTTACACTCAAGGCAGGACGAAGTAGCAGAGATACTTGAGTTGAGGGGTTAGCGGAATTGAAGTGATCGAACTGTCTTTTTCGTTCTGATCTGATACAAAGTTTTCCCTATTTTTATGTAACAAGACATCTTATTTCATTCTGTTGCACTTGATCGAAGCTTACAGCCCTTTGAATTGTCTATCGAGGCTAGAAGATGTGCTGGAGGCCAAACTTGGCTAGCCTGGACCAGGTACTGGTCCATGCGCTACCAGCCTACCTATCCCCTTACCATAAAACTTTCGCCTTCGGGCAGATAACTGAGATTCCTCAAGCAATCCACCACGTTTTCCAGTAAACTGTGCACCTCACATAGAAGAAAGGTTCAAAGGACGGAGCCGTAGGCTTCCTTATATAGACCCTGTAGCCCTGTGCCCCCTACCGCCGTCTCCGACGCTTACTGTTTTGTTGGTTCATCCGACACACATCTTCAAAGGTCAAACGTAAGATGACGGAATAAGCTGACTGTGGCTTGAAGAGTGGCTCAAAGTGGCTCAAATCTGGGCGACAGACGCATTTCGAAGGGAAAGGCCCAGACATGGTGATGCAGCCCAGCTCTGATGGTAAGTCTAGGTCCCATGACTTGGATAGACCTGAGATTTTAAACGGGCTTTTCCCTCACCACGACATATCAAAGCGCATACTCAACACTAAACGTGCATCGTGACATCGAAGCAGCGTTGCCAACAACTCAAATAACTCAAATATGAAGCTATATTTGAGTTGGGTTGAGGCCCTATTTGAGTTGAGTTGGCTTTATTTGACCTTAGTTGACGGAACTTGCCGCACCACCAAAAGAAACGAAAATCTGGCCAGATTTGGCCCCGAATTGACTCCCTGGACCAGAAAAGAGCGCTGAATCCAGCCAACGCCCTCAAAACAAGCCCCAGCTCTTCAGACACATGAGGATATTGATGGTATCGTCACCCAAGGAATGCCGTTGCGTGCCAATGACAAGCATGGCTTGGCTGAAGGCCCTCTCACGCTCAGATGACATGGCTGGTATCGACAACAGATCCAAAGCCATCCTTGACAATCGAGGTTAGCGTTCCTTGTGAGCCAACACAGGAAGGCCGGCATATTCGGCTTGGTAAAGGTCACGGCAGGCAGCGAATGCTTTCCTGGCCCTGTCAGGGCTTAAGTATTTATCCATCTACCTCTTCTTGTGCCCAGGGTGCAAGAGCATAGCGACCCAGTAAGCAGGGCTTTCTTCCATTAACCCAAAGTATTCTTGAAGCTTCTGAATGGCCAGCTAGAGACTGGTTCGTACGAAGGAAACGTGATCGTCGTCAGGATCAGGGGAGGAGGGCAGGGCAGGCAGGTCGTCGGCCAACTCAAAGACTGGAAGGATAACCTGGCCAGTCGGCAGGTGCCGCGGCAGGTCGATGACGGAGTCGGCTAGCCGGCTAGGAAGCCGCCGTTTGCGCCGAGGTCGCTGCGGCAGAGAAGAAAGGCTTGGCATCGTCGTCGGCATCGTCGTCGTCAAGGGCGATTGATTGAGCCTGTTGGCTAGCGACTATGATCTCTGGCAGGGCGTAGACAGGCCTACCCGTGAACTCTGTTGGCGCCTCGGAATTTGGGTGTAGAATTCGCTGCTAGTGAGCAAGGTAGTTAGCCACTCAGTTGTAGCGATAACTTCAGGAAAACTCGCTGATCTGCCTTCAAACCACTTCGTGATCCTTCTAAAGCGCTCAAGAATAGTCAAAACAAGCGTGAGTTGATGCCAGTCAGAGGGTTATAACAGATCAGCGGTAGGGAGGCGTTTTTTGGCGTCTTTTTCGCCCTGGTTGCGATGGCACCAAAAATCGACCTGAGCGCGCAATCGCACTGCGCGCTAGATCATATAAAATACCGAGTTCCAACGCGTCGAATTATCGCCACAAAGCTGTAAGCCCTCGATATTCCTATCAAAAACAATGGAGCCGAATGCGCGAGCCTCTTCTTCACTCAACTAGCCGCGCGCGATTTGAAGAAAGGTCTCGCGGCGTTGTGGCGACCTACGAATGAAGTGTACCACGTTATGCAGCTTACCAGCTAGCCCTTGCTTCCGCCAACCTGCTAGTAAGGCCAATTTGCAGGGCGCCAAGTGTGAATTTAACTGCCAAAGAGTTCGAATCCACGTTATCGCACTGGAAATAACCAAGCGAATCCCCGATACCGTATTCCTTTGCTACCTTTGTAAGGTAAAGAGCCTGATTCTTGCCACTATGTGAGCCGTGAATGTGCGGTATCGCCAACAATCGTGTTGGAGGGCGCCGTTACGATTAGCGTAGTACACAAAGATCGCTATATAGGAAACAGTCGATGGTGAGGTCCAAATATCGAAGGAAAGGTGCTTCTTATATGACAATGCTGATAACCTGTGGCGCAGGACTTCCTCTAGGCATCAAACCGATCGCCAAAATACGTCCGAACCGTCGTGTGTGAGTTAGGAAGCGCCTCAGCTGCCCTGTCAGGGTTCAAGTTAGTATAGAAATCGCGAAATTCTTATTGTTGAACGATATTGAATGGCGGGTTTAAGCGAAGGATTATCGCCAATAGACTCTCGTAGGGTGAGCTTATAAAGTAGTAATACTGCCCTCTGTTGTTGTTGGACCAACTATAGTAGCCGCTGCCTCTTATTTCCTCGCTCAATACCACCCTCTTCAGCCTTCAACCTTTCACAATGCTGATTTTTTAAGTACATAGTCGTTAACGAAGTCGCTGCTGCTTTGAAGGTCTTATTACAATAATGGCACGCCCACTAGTATGGGCTCTCTTCCACTGCGTTGTTAACGACCTTGGCCAGCCAGTCACCATGCCTGCTAATCTACGACGACCTTGCTATTCTTTTTCCCACCCAAACTCTGGTATAAAGGAACCATCTGGTTTTTTATCGTGGGCCAGTCCTTCACTTCCTCATAGGCCAAGTCTGCTAGGTCGATCGCTGCCAAGCGAGGGTACTGCTGGGCATTTCGGGAAGTACGGTCTTGAACGTCAAGCGGTCGTTTTTCTGCGTGCGGGCTATTCAAAGAGAGGGCCACAGCATTAACAGTCGAGGCTCGCATATTGAAAGCGAGGAAGCAGCGAATTCGTAGTAGGAAGGCAAGAAAAGAAACTTATTGACTTGGCGAGAGTTATAGCTTTGCAACGCAGGTTGATGGCACTACAGAAAACCAGGTCAGTCCAGTCGAATTCTTCCCTGGGCCAGGAAGCCCCAGATCTTACCAGGTCCCCAGATCTTACCAGGTCCCCAGATCTTACCAGGTCCCCAGATCTTACCAGGTTGGCCATGGCCAAATGTTGCCCTGACTGAGCCCAGGAATGCAGGGAAAACCGGGCCCAAAAAGGGCCCAAGCGATGGAAATATTTGAGCCAAGCCCAACTCAAATAACCAGTCAATTTGAATTGAGTTGGGTTCAAAAATGGCTTATTTGAGTTGGCTATTTGAGTTAATTTGAATATTTGAGTTGACTTTAGTTGAGTTGTTGGCAGCGCTGCATCGAAGAGGTAGAAGTTCTGTCTTCCACTGAACCCAGCAAAACATCAGAAGGACGAGCCGCGCAGAGAAAACAGTGGCTATCATGGCGCATTATCTGGACAGCCGGGCTTACTTAGGGTGATAACCTAGTTCAAGGGGGGTGTGGCGGTCAAGGGTATTGGTAATTAGGCCTCAGAGAATGAATAGGGTCACGTGACGAGCACGTGACTGGCGTTGATACCCGCTCAAGGGCATGAAGCACGCTGTAGGGATAAGAAGGTCCACCTAATTAGGGCTCAGGGGCGCACAGGCTCTCGGGCTGTACGTACAAGGAGAGAAACTGGTCCATAGAGACTCGGTTGCGAGCTACAGATTAGTGCTGCTGGGTAATACCACCTAACCTTTGTTTTCTCTACTCCTCTCGACTTCCTCGCCTCGAAGCCCCTCGCAGGGGATAACAACACACGGGGTGGAAAACAGCGAATAACATCCATATGCTAGGAAAACGAATGGGGGGAGCGCGCCCTCTGATGACCAGGGGGGTAAGCCGCCTGCCCTATATACCTACCTTATTGAAGAAGAGGTAGTCTATTCGAACAGTAAGATCCGTCTTCCCGGACAGTAGTGTACAAAAAGTGACATGCGCGCCAAGGCGCTAAGCCACTAGCCCAGCCAAAATCAGATCTTTACAGCCTTCATTGAACGCTTCTTCAAATGGCCTGCCCGGCACCCTGCGCCCGGACCCTGCGCCCAGCCAATTTTTACCTGCAATTGAGGCTATCGCCAAATCTGGCACCTGCGCCTAGCACCCTGCGTTCGGGCCACATACACCAATTTTTACCTGCAATTGAAGGTATCCGCCAAATCCACCAAAACCTTCCACATTCAACCACAACATCGTCAGTTGAGCTACAACAACAACACCACGATTTTATCGCCGCGTAGGTACGTACGCCGCTTCATTTTCAATCCACAAGACCAACGAGCGATAGAAATGGCCGCGCGTACGCCTTCACCCGACGAAAATGACGATGCAACTCCGTCACCGCGCCCGCACTATAGCCCGCACCCGAGCCCCTCTCAATGCCTCCGCCGGGCCACAAGCTTCTCAACCACAAATACGGCTCCCTCGATGACCTATAGACGATTTAAATAACTGGGCGGCTTCTGCGCTCTTCGCCATTAAGTAGCTTCGTACAGCGAACGTTAGGGGTATTACGTACTCAGGCTTCATCTGGCGCGTAGGCTTTAACGCCCATAACGCGCAAGGCGCGAGGGGGCATTATAAAGGCGTCTATACGCGGTGGAATACCGTCGTACTATGAGGGCTTTGGCTATAGCATTTGAAGCCCAACAGAGCAACGATATTGACGATATATAGATAGGGCAGCTTTTTATTATATTTTTGGGCATATTATACACGTAATAATAATAAGGGCAGCCTTGTATCTTATTATGCAAATGAACGATTTGAGCGAATTCTACGGTTCTGAGAGAAAATCACCGGATTTAGAAGTATGTTGACGTTGGTGACGGCGACGTGGTTGTGGTGTAATTGTGGTGCGACTGCGTACGTGGCTAATTGATCTGAAGTTGCGCTGGCTCCGTCTCAGGAATTAGTGACTTTTTGTGCGAAAAGTGGATTTTGTATGGGCAGGCCCTAGCGCTCATTTCACTTTTTGTACACTACTGTCCGGGAAGACGGATTGTACTGTTCGAATAGACTGCCTCTTGAAGAAACCTAGCTCTAGAACAAGGAGAAAAGAAATTATCTAGAATAGTGTTCAAATATGTGGAATCCTTTTGTTTTCTCTGTAACACCCCTTTTCTCTCGTCTGGGCCACAGTAATGTAATTAGCTCGTCCCGTTGACCATGAAAGTTATCCTCCTAAACTGAACCGCCTCTTATACATCCTTCAACAATAACCGTTTACTTCACCGAAAGCATAATATTAAGATCAGAGCGTAGAAATTAGCAAACGGTTATCAGCTCTTCTCAAGTTTGATGAACCAAACCAGAACTAAAACTAGGTAGGTAAAAAGACCAATCATAGCTCAAGCGCTGCATAAAAGCACCCAACTCCGTTCAGGCCTGAGCTACAATATGTAGTGTAATAAATTCTTGAGCTATGCAATACAATGCAATGCAATGCAATGCAATACTCGCAAAACTATGTTCTATAAAAACTCCAACGCAGAGAAAGAATCTCGATCCATCGTCTCAATCTCTTCCTCACAGGCTCACTCAAAGATCTATTGTAGTCCCTCAATCGAGATCCATCATCTCACTATCATCGTCGGCGTGCTCCTCTTGAGCTGCCTGGTCCGTCATGGACGTGTCCGCCACATCATTATCATCGTCGTCATGGTAGTTCCGATCCGTCATGGACGTGTCCCCAGCATCATCATCCTCGCTGGAATCTTGATCGTTGTCAGAACCCAGATAGAACATGCTAGTATCCTCATCGTCATCGTCTCCGCCTCCGCGAGTCTGAGCAGGCGGCACCTCGAAATCCTCGCGCGCTAACACCTCGCCGGCCAGAATGCGGCCCATGTGCGAGCGTTCGAGGCCAGATACGGCAAAGTTGCGGCGGATCCTGTACAGCTCGGCCAAGAACGGAACTGGGCTGGTTGTGAACAGGCAGTCGGGCCCGCCAATAAAGCCGTCTGGAGCGGCAGGGGATGCTGCTGTCTGGCTGCTGTTGTGCGAGAGCCCGAGCACGTGCAGAGCGCGACGCACTGGTCGTAGTTGCGAAGGTATCGGTGGCCCGCAAAGAGGTTGAGCTGCGTGAGCAGGTGCGCTGGGATGTCGGGCACGTCATCGGCGGCGGATAGCGGAAACGTGCAGGCGCGCATGTCGACCGCGGACCGGAAGACTGGGCTGGCCCGCGCGAGCAGCGCGTGCAGTGTCACGGGCGGGAGGATTGGTGTGTCTTCGCCGGACGAGCTCGGGCTTTGCATCGCGGCGTCCCTCTGCATCTCGGCAAGCTTGTTGAGGATCATCGGCTTGACTCTCTGGGCTTCGAACGGGCTGATGATGACGATGGCCGGATCCTCGTGCCTGAAGAGCACCCACTGCACATCGCGCAGGTAGCTGTAGGCCACGAAGTCCTTGCTCCCCTTTGCCTTGACGGTCTTGCTCGCCGTTTCATCGACTATCTACATAAAATCTCCCGTAGCCCAGAACCCCGGGACATGAGGGAACTTGCGAAGGCCGCCTGGAAACAAGGCGTTGGCGCCTGTGTTGCGGAGCGCACTAAACGGACGCCGGTACGCGCTGCCATGGACAAATTCGCCAGTTTTGACGAATTTAATCAAGTCCGTGGCGAGTGCAGGTATGGCAGCCTTGGGGGGCGGAGCGTTGTGCCCCTCGCGCTCCTCCTCGGCCTCGTTCTCCATCTGCGTCTCTTGCTCTTGCTCCTGTTCTTGTTCCTGACTCAGTGCCGACGCGGCGGCGGCGCTGCGGGTCGAAAGGGCGAGGCTGGCCAGTTTGGCCTTGATCAGCGATAGCTGCTCCTCGTCGCTGTCGGAGACGTCGTCGACGATCAGGGAGTCGGTGCTTGCAGTTGCATCAGGCCGGTAGCGCCGTTTCAAGGACATGGCCTCGGGCTCGACGTAGTCCTCGGCATCGTCCAGATCGAAATCCCACTCTGCCAGTTCAACCGAACGCCAGATTGCCTCCTGGCGGAGATGGCGCACGCCCTGCGTCGCCCACAGGGGCACGCTGCGGACCGTCTCGTCCCAGGCTCCGGAAATGGCCGAGCCGAGAACGTCTGAGACGCTCAGGGGTTGTCCCTGCTTCATGTGGCGGACGGTGCAGATGCGCTTCTGCATCTCGGGCGACACGATAAAGCAGACCGACTGGCCCTGGCCGAGCTTGCGCATGCACATGCACGCTTGCACCAGCGTGTCCTTGGTCACGCCCGGCCCGAGGGTGACGGCTGCGCGGTAGTTGGCGGGTAGCTTGAGGTCCGTCCCGCGCGTGTGCGCCTGGTCGAGGAACACAAGACACCTATCCGTATTCGAAGCAAACGGCGACGTGAGGAATGGGGCTACGTTGCCGTTTCGAGTGAGCACCGACATCTCGCCCCGCCAGTTGAAGAAGATGACCGCGTCCGTGTCGCTATCTGAAACGGACCAGAGTAGCCTTTTAGCCATTTGGAAGTTGCTGCACTCGACGATCTGGGCCCCGACGTCGAGGATGACGCGTATTTGGGGGTCTGAGTCGGTGACGGCATTGAGGAGCATGTCCTCAGTCAGTGGCGAGAGCTGCGCTGCTCCTATCAAGTCTCCGCCCAGCTCGAGGACCGTGTTTTCATCACGCAAAAGGGTGCTGAGCACATTGGGGTTGGTCTGTGGCTGCAGATCGAGGGCTGTCACCGACAGCGGAAGCACGCCGTTGGAGTCGTTCGTCCCACTGAAGCCCGTGAGCGGGTACCTCTTTGGCCTGGCCAGATCCCATCCTGATGCCGATAGCTTGTACTTGAACTCCTTCATCTCTTTGGGGAACACCACCTTGGCCAAATAAAAGTCGATGAGAGGTCGGGCGTAGCGCAGATTCGGGAACACGATATCCACGCACTGGGATACATCCTTCATGTTTATTGACGAGAAGGATTCAAAAGTCCTGGGGAGGTTAGGTGATGCCTTCACCCATCGAGAATACTCATCGTCAGGATTCTCCGACTTCTCCAGCAACTCGAGGCAGGTAGCCAGGCTATTGTTGCTCAGCCCATCGTAGTGGTAGCTCAAGCAGGTAAGTATGACGACCACGTCGGGGTGGCTGAACTCGGACCGCGGCGACGGCATGTCTTTGGCGCGGTAAGGCACGGCGAGCAGAGTCGGCGGGTTACGGTCCGGAGCGAGACCGTAGTCGACGCGGTACCGCTTCTCGCCGAGAGCGAACAGCAGGATGCCTTTGGCGAACAGGCCGCGTAGGAGGAAGAGCGTGTTTTTTATCCCAGCGTTGGCAAAGAAATCCAGGTTGCCGCTGTCCTCGACTATTGCGACGTCGCTGGCGCGAACATCGTCAAGAAGGATGTAGCTCAGAACGGCCGCTCGCATCTCCGCGGTCTGGTGGTGGATCGGAAACCCCTTGAGGCCGACTCGGCATACTCGTTCAGCAACTGCCTTGAAGAGCCGCTGCGCTGCAGAGCCGCTCAAGATGCGGATAAGAGGCACACTTCCGGCGCCATAATCCTTAAGAAGAAGACCCTCGGCCACGTCTGGTGCCGACTCAGTGGCCTCCATCAGCTCGCGAGTTACCATCTCGGCGATGGCGAGCAGGTCTTGAACAAGGAGCCAGCGATTAGGGCTCATTTCAACAGGCTGGGGGTTGCCTATGGTGTAAATCAGCTCGAACCTGACGTTAAAGTTTTCGTCGCTCTCGTCGACCATATCGCGAGAGCAATCTTCGAAATCCCTCCACAGCTTGATCACCGAGTTGGCTTCTCTTCCCACCTTTCTTTCCTGGCCGTTGCTAGCCCACGTCCTGTCGATGCCCATGAGCTTGAACGATAGTAAGTGCTCGGGCTGCATGAAGAACAGGCCGCCACCCTCTTTGCAGGCTTTCATCAGGTCCCGGATATGCCTGCGGCTGCTCGCGCCGAGACTGGTCGATCTCGAAAAAGGCATGTGGAACACGCGCCGGTTCATGAGACCGCCCAAACGACTGATCATCATGTGCTGCATCTGGCTGGCTTGGGGCTTGGCCACCACAAGGCGTACGATCTTGTCCTTTTTCTTGGCCGCCAGGGCGGCCGCCACAATGGGCACGATGACAGACGACTTGCCCTCGCCCATGTTGAGCTGCATCACGGCATTCTTGTTGCCTGGCGGAGACCGCATCGCTGCAGCAATCTTATTCTGCACCGGCCGGATCGTGATGTTCTGCTCGATCTCCAACAGGAGGCCCTCGGGGTATTCCAGCAGGTCCCAGTCTTCATTGCCGTGGTCACCTCTGTCCGCCATCTCCCGCCCAAACTCGCCCCAGCGCTGGGGGAGGTTGGCCGCGCAGCTGGCCAAACGCTCAGCACGCTGGAGATATACAAGGCCGAGTGCGAGATTGACGAGACAAGAACGCCACTCCTTTGGGACCGATTGCCACAATCCGTGTCTTAGCTGCTGTATTAAAAATCGAGCGCTTATCCGCGGATAGCAGCCCGCTCGGGCACCCAACTGGAAGGCGATCGATATGCCCTCTGTGAGGGCCAGGCGTATCTCCTCGTATATCGCGTGGTAGTATCCACGCGCATCTTCCAAGTGCCGGTGAACAACCGGGAGAATGTCTGGGTCATCCATATCCGCGGTTACCATATACCGCGGAGTCCCGGACTTTGCCTCCCGTATGCTATCACGAAGCTCGTTAATGTAGCTCAGCTGGTGATCCTGCAAATTGCCAGGACTGGCCGAGAGCTTATCGACAAGTGCCGAAAGTTGGTCGTGGTTGAGCCCGCTCTCTGTCACGTCGACGTGTGCACATAACTGCGGGAAGGATTCTGGCTGTGGTCGTGTCTGGTTCTCTGGTGCCCGGTTCTTCCTGAACAGTCTTTCAACAGATATATAGCCCGGCTTTAAAGACGGCACGGAGGCAATCGCGTTGCAGACGGGAGGCATGAACTGCGTCTGAGTTGCAATGACAGGAATCCCTTGCAGAAATTTCGTCATGTCAACGACGTAGGTGTAGAAGAGCTTCGCTGCCCGCCTGTCCTGGACTACCGCCTGTGCCTCGCGCATAATGGCAGGCAATTCAAGATACTTGTCGTACGACTGCGAGATGCTGCTGTGGGGCGGAATATTCAGCGTCCCTGTCGAACTCGAAGCCTGTGTGATCAGGTCCTCGAGAAGCCGGGTGCTGGGCATAGCCGCCTCTTGCTTCCACTTATTCCGTAGTCTAGTGCCGTATTGCTTATCTGACTCTCTCGTGAGCCTCGCGGGGCGAAACGACGAAGGGGGCGGCTTTTGTTTATTTCCGATTACCTCTTTGAGCACCGTCCGCAGGTCCCGGGTGCGGGAATCCAAGTCCTTCACCGGCTCGTTTGGAGGGGTGTGATTCGACAGGAGCCCAGAGCTGCCTATCGCCATCAAGATCTGGACCAATTCCTCGTCCCACTCCTTGGCGTAGAGCAGGGTGGCTAAGAAGAAGATCTTGCGGTAGATGTTGGGCTCCGATGCCAGCGCCCGGTGCCACTCGCTCCAGTGCCCCGGAAGGCGCGTGTCTGCCGGCTTCAAGTTGCGGAGGTCGAAAGTCAGGTCCGCATTGGGACCATTAAAAACATGTTCGCCGTTGGCAGATGCGCTGTTGTAGATCGACCGGATGCGTGGGCATGAACATGAGCTCCTCGTCGGGAGACGAAATGCATCTCGCCAGCTTCTGAACCAAAATTCGCTTGCTATAAGAGCCGACGGCGGGTGTCTCTCTGTCTCGGAGGGGGCGATACTCTTTGTTGGCTACGGCACCCCTGGTATGGGCATCGGCACCAAACTCGGCCACGCGGAATATGGCGTTGCGGATCCGCGCGCGCTCCTGCAAGTCCGACGGCACGGTAGACTTGTGATCCTCGGTTATGCTAGCCTCGCGCTTGAGCCCATACAGGACACAGTAAAAGGCCGTGGTGCCTTTGGTCGTGCTGCCGTTGCCGTCGTCGTCCTCAGCGTGGTGCGGTGGCGTGAATATCTTCTCGAGCGTCTCATATTTGCTGCAAATGGACTTGGCCAGTATTCTGAAGTCGTCGTGCTGCGACAGAGATGGGAAGTTGTCATTCCACGTCGTCGATTCCATAACTTTCAAGTAGCCTGGGTAGTATACGCGCCTCGGAGACAGCCTGCCGATGGAGCCCAGCAATTTGCCCGATTCGATGTCGAGACTTGGGTACGACACTATGGCGGCCCCTTTTAGAATACGGAGGGCTTCCTCGGTCCCGGTTCGCTGTGTCAAAGGGTCAGGGAGACAGTGTGAGGTGGAAGCGTGCAGCAGGCAGAGATACAGCTTGCTCTGGAGCGACCCGCTGTCGATTAGGCAGCCCAGCTTGTCGCCGACCACATACGCATCGTGACAGACGAACGCCTGCGTCGAGCTACGGCCGATAGAAACCTGGACAGCGTTATCCCGTTTGACATATTCGGGCAAGACGTCTCCTCGAGGGATGAGCATCTGTCTGGGACCTCCGCCGGCGTCTGGCTTCAGAACTAGCTTGTTCTGCAGCCCGATTAAGGTGCCAACCTCATGGTCCTCATCGACTCTCATGCCCGTGTAGTTCCTTGACCTGAGGAACCCCTGTCTTTCCTGGACGCAAAACGAAAGACTCATCCGGGGCAGATCGACGGTCAGAGTGCGAGTATTTGTGTCGAATATGCAACTGATATCCAGCTCGTTTTCGATGGAACCCAAAATATGGAGAGCGATGTGTTTTGCTGTTGGCTTCCGTGGGTCCATGACGAGGCAAGACCCCTTCGCCAACCTGTACTGGCCAGACTGCATAGACATACGCCAGTTGTCGGCAGAGGTACTCCACTTGTCGTCGATGTGTCGGAACTCGATCTCTTTAGTGGTCAAGTTGAGCCAATGCGCGTACCCGTCGACAAAGGCGTTGGGCAGATAATCTCTGAAGTAGCCTCCTGTAATGTACTCCCAGACTTGGGCTTCGCCGCCAGACCCAGGCTCGGACTGCTCCGCCGCACGCGCTACTAGAGTGTTGCCAAGCATGGAAAAGTGGACGACGCAGCCGCTGACGTTGTGGGATGTTGAGAACTGCATGCCAGGCAGCGACGAAGGCCCAACTTCGACATTCAGCTGCCCAAAGAGCCTGTTATAGGTACTTGTACTTCTCCAATCCCGAGGTAGCGCTTGGATATAGCATCCGTCCACCATCAGATCGCCCACGAGGACGTTCAACGAGACAGCCAATCTACCGTTGTCGCAAACGAGGATGTGGGCTTGGCTATGGTTGTTGGCCTGCTTCCAACCTGCTGAGGGGGGTGAGTGGTCTGCCCAGATCTCCTTGATGGCGATGTCGAGGCCCCCATTCTTCGCGTCGACGACCTCGTCTACGATGATCGTGCGTGCGTCGAACAGGGCCTTGCGCCAGCGGTGCACCAGCTGCAGGGCAAGGAGATCATCCACCTTAGCGGGGAGGTGGTTATGAGCCAGCATCGAGCACTCGGCGAGCAGGGCGAGGTTGTCTGGGTCCTTCAGCACAGAACGCAGGTGCTCGGCCCCGATGTTGAATGTGGCGGCACAGATCAATGCTGCCACGAGCAGCCACGAAGCGGCTTCCTCTCGCCCCTGACTGTCGCCTCGGTTTTGCTTGTCCAAGAGCAGCCGGGCCCAGCCGATTGATACCCTCCGCACCCGACCGAGAAACTCGAGAAGCCCGGCCGAGACTACGTGGGAGGGAGACAAAGACAGAAGTCTTGTGGCCAAGCATGCGAGGATGGAAACGGCGACGTCGTTCTGCCAGCTCTCCTGGACGCGGTCGATGGCGACATTCATGGCCTCGAGAATGCGGCGTATGAATGCGACATGCTGTGTGTCGCCATGCGCCTGCCTGAAGATTGGGTCGCAATCAATGCCGTTCCTGGGTCCCACTTCGAGGCACGCCTGCAAAATGAGCGCGAAGGTTTCGTGCTTGTTCATCCCAACCGACGGGACAGCCATCTGGCACAGCACGTTAGCCCACTGCAGGCCGACCTCGGACCGGACAGTCGCAAACGCCCTGAACTCCTCGACGGTCATGCCGTATGGGCGATCTCCCTGCTCCGTGATGGCTTCGTTGGCGTTGTAGCCAGCGCTGCGTACCCAGGAAGCCAGAGAATACCGGTCGTCTTCAACCTCGTCGTCGTTGCTCCTAAGCCGCACCACAAGATCTGCGTACGAGCATTCACGGGGAACACCGACGTTGCCGGGATCATTGTGATTCTTGGGAAAGTAGGCCGACGTGCGGAGGCCGCCATAACCCTGACCCGGGACTTCTTCGTAATACTCGTATCTTGCCCCATGCGCAACACACACGTTCTCGGGGGTTGCCTCGGGTATGTGGATTTTCTCGTAGTGTGACGCCTCCACAAACTTGACGTCCGAGGCTATACATATGCTGTTTCTAGCCTTGGTCCTGGTAGACCAGTTGCTCAAGCCACTATGGTTTTTTGCAGCCCAAGTTTTTTGAAGCGCCTTGTTGCGGATATAGAGGTCCTTGTCTTGGCTCTTTCGAAATACCTTCGTTACCAAGTTCCAGGTTATATCTCGCCATAGCCGGACAGTGTTCGGGACCGCAATCTCTACGACTGTTGCCTTGGCTTCGTTCTCGTCTTCCGGTAAGGGCCACTCGAACACGGATATACGGAGATTCTTCAGGCGGTCCTCGGTGATGCATCGTTGGCACTTCTTTGGATCGTGTTCTCCCGAGCAATTTGTTGAACACGTAGCGGACTGCACGTACTGGACAAGACGATCGTACCGGATCTTCTGTACCTCAAGCTCCGACTTCTTATTTCTCAACCCCTGATCTGCTCGTTTCTCGATAATATTATGCACGGTCTCATACGACGGGTCGCTATTGAAGAGTCGAACAGCGAACGAGTGCTTATGGCCAAAGTGGCGGAATGCTGACATATTCGGATAGGCGGCGTTCTGCTTGCGCGTGGCGAGATAGTCCTCGGCCTCTCTGAGCCGGCGCATTGCATCCTTTGTCTCGAGCAACAAGGATTTGAAGGCCTCTGGCGGAATCATTGGGTCGTAATCCAGCAGCAAAGGCACCGAGCTACCAGCCAGCTTGTCCACTGCCATCCATATCTCCAAGGCGACGAGATACATCACAGACAGAGCCTCTAGGATGTCGGCATATGTGCCGCGTGCCCTTCGAAGATATCCCAGAAGCATGTCACCGAGTTCTCTAATCCGCACTTCGCTCGTTTGGTGCTGCGACCAGCGGGGTAGACCTGAATTTGAAGCCACCCATTCCTCAAAGGCACAAAGTTCGGCACGACAAATGGCAGCATTAGTGGGTGGCGGGTTGGATAGTTTTGGGGGGCTCTCGGAGGTCGGATCCCAGAAATCGAGTCTGCTCATGTCTCCTCGTCCTCTGGGTTCGCGTTCGGAGATGGGCCGCTGATCGATCCAGCGGAGGTGGTTGCGAAGAGGGTAGATGTTCAGCGCCGAATCCCGGTCAAACGAGAGCCTGGCGAGCCCTTCCAAGGGCAACATCGTTCTAAATGCGCCTTGCACGTCTTCCCATCTCGCGGCCAAAACAGACTGTGCTTCCAACGCAACAGCCCCGGCGTACCGGATCCAGCCCGTCTCTTCGGCCGGGTCTAGCTTGGTGATGCGGCGGACCAGCTTCGCCTTCATGCACTTGATCAAGTCGCTGGACGTCGCTGGCTGGGACTCTTGAATGGCGGCGTCGAGGATGTGGGCGTGGTGATACGCCATCAGCGGCTTGTACCAGGACGGCTGGCTGGTCCCGGCGGCCGACCTGTCGAGCACCAGACGCAGGGCCACGCGGAGGAGAAGCCACAGCGGCGACCTGTGGAAGGGCAGGAAGGCGTTCTTCCAGCACACTTGTTCCCGGCTGCGCTTTGTGAACCGCTGGGGCTGGACCTCTGTGCCCAGCCCAGCGAGCACGTCCATGGCCAGGCCGGTGGCGAGGATTGGCGACATGGTGTCCCTCTCCTCGGGGCGTTCCCCTCCGGCCTTGGTCGACTTGGGGCGGGCGGCGGCGGCGACGGTCGTCGTCAGCTCGAGGACGACGTGGGCGAACTGGTCGAGGAAGTCGGGGCCCTGGGCTGTGGCGATGGGCACCAGGGCGGCGCGGTCTGGAAACTCCCGGAGGAGCGAACCCGTTGCCGACGTGGCGGCCTGGTTTGGAGCCAGGAGCTCCCACGCTTCGAACAGGACACCGTCCTGCCCCTTGGTGAGGAGCAAGCCGGCGTTCTGCTCCCGGAGGTGGAACAGGGCGGAACCTAGCAATGACCGATTGTGGTTAGAAATGAAAATAAATGAAGGCTTTACAAGCTAGAAGGCATGGATCCCTGCTGGCTGGTTCAAAATGCCACTGGTGCTACACTTTGACCCATAGTGGAAGGATGGGTCGACGAGGGTTAATTATGTGTGATTTGAAGGGACTAGGGAGAGAATGGGCCAAGAGACTAGGAGATCAATGCATGAATGAATCATGAGTCGTGTAAGGACGGAGTTGAAATCAAGTTGGAAAAAGAGTAGAGCAGACAGCATGAAGTGTAGAACCATTCCAAGACGGAATATGCTCGTAGAGAAGCCGGCACGAGCTGGAGTTGGCGACTTTAACCATGCGCGAGAGCTCACAGTGGCAAAGGCACAGGAAGATCGCGAATCCTTAAGACAGCAAGAGCTCAAGCAGGCTCAAGAGGTCAAGCAGGCTCAAGACTTTCAAATACTTCCCCAACGAGGCTGTACTCCCAATGAGGCTGTACTCCCGCTGGTTGTCAAGAGCTGAAGCAAATTGTCAAGATCCCAAGCACTATGGCAAGGTCTCAAGCAGCCCGTCGGGAGCCCAAGCAGTCTGGCACAAGCAGGGAATGGGGGGTCGTGGAGGGAGGGGGAGGGGACAAAGCAAAAGTGACGATACTCACCACCGTCGTTCAGGCCGGCGATTGTGCCTCGCAGCACAGCCTTCTGGCCGCCGACGGCCCCCACGCCACCAGGGACCATCTCTAAAAACCGGTCGAGGAGTTCGGCCACCCGATCCATCGACGGAGAGGAGTCGGGCTCGATCTAGGCGAACTGCGCGACCGAGGAGCGCAGTTTCTGCACCAGACCAAACCCGAGCTCCCCTCCGCCTTCATCGTCCTTCTGCGGGAGGCGAGGGGGGAGGAATACATGATTGATCATATATTCTAGTGCCATCTTGGTGGTTTTTTCGTGTCGGCGTGGTCGGAAAAGGCGAAAAAGAAGAAACCAAACAACAAGAGAAAACTGGGGAGAGAAAAAAGTCGCGGCCCAGCTCGGACGAAAATTTAAAGTTAAGCAGCTTCGATCAGAGCACCCATCCAAAAATCCGACCCTGCTAAATCGACTGTATCCTTCGCTAGATCCCCCAGCATGACAGCCGCAGGGAAATTTTGCAGCGCGCAACGCCGTCAGGCCAGGGCAAGGGCCAAAATACCGGCATTGAAGATGATGAAAAATTATTCTTCAAGATTATTCGAAAAAATTGAAAACTTCCTAATTAAAAAGTCTGCCGTATTCAACGCCAAACCGGTTAAAAATGCACACTTTGTCGAATATGTTATGTTCAAATTATTTAGACCGACTAAAAATAGTGTAAAATCTATGCCTAGAAGTGACCAAATTGCCTTCCAAACTAGCCGTGGTGCCTGAAGACTCGGGAGAACGGTGTGCAGGCTGTTTATCGTGTAATGAACATTCTGTTGAACCCCGTACAGCTTATATGCCTATCTGGCCCGTGATCAAAGTTGACAGTAGCTTGAAGGGTCTTGAATTGTCTGTCTAGATCCAATCTAATAATACAGGAAAGAAGGCCTTTTATGCTTCCAAGAAAAGGACAAAGGAAACCTGGTTCAACAGTCTGTTCAGTCGTACTACGTAAGGGACTCAGCCGTAGCAAGGGAGAGAAAAAAGAGGGCATTCGGAAGTCCGGGAGCCCGAAAAAAAAGGGATCAGGGCTGAAAGTAACGAATGAAGGGATATGCAGGGATGTGACTTGACAATGTGGCTCAAAAGTGGCTCGAAAGTGGGCGACAGCCTATTATTGATGTATTGGAAAGGGTGGTAGTAATTGTGAGCGTATCGCGGGCCTAAACTGCGGTGCCTGCAGAGGCCAGGCATACAAAGTGCCGAATTATGATGCCGCCTGCCTGCCATATTGTGATGCCGCCTATATGCCGTATTGTGATGCCGCCTGCGTGCCATATTGTGATGCCGCCTATTCCGTATGCCCCCTACGTGCCGTGAAATGAGGGTATTACGACCTACGTGGCGGCCTGCAGAGGCGCCGCCTGCGAATTCGTTACTATATCTACGCGTCGTAATTCGAGCCGCGTCTTTTTCCAGTACCATCAGTCGTACTTAGGCGATATTAAGTACTATTGTAAGTGCCTTCTCGTTCGGCGTAAGGGGGTTGCTGGGTTAGTGTAATAAAGACTGAACAGAGGGCAAGCTCCTATCGCACGGGTGATACAGTCAAATTGGATTGCTATTCAAAGTGTATGGTCAAGTTGGATTTCTACTTAAAGTGTATAAATATAGTGAATATATATTACTCACTTGAAGAACCAAGTGAGCTCTAGCTAAGACCGTGGCCACGGTCGTCGTGTATATCTATATAAGTGGACCAATAAAAGCGCGGCTTTTATTGCCCAGCGCGAAGCCCTTGCCCGGTGCCGGGCACGCCGGGCATTGTCCCTGCTCGGTGCCAAGCTTCCTCCATGTACCGAGCAACTCCCCATTGGTTGCCCGCCTACGAGCTTCCTTACAGGCCCAGAGCGCCCCGCTCCTGCAGCCTGCCCAGTACGAAGGATAAACCTCCACACTTACCCTGGAGGGTAAAAGGGGAATGTTCTACATATCTAGATAGATACCTAGCAGCGAAAACGCGCTACGGTGTTCATAGAGTGCTATCAGAGATATATAAACAAAGACTTTCTTCGGATCATGTTCTCCCGAGCAATTTGTTAAACACGTAGCGGACTGCGTGTACTGGACAAGGCGATCGTACTGGATCTTCTGCATCTCAAGCTCCAACTTCTTAATTTTACCGGCAGCTTTTAATTATCTTCATTCTAGTATGTGCGTGGTGATGGGAGTGTGAGGCTAGGAATGGCGTGGTTGAAATACTTGTGGGATTTAACCTGTCTGCTAATAAGCCAGGGATCTACAGTGATGGGATTAGATACGCTACACGCATAAGGTCTATTCATTAGTTTGACCTAGACCTACACTTGGCACTTGGCATGATGAGTACCAACTCTCTTACTTTAGTAATGGATCTAAACGTAAAAGCTGCTTTGAGAGAAAAAGAACTATGATTGAGCTTCCCTCTATAACGATACCCGGAAAAGCGCGTATAATTTGGAGAAGCAACCCGCCAGCCAAAGCAAGTACCCCCAAAAAGAAACTGGGCCTCCCCGAGGCCCCTGTGTTTCCGCCTGCCTTTGCCATTCAAGCATGGCCGAGCGAATACAGGATGGACTACATCGAAGTTTTACCTACAGCCACAAAGGAGACGCTCCACCAGGCACTGCCCCCTAGACCTCGTCCCATAATTAAGAAGCCTGTAAAAAGAATCCCATTCCTTTGTGCCACCGAATCTAGCGTATCAGGACAAAGAAGACGAGAGCAGTGCGGAACGAAGGTCCACCGGCCCTCCTGCCAGTTCTTCCCACCTGCTTCCATTCTTTCTTGGGCGCAAAAGCTTTTACCTCTATGGCCGGACAAAACGTCGCCCAATGAAGGAACACTCCCATCATCTATCATCTGCCCCGCACTCCATGTCAAGCTCTGCCCGCACACCACCTAGAGATACAGCAAATATGAGGGGTAGACACAGCACGTAAGATACGCATGTTGTGAAGGTAGGCCTAAACGAGAGTAAAGGCTGCAAGTAAGGAATGACTAAATTCGTAAGTAACTAAGCTAAAGAAAGGAAAAGGAAAAGAAGAAGCCTGCGGTTCCTGTAGGCTGGGTTTTGTGGGGGGAGAGGGGCAATTGGGCTAGTCCCAATTAGGAATGGTGGTTCTGCGGGGTGGAGCCTGCAGCCAGGGCATGGTTGCGGCACCACGGACCATAGTTCGGCCGTGCCGTAACATATGTATTGTAATTACTCAAGGGTACAGCTACATCACCAGGAAGCAGTGGATGTGGCAAGTCCTCCATTCACATTGTGGATTTTTTTTTTTTTTTTGCTTGACACTCTTGCGCGCAGTGCCGGAGGCGGCAGAAACAATGCCCAAACTTACTCAGGCTGCAGCTTTGTGCCCCCCATGTGTCCGTGGTTCTGCCTGTTGCAGTGATGGGGGCTGACGTCATCCCCGAAAAACTGGTTGGGCCCTTTCTGCCTCAATTGTTTACACTGGGCTCATTGTCCCAAATTCAAGCCACTTCATTTGTGTACACATGTACACACAAGTTGCTCATGTAATGGCGAGACTTTGCGAGTGTGAATGAGCAGTAAAAAGAGAACTTGGGCACTGTTCTAATTTAAGGCTAGCTTTGAACCGGGCACACTAGGGTTTTGCGTCGATTAAGAGTCTCAACCTAGTGATTTAATTTATATTTTGTCTTTTCCAAGTAATTTGACCTCGTCTTGTAAGACGAGTTTTAACTATGAGACAAATAGGACAATTGACACCTCTCCTTATCATGGACTTGTAGTATAGGAGCATAGGAAAACGTGTCAACTACTAGAACAAGGTTTGGGTTGGATGGACTAAGGTTAACAGCCAACTAAAGCTTGACTATAGGAACACTCCAAGGCTATACTCTGCTGTTTAGGAACACATGGACAGCCACCAACGCCATTCGTTGTACACAGACATGACACATCCACGATTGAGCTGAGGGGGGTCGGGATGGATTCGCGACTTGTCATGGCTGTTGCCGGCACTAACGGTGAACAAATATTGGCCAGAGCAAGCCGCATCACAGAGCACCACTCCAAAGACGGACCCCTCCGCGCTAATGCAGGAGACTTTCTGGGGACCAATTGCTGGGACGCAGCAAGTCCCGACGCCCTTGTCAAGCCCTCTGAGCCTGGTCAACCAGACATGGCTTGGGTCTGTGCTGCTTACGTCTCTCGACCTTGTTGGGCTCTGCGCCGAGGAACGGTGGCCGCTAGCGATCTGAGCTCCCTCATTACATTAAGACTGGAGACCAGTGGGTTTCTGGCGAGCCTCCGCCCTGCAGCAGCCAACGGTGACTGAGTAGGCTGTTCCCGTTGAACGACATCAACCACCTGCTTTTTTTGGCCGCCGCCGTGCTTGCTGTCGCTGCAAGCCAAGACTACCATCAATATTCTCTCCAGGAAATGGGTCGCTGCTACCTTGGGCTAGGCCGCCAGTTCAAAGATATTCCATCCCGCGCTTGCGCCTCACGTCTGCATCACCACCGTGACGACATTGGGCATAGGACCACGCTGCGTAGCCTCCATTGTAGGATAAGCACACATCTAGCGAGCTTCTCGTGTTCCCTGAATGCAATCAAGCCGCGTTTCCCCTTTTTGGCTACGCTGCACGAAGCCAGGGGCCGCCCTCGCTCGCCGTAGACAGCCTACAAGAGAGAAATACAGACGCCACGTGTATCGCCGTCGAGAAGTCCGTCCAATGCGGACGCACTCCGTACCTTTGCAACCGGCCGTGTGCGGCCCGCGAAGATCGTGTGATGCATCTGCCGCCGTCCAAATAAAGCTACACCAAGCTTTTGCGCGGAAGCCACCCCGGGCGGAACCCATGAGTTTTGAGACGGCCATGCAGGCGACCTGTCGTTTTTTCCCCCGTCGTTTTCTGTTTTCTAGGCACATTTCTTGCAGCGACACAAGTGCTGTGCGTGCCGCCGCCAAGCGCCGCTCGTGGCTTGGTTAGTTTGCCAGGACACTACCAACAAGAAAAGTCAGCAAGGCGAATCGACAGAGCAACAAACTTTCCGGACGCGAGAGACCAAAGCGCACGGGCCCTTTGGCACTTTCTCGTGATTGGCAGGAGGCACTTGGCCATGCCCCGGTTCCCAGGCCCTGGGCCGCAGCGGGGCAGATTGATGGGGGGTGGCCGTGGTCGCCGAAGTGCACGTGTAGGAGAGGCCGCTGCGGCTTGCGACGCAAGGGACCTTTTCCTTGCCAAGGATTTCCGACGGGCCTAGGTGTGGTGTCGGTCGGTGCTCCGTAGGTGCCTGTCGAAAGGAGACCGGCCTGGAATTCTGTTTGGGCTTGCAGACACACGGACACATAGACAGCCAATGGATGGTGGGCGAGTGCCGCGACGCTGCGGCTGCCCTGTTCGCTGTCGAGGTCTTTCGCATTTGGATTAGTGCTGGAGGGGAGGGGAGCTAGAATGGACCCAGGAATGGGAGGGGAACTGGAATGGACCAGGAATGGGAGGGGACATCCTGAGCTGCTTATTGGCCACCCTATTTTAGTGCACGTTCGGTTCCCAAACTGCGGGCTTCTCGGAGGATTCAGTGGATGGCTAGAGATGGGGGGTGGGGTTGCAGTGGGGGTTTCGAAGCAGCAGCAGCCGACCTACTCATCCCGTCGACACGAGGCTCTCGCTGCCCACCCGGTTTCGTGAAACGCCCAGGTTACACCCATATAACTTGCATTTTGGCTGATGGACAGCCGAGTTGTTAAGCGGACAGCAGCTCAAGGGCAGGAGATGCGTGGTGAGTTTCCGGGTTTCGAGCAGCTTGGAGACGTTTTCTCAGCATCCAACTTCAGGGGGCCGTGGGTACCACCAGCGCTGTATTTGGAGGGCTCTTCCCATAGATCGGATCCATTCTATAGTGAGCTAGGGCACAAAACTTCGGAGCAACTTGAGCAAGAGAGCACCACCTCCTTGTAGACTCGATACAACTACATTTTTTTTAAGCAGAATAAGAATGATGCAAGAAATCGTCAAAAAGGAAAAAAACGCATCCGAAGGAATAAAATAAATAAAACCCCAAAATTGCCATTCCATTCCCAAACGCGATCCCCTAACCCATTTCCACTAATGCCGAAATCCAACCCGCCCAGTCCAATCCTGCCCAGTCCAGTCCAATCTTGCCCAGTCCAGTCCACCACAAATAGGCACCCAGAAAAAAAACATTACCAAAATACCCCGCCCCTTTTTCCGTCATTAAATATCATTCCTTCATTAGCCCCATCCTAAAAGAATATGCATCAAACAACATCATCCCCGACACGCGGCTTCGCACCCCTTCCTATCACGTCCTCGTCATCCTCCTCGCCGGACGAAGACGAATAGCTCGTCTGCATAGGCGCTTGCCCGTGTCCCGTGCTACCTTGGTGCAGGCCCCTGCTGTAGTTGATGCTGCCCCTAGTATTATCGTTGTCGTCGGCCCTCGCGCCACCGAATCCCCGCCTTGTCGTTGGTGACGGTGTTGTGGTTGTGGTTGTTGGGGAAAAACGCACGGCCGACTTGAAGTACACGGCGTTGGAGTCGTGGTTATTCTCGCTGCTGCTGCGGCGGCGGGCGTGCTCGGAGCGGTGGAAGCGTGCGTCGTTGTCGTGGTTGTCGTCGGCGGTCTTCTCTGTGCTGTTGGTGGCAGGGTGGTTCGTCGTCACGGCCCGCCCAGGGAAGTAGTAGCTGCCGTCGGGCTTCATGATGGGGATGTCGGTGCTCTCGAGGCTGCTGGCCTCGTCCTTGTCGTCGTCTTGCCTGGCCGTGGCGTCGTGGGAGGCGGGCTTGGCTTCGCTATCCTTGTTGTTACTGTCGTCACCTGCCACCGCGGCGACGGTAACGAGCGGCGGCAGGGCCTTGGTGGGTTCGTACGGAGCCAGCACGCCGCCCGTGTATGACGAGGTCGAGCTGAGGGAGGACAACTGGTGGTCGAGGTGGTGGGCGTGCTTTTTCTTGCTCTTCTTGTAGCGGTGGACGTGGTTATCGTTTCCGTCGCTGTGCTTGACGTAGCTCCCGCTGCCGCCGCCAATCGTCGTCGGGTAGCTCCCGCTGTCGCCGGCCCCCGACCGCCGGGTGCTCGGGAGCACGCCGACGCGCCGCAGCATCCTCTCGAAGAGCTGTTTCAGTGTCGGGATGCAGGCTGCGATGATGCTGTGCGCCAGGGAGGTCAGCTGCTTGTGTCAGTGTGGGGCTCGAAAGGGGCGCCTACGCTAGCTGTGCCTCGGTGATGCTCCACAGGGTGATCTGCACCGTGTCCATGAGCGTGTCCCCTGTCACTCCGTAGTCCTTGGCCTTGAAGGTTTTGTAGATGGATGCCGCGCTAGCCATGAGCCCGAGGCCCATGATGAAGGCGAGCACGAGCTTCTCCCGCAGCGGCCGCTGGATGGCCATGATGAATGTGATTGGCTATGATGCGGCGTTAAGTCAGCATTCCTAGCCAGTCGTTGTCCTGCAGACGGAGGGGACAGCATACTGCAATGCTCAGCACGATATCAGTGAAGACGGTCAGGCCGGCTGACACGTAGATGGAGATCTGGGCCTTGGCCGGATCCCCGCACACGGCGTCTGGGTTGCTGTGATCCCACAACGCCCAGATGGGCTTGCACATGGTCAGGAAGATAGTGTTGGCGCTGATGGCGACGCCGATGCTCACCAGCATCAGCGCGTACATGGTGATGGCCCAGCCGAGGCGGTCGCGCTGGATGCGCAGCAGCATCCACGCGATGCTCATCTTGGCACAGGCCAGGGCCCACGGGAAGAAGGGCTCGCTGAAGACGAGCCACTTCTCCGCCAGCACCTCCTGGTCCGGCGCGATGTAGTAGTTGTGCCGCCCGATGCCGTACTTTACCCCCGCCAGCGTGAACGCCCAGTTGAACAAGTCGAAGATCTGGGAGCGGAAAGCCAAAGGAAAGAAAGAGTCAGCGCTCCGCGGGCTGGCCTGGCGGTGAAGCTATCCCTGCTGTCCTAAAAGACACGAAACGAACTCACCACCGCGGCCGTGATTAAATAGTCGTCCACAGTCAGGCGCACCGTCGGCCTGACGCGAGTCCAGATACGGGCGGCATAGAAGGACAGCGAGAAGACGTGCAGGAGCGCCGTGACACCGATCAGCATCGGCCCTTCGTTGTCGTCTGGGCCGGGCGGGACCCGGGGTGGCGGCGCTGCCATGGTGTGTTGCGTGCGTGTCCAATAGCCGCAAAGAAAATGTGACAGGTCAACAGAGCGACCAGGGCGAAAAGACGGCGCCCGCAGTCGAGAGCAGAGAAGGCGGGGGACCACGAACCCCGTGGCGGCGGCAGCGGCAGCGGCGGCGGGCCAAGGCGGAAGGCAAAAGGCCCAAGCATGCGGGAGGGCGAGCGTCGATCGATTGTGCGGAGAAGGGGAAAAAGAAAGAAAAAACGACAGAGCCAGATCGGCCGGGTCAGGGCACGCGCGAGGGAACGGGGACACGATCAGTCGTCCCAAGCCATCGCATCTCTTGGGATCTCTTAGTGCCCGCGGCGGTCCAGTGGAGAACGGGAGCTAAGGGGAAGGAAGGGAGCTAAGGAAATCGGGGGCGCGGAAGCCGGGGGGTTGGTTGTCTTTGGTTCAAATATGGAGAAGACATTCTTCTCCTTTTTGAACGTGGCTCTCTCGCTCTCTCGCTCTCGTCTCCGCTAGATCGGAATCCAGGGCTTTCTGATGTCACGCTGCTCCGTGCCGTGGGTGGCTCTGCCAGCCCCTGCCTCTCTCCTGCCTCTCCGTGCTGCGCGGTGACCCCCATATTTCCTCTCCTTTACAGAAGCCCGTCAGGTCCCCGGTATTGCGAGTGGTTGAATCCTTCTCGAACATTCCCCGTGGGCGGCCGTTGCACTGACCCAGCAAACGCACAGCACGACAGACGAATACGCGACAGAGGCTGCGACTCCAGGGTTCTGCTGTGTGCGATGGTGTGGTGGTTGGCAGCAGGAAACGAGCATGGGGGCATGCAGAAGAAAAACCGGGGAGAGCAACCCGCTGCCAACCCCCCCTGGCAGGGGGGAAGAGGTCGATGCGCAAACGCCTTGCATGAAATGGTTCCCCGGGTAGCGAATCAGATGCGCAGTACGGCCGTAGCGGACGACCACCCCTTCCCCCTCCTGGACGGCTCTCGCTGTGGCTGGCTAGCAAGACCTCGATAAGGGAGCTTGTTGCTGCGCCGTGGCCTTGCTTTTTGTGAAATGTGTTTCTGGGCCTAGCTCCGTCTTTCTAGCTGGATTTCAAACTTGACTGGCGGCGCTAGCATGGTTGCTTCCTGTTTGTCTGCAGTGCAGGGTTGTTTTCTACAGCAACTGTGCAATAGACAAATTTAGAAAAGCCTGTATGTCAATACAGAACAGTAGCAGTATTCCTTTGGCGCCGCCCAGCTTTAGTTGTTTTCGGGGCCGAGCTTGAACTTCGGACTCGGCGGTTGGTCTTGCAGAATTCACGATTCTCGACTCTTTGGGCAGTTGCCCGGCGGGGTGGCTGAAGGAGCTTGATCCTTGACTGGCCAGCCCAGATGGGGAAGCTCGGGGCTAACGAGGTTTAAGCTTCAAGCTTTGGTTAAGCTTTTCTTGGTCGTTTACTCGGCGTTGAAGGCCCCATTTCTTTCTCCGCAAACGTTGTAAACTCTCGCAACTTTGTATATCAGTAGCCAGCAGCTGCGCCTGAACTTTTGACCTTGTTCCACTTGTTGGGATTCATAACATGCATCTCATTGCTGATTGCAGTGGCCAGACAAGCGAGGCGGCTGAGCGGGATTGGGTTCACCACGACGGTTCTCGAAACCCGGTAACACATCCCTGCGATTCATTGTGTCAACTGCAGCCATTTCCGGGGTATGTACACCTTTTAACTGCCAGCAGCTCCCCAGTAAGACGTCTGGTGTTTCCCGTTTCAACCTCAACACTCGATCTCTCTCTGATCCCAGGGAGCCAGACCAGCACGGACACGGCGTTGGCTCTGCCCATGATTTTTATTATGGCTCACAGCCGTCTCCGCTGCGGGATTGCGGTGCCGTTCATGCCGCAGCCGGCATGGACACAGGTCGACACGGTATGGATGTATCTGATCTTGCCGCCCTCGACGCGGAACACGTGGCTGTCGGGCATGGGCTGCTGGCCGACGGACCGGTCGAGCCCGGGGAAGCCCAGGAAAATGTCGACGGCGCCGAGCCCCTCGTCGATGACGTAGCGCCGGTCGGTCACGACCAGCGTCGACGGCAAGCCTAGGTCGCACGTGTTGGCGCTGAGGTTGCCCCGCCCTGTGTACGCTCCGCCCTCGAGCCGCGCGCACGGCGTTCCCCACGGCACGACAAAGCTACTGTTGTGGAACCGCTCAAAGTAGGCGTCGCCGGCGGCTTTGATGGCGGCGCGCGAGTCGCGCTTCTCGGCGGGGATGGGGTCCCATTTCTCGATCGAGTCCCTGCAGGCCGAGAAGCATTGCCGTCAGTTTTTCATTTCTTTCCTTTCCAAGTGGCAAATAACTGTGCCTGATCTAGCAGCCTCGAGGCAGGGGCATATTTACCAATAGAGATATCCTGTTGCGTTGAATGCCCAGTCGCCTGGCTTGGTGGCGATGGTCTCGACCAAGCTGGCCTTGCCGTCGGCGAAGATCATGCGCGTGCCGATGACATAGGGTGCGACTGGGTCGGTGACGATGAGCTCGGTGAAGGTCGCGCACCCGACCGTGTCGTGGAGACTGCGGCTGTGGTTGATCTTCATGGGACGCGAGAGCACGCCCTTGGCGATGTCGACGGGAATCTCGCTCTCGGTGTAGCTGAGGTTGCTCGAGGCTAGGGCGGCGAAGATGCCGACGTTGCCGGTCGTCTGGGCGGCGATGTATTTGTTTGTGGCATTGACGAGGAATTCCCGTGAGCAGTCGGCTGCGACACCGAGCGCCAGCGACGTGCTCGCGAGAACCAAAATCTGTGCCTTCATGTTGGTCTTGTTGTTGGATGAATAACAGTAGTCTCTCCACGAAATCAATCAATCGCTCTCCGGTTTCTAATCTCTAGTCTCTCGTGTTCAATTATTCTCTTCAGCTTTTTTGGGCATCGATCTGGTGTATGGTGCCGGGCGGCCGAGATGGCATTCTTATGTGGTTCGTGGAGCGACGAGGTTGGCGCGTAATTCGAACTGCCGCCGAAAAACATCGAGGTCTGTGACGGGATATCGAGGGGAATTCAAACATGGCAAGGGGAGTTGTCCAATCGGGAGAGCCGGCACATATTGACGATATTGGTTCTGGGGCGGGTATTGCCTTATTGTAAAGCGTCTCCGCAGCTGGATAAGATAGACGGGCATTGCCGTGCAGCGTCGTCTGTGTGGCCGGTTAAGGCGGCTTCAGCTAGGCTCTGTCTCGATCCGCTAACAGGCTCTTCATTATTAACCCCTCCTCGCCCTGACCTGTAATCTCCAGTTCCTCAATCTGCACCCGACCTGTGCCGGTATAGCGTCCCGCCCTTGTGGTCTGACTAAGCACTGCTTGTGATCACTTTTGATGTCACCTCCATTCCTCCATATCGTATCGTAATTACTCTCACTCACTCACTCACTCACTCACTCACTCACTTACTCACTCACTCACTCACTCACTTACTCACTCACTTACTCACTCACTCGCTCACTCACTCACTCACTTACTCACTCACTCACTTACTCACTCAATCACTCACTCAATCACGCCGCTAATCAGGCTCATTAAATAAAAAATAAAACTCTAACTGCCTAGATATGACCTTGCTACTCTGCCAATACGTGCCATCCACGAATATCCGTGGGGGAGGTTTCTGCAATGGAAAGCTATTCCTGTTCCTGCTGGTGGTTACGACTGTACGAGATCGTTGTATATTTATTACTGAATTCGGCATCCCTTCCGTGATCCATCCTGCACCGTGCCAAACATGGCCGGTTGCCAGCTCCTCAACAACTCATCCCACATATGCCAAACTTCTCCCCAAGAAAGTATTTCCCCTCTGTCATGATACAAGATGACGGCCACAAACCATGGACCGAGTTATTCCAATGAGGCTTTCGGTGCCTTCCAAAAGTTGTCTCAGTCAACTCGCCAACCTCAGCTGCTTGATGGCATGCCATCTCTGCCTAAATTGTAAGAACTAATTGAGGCCGACCTTTTTACTTCCTGCTAAGGCTCAGGCAAGTTCTATTGGCCAGGGGCTCGTACTCGTCGGTGAGGCTGGGGCGGGCCCTCTTGGTCGGAGGCTCGACTGTGGGCTGCCCTGTTGGCAATGGACAGCGCTTTCTCGGCTCGGGCTAAGGCATCAGGAGTGGCCTGGGTCGCTGTGCAGGAACAAGGGCGAGAATCCGTGAGAGCCAAGGCTCAAGTGCCAGGGCCATGTGCTGCTGCTGGACTGGTTGTGGGCGGTGGAACTCGAAGGGCTGAGTCTTATTTTCCAGGGGCTTCAACTTCGGTAGAGTGGTCTTTGCAGCCCGAATATGGGGCAAAGACGAGCGGCGCAGCGTTCCAGCGGTGGAGAGAGTGCCCGAAGATGCCGAGGATATCTGGGTGGTCACGGAATATGTAGAGAATGGGGAGAGGAGAGAAATCAGAGGCGAATAGGGCTTTGCACGAGGCTCCCATAATGCTAGTAGGCCTCGGTGTGGCACCTCGATCTGAACTAGCTTGATTTCTTTTGCCAAAATACAGAATCGCTTCGGCGGCAGCTCTGAGTCGAGGACGTGAAGCTCCATCGTGCGTAGCCTCGAGAGGATTCCCCACGGGTGCTGGATGTTCTTAGCGTGGAGCATGATGGCGGTAGCAGCATCTGCAATTTTGCGCGATTGGATGGTCGACATGTTTGTGGTTTTCTGCGCGAAGGTGGTTTAGCTGATTTGCAATATCCAGGTGAAGATGACCGAAGATAATTGTGTAGAAGGTGGCTCTTCACCAATTTCATCCGCTCGCGTTTCTACGGATACCAAAACCAGGTGACTAGGACCTGTCATTTTGGTTGGAAAATTCGGATGCCCCGCGCATCGTCCAGAGTCCCCCCAACCGGGAGCCAGAACTGAAAACTGAAAACCGCACATCATTCCCTGTTCTATCAAGGTCAGGGAGTAGAATGCTCCGAATTGCTGCAGATACTGTGTGTTAGAAGGGGGTAAGGTTTCTAGGCGTTTTGAAGATAAAGCTCCCGTTGCTAGAATAGACTGCTGGGCGATAGCTATTTCTTTGCCGTACTAAATTTGTAGACGTAAATTTATAATATTTGATTAATAAACTCATATGGCCATAGGAAGGTCTATAGTTTCTCGTTTTAATCGACGCTTGAGCCTTTATGCTTTCTTTTCGTACAATTCGCCGTTTGACGATTGCTGGGCCTTTCATTTACAAGCAATATCACGTCCGCTTGCTAGGAAAACACACCAAGTCAAACTTTACAAAACCTAATCTTACCGTCTGCAATCTTCCGAAGAGTAGAAACGGAACCCTGGCGAGGGATCGAGCCATGAAACTAACTGTAGGCTGGCGAAGCGGAGTACCGGGAAACACATGGAACCCCACATTTGGAAGTGGTGCTTGGCGACCGGACGCTTAACGTTGAGAATATTCATGAGTTCTCCGATCGCCCACGAGCGGACTAGAAGAAACTCCTCGATGCTCGCCATTATCACGGCTAGACGGATGCAATGGACGGCGACCCAAGCCTTGAGGCATGTGGAGGCCGTGAATTAAGTCATAATTTTCCCCTTCCCCTTGGTCGAAATACGACCAGTGGGACTAATTGTCACCTGGGTTCGACCAGTGAAGCCAATCGCCACCTGGGTTCGACTAGTGAAACTAATCGTCACCTGGGCTTGCATAGTTCCGGGCTTCTGTAACAACGTGTGGCTTCTGGGGTTGGATCTGTTGCAACTGGCGAGAAGCTATTTGATGGCAGATCTTTCGAGGTTTGCTTTTTTCAGAGTGATCAGCTCCTGGAGCTTCCCAATGTGACGCCCCGTAATGGGTGGTTACGAAGATCGATATTTGGGTTTCCACCACCGATTGGTCGCGGCAGTTCGACATTTGGGTGAAGCACAATGACTCTTGATGCATTCCAGTCCAAGAGACCGTCTCGCAGTGGTCATATTTCGGTGTCGGGTGAAGGCAGGTTGTTGGCAAGTCGGTAGATCGATCAGTTTCGGAAAGGTACCACGCCTAGCTGGCGTTTGTGTTCCCTAAAGGCTCAAGGTTAAAACCGTTCAGAGCCGCAGGGCGGGTGCTGCATAGTAGGCCCACGCGGGTAAAGTCATACTTTTCTGGTCCAAAGGTAGATTCAACGTTTCTGTCGGCATCTTCGTTTTTCCTCCTGCCTGGATCGTAAAAGTGCAGCCGTTTCGAGAAGATTTCCATCGTGAGAGGCGACATAAATATATCGGATCAAGGAAACACGGCGTTCTGGTCCCAGCTGTCGAATCACGATGGTGTGTGGTTTGTTGGTTCATGGATTTCGTAGGTCTCGGGGGCGCAGCAGAGAGTTCGCGATCGGACAAGAAAAACGGAAGCGCGTGTAATGATTTTATGTAAAATGCAGAAGTCTGGCGCCTTGTATTTCCTAGCCCGCCTGTGTTCAGCGCCGCACTGTAATTACTACCTATCTGCCTCTGGACCGTGGTATGTGTGACGGCTCCACCTTTCCAGGGAGAGACTGCTCGATCCGATGTCCCTTGGTGCCCTGGGAGCTGTCCAAGTGTCCGTCCACAGGATTCATGGGTCGTTAGGAGGATGAGCCCAGCAGTGGGATCACCCGTGAGCCCTCGCGCTGTCTGCTGAACCATTGCAGCTGAGCAACTCATACGAGGAGCCTGGGGAGAATTGGCGCATGAAAAAAATACCATATGCAATAATTATGCGATTACCACTATGTACAGCCAAGTTGCCTCCCGACTTCCAAGGTACAAATGAACCGCCATTTCCTCCCTCTTGACGCCTCTCAATATCAAATTATAGAACTGCTGAACAGAAACAGCAGCTGTCCGCACCCATACCTCTGAGCTTTCCTTGACGGTCCGACGGCACCCAAGCTCGTCACAGGCGAGTCGACCACGTTAGCTCCTTCACTCCTCGACGTTGCGTGCACGCCACGGCCCACCCCTGAACGGCGGCGGCCGGCCCTTGCCCTTGCCTCTCCACGGGGGCCCAATACCCCACGGCGGGCCAACCACGACGGGCGCCTCGCTGGTGGTGGAGGGCTTGGGTGCCGGCGCCACCGTCGTCGGCTTGGCGACGCTCGTAGGCTTTGGTGCGCTGGTGGGGATCACATACACGGTCGACGTCCCGGGCGCGGGCAGCGTTGTCACGCGCGTCGAGATGACCACGGGCGGCTTGGCCGGCGAAGACGAAGGAGGTGGCGGGGCCGGGAGCGTGGTGATGGCCGTGGACACGATGATCGGGGGCAGCGACTTTGTGGGCGAGACGACGACGGGCGGCAGCGAGGGCGTCACGATCGGGGTGGGGATCGTCGGCGTCTTGGCTGACGAGGCCGACACGGACGACGAGGAAGACTCGGGCGGCACTGAGACAGCAGCCGAAGAGCTCGACGGGGTTGGCACGGAGACTGGGGCCGGGGTTGGCACGGGGACTGGGGCCGGGTTGGCGAGGTCGTAGGCCAGCGCGTCGAACACACCCTGGGGGATCTTGGCCTGGCTGAAGTCGTGGGAGAAGACAGCCTTGCCGTCGTGGATGGAGAAGGCGCTCGTGTTGCTGGCCGCCGTTGTCACAGCACGGCTGGCCTTGGCCCACGCGAGCCCGTTCACGCCGTTGGGGTTGAGAGACCCTCCCGCCCACTGGCTGCACCCCTTGCAAAGCACGTCGAGCTGCCACCACGTCGAGTTGGCCGTCGTTGTCGGGAGCACCGTGTAGGTCGCTCCCGTGTACGCGCCGGGCAGGCTGTGTCCGCTGTTTTCCGTGCTGTCAGTACTCAGAAGCTTCATGACTGCAATGCTGCTGCTTACCCGGTCCAGCGCGAAGATACCACAGCGGTCTTGCCGTTTGCCCACCCCAGAGTCAGCGGGTTGCTGCTCATCTTGCCGCCCCACGCCAGGCCGGCCCACCCGACCGACGCGGGAGCCTGGATCTGCAGCAGGATGTCGAACGGCGCGGCCGTGACTTCGGGGATGGCAATGCGGTACGTGATGTTGTACGCGGCCACGGTGAACTCGGAGAAGCAGATGGCCGTCCCTCCCGGGCAGTACTTGTGCGTGGCATCCTGCCTCTTGACTGAGTCAGTAGCCGACGACGTCCATATCTGCGTGCTGCCCAGGGCGAGCAGGGCAACGTGTTTAGGGCCTATCATGTTTGGAAGAACCGGGTGGGTGAGTTCACGTCAGCCTGTCCCGAGGCGTGAAGAAAACAACGACCAGCCCCTGGGGCTGTCCCTGGGGCTGTCCCTGGTTTTTATGCCAGCCGAGATCCCGGCTTTGGCGGCGCTCGTCATCTCGGAAATTCCAGTCTTGGCCAGAGACATATCAGGCATACTACTACTGCGTGCCGGGAATCCGCCAGCCGGGGAAGCCAGAATGAAATCGGTGGCATCTTATAGGCTGGACGGCTCGGGGCCCATGAAAACGACGATCCCTGCAGATTCACGACGGTAAGCACATCGATGTTTGCTGCGACCTGGTCGAGTTTCTGGGGAAGTCCGGCGATGCGAATAGATGGGATTGTGGGGGATGTGCCTATTTCTAGGGGCGAGCGAGTTCCGCCAGGCGCATGGCCGACAACGCGCAATATGGCTAAAGGCGGCTCGGGGAATATTACACAGCCGCCGCATTCACCCTTCCCACCCCCCCGTTTGCTGTTTTTCTCCGCTGGCCAATACGACAACACGACCCCTGCGTCAAAACAATCAGCGGCTCCTGCTTATGGATGCCTGGCAAACAACAGCAGACGAAGGCTGCCCCCCACTCATCTAGAGGCTGAGTCTTGGGCTGACGTCATCACCGCTGTTTTAATGAACGCTGTTCACTCCTGGACGAGCATGTATACTCGCGTTTCTCATTTTCATTCAATTTTGGGAAGTCGAGTCTCGAAGGGTGATCACTTCTCCAATTCGTGTACAAAGAAGCTCAATGGCTCCGGTTATTGATTCTCATGTTGATTACAAGAACTAATACGGGCCTGAACATGGCATGCCGACTTTATAAAGTTAAGTGGTAGATGCTTTATTTGTATACACAGTTCTAGTATGCGGATGTAGGTATTTTTCAAGCACCGAGGGGGCTGCTCTCATCATGTCTGAAGAAGAGACTTCCTTGGGGGAAGAACTCTCTCCCTCGTTTCCCTCGGATCCATGTTTGCACTATTACGCGGCAATTAAGCACCTTCCCGGGTTGAGACGTTAGTGATTATTCAGTAGCTATCTAGCATGATTTCTACGTGTTTGTTGTGATGATCTTGCTAGTCTATGTAAAATATTTGATTTTACGGTAATATTCCGTCGTATCCACGACTCTCGATGGGAGCTGGCATACACCAACGTAATTACGCCTAGGCCCAGCGCCGGCAACAACTCAAATATTTCGCATTGGCCAGGCCATTTTAGGGCGGATTTTTCGGATTTTCCTAGGCTTAGGGCGCTCTCTGCCCACGGCCAACCCTGCACTTTCCTTGCCTGCCCGGCATTTTTCTGGCCCGGGAAAATCTCTGCATGCCGTTGAAGCTGCAATGCAATTATTCCGACGTAAGCAAAATGCCGAATTCTACCTTTCCGCCGAATCCTTCCATTCCTACAGCGATTTCCCTGCTTCCTCACGCCCGAATTACCGACAACATGCCTACCTCGACCGTTGAACTTACGACCCTCTCCACAGGCCATCGCGGCTCGCCGCGCAGTACAGCGAAGTGATGGTGCATGACTTGAAAGACCCGAGGAGCATACAGGTCAAGGACTGGCCCCCGATAAAAATAACACAGGGCATATACGTACCGAGGCTTGGAGTGAAAAAAGGCCTTCTAGGTCGTTGTGGATCACCGAACACGACTGTTGCCGTTGGCTTGCCCAGGTAGTCAACAACAAGGTAAACGACGAGGAGGTTAGCGGGGCACGCAGAGACATAGCATGGTTGATGATACCTTCAACAAGACCACGTGTTTGAAGAATTGGATGCGAAGATGACCTTTCCGGGCTTCAGGGCTTTTTTTTCCATCTCAGGGGACCATTTTGATGACTTTTAACCTATTTTTGGTGGAGCGGAAGATGCCATTAAATATCGTCAAATGAGACCCACTCAATCAAATCGAGCCTGGAGCCAGTCAAATATCCGGTTTTTTGAGGCCAAATCCAAACAGATATAGCCTCATATTTTGAATCGTTTGATTTATTGCTAGCGCTGCCTAGGCTACGTGACGTCAGGTTATCTCTAGTGAAAAGAACTTCTCGGAGCCTGGATTTTCCTGCTACCGCAATGAAAACCATCTTATGATCTAATTACCGCACAGGCAATTTTACCGAGCCTCCCTCCCTCTACTACACACTAGCTTTTCATCATTGCTATTACCTCTAAACCTTCATTGCAACCTCCTAGGCCTCGTTTATCAAAACGGATGTCAGCCAGCGGTTTCAAGTCCAAAGCGACCCAGATGAAAAGGAAGAGAACGATGAGCCGACCGCACCCCAAGGCTGTTGCCGAGCCCAAGCTTTTCCAACCCTAGCTGCCTCTCCAGCCGTGTCGCCATTGGAGGAGATCTAGATATTCCTCGGCCCTGCCGATCACGAAGCCGAGATTCCTGGTCTGGCATGGTCTTGGGCGTGTCCCACGTTGATGATCGGCCGCGACTCGGGCATCAGCTGCATCAAGACTCTCGATTTTAAAAGAGAACACTGTAAAATCGTTGTCGCCGGACATAACCCTAACCCTAGCAGCCTACCCCGCCCTCCACATCCAAGATTCTGCCGCGTAGTAATTTACCACTTTTTACCATAACGCAACCGAACCTTACCTTTCCACTACAACCAACCTTCCATAACCACTAAAAAACACCAGCATTCAATCGATGCATCGGTATGGCTTCATTTCTTCGTCGCACAGTACTAACTAGCAATAAAAAAGTCCGCTTTTGAAGATCTAAGCGATCTGAGCGACTTTGGCTATCTCAGCGATGCGCCTGATGAAAATGCGCCGCCGCCATCACTACTCTCGAACCCACCGGCCGGCCATAAGCTCTTCAACACCAAGGCACGTGGCGTGTTAGCCGGGGCGGCACAACATCACGAGCTTCACGTGGCCCTATAGCCTCTGCAGTGGCTGAAGGTCGTGTTGTAAGGCCTACACGAGCTGGAAGGGTCCCGCGACCGAGTGCCCGGGCGGAAGGCATGGATCAGTAAGGCTGTCAGTTGCATGCAGTTGTGAGCAATTGTGGCAGGCCACAGTTTTTTATTGCATTTTTGGCCATGTTACGTAAGCGAATTGAATGAAGCCAGCTTAGATTTTTATTGTAGATTTGAACGATTTGAGCGATTCTACGGCCCTGAGCTGGAATTACCGCATTCGGAAATGTGTTGACGTTGGCGACGGCGGCGAGGTGCAATTGCGGTACAATTGCGTTGCCAGTGCTTAGAGCGGTGCAGCCAGCGAAAGTGGTAATTTTAGCTGTAAAATGTGGTAATTTCCTGGGCGGTGAGCTGTAAGTTCTTGGCGCCGATGTACCTACAGTGCACGACAACGATTTAACAGTGTATAAAAACGTTCTCTTTCAAAAAGTGCGCTACCGGATGCCGCCTGTCGTACCGTCGGCTCACGGAGCAAATCGCCGGTACCACGGACTTTCAACAACCCAAACTCAACTCCGAGGCTCTGAGGTCCACTTCGCCATTTACAGCCGCTGGATTGACTGGCTACGCATGGAGGAACAGCGGTTCGGGTACACTTCAAAGCCGTTCCAGACAACTTCCAGACAACCCCCCGAGGACGTGATGGGGGCGGAACACGGTTCGGAGGTCGGCGAGTTGCGGTACATGTTTGAGGACAACTAAAAAGAACCCAATGCCGGGCAGTCAGTATAACAAGGAAGAACTCACTACGGCGCGCACTGGCCTGGGCATCTCAATTTGCGGTAAAAAGACGTGATTTCTAAAGAACGACTAGAAAAGAAGGCAAAGAGCGACGCCGACCTCTGGTCCTGTCAACACAGGACAGACCAGAGGGCAATCTGGGAACTTTCGGGGTTGAGATGCGAGAAATGAATGTGATCCTGAGGTAAACCCCTCTCCCTCATGAAGGACATAGAATCCTACCGGATACTAACCTTTGATATAGGAAAGCGACAAAGAATAGTCTCGTCATTCTCCACGAGCTCGGCCGTGGGACCTCGCATAAATATGACCTGGCAATCGCCCTTTCCGTGTCGGAGAGCCTGATCGACATTGGCTGTCGCGTGTGGAGGGCTAGCTGCCCACCTTAGACTATATGAGGCGGGTAGGCCAATAAAAAAAGAGTAGAAATTGTACAAGATGACATTGGGTACGGGTGTGAATAAGCCCATATTTCTCAGGAGTTTGTTGCCTGTATAATAGCCGCAGCCGTAACGTGGTAAATATGCTTGATAATTAGGAGACACATCTTTGCCGTTCTGTCTCAACATTAACCCCGATTCTCGTCAGGGAATGCCTGAAACCACGTGATCCACCTTTGTCTGTCTCTCCTACCTAGAGACCTCCTACGAGCCCGTGGCATCTTTGCAATCAAAACCAATTTTAGTCAATTCAACTTATCAACCGATTCCTCTATCGCGTCGGTATCCCCCTTCAGCCGCCTCCGCCTCTCGAGCTCCGCCACGCCCGTAATGAAGAACTCCTCAAACTGCCCGTCGCTCAGGTCCAGCCTACGCAGCTCGAACCGGCCCTCGAAGCGGCGCGTATTATCGAGCCTGGCGTCGCGCGGCACGAACCGCGCGACAATGCCGGGCTGCCGTCCTCTTCGCCATCAAACAGGAACAGCTCCTCGTTGACGACGGTTCACAGCAGTGAAGTGCCGCTGGTGGTGTTCCTCGCCAGCCCCGTCTGGCTGTTGATCTCCTTGAAGCGGTACTTGTGCGGCCCAAAGGCGACATCGGTTTTTTCCGTCAAAAAGTTGTGGAACTTGGCTCCGTCCAGCTGCTCGCCGTCCGGGCCGCCGCGGTGCACCGCCAAGGACGGCGACAGGTCAAGCGTGGAGGAAGGGTACTTGGCTGTCAGCAGGAACCGGGACCTGTCGGGCGATAGCAGGGCCATTTCTTCGGGCCCGTCAGGACGAAGGGCTAGCCGACGGTTTTCGGCGCGGCGGGGTATGTTGTCGAGGGTAGCGGCTGCCGGGGGTAATGGTTTGTTGTTGGGTCGGATGGGGAAGACACGGTTGCGGCGGCTCGTGATTAGGGATGTTTTCGAGTCTGGGAAGAAGCATCGTGAGAACTGGGGAACGGTGGCGTTATATAGACATTAACCCACCCACAACCCAAAAGACCCCCCTTCATCCACAAGACGTCTCCGCACAACAAACATCACTCGGCATGTTACGCCTGTTCTCGGCACCTGTAATTCATCAAACGTTCAGGTAAGAGCCTCACCCGGCTAGCTCAATCGGTAGAGCGTGAGACTCTTAATCTCAAGGTTGTGGGACCCCCACGTCAGGCTCAATTCCCGTCGTTTCTTCCCTTGTTCAGATGAACAGAGTTGGGATCTTCTCTTTTTGCTAGCACTGCAATGGTACTAGCAGCAGGGCGTTTCGACAATTTTTAGCGCCCGGTAACAGTGAGTTTCTTTTTATTCTTCTAGCCTCTTTCGGCTTCTGCAAGTGGTTAGTCAGCTTAAACCTTCCCTGTCGCCCGACCTTCAGTGGTTCCGCTAGTGACTTTCAGCGATGCCTTGCCTTTCAGCGATGCCTTGACTTTCAGCGATGCCTAACGCTAATTTGAAGTTGCCCAACTACTTTTCCCGACCAATTCAAACTCATCGCGGCTTACGACGCCAATATGTCTGAACAGCATTGTCCGGCGCCGCGCAAGCTGTTTATACAGATGTCAGGAGCGCCGGGGTCCGGGAAAAGCACGACTTCCAAGCTCGTGGGGAAATCAATTGACGGCGTCGTCATCGACCACGACATCCTCAAATCGTCGCTCCTCGAAGACGGCATCCTCTCCTTCGACCAAGCCGCAAAAGCCGCCTACCGTATCGACTGGGCCCTCGCAGACACACTCATGGAGCAAGGGCGGAGCGTTGTGCTCGACTGTCCGTGCAACTACCAAACCGTCATCGACAGCGGAACAGCCCTTGCTCGCAAACACGGCTTCACCTACTGGTACGTCGAGTGCAAGGTCAACGATATTGATCTTCTCAACGCGAGGTTGCAGCAGAGAGTCCCGATGAGGAGCCAGCGGACCGAGGTCGATTCGCTCCCGCCAGACGCTGCTGCCGGCACTCAGGACGCTCGTGAACTCTTCCGCAGGTGGATCGACAGCCCCTACAGCCCCGTTGACAATGTCATTGTCGTCGATTCATCTGGCGTCTTAAGCCGCGAGCAGTGCCGAGATGCGATTCTCCGACACATTCAATTTGCCAGCGGCCAACAAGACCAGCATACGATGAAGACGCCCTTGAGACAGTTGGGGCTAGAGTGAGAACGAGTGAGAACGTCGCCACTGTGGGCACGGTTGTGGACAGTTTAGAATGGGGACGGGACTTGTGAACCTTGAGAATACTCATCTCAAAAGCTTCACGGGCATGTCAACCCGTGAGATGCACATGGTTTAGATTTGCTCAACAAAACTCAGTGCCGAGAGGGAAAATTAAAAAGGGTACATGATGGATCCAACGAGGTCTGGGACGAAAAACCGGAGGAAGAGCCTCATACCCGTCCTTGGCGCTCCCGACAAGCGGCCAGCGGCTGGAAAGTGAGCAACAGCGAGGGTGAAAGGGGGGATGGGATAGTCACCTGGGCCTCTGCGATCGCGGCGAGGACGACTATCAACGCCCGAAGATGTGTCAACTACTATCATCTTCACTGCAGCAACCTAGCTGTGGTGCTGTGCCGAGCTGGTGAAACCACCACCTTGAATCAAAATTTCACTGTGCCTGATTGAGGGATTCTAGGCGAGATGATGACCCGAGCTCAATATTGTTTCGATTATATTGTTTGCCGTCTAGCCCGCCGGTGCGACTGACCCTTCTACGCCTCAAAATATGGCCCAGCATAATCAAAATCAGCTCTTGGTGCGAGAAGAGTCTCAAGAGTCACACCCGATTTGCTTATTGTCATCATATGGTTGCCTCTTGACTGTGTCAGACTCGCCGCGGCCCTGGAGCATGAGGCTCTCCCCGATTCGTGATGTGTATAGGTAGTCTTGGAAAAAGTCCTCAAATGGAATACCAAAAAAGTATCTAACCAGACGCCCTTCCAAAATATTGAATTGTACCTTTACTTTTGATCGACTTTCAAACCCCCTACACGGACATCGCCTCCACTTCCAAGAGCGGCGGCGCTTCCTCTTCAAAAGGCGACGGACACGTTTCTAATGATCCGAGCATTAGTTTCCGGGCAGGGGATGACTCCAGCGGCTTGAGCTTTCGTTTTAGCACGTTAAAAACCGCCCCCATTCTCACCTCTACCCTGTGGGTAAAGGTTGAGAAATAGCACCTCCTGCGTTCGCATTTACTTCCTCATTCCCCTTCTGGTCGAGGGGCTGGCTGAGTTGATAAAGTTACCCTTTGCTTTTATTATAGTTCCCCATCCTTGTTGGTCAGGGGGATAAGATAGTTAGCTGTCTCTAGGGGGTTCGCCTAGTTCTCCTCCCCCTCGTGGATAGCGGCTGGTTGAGATGTCTTGTGACCTGCAGAGTCCCTTCTGGTAAGGGCACTGATGGCATCGATAGAACAGCCGCAATAGCTAGACTTTGCAGTTACTTACCCACGTCCGCTGCAAAGTGATGTCTTGCAATGTGTTGATGGTTTAGGCAAAGTGATAATAGACTTATCAGCAGCGTTCAAGTGATTAGACATGTTTCCGCCAAGTCTTCCCCCCTTCTACTTCAGTGGGTTGATGAATATCACTCTTTAGCTTGTTTGCTGCTGCACAAACACCCCCATTCTGGCTAATGGGGATGGCCGAAACACCAATTTCAGTCTCCCCGTCCATCACCTCGTTCCCGTTCTAGTTAGGGGGCTGGCTGAGTTGATGAATTACTCCTTGATTTTGTCTAGTTGGCCAATCCTGCTAGTCAGGGATTAGACAGCTGCCTGTCTCTGGGGCTTCGTTTTGCGCATTTCCTATCCCTCGTCTGGCAAGGGATGGATACAATTTTGTTTATACTGTTACGTCAAGTCACGGATAACTCCCTTCTGGTTAAGGGGTTGATAGATAGCACAATGCAATAGCTGGACTTTGCAACCACACTGCCGATTCATGAAGTGGCGACGCGCGATAATATGGGTTAGAACTAGGCCACGTTCTGGATACTACCTCATTCGCCGAATGTCAACACCCTCATCATTCCTTGTCCTTCGTGGCCTCCACCGAAGTCTCCAGCAACTATGCTAGGTCATGACCGCCTTCGCCACTCGACTCCCAGAGGAGCTGCGCGTGCTCGCAGGACCGGAAATATTCCAAAAACCCCGCCTGCGAGAATATCTTCTCGCCAGCCTTGCGTTCGCACTTCTCGAGATTGTCGCCGACGAATTCCTGTTCAAAAAAGCGCGCTGGCACCCAGCACACGACATGCCGCGCTCGGCCGTGCCGGCGTGCGTAGTAGTACGGCAGCGCGCAGGCGCCCATGAAGTTGTGCCGCCTACCCGTGTGCGCGTACTCCCCACGTGGCGCAGATATGCGTGTGGTCGCTAGAGGGAGTCCGCGGGCTTGCACGCCGGCAGGGCGTGGAAGAAGGACACCGGCGTGCGGCGGGACTTTTGCGCAAGCTCGGCCAATTGGGCAGGGCCTCGAACGGCCTCAAAAGGGGCCAGCCCAGCTCGGGCGGGAATTACGGGGTGGCTAAGGTGTAGAAACGACTCTCCTTGCTTCGACAAAGCAGCACCTGAGCCTCCGTGCCTAGCTGCATGCATCTGTAGCAGCAGCGAGTCCACGTCGGCAGGGACATGAAACCTCCGAATTGTCCACACGGCGCGCAGTTCTCGGTGCACAGCTCCTGGTAGAGATCTGGCAGCGAGACGGTGTCGGCGGTTTTGTTCGCAACAGGGCGCACACGAGGTTCAGGCCGTGCGTGATGACCATCCAACACTAATTGAGAGAGTCAACTGCTTGCCTCGACCTGAGATTTGTCTGTCGGAGCTTGAAGAGAGAGTCCAAGTCGAGGCGCAGGAAAACGTTGTGTAGGAGCTCCAGGGGCATCGAGCCGAGGAAGCCGAGTAAAATCCCGGGGTTGGACGTCCGCGGGAACGACGTTTCCAGTGACTGGCGAACGCCATCCTGCTCGCTGGCCGGGGACCAGATTACGGAGCGGTCAGTTGCTGCCTCGTGGTACCTGGCGACTCGAGCAATGGCGTTGGCCTGTTCGTCGCGAAATTGGTACAAGGTGGCAGACCCAATCCAACGGGGTGTGCAATGGGCTAGTATTGGCATTTTTGATGCTCAATCAATTATCAGCACTCTGAGTACATCAGCACCTACGAGTAATCAGCATCTGAGTACCTGAATTAGAGGAGGTGCGTGTCTCAAGATGCGTTGCTTAGGCGGGAGTGACAGTTTCAGCTACGGCGCACTGGGTCGCCTGTGCACGTCATGTCGTCCGTCGTGATGCGTTTCTTCGCGGGCCGCTGACAGGCCGAGAGGCCCGCGTCCCATTGCGTTTGCAAGAGCCGTTTCACTCCTCTCCAGGAGACCCACTCGCGTGCGCCATGTACCCACTTTAAAAAGTACTGCCAGGCGGTCAAGTTTTCACAGTCGTGCACGGACCAACTAATTCTACATAAATATGTTCGCTCCCTCCCGCATTCTGCAAACTCTTCCTTCTTTCTTTCCTTAGCTCTCTTTACCTTTTGGCTTAGATCAAGTGTAGTATCTGTTTTTTCAGTTTAATCTCTGAAACTACTCTACGGAGTAGAATCTTGATTATCCTAATTTTTGTCTCTCGGTCGGCCGCCCGCTGGGCTTGCCTATAGCGTCCTTCCACTGTGTCCCTAGTATAACACTGCCTCCAGGTGATGCGACCTTTTTTCATTGCAGTCTCGGGCTCTGGCTCGGGATGTGAAGAAGATTTTTTTATTTCTCGTATCATGATTCATTCAAATCCGTTCTGCCTTGGTCGCTCCATTTGACCCGAGAAAGAAAATTACGCGCAATTGATGGCAGTCAGCCTCGCCCAGTCGCCTCGCCCAGTCTCCTCATAGCTTTGGAGTCATTTGGGGCTCAGTGCCCCGATAGGCGTTGGTTCTCTGCCCCGGGGGTGAATCCTGCATGGTGAGATGGGCAAGGCGGCCCGGCAGCCTTCCCGGTGGAGTCGTAGCTTCCTGAAATATGTTATGGACTGGCTTCCAGCGCCAGCGTGCCTTCCAGTGCCAGCGTGCCTTCCGCCGCTCCAAGCAGCTGCGTTCGGTGCGGCATTCCTCGGCGACCCCGCATTACTGGGCTGGTACAGTAGGGGACAGTTCACTGGGCTGGTACAGTAGGGGACAGTTCAATGGGCTGGTACAGTAGGCGACAGTTCCACACGTTTAGGAATCCAAGCACGACGGTTGGTACTGCTCACAGCTGCGGGGCAAGGAGATTTCGGTGGCATATTGGCAAAGTTTTGGTCGTCACCAAGATTAGAACCACTCGTTTTTTCTGCTTCATAACTTCTCTAGCTACGTGCTAATTGATTAAGTCGAGGCGCGAGCCTCCCCGGGAACCTCATTGACCTCGACAAGTTTGAAGCCACGACCTGGACCGTGCCGAGGTAAGATCGGTACCAGTGACCTGAGCTTGACTAACCAAACTACCACACAGTCACACGAGATCAAAATTACTTAAAGCAGTAGACTCGTCGGCAAATCCCTCTCCATTCATCATGCCGTGGACAAACGCCTCGCCCACCAGCGCATACGAAATTACCTGCTCCTTCCTCTTCTTCCGATACTCCCTCAGGATATACGCCGTCCGCCCACCACGGAACAGTACCACACTGTCGCCGGACTTGGTCGACATGGGGCCGAACCCGACGTAGCCTCGCTTGGTCGTGAACAGCCGCCGCCCGTTGGCAGCCGGCTTGATACTTAGGTTATACCGGGCGGCCAGGTCTGCGCTGGCCTGGGTGGACGCGTGGCCGGCCTTGTCCCTCTTGGACTCTTCCAGAAGTGCCAGGTGCCGTTCCCTGAAGGCGACGTACAAACGCGGTGGCACTGGTGCTGTCGTCTGGGGTCCCACTCGAGAAGGGTCTGCGGCTGAATCGGTCCCAGCGACAAGGGCGCGCTGCAGCACGTCTTCAATCTCTTCTCCCGTGGGATACGTCCCGAGCGAGCGCACCATGCGTTCCCACGCCGCAAACTGCCGCCGCGTGTCCTTGCCGCACAGGTGTCTGAGGATGGACGACTCCTCGAAGCGGTCGTACGAGAGGCGCCGGCTCATGAGGTGGCGGTCTCCGACGGCAGCTACGCGGTCTAGGAGGGCTCCGCGGACCGTGAGCGTGTTTCCGTCTGGCGAGAACCGCACAACGGCGCGCGACATAGTAGCAGTGCCGCACGCGTGGAAAACGTGTGCGATGCTGCGGAACAGGTACGGGTCCGCCGCCAGATCGGTCGCCCAGTCCGGGACCCACGACGGCAGGTTGGGCGTGCGGCGCCAGGACGAGTCGCCGACCAGGCTGAGGACGTCCAGCGACCCCTGGCCCTGCAGCAGCATCCTCGCGACCTCGCAGTATGTCTGCTGGACGGGGGCCGAGTAGTTTGGCACGACGCCGTGGTCTGCCGGTGCCAGTCCTAAGAGGCCATAGATCTTGTCGGCCGGGTTGGTGGCGAACCTGTCGCGGAAGGTGGACAACAGCCACAGCAGGTCGCGCGGCTGGCCGGAATGGGCCAACTTTGCGGCCTGCTGCAGCTGCACGGCGGGCATGAGGTCCAGGTCGACCCACAGGGCGTGGTACTGCAGGCGGATGAAGTCGGCCGCGCCGACAAATTCGTGCCACGGCATGCTATCGCCGCCGCAGTAGACGGCGGACGACCGCGCCAGGGCCACCTCTTGGATGATCCACACGCGCGTGAACCACGGCCGCCAGAAGAGCAGTCCCACGGCCTTCCAGTCCGGACCCGAGTCGTCGGGAAGTCCGCGCCGGGCCAGCTCGGCTTTGGTAAGGAGCCGGTCTCGGTCAGCAGCGGCCGTGGCCTGGGCAGCGGCGTGGATCTGGCGCAGCAGCCGAAAGGCGGCCTGGCTGTTGGGGGTCGACGAGCCCAACCAGACGGCCACGGACTGCGCGGCCCGGTATATGTCGCCCATCAGCAGCACCTGGGCCTCGCGCTCGGCCATGTCGTTCTGGTTGATGCACAGCGCGTCGGCCCACACCACGCGCGTCTGCTCGGGGTCCCGTAGCCGGCAGAGCGCCTTGGCTAGGTTTTTGGTCGCGCCAATGGCCTTGCCGTCGCACAGAAGCCCGCACCGATCGTTGGGGTCTCCCCACGTGTACGAGAGGGCCTCGTACTCGGGCTGGGCGTCGAGAGAGTGCGTAACGAGCGAGCACTGGATCAGGTCGGTACTGGCGCCGGGGTGGAGATGCAGCACGCGCACCTGCCTCGGCTCGAGCGGCTCGTAGCAGTACCGCTCGTAGACGGGCCTTGGCCGGCCTGGCCACGACTTGATAATGCCGTCTACGAGTCCCATCGTGGATGCGGGCGCTTCTCCAAGCTGGAGTCTTGGCAGTGTGTGCTGGTCAAGGGAAGGCTCTCGGTGGATCAGCTGTTGTCTCCAATTCCGCTTTCCACTTTGGGTGTTGCTCTTCTTGGCTATTAGCCCCCACATTTGTTGTTAGCCTAATGCATGATGGCTCCTCAAGGCTCTACGTCAAGATCTTATCTTGACACATCTGCGCAAGTGAATACCAAGGGACGTCACTACATAAGAACGGAATGGTTTTTATCTGGCATCTGATGAGGAACACAAATTACGATACCATGCCCCACCCCCCAACGGATCACCCTAGCAGTGGATCCCCTTTTACACCAAAACACTACATCTTTGAACAACAACAGCGCACTCAGTTGTGAAGCTATTTACAAGCCAAATATGCCAAAATGTAGCTAATTGACTTCTTGACCCATAAACTGTGCTGATACACGAAGTTCACAGCCAGATCTTGTCAGTCTTGCAAGCAACTCTTCTTCTTCAGCTTCTTCTTTAGCCTCTTCTTCAGCCTCATCTTTACCATCCGCCTCTTCAATTTGAGGCTCTGCTTGAGGCTCTGTAGAAACCTCGCCGCCCATTAGTATAGCCCCTAGGTCTATGGACTGCTTGTTAGGATTGGGAATTTTCCTTCGTTTTGGGGCCTAATACGCTCCAGTTGAGCCTCCAGGGCTTCAATGCGGTGTTGCTCAAGTACCAATTCGGTCTGTAGCTTCTCAACGGCTGCCGCGGCTTTCTGGAACTTTCATCTAGTGTGGGGACTGCTTCCTTTGCTAAAATCCCTAATCTGACGCCCTGTAGTCGGTGTTCTAGGGACTCCAGAGAGGACAGGTGGTTCAGGGGTCTTCGCCCTGTCTTGCTAAATCTCTGGGTGGCTCAGGGCTTTTTGCCTATTAATAGGCCAATTTCCGGTCCCCCGGAATGATGATTTGATGGTTCTTCCTATCAATGCTTCCTCCCTGACTACCTTGTAGCAGCGAATGAAGTTGATCTTGTCAACAGGTGCTGCGTCGGTTAGACTAGCTAACTTGGCTAGATCACGTCAATAGAGAGCTTTGATAGATTTGAAAGACCCGTTATCAAGTGGCTGTAAGCCGTGAGAGGTGTGGGCCGGCAGGAAGCAAAGATATATATTATTCAGGCCGCATATCGTCAAGAAGTCGTCATATATACATATATATAGATTGTGAGATTACTGGATCAAAGAGCGTACGGGACTTATCTCTTACAGTTATGTAGCTTCCGTGGCCATCAAGAATAATCAGCCGAGCCTCATTTTTGTAGCCCAGGAGCTTGTCGGTTTGTGGAATTAAAATATCCTCAAGTGTAGGGAAACCACCCTCGTAGCCACCATGGCCACCGCCACCAGGGCCACCCTCGCCACCATCGCCACTATCGCCACCGCTAACAGGGCCACGCACTATCGCCACTACCACCCTGGCCACGCAAGGATGACTCGTAACCCCTTTCACGTGTATATAGACCATGGCCTCCGCACACCTCTTTAGCTCAGGCCAGGTTGAAGTCTTACGCCAATACCAGTCATTGCTCGCCCTACTTGTTGCTCCTATTGTGACCACCTTGATTAGGCGTACCTACCTTCTCTTACATCAAGCTAGCTAATTGTCACGGCAAGTGCTAAGGCAGCTGGCTGGCAAGTGCCAAGACAACCGGCTGGTAATTGGGGTGCGAGGTGGGGTACTGGCCTGTGCGGCGTCCCAGCACGTGACCCACAGACCAACCCTACTGCTTTGAGCCCCGCACAGAATTTGGAACTTCTTTCTTTTTTCTTTTCCTTAGCTTTAGATTCTATGAATACAGCGAACTTAATGCAGCCTTGCCTTATCTAGTTGACTGTGCGGTGACACTAATCGCTATTTGGCTGCTAGTCCAGCCCTTTTCTGTAGTAGTGAAGCGCCCGTTGCATATTTTCTGCATTTCCTCTTCAAACTACGATGTTTTAAGGTCTTTTATTTTCAAAATAATGCCCGGGTCGAGTACGAAGCCCCCGGCACTGATGCATTCAATGATGGTGGACTAGCCTCGACCTTGGTCGCTTGTGAGGTAGGCTTTCTTCGTCTCTGATGTCCCTAGGACCAATGAATCAAGCCCTATGTAGTATAAGTAATAGATAATATAACTAGTCATTATTTACTTACCAAAGCCCGCCATAATGCCGGCCTTTTAGACGTTGAAGGTAAGCTCAGGCCTGATCCAGTTGTATTCTTTCTCCCTTATATTGAAGCACCAGTTGACGGCTTTGGGAGTAAACCCGTTAAAACGAGCGGCTTCCATTCCCTTGCCTACTTTGGCTCGAATGTCGGGGTTTCTAGCTTTGAAGCTAGAAATCCAGTTTTTCCCTACAGGGTCTTTTTGCCCCGCCTCTTTATCGAGTCTTGTAGCAATGCTAGGTACTACTGAGTAACTCGGAGCAAAGCCGAGTCTTTCCTCCTTGATGATGCACTTAATGAGCCGCTTTTCTTGAGGCTCTGTGAGCCTGCGTTGTGTTTGGAGGACGTCGTCTTTGGGGGGGGACTCCATTGATTCGTCGGTTCAACGTTGTATAAGAAACTCCATGCTTTTGAGCCGATTGACGAATAGAAAGCTTATTGTCTGTGACATCTAGGTATGCATTGACCATACTATTGTCACTTTGTTTAGACATTATGATAATACAAGACGCAATTCACACTCAGAGGTTGGGGGAGAAAAATGTTGGAAAGCGAATTTGGAGTTAATTTGGAGTTAGTTTGCGATTATGTAGCGAAAGAAGTACGACTTTTGGGCTGACAAATCTATACCAAGAATAAATTACATAAAATTACATATCTAGCTCAGTTGTATACTTGCGAATAGCTTCACAATTGACTACGTTATTGTTGTTCAAAAAGGGAGTGTTTTGGTGTAAAAGGGTGATCCACTGCTAGGGTGATCCGTTGGGGGGTGGGGTATGGTAACCAATCTAATTACGCCTCAACAAGACACTTGGAAAACTTGACCGTGGTCTTAGTCTCGAACTCGTCCAGCGTCTTGGGGTCGCGGTCCGCCGTCTTCATGAGGACCTCTGAGCAGTGCCGCGTGTGGTGGTATCCCGCACTATTATCATCGATATACAGGCCGCCGCCACCGCGCAGATACCCGCGGTGCTGCTTCTGCCAGGCGAAGGCGCAGTGCACAGCGTGCTCGCGCGCGCTCGTGTAGTACTTGCCCGGGGCGGTGCGCTCCGACATGGTCTCGAGGTCGAGCACCTCCCTCCCGTCTGGGTCGTTGTACCCGTGCCAGTTGACCGCCTTCTGGTACGCCTCGGTCGTCTCGCGGTCGAAGCACGGCGCCGGCACCCACATGAACGCCAGCACGTCGAACGTGCACCCCAGCGCCCGGGCCTCGGCCGTCGAGTTGCCGCAGTGCAGCGTCTTGGTGCCAGTTTCGGGGGTATTGGTGATGGTGGTGCTGGGGACTGGTATCACGTCGCTCTGGAACGAGAAGAACAGCCACCAGAAGACCGACGTGACGATGAAGGTGAGCAGGACCGCCCGCCGCCGGGGTTCGCGGCTGGAGAGTGTTCTCGGCGGCATTGCGTGGGCGTTGGCCTCTTCTAGATTTCGGCTCCCTGGTTTGGCCTAGTTAGCAGTTGCAACTCTTCTACCGAGGAGCGAGGAGTGACTTGCCATCCTTTGGATCGTGCATGCTGCTCGTCAGGGTTGAACAGGTGTAGCGGTATTACGGCGCCGGAGAGATTTCAGTCTAAAGCATCAGTCTGACTGTGAGGAACTGCCACCGAAACGGCAGAGACAGACAGCGGCGCCCAAGTGAAGGGGAATCAAATTGTGGCTCTGCCGTATATAGCAGTAGATCTTATCTTGGAACAAAGACTGTCATGATGCGACCGCTCGTAAGAACCACGGCTGGAGAAGCCGCACCTCCCTCCTCGACAACCAAGCTGACGGTGCCTAGACTCAAATGACGAATCAGACTTGAAGCTCCTGACCTGGTGACGTGATCTGACTGATGTCCGTAAAGGGAAACAATAGAATGCGGGGTTCCTGCCCTGAACTAAGGGGGGCCGAGATCTAGACCTCGAGACAAAGGAGTAGCAGAGCGAGGCTAGTCAGGTCTGATTGGCACTAGACTAGACCAAGATCCCCGAGGTTCGGGGGCTAATTGCCTTGGCTTGGTGGTAGTATGAAATAAGTACCAGTGCTGGAATGTGAAACAAGTACCAGTGCTGGAATATTGGCAAGGGGGTCATGGTAGGAAGCAGTGGATATCGTTATTAATTAGAATTCGCACCTTGACTGACTCCCTACGGGCAATCCGAGCCTAAACCACATAAACCTTGTCTCTCGCCACAATAAACCGTTTGGCTCAAGTCATAGTCTTGTTTTTGCTAAAGCCCCTGAGTTTTGACGCTTCCGGCCTGCAACTAGAACTCTATTGCCACCTAGCCTCTCTTCAAAACAACCCCAACGCCGTCCGGGGACCTCCCTGTCATTTACCTTTGTTCGCCTCGCAGGTGTGACCCGGTTTGGGGCCTATAGAGGGGACAAGATGCTTTCACGCCTGGCCATCATTTCTGCCACACACGTCGAGGGCGCAGTTCCAAGACTCTTGGTAGTCTGGCGAGATCTGCTTCTGGCAGGCCACGGCTAGGGCGCACCCGCTCTCCTCCCCACGTGCCCACTAACGTTGCTCGTGCTAGCTCGGTTGTTTAAGGGAGCGGGGTGGGTGGTTGGATCGTATTTCTTTCTCGTCATAATTAGTTGTAATATAATGGGCGGACGCACTTGAGTTTCTCCAGGAAACACGTGGCCGCCATCTCCTTGCCTGACTGCAACAGCAGCCGCCACGTCTAGCACCGTCGTGCGTATGTATGTGCGGCGTTGTGTTGTCTCTGAACAGTCTCAATAGTTGATTCAGCAATCATGGGCAAGCTGTTACTACGCTGCGCCCTCGCCCAGTTTCTGCTCCTTTCCGCCACCGCTGCAGCAGCCGAGCCGTCCCAGTACTGCAACTTCGGGCTCGAGCAAGCCGGGCAGCCCGCGGCAAACGACTTTTGCATGGCCGTGAGCGCGTTCCGCAACCAGTCCACCACCACCACCACCGCCGACACCGCCAACAACACCACCACCGCCGCCGACACCAGCTCGCACGACCTATATATCACGCTGCACGTCTACCGCCCCCAGCAGAGCGAGGCTCTTGGCTGGGCGGCCATCGGGATTGGCTCCGGCATGGTGCAGGCGCTCATGCTCATCGTCTACGGCGACCCGCACAGCAGCTCCACGAAAAAGCCGGTGCTGAGCGTGCGGCGGTCGACGGGCCACCGCGAGCCCGCGCTATACGACGCCGCGGCCAATGAGGGTCGGATGCAAGTCTCGGTGCTCGACGCGTCGTGGAACTTGTCCTCTTCACCCGCCACCGCGCGCTTGTCGTTCGTGTGCTACGCGTGCGACTCCGGGCTGGCGCCGGACCTCGACCCGCTGCTGTCAGCCTCGGGAAGCGCCGAGCCATGGGTCTGGGCCCGCAACGCCGAGCAGCACTTTGACGAGGACGCCCCCGCCACCGACGCCAGCGCACTCAAGTTCCACACCTCTACCCGCGGCTGGGGCAGGTTCTATGTCGACGTGGCGCGGACCGTCGTGCTGGACGAGACTCTTCCGCCGTCTGCGCCCGCAATCAAGGCCGGCGTCGGCATGGTTGGTGCGTCTGAGACGAAGGCAGGGGAGGCGTCGCCGTTTGAAGGCAGAGGCCGGGCTGGGTCTTCGGCTTCGTCGTCGTCGTACCACGTCCAGGCCGCGCAGCACGGCTTCTTCATGGCGCTGGCCTTTCTGCTGCTCCTGCCGTCGGGCGTGCTAGCCATCATGGCGTCGGGCCACGCCAGCGCGTTCCGCCACCACTGGATGGTGCAGGTCGCGGGCATGGTGTGCGTCTCCGTCGGCTTGGTTCTGGGACTTCTGTTGAGGGGGGCCGATCTGGACTCGACGCACCAGAAGCTCGGCTCGGCCACGATCGTCTCCGTCGGCGTGCAGGGCGGGTTGGGTGTGTGGCACCATGTGCAGTACCTTCGATCGCTGCGGCCGACGTGGATGGTGCGCGTCCATGTCTGCCTGGGTCGAGTCGTGCTGCTGGCTGGCTACGGGGCCGTGCTGACGGGCTTGCTTCTCCACGGCTCGCCGCTCTTCTTGTACGTTGTCACTGGCGTCATTGTGGCGGCTGAGGCGGGCTGCATGGTCGGGACGGTGTTGTGGCGGGCTTGTCGTCGTCGAAAGGCGGGTTGGGCGTCTGCAGAGGAGTCTTGGAAGCAGACGGATGCGTACCTTCCCCTCAAGAATGAGGCCGAGTAACCAAGACTGCGTCGATGATTTACAGTTAGTGTAACCATTAGTTGTAGAGCTAGTATTGGAGCTAGTATTGGAGGTAGTCTCTGCAAGATTTAGGTAGTTTGAAATATTCACCTTTAAAAGTTCACGCCGTGCTTCATTCACGCCAAGTCCAGATAAATGCTGCTGTTCTGTGTTCCTAAGAATGATGTCGCATAGGGTTGGAGTAAGAGCATGAGGAAGAGGGGAAACACGGCCCGTTAGCTGCACAGCCACAACCGGCAGGCTTCCAGCGAGAAATTCAACTTCTTCACAGTGAAATTAGCATATGTGGTTCCGTCCACCCTCGCCCGGCCCGCAGCCTTTTTTTTCTCGCACAGATGTTCATCGCATCGCGCTTTGAAAACCTCTTGATCTCTAACTTCACAACCACAGAAACTCGCAGTCTCATTTGATTCCGCAAGCACACATCACCCACCCTCGGCACTCCTTTATAAAGCAGCACGCAATGTGGCCCCCGGCAGCCAGTCCGGGGCCCAAGTGGCTTGAGCGCCAGCTCTGCCGCCCCCAGCACGGCTCGGCGCCTTTTGCGGGCATCTATCGGAGAACGCGCAGCTCGACGCCGTTCTCCAGCTTCTCTTTGTCTTTGGCCTGGCGGTTTGGCTTCTCCTCGGCGCCCCTATCCGCATCTTCCAGCTCTACGGAGCCAAGCTCGTCGTGCTCCCCAACCGCCGCGGATATTTCAAGATCGCCGGAACAGTCACCCTCTTTGCCCTGCAGCTTGCTTCCCTCGTCTTCGGCATCCTGAACCACGCCCACTGGGGTCTGCTAGCATCGCGAGTTCTGTCTTTTGTCGCCGCTTTCGCCGTCTGCGTTCTCTCGTTCCTCGAACACGGCCGAAATGTCGTCCCTTCCACCCTGTTGACCATCTACTTCGTCCTCGCTATTTTCAGCGACGCGATCTAGGCTGGTCTCCTCTACGTGGCCTGGAACCTATGCCACCCCTGGGGCCTTCCGTCTGTCATCTTCGCTGCGAGAGCTTTGGTCCTCGTCCTCGAGGGCCCGGTCAAGACCGACATCCTCCGCGAGCCTTACGACAAGCTGTCACCCGAGGAAACGGCGGGCTTCTTCGGCGTCGTCTTCTGGTGGGTGAACAAGATTCTCAAGAAGGGATAATCCACCGTACTGTCTCTCGAGGATATGCCGCCGCCTGGCCAGTCTCTCAACATCATGGAAACACGCGAGGCTATGCAGCAGGAATGGGATAAGAGAATTAAGCCTACCTAGTTGATACTCGGGTCTCTGCTGTTAGATTTTGAAAACACACGTACTAACCAACTCCCAGAGAAGCCAGAAAGCCAAATCTCCCTCATGTTGGCGCAATTAAAGTGTCTGTGGCGCGTGAATATCTACATATTGCCGTCCCGTTTCATCACCACCCTTCTGCGTTGCAGCCAGCCTTTTCTCATCAGTCGGACCATAACTTTCGTCAGCACAGAGCTGCCGCCGTTTGAAAACAGGAACGAAGCTTTCCGCCAGAGGGCATGGAATATGGCCACACAGATGCGTATCTCATCGACCAAAGGCACGCTCGACTCCATGAAAAACATCAAGATGATGGGTCTTGTCGACAAGATGGAGGCCAAGATTCAATCCGTCAGGGACGACGAAATCAGCAAGTTTATCAGGTTCTACCGGCTTTTAGTGGCCTTCTTTGTCAGCTGTGAGTGGCTTCTGGGGACCCCTCTTAGACCGATAGAGCGCATGAACTGACTCCGCGTAGCTATAGCTTTGGCTCAATTCACCCCTGCTATCACTCTAGTCGTCTACGCCATCCAAGCACAACTTCGCGGCGAGAGGTCTATCGATGTCAACATGGCCTTCACCTCGCTCGCCATCATAGAACTGGTCACCTCGCCAACGAACGAGCTCCTCAGCATCTTGCCCGAAGGTGCCTCTATCCTCGTAGCGTTCGGCCGCATCCAAACGTACCTTCTCGGCCCCAGCAGAGAGGACAAGCGGGCCCTCTTTAATGAAATGCGATACATACGCAGCGGGATTAACTACCCTGAGGGTATCACGCTTGCCGGCCTTGAGAGCCGTACTGTAATCGGTATTGACTAGATTACCGTCCGTTCGGTGTCGACTGCTAGTCCTGTTCTGAATAATATCGTGACGGTTTGGGGCAAGGGGAAGCTGGTTGTTGTCTGTGGGGTTGTGGGCTCTGGAAAGACGACGCTCGTGAAGGCCCTGTTGGGTGATTTGCCCCTGGACTCGGGCGTCATACACACAGCATTCAGGTCGACAGCCTATTGCTCTCAGACGGCCTGGTTGATCAACGGCACCATTAAGGAAGCTATACGCGGTCCGCCTGGCGACGATAGTGCAGCCGATGATAGTGCAGCCGACGAGGAATGGTACAGAAGAGTCACCTACGCGTGTGATCTTGTAGAGGACTTCGAGCAGATGCCGAGCGGGGACGATACTATTATTGGTAGCCGTGGCATCATCTTGTCGGGTGGGCAAAAGCAGCGAGTGGTGAGTTGCGGTACCCGAGTTTTTTTCTTGCCACTTCATTAGCCTCCGTATTGCTAACCTCGGCTCCGACACAGGCTCTCGCTCGGGCTGTATACGCCCGCCGGGACTTCATCATTCTTGACGATGTTCTGTCTGCACTCGACGCAACCACCGAACGGCATATTGTTATCAATCTCCTCAGCCCAAAGGGCCTGTTCAAGGAGCTCAGTACCACTGTTCTGCTCATCACTCATGCAAGTAAGTGCCACAGACACTCGACCTCTCTGCACCACACAGGCTGACGATAACATTTTAATAGCCCAGCACTTGCCTCTAGCCGACCTCATCATCGTTCTCGACACTAGCGGCAAGATTTTGGAGCAGGGGACCTGGGAAGAACTCCGAGCCCACGGCGGCTATGTCAGCAAGGTCGTGTTGAAAGAGAAGGAAGGAGGCGAAAACAAACCGCACGATCGTGCCGAGGCCAGGGACAAGATCCAGCTCGCTCCAGAGCAGCCAGACTCCAAAATGCAGGACATGACTCGAACCACGGGCGATGTCAAGCTCTACGGTACGCTCCTATCATGTCCCTCCTACCATGTTCCCCAAAGTCCTTGACTGCTGAACAAGCAGCTGACGAATTACAGGCTACTACTTTAGTGCCATCGGACTCGCGCGCCTCTCTGTCCTCCTGTGCTCCCTGATGAGCTACGCCGTCTTGTTTGCGTTGGTCCCGTACTGGCTCAAGTGGTTGACGGAGGCTGAGGGTGACCACATGTGATTCTACACGAGCATCTACTTTGCCCTGTCGCTGGCGGCTTTCTTGTGCCTCTCCACGTCCGTCGGGTCCATCTTCTTGTCCATCGCTCCGCATGGGGCCAAAACGCTCCACTCCCGGCTCCTGCACACAGTCATGCACGCTCCACAGTCGTACTTTGCGAAGACGGACACGGGCACGACCCTCAACCGCTTCAGCACCGACATGATGATGCTCAACCGCCGGTTGCCGCTTTCGCTTTTCCAAGTCTGCCAGGCCCTTTTCCGCATCCTGTCGCAGTGCATACTGCTGGCCGTCGTGCAACCGCTCATCACGGCCACGCTGCACCTGACCGTTCTTGCCGTATTCCTGATTCAAAAGGTGTACCTGACCAGGTCTCGCCAGCTGCGGTTCCTCGACCTCGAAGCCCGGGCCATGGTCAACGCCAGCTTCCTCGAGACGTTCGAGGGCGTCGCCACCATCCGTGCCTTTTCCTGGCAGCGGCAGTTTATCCGCGACAACACGGCCAGGCTCGACCTGTCTCTGCGTCCGGACTACATGCTGGTCTGCATCCAACGCTGGCTCGACATGGTACTCGACCTCATGGTCCCGGGCCTGGCCATGGGCGTCATCGGCCTCGCCGTCGCTCTCAAGGGAACCAACACAGGTGGACAGATCGGAATCGCCCTCAACGTTGTCCTCAAGCTCAACATGAGCCTCCTTCGCTTGGTCGACGCCTGGACACAACTAGAGACATCTCTGGGCGCCATCTCGCGCCTGCGTGCTCTAGAGCAGGACGTGCAGCCTGAGGATGGGGTAGGCAAGCTGCAGCCGCCTCCGCCGCTCGGATGGCCCACGCACGGACTGATCCAGTTCTCCCGCGTCTCCGCAAGCTACAAGCCGCCGGTTCTCGCGCTTGACAACCTCGACCTCTCAATTCCGCCGGGCACCAAAGTCGGCGTCGTGGGCCGCACCGGCAGCGGCAAGTCGTCGTTGCTGCTCACCCTGCTGCGACTAGTCGAGATGGAGGGAGAAGACGGAACTATACGCATCGACGGCTTGGACCTGCGCGAGCTCCCCCGCAACGCTGTGCGCGCACGCATCATCACGGTTCCGCAGGAACCCATGCTCGTCATGACCGACACGGTCCGCCAGAACCTCGACATTGCCGCCAGCACCGACACCAAGAGCGTCTCGGACGACGACATGATCCGCGTGCTCCAGCGCGTCCGCCTGTGGGATGTACTGCAGTCCCGTGCCGCCAGCGTCGCGGCCGCAGGACGCGAGGTACACAAGGTCAATGCCGCCATGGGACTCGTCGTCGGCAGCAACAGCGGTAGCAGCAGTAGGACTACAACGCCGACGCCTGGTTCTGATGATGACGACGAGATCGACGCGGACAAGAAATCGGTATCTCTGCTGGACATGCTGGCCGACGACGAAGGCGGCAGCAGCGACGGAAGCCACAGTGACAGCGACAACGACACGGACTCGATCACTGCTCCCTCCGCCAACCCCCTCGACGCGCCCATAAAGTCTCTCCCCCTCTCACACGGCTAGCAGCAGCTCTTCTCTCTGGCGCGCGTGCTGCTAATGCGCGGCTCGCGCGGCCGCGTGGTGCTTCTGGACGAGGCGACGAGCAGCGTCGACGGCGCCACGGACCGGCTGATGCAGGCGCTCGTGGGCGCCGAGTTCAAGGACCACACGGTTATCACGGTCGCTCATCGCCTTGACACCATCATGGATAGCGACGTTGTGCTGGTGCTCGATGCCGGCAAGCTCGTCGAGGCCGGCCCGCCCGCCAAGCTGGCTTCCAAGGAGGGACGCCGGTTCAGAGCGCTTATTTGTGGCAAGAGAACCGCGTGAATTACAGGTGATCTTCTATCGACGTGCGTAGGTAGATAGCTAGACTACCTACTTGAGCAGGGGCGGTCTCTGGGCAAGTCAGTGCACGGTCTATCAACGGAAGCTTCCTGGGGTCTCATAATAATGCTAAGGGAAACTTGCAAGACCGTGGATAGAACTAGAAACCGCAGTTAGCCAACTCTAGAGAAAGTCAAATACTGACATTGACTATATTTACTTGATCCCAAACGTAGACGTGAATCACGTGATTGGCTTCCCCCTACAATCCACATCTGCAATCCACATCCTGAAGTTTGTTGGCGTGGTACTCCGGCAGAAGCATGATTATAGCAGATAAACCGGCCAGAAAGAGCACATTACAGGGGGGAGACACACCTCTAGGATTCAATAATGGGGATCATAATAGCTATTACCTCCCCGGGTAAAAAGTCCTCCAGGATGACAGTAAAATGCTAAGGCCATTTTGATTGTAGAAACTCCACTGCTAACAAACAGTCACGGGTTGGAGTGGTTATTTCCATGGAATATATTACACTTGCTGTTATTAAGATTCACACTAAGATTCTTACTAGCTCGGTGTCATTTCTCAGCTCTATGAACTATCTAGTAAAGGTTGTTCTAGTTTCTCCATACTCCTCCACTCCCAACACCTTTCGACAGTGAACAACCAAAGTGCTGTGGAACAATACCTTTCACCGAGCAATCTAGCCTGCAAGAGCTGGTATACCGCAGTGTCAATTCCGGGTCCGTGGGTAGGAAGGAACTGCCCAGTAGCCGACCATGAAGACGGGGCGGCGGCGGCGCAGGGCGAAGAGGGCGACTCGACGTCGGCAAAGGCAATCTCGACGCCGTGGGCGCGGAAAATAAAGATCCAGGAGCATAGCAGTGTCACGGTCCACAGGGCTCATGTGACAGGATTGATTCTATTGGCTGCATTGTGCTTAGGGTGTGGCCTGTGCGCACTGAGCACCACTACCTATTTCTCCGCGCCCTGCGCGGACCCGGCGATAGATTCCTTTCTCTTCCTTAGCTTTAAATCCACATTCGTTGCTGCCTTCAACCATTGACATCCCTACTGCGTAAGGCGGGCCGTCACAAGTAGGGCCGGGAGGTTGCGGCAGAATAGGGCCACGCGCGCCAGGCCGTCGACGTCGGCCAGCAGCAGCACCGCCATGCAGTAGCCCGCCGCCGCAGGCTGCGCCTGGAGGCTGCACCGCATGCTTTCGACGCCGCGCGCGTCCGCCACCGCCACGAACACGCCGAACCGCGCCAGGTCCCGGTTCAGCCGCAGCACCGGGTGGATGTGCGCGTATATGAACGACGTGACGTCTATTGTCGATATGTGTGTGGTCGCTGTATGGTGTTATGTGGTGAGATGGTGTTGCTTGGTGAACGATATATATCCGCGGGATGGGATTACGTACTATATTGACAGCGTGATTATTTTGTAGAGGTTGGTGTAGGTTATCAGTGGCGAAGAAGACTCGATATAGGAGTGTACTTTTTTGTACGAAAGCTTAGACTGACTGGCTGGCTGAAGACGGCGACTATCGGATATCGCAGCTAGGCGCTAGCTGCTGATGGTCCCCGATACGGACGCTGGAGGGAGGTGAACTTTGGCGTGGTAGCTTCCAGCAATTTAGCCAGAGAGATTGTGGGGCCCCCAAGCCCGACGACAATATTGTCGTCTAAGACTGAAGTTAGACAAACCGCTAATTTCTCATTGCGATAGAACTTGTCTGGGGAACTTACCTCGACGCACGCATGGTAATATTAGTGGACGTGGAGCTAGTCGCTATCCTAGACGGGAGTGATATTAGTGGACGTGGAGCTAGTCGCTATTCTAGACGGGAACGAAGTGGTGAAAGATGATGAATCAGAAAGGAAGCGAGCTAATTTCTGCTTGCAGTTTATCTAGGTGCGTTAGTATGCACGTGCGTAGCTGTCGTAATCAAACGGCACCACCACACAACAAGCAACAAGACAAAAGAAGGGCCAGGGCGAGCCGAGGTGTCGGAAGGAGCCTTTGGCACCCATACGGCCGTGCACAGACCAGCCACCTTCGGCCCAGTTCATGAAGACCCGAACACATCATACATTTGTAGGGTATCTAACGGTACAGTGGACTCGGAATAAGGGGCAAAGATCGATGTTTTCTAGAAAAGAAGCGGGCCTGGAGTAGAGATTCTATCGTCACACGCCTAGGCTGCAGGGCGGCCTGCATCCCCGAACTGAACCCCTGAGTACTTAGTGTGAGTTTGCCATGCCAAATACAGTACTGTCCAGGTAAAGGCACTCCCCGTTGAAATACCTCAGCCCCGAGTAACGTGCAGGAAAAAAGGCAAGAAATCCATCCCCCAACACCAAACCCCAAGCCAAATTGTCCGGTCGTAGACACCTTTGTCTGTGCAGGCAGTCTCCGCGGCAGCTCGTCGCCGTTTCCAATTACCCAGAACGCAGACAGCACCCCATCGTCTGGAATTGAGAAGACTGGAGTTAGACGAACCACTCTTTAATTGTAACCGCGATAAGACTTGCGGGAGGAACTTGCTTGGCATGGTGGAAAAGTCGATCATGTTGTCCTCAGTCAGCTTGGGCAACTCAAATCTGTAATAGGACAGCGGTACCTTCTTGTTCTCTCCCACCGGGAGGCGGGTCTGCGCTGCCTTGCCCTCTTCCAGCCAGGAGAGGCGTCCGCAGACCTCCTAGGGCCCTTCGACGGCCTCAGCGCCTAACGCTCGGCGACAAGGAACTGTCCGATGAGGCGGGTTCCACCGCCATAGACTTGGTGGTTGTGGGCGGGGAGCCCGCTCGGTGGCTCGTCGGCTGCGAGCCGTGGATCAGTAAAATTATTTCAAAGGATCGCGGGAGGGTTATGCAGACATTCTCTTACCTACTTTGCCTATGAAAGCGGGTTGCCCTCGATGCTGTCGCGCGGATGAGGGAGTGGAGTCGGGGAGCAGCACAGTAAAACTGCAATTTTGTCTTGTTCGTGATTGTCGGGGCGGTCAGGGCGCGGTGTGCGGGAGTGCGATTTGAATTGCTCGAGAGTCTGACACGGAGAAAATAGTAAGAGAGAAGAACAGCACAGGGTTAGGGTTAAAGGGCAGCTAGCGTGTAAACTTTTACAGGGGAAGAGCGGACAGGGGTAGTCGAGTGTCTCTGCCCTCGTCTGACGGCGTATAAAGCGAATATGCCAAAACACGTAGTGGCCAAAACAGGTAGTGGTTGGCAATGAGGGGAAGAAGTACCAGATGAAGTAATTTTTGACGAGAATAAGTAATTCAACAACCACTCAAGCTAGTTGAAGGTTCGTCAATAGTGTAGTTAATGACTTCGACGCTTCTATCGGGGGAAGCTAATCACCGACAGACACACTATGGGGGGAGACTGGCCACTAAGACCCTATAGAGGGAGAGTGGTCGCCGCCGCCCCTATAGGAGGAGACTGGTCGCCCACACCCCATAGGAGGAGACTGGCCGCAGGCCACCCTCATCTCCCACGTTTGCCCCATATCATCAACATCATCATCACCACCACCACCGCGTTCTCCGCCAAACCGCCGCCAAGATGCCAATGCCACAGGCATGTGCCCGTCTCACGCCACCAGTTCGCCCGGTGCCGCTATCAGCCTCTCCTATAATCTTTCTTTTGCCGCAGTACCACGCCAACAAACGTTCAGGGATTAGATTGTACGGCGGAACTGGGGTCAACATTTTTGTTGACTTGGTTGGCGTTCCGTTCTAGTGAATGTTGATGTTGAATGCGCCGCGCGCCAAAGTTCATCTTTGAGGCCGGCGCCCTCAACAAGACTGCCGGTGAATAGGGCAACAAGCGAGGAGAACAGCTTGGTCTCCCCATCCGACGAGTAACTCCGACCCCCGGCCGAGTTGCGCAGGGGTTCTCAGGTGGAGGTTGCATCGACTTTTGGCAATCCTCGCCATCGCCAAGCGCAGCTGTTGTCTTTTCGGATAAAGAGCCAATTTCCGGAGTTGGAAAAGGACGATTTGCTTGGTGTTTTATTATTTAATGCCACCGTAGGTACTGCCAATGATGAAAAGGTGACCGTAACATTTCGTCTGCTCAAGGAGGCTCTACTCAAAGAGGGATTTCCCCAGAATGTGGCCGTAAATGGCGTGGTTATGATATTCTGTAGAGAAAGTCGACACCGCCGTCACCCTTGAGCGAAGCCTGAAGGTATTCGTGAGGGGATCCGGCTCGCCGAGGCCGTGTCCGCGGAAGGTTCGGGGGACTCGAGGACCGCTCAAATCATACCTATTAGGAAATAAACAAATTAGCGTGCTGTCTTTTGGTTCGGGATTTAGGACATCCGTTTCATTGCCAGTACTCGGAACCGCAGGAGGATGATTTGCCATGAGAGCGGATTCAAAACTCGAAACCTTTTCTCATGTGGGAGGGCTAGGGGAAACCGACAGACACAGGGAAACAACATTTGGTTTTGAGAATCAAACTTTCCCGAACTCAATCGCTCAGACAGTGCATACACTGGAGAAGAAGTGGGACCATGGTGTCGGCGTTGAAAGGAGTAGAGTAGAGCCTGAGTTGCAAGCACGCAAAATTAATCAAAGCCGGGGGAGGTGCTAGAACGCCGCGTTGTCGTGAAGGGGCAGATGTAGTTGCTAGGATAGGGGCGGGGACAAGAATTTGAAAAAAGAAAAAAAGAAAAGGGAAACACCAAAAGATTGAGTACCTTTTCCATGGCCAGGAACGAGACCGCATGGAACTTGGCACGTGTAGGTAGCCCCATAGCAAATATTCCTTCAATTTGATGTGGATCCCGCGGGCAATGTTCCCTGGTTCGTATTACTGACTTCTCCAAGTTATTTCTGGCGCCGTTCGGTCGTATTCTTCCTCTGCCGTGCGTTTGCAAACCGAGAGCCTGTGTGTTTGAAATTAGTCTTCGAGTGCCTGGGGTTGAAAAGCTAGGCACGGCTGATTCGACTCGATGGGTATGGAAAGACGCATTTCGTAGGCGAGACGCAGCAGTGGAAGAGGCAGAAACAACCCCAGGTGAAGAAGAGGCGGTTGGATACCCGCGGTACAAGATATACCATAACTGGAGATGAAGAAGGAGAGATGAGATGTAGAGAGAATGCGGATCTTTCGAGCACCGGGGGTAGAAGCCGGCGAAATTGCCTGGCCTAGACCGCCGGGATCACGCTTGAGGCGGCGTACATGGGCGGCGTCAGTCGTGACCGGGACGGTGACGATGTCGTGGGTGGTGGTGTCGGTCTCGAGATGGCAGACAAGAGTCAGAGATTCTGAGCACAGAAGAACAGAACAACGTCGAGTTCGTAGTCAGGGCCTCATTCGTGTCGGCATCGGCAGAAATTTCCGCCCCTGTGGATTCCTGGCCACAGAAGCAACTGCACTAAGGAAAGATGGCGGACGAACTGGGAAGTCAAGTGCAAGTGCGAAGGTGTCAGGACCTAGGGCAGGTGTAATGAAAATACAGTGCCCAGGAAACTGCAGGTAACGGAACCAAAACAAAGAATTGGGGCGGGCACACGTAGCGCCCGTTCCCACAGCGCCATCCGTGCGTACTGTACAGGGTACCCCGCTGAGAGCCCGCTGGCAGCAGCCAGCTGGCCAGGCCTCCTTGGTTATTTTGGCCCAGCACGCCGTCACCCTCGTTTGGCTGGCTAAGAAAAAGTAGAAATTCAAGTCGTTAACCCATTCTCCCATGAATACCTTAATAGCAATTCTAGAAGTTCCTAAAAAGAACTCAGCCCTTCGTAATAGTAGTTTCTGTAACCTAATTAGTTGATGGGAAGCTACGGTGCAAAAATTGAATGCTGGAATGTAGTATAGACACAGCACTCCCCAGAACAGCCACTATTCGAACCGACATCTACGGGAGATTAAACTATCCATTGGGCCTAGGTAGAGGGAAACTGCATTCTGTAAACCCAACAACATATCTTTTGGCTAATAGATGGCTCGCAAGGCGTCAAATTCATGAAATGCCTCAGAACGAGCCAACTCCAGACTCAAAATTAGTAAATTTACGTGCTAGATAGGTAGGGTTCTACGAAATATAATGAAAAAAGCCACGTATAATAATAACCAGGATGTTTAAATCAGTACTTGTGCCCGAGGCAGCCTCTAGGCTAGAGCCACGAGAAGGAATGTAAGAAGCTGAGATTCTCCAGACTCAAGCGGGGAAGATTGTCAATATTTATCTCGTGTTTAACTAGTACAGAACAGTTGACAGAAACAGAACCAGAAAGATATATGGCCTCTAAAATGCAAGTTCAGGGATACAGCACGAAGTATCACAAGTTGAATCGGCTGTCTGTCTAACTTATCAGGCATCAACTGTCCACAATACAGCGAGGCTAACATGGACCATAAATGGTGTTCATACTAGGCTTCCGGTGGGGACAAAGGCAGGGCGAGGCTCCAGGTTGCGAGTCAGTATTGCGAACTAGGCCCGGTGTAGCTAGAATCACCCCACAGATGGGATGCCAACAAAGGGCAAGACAAGGCTGTCGTCCTTGTGTTTTGTCATTGGTGTTAGAACTTCCTGGAATGGATGATTGAGAGTTTGTCGTGGAACATTAATAATGGCTCCTAGGGAAACGCAAGATTTGTTGGCATGCTCACGATCAAGACATCATGGAGTATTGCAAGCATGTTCAGGAGCTGGTCACAGTGTCAAGCGGTTTTAGTTAGGGCAGGCTGTGGTGGGAAAAACTGACGACGCGTGTTGCTGCGAAGAGCTGTCTGCTATGTTCCGTGTGCTGTGTGAAGGGAATCTGTCTACTGTGTGGTGTGTGCTGTGTGAAGGGAATCTATCTGCTGTGTGCTGTGTACTGTGTGCTGTGTGCTGTGTGGAAAAAGGACTATCGGCTATGCGCTGCATGAAATGACGCCATCGCTATGCGCAGAAGGGGGAAAAAGCTAAGTACAAAAACCAATAATCAGTGTCGACTCCAGTTCGCTACCCGAGCGTAGTACTAGACTGGTGTCTTTGTTGTTGCTGTTTGACTTTCGAGGGTCCTCGGAATGGATGACAACCAAGACGGAGGTCAATCCAACCCAAACTGAAGCCGTAGTCGATACTTGCTTGCTACTAGAGTAGTAGTGAGTGGCGTCTGTGATGCTCTGTTTGACTTTCGAGGGTCGTTCAAATAGATGTTCAATCCAACCCAAACCGAAGCCTATGTCTCGTGGCCCAGTGTGCCATGCTCGACCCCTAAACGTCAACTCCCCAAATCCAGGCCATATGCATCTGTGTCCTATATGCCATGCTCGCCTCCAAAGGAAACGCCCCAAATCTAGGCCAAATGTCTCTCCCACCAAAAAACATGCTCGCCTCCCAACGCCAACTCCACAAAATGTGCCCAGCTGCCCTTCACATCACGTTGCACCAAAAGAAGGACTAGATGGGCCCGGAGGACCACGCAGATCACGCGGACTAGCCTGATGCGGACCCCGTGGACTAGACTGACGCGGACCCCACGGAGTGATGACGGCACTCCCGTCTCTCATGCTCGTGGCCTCGGTCTGAGGCTGTCTCCACGGATTCATGGCGGCGCACGATCCACCCATCGCCGTGTCTTGAGTCTGAGGCGGTCCCCACGGGTTCATGGCAGCGCCCGAGCCGCCAATGGCTGTGCTCTCAGCTTGCGACGGTGTCGGTCCCCACGGATTCGTGACAGCGCCCGATTCATTGCCGCCCGTGGCCGCACCCTCCTCAATCTGCTGGACGAACTGGTCCACAAACGTGTTCTCGTTGGGAATGTCGCACGGGTCCCACGAGTACTTGATATTGACCCCATTGGCGATCATGTTTACATCAGTCGTGAGGCTGCGATGCGCCGATTCAGCCTGCGCGCGGTAGCTGCTGAAACGATACTCGATAACCGAGAAGTTTTGGCCCTTGACAATGATGTTGACATCATCCGTCTCATAGTAGAAGCGCGCCTGGAAGTACTTCGTGAGGGTGGAGATGTTGACGATGGAGGTGGGGCCCGAGATAGTAACGACGCGCGTCGCGTCGCGTAGAGTCGTGATCTCGGCGAACTTAGTGCGGTTGTGGCGGATGATAGCCCGGTAGCCGCGAATGACCAGCCCATCGCTGTAGTACTTTGGAAACCGGTTCCAGAACAACTGCGCCGCGCGCAGCTCGAAGAAGACGAGCTTGGCCGCGCTCGTCTCGTGGCCAGTCGTGGCGTTGGGCGCCGTCATGGACAGGGCAAACACGCGGCCAATCTCCCGGATGTGCGACAGGAACTCGGTGTACGTCACGTCGGGCGGCAGGTTGGTGATCCAGAACGAGCAGTTGTCCTCGTCTAGGATGTCGGCCGATCTGTTGGCGCGCAGATCGGGGTCCCCGTGGTAGTTGGGGGAGCACCCGATCTCGATCCGGTGCTTGATCTCGGCCTCTGTCAGGTGCGGGCGAGGCTGGGGGCGGTGCCACTCCGTGACCATGTGCATGGGCTGGAACTGACGCACCGGCAGGACTGGGCCGGCGTACGGGGTGGCGGTGACGGGGCCGGCGGAGAAGACTTGGTCGGGACTGGCGCGAGTGGTGGCCAGGACGTTGCTAGTGCTGCCTGCACTAGTAATCTCGGCAGTACGGGCGGCGGCGGCGGCGCGGGCAGCCTGGGCAGCAACATAGCCCGCCGTGGCGCGGGCGGAGAAGACGGCACGGGCGGAGGGGGCAGGGCGCTGGTCGAGGCGGGCCTGCTGGACACCCGGGCGCCAAAATGTGGCCATCGGCACCACGGCAGCAGGGGGTGAAACAAGGCGGCAGTCCTCGCCGCCGACCTGGCGCTGATGGGCCGAGGCCTCGTGCCAAAACGCACCACGGGTATGGCCGAAGCCAGGAGCAGCCGGCGCCGACGCAGGCCGGGCCGAGCTCGACGCCGTGCCGACACCGGCTGCTCCAGCCTGGCTGTCGAAGCCCACGTCGCCGTAAAACGAGGCGGACGGGGCGGCGTACGGGGCGGCGGACGAGGCGGCGTACGAGGCGGCGAACGGGGCGGCGGACGGGGCGGCGTAAAGGGCGGCGTACGGGGCGGCGTACGGGTCGGCGTACGGGTCGGTCGGCTGTTGCTGCTGGGGGGCCGCCAAACTGGGGACGAACCCCCACTGCGCGTTGCCAGAGCGCTGGTTCTGGGCCATTGTGCGATAGTAGCCTAAGAATTATTGTGTTAGGGTTGGCTCTGATAGGCAGATTGCAAGCAATTCACGGTGTTTCACGGCTCGCATGCATATATCAAAGGAGTAAGGTAACTTACAAAGGGCGAGAAAGGCAAGGGCTAATCAAAGACGGGTACGCGATAGGAAGACACACGCGCGTAGCAAAAATCAAAAGAAGTAAATGACTTGCTGCCCAAGGGGGAAAAAAAGAAAGAGAGGAAGGAAAGAACTGGGCGCCCCGCGCAGAATAAATACCCCCTCCAAAAACCTGGGACCTGTGTGCGCCCCACACCACAATAGGAGCATATGACTGCCCAGGCGACTTCAGACGAGACCTCCTACCCTTTACCTGCCGGGCTACGCTGCAGTACTTCGGGGCCGAGGCTGGACGTGCACCAGACGCCTGCGCGAGCTGGTGAGCTCATCATCTGATATCTTATCTGGGAGCCGCCCAATCCCTGACCACTCTCCCTTCGCAAGTAGGAGGGCACCAAAGGTCCCAGAAGGTCAGAGCTTTTGCTTCTCGGGGGGGCGCTGAGAGAAGGGGCGGTCCTGAACATATGACGTATGCTGCCCTCTGCCCTAGGTTGGCTCAGGAACTCATAGAGTAGATGTTTTGATATGCTCACACCATCACTGCTAGCCGAGTGACTGTGTGAGCTTTCGTTTATATAAGAAGTTACCAAGCCAGAATTCAAATAGCAATGCAACGCAGCGCAATGCAACGCATCAACATTCCGCCACGTCTGTAGAGATAACCTGGAGGTAGCTGCGGGTAGTTACCTGTACCTCTAGTCATGGGGGCTTGCGATCAACAGCCCAACCTGTAGTCCATGGAATAGATCGGGATTCCTGCACAGTGACCACACCCCTCCTGAGCCCTGGATCTCTCGTTCCGTACGAGTTCCGAGCTCCCCAAGACTTGGTCGGCCGCGGCCTGAAAATCAGGTACCCCTCCTCAAGGAAGGACCAAACCCCTCGCGAGAAAGGGCCAAACCCCTCGCGAGAAAGGGCCAAACCCCTCGCGAGAAAGGCCTTGCGCTCCGAGGTGGCTGTCTACTCCCACCCTCTGTCTTCTAGATACACACAGACATCAACGAATCCATTACTGGAACCACCAGTTTTCGCCGTACAGTTACGCCTGTTGCTCCCAGTACCGGTACCTGGTGATTCCAACACCCACCTTCCCCTAGTGGATCCCTCAATTGAACACCCCTCGTTACCTCATACGGCCCTCGTTACCTCATACGGCCAAGCGCATGTGAGCCTCCGCGCCTCCAAGTTGACTTATGGTCTCGTGCAAGACGGAGTAGCAGGCGTTTCTAAAAACGGCATTCTACCAGCTAAACTCGATACGGAATCCGTTTCAATTAAGATAAGAGATAAGATGCCGCATTTTAATTTGGTGCACTTCTAGAGCCCCATTTTCGGCTCCTGCATACCCTCATTTTCGGCCGCTTTGAGTCTCAGAGACAAGGTTTCTAACCGCTAGACTAGTAGTTGTCGGAAGGAGCCGCATCTAAGCCACATATAGGCGCAGGTGGCGCACATGCTAGACCATTTACAGCCTAGGCTGTGTCAACCGAATGCCGCATAACTACGGTATCTGGGTATCTAGGATATGCCTTATATCTCAGAAACTCAGACCAGCTTGGTGTGGCTCAGGTGCCTGCGGTACCCACTTTTTAAGAATTGGACCCACTCTATATTTTTTAACCAAGAAGAACCAAAGAAAAGAACTACCACCAAGCTGGTCTGGGTGCAATATTGGATCCGAATCCTGACCCCCTCCACATCAATTGAAGGCATTCACGGAATGCATGATATTTTACGCGCAAATCGGTCAAAAGCTACGCTGTTAGTACTTTTGGAATCCCCTCAAGTCAAGTTATCGATTAGTACTAATTTTATGTGTAGAACATGTCTTCCGGGTCAGATTCCGAGCAGCAGCCCTTTCAAGGTCAAAATATACGACTGGTTGTCTTTATCCAGGGTCGCTGTACAACCGAACCAGGGCACGCTCCGTGGCAACAGTGCTCTGAGAGTGTGTATATATGTGAAGTCTGGTCGGAATTCTCGCCACTCGCCGACAACATGCAGCTCATCTATTGCAAAAGCCCGATTCTTTCGTGAAATGCTAGATCACGAAGGACGGCTTTGAACTTCGGTGAAAGGGCTTGTTCCGGGCTCAAAAGTATATGAGTATATTAACCTTGTTTAACTTAGTCCCAAACGTTCAGGTTCTAGCTAACTGTTAATAGAAGTTATTCAGGGGCTCAGGGGCTCAGGGCAACAGTGTCACGAATCCCTGTTCGTACTGGTTGGGAAGCAGGGCAGGGGTGGCTGGACCCGCCTTGGTTAGTCACGTTAAAGGAGGGGCTTGGACCCACAGTTGCTCTGTTCGGTGGAGAACAGAGCAGAAGGACCCGCATTTGCTCTGCACGGTGGAGTACAGAGCAACAGTTTGGTTGGCTGCTCTGTAGCTCTGTCGGAGAGCAACAGAGCAATGCTCTGTAGCTCTGTCAGAGAGCAACAGAGCAACGCTCCAATTGGCCCAGCTTAGATAGATATATACGATGACCGTGGCACCGGTCTTAGGTAGTTCTTGCTTGGTTCTTCAAGCAAGCAATACACATTCACTGCACTCATACACTTTGAGTGGCATTCCGATTTGACTGTATTACCCGTGCGATAGGAGCTTGCCCTTTGTTCTATCTTCATAATTACCAACCCAGCATCCTGTGGAGCCCGTGCTCCCTTACAGACAGACGACCCTGACAGTCGAGTGGTTTGTAATAAACAGACCTTGAGATGCGTGTCGGCGTCGATCCATACCGGCTTCGAATTAGGGACATTTCTGGTGATATCGTCACGCTGATTCTCGCCTAGCTTCGTCAAGGGAACGATTTATATCGTGATCTTCTCGGTCAGGGCAGAAATAGTGTAGAGAGCAGCGTGTCACGAATCCCTGTGGATTCCCTGTGGTTATGCACAAAGGTGGGGCATGCACTTTTGGCGCGAGCCAATCAGGAGCGTTCCGGGATTCCGAGCTCTGGAGCTCGGGGGCGCGGGACAGGTCCGGCCGGGCGGTGACCCGGACGCGGGACCACGGGACAACGGAACCACTGTTATTGGTTACGTAGATAGATATATACGACGATCGTGTCCACGGTCTTAGATAGTTCTTGCTTGGTTCTTCAAGCAAGCAATACACATTCACTGCACTCATACACTTTGAGTGGCATTCCGATTTGACTGTATTACCCGTGCGATAGGAGCTTGCCCTTTGTTCTATCTTCATAATTACCAACCCCAGCATTCTGTGGAGCCCGTGCTCCCTTACAGACAGACGACCCTGACAGTCAAGTGGTTTGTAATACAGCGCTTTTGCCGTAGCCTGTTGCCGCAGCGAGGACTATATCGTCATGCTGGTAAACTAAACGCTGCACAGCCTGCACCTGGCCAGCGCGAGCCTCTGGAGCGCCTGTGATGCCACAAATGGCTCTGTTTATGCGCTTCTTTTGCTTGCTAGTCGAGGTCCACCAGGGCGGCGAAAACGATGTAGGAAAGCTGGGTTTAGGAAGTGCGTTGTTTGAGAAAGAAAGTTAGGTTCTGAGGATGCCCTCGGCGCAGAGTAAGTGTATAAAGATTCTCACGAAGTTCAGATCAAAATTGAGTGTTTACCAGGCAACTAACAGGCGCGACTAAGCTGTGAAGGGGGTATGTTTTTTGCTTTAAATGTACGAAAATTACAACGCCCTATAAACATGACTCCAAAATAGAGCTGTTAGAAAGCCCTGTCAATTACGAAGCTCCGCAGCTAGCTTGTAGATTCTCACGATGCGGAATGGTGATGTTGTTGCGCGTCAATTGAACCAGTTTTGTTTTGTTGTATGGGGCCTGTGAAGGGGGTCACGGTTCGGATCAAATATTGCACTCAGACGTCTTTCTTGGGCGTTCTTTGTCAATTGTGGCTTAATCATGGGGCGCCACAGCCAATTTTTAGTTGATCCAGCATTCTAATCCATTTTGGTACAAAGGCCCGCCAGGGCCCCTGTCATGGGCGCATGTCCGCGCGTAGCGCGCCCCGCCCAAGAAAGACGGCCTGATTTCTGAGATAGGCTATGTGTTGGAAAGCTGGCCCCAAAGTAGGCCCAAAATCGGTTCAATGTAACAGTCTGATTGTGTGTAAAGTCTTGGGGTAAGTCCTGGGGATCTCCCAGCTGGGGACCCCATTTTACCCTCAAAAAGAGGGGTTTTCCTGGGCTAGGCCCAGAAGGTTGCCTGCATGCGCCTCAATGTCAGACTGCCAGCGATTTCCGGGCTTAGTCAGGACCTCGAAAATCCAACACTATACCCACCTCTCTGAACCTTCCGAATACAAGCACTTTTTGCTCTCAACTAATGCAGCGTTGTACGTGACAGTAGTTGGGTCGGTGACGACCAGCGAATCCCTGGTGCTATATGTTTTTTTGCCTTCCAGCCTGAAGGCAGGCGAAGCCAGCGCATGGCCCGTGTTCCTCTCTCTGCACTAGCGGTTTTTTTTTTCTTTTTTTTAAAGCACAGCCCCTCGGTTAGTGTAGGGGGTCGGCGGACAATCGTCAGCTGAAAGAAGCTCGGGGGGGTGTCGCATCGCATTTATGCCTCAAAAATTGTCCGATACAGATCCAGCAACAATAAACCATGGAGCGAGCCAGACACGTCCTCGTTAGATGTTGCAAAGAAATCCCTCGACGAGGAGGGCTTCTCTCGCTTAAATTACTCGGAGTTAGTTAACGACATGTCAGATATAGAGCTCGAAGACCCGAAGAGCCAGACGATCCGTACCAATTGTGCGGCCGGCCAATTTCACGTTCACGGTGGTAAGAAAGTAGCGTCTTGACCTTCCAACGTTTGGTATTTTCCAAGAAGCAGACTAGGTAGGATCAATGTAGCCTTCGAGGCATCATGTCCTCCTAGAACATAGGCGCCCTCATACTTTCAGTCTCAGCGCTCTTCTGCCTCTGGAACTCGCCTCTAACCCAAAGCCAGCGCTGGTTGCCTCCAAGCTTCTTCGCTATTACCAGTGTCGCTCCAGTGGAAGCCTTGCCGCTTACTCCCACTAAGTAGTAGGCCGGCTCTGAGCCTGAGCCTGGGCCGTCGAGGTAGCGGTAGGTTGGAACCTACCTAACCGCGATAGCCGGCCTCAAAGTCCAGGCAGGCTCCGGGCCAAGACAGACAGGACAGATCCCAGAGCTCAAATTAGTCAGAAAAGTTTAGACACCAATCCAAGATGGCCTCAGCCCTCCTGCTGGCTTCATTGGCGCTTGGATGCCGTGGTTGGTCCAAACATAAGATGCGGGGGGATTGCAGCTCATTTCGGTGTCGCAGCAGCGCCATCTCAACTCCGACTTTCACTGAAGCCGCTTGCGGTAATTATTACCTTACCGGTTGGGCCAAAGAAGTCAGACCGGCGTCGGACAGATGTCGATGGCCATGGAAGCACCTTGGGATGTTTCGGCACCCTTCGAATACGTGAACGGTGGCTGCCGAGGTCCCGCTGTCGACGACGTCGTCGAGGACGTCCTGAGAAGGGAAGAAGAACTGGGCCTTGCGACCTACTAAACTCTTCTTGCCAAGGGATATGTGGGCAGCCCCAATGCTGAATGTCTCTTGGCAAGCACTGGGCCAGGCCTTTTCCCCCGAGGCTGTCTCGGCGTCGTCCCTTGCGGCGCAGAACATCAGAATCTTCTCGCGATCCGCATCCCGGATCGCGTCCACAAGGGCAGACAGTGGTGATCAGTGTGGCCATCCTGTTGCCATGGCCAATATCCCCAGGCACTGTCCACTTGCAGCCATCGGCAGGATATCCGACCACAGACAAAAAGTCACCCGGACCTCCCGAACCATCCCATTCAGGGTCAACACCGTCGTCAATGAGCGCGACCTTGACCAGGCCGCTCTCCTCGGCATCGTTGGTTTCGTTGACTTCGTCGGTATCTGAATCCGAATCCGAATTCGACCCCTGATCTTTTGCATTTTGCGGTTGTAGCTGGCCGGCCAGGCGCTTGACCTTCTCAAGCCACGGGTTCAACCTGGGACAAGTCGTCAGTACGTGACCTACACCTGGTCTGCGCGGGAAAGGGTGGGTTACGGCTGGTCGTTACAGTCTACGCTGCCCGGGTAGGTGGTGCCTCGGGCCGAGGCGCCCTTTGTCTCGACCGACAGCTTGATAAGCGGGGCCTTTCTCTCTGTGGTTTGGTACCACCGAGCAAGCTGTTTCTCAAAACTGTTCACATTATTATCGTTGGCTGCCTTTGTCTCGATGCCCTATCAAGAGCGCTCTTGTGTTAGTAACAGCCTGTAAACATCTGGCAGAGGGTAAGGCCCTTCTTCACCTGTTTGGCATCGAGGTGCACCGTCCGTAGCTGGAATAGATTTTGGATTTAGCCTCCCTCATCCTGCGATTAACGGGTGATGAGGTACGTAGTGATGAATGCAGACCATTTTGAGCGTTTGCAAGCCTCCCTTGTCAGCCCAGCCCGCCAGCACCGCGTTTATACCTGTAGAGTACAGCCACACCTCGACGAGATTGGGCGCTTTGTTGGGCGCCTGGGCTGAAATATTGGGCCGTCTCCAGTCGAGGTAGCGAACCTCTCGGAGCCTGCTAAAGCATGCCTGGACGGTGGCCTCGCTGCAGGGAAAAGAGGGGTTGTCCTCGACGACGAGCTTCAAGATGCGCCCCACCCCCTTCTTCTCGGCCAGCTACTTGAAAAGACCCTCGAGCGCCACGGGTGACTCGTTCCTCTAGCTGAACTGCGCTTCTTGCGTCACTGGCTTCTGGTGTTTTCCCAAGTCGTGGTCGGGTGTCACTCTTAGGTGCACGGACGCCATGGTGGGTAGAAACTTGAAGTTACGGTACTTCTTACGAGTTGACGCCGTCACGCTCCTGTTTGGCTTGAAAATCCGGTACAAGTCATGGCGGTCCGGAGGCGATTCGTCCTTGGCTTGTCCGGGCTCGGGTGCGACTATCGCCGGGAAAAGACACTGGTATGCCACTTCGTAGATTCCGTCGTTAAAAGCCGCCTGCCAAAGAAGCTCTTCCACACACGCCGAGAGTTGAAAAAATCGGAGAAGACCTCTGGCCGACAATCCGCAGTCGTGCTCGCGCTCCCACCAGCAGCCCCAGATGCACCGCCAGCCCCAGGTGGGGGGAGTAGCGAGTTTCCGGTTCGGAGACTTGTCGATCTCGCAATCCCGATGTTAGCTGGCGTTGCATCTGCGGCGGGCCTCGCTTAGTTTCCGGCACTGGGATGATTTTTCTCGACGTCCTTCACACTGGTCGAGACTTTATCGTCCTTTACATTGGTCGAGACTTTATCCAGGTTGATATTCGAGCGCGGGGACGAATTTTGCCTTGCCCTTTGCTGCTGCTTCCGGTCGTTCACTCTCTTGTCAACGTCCTGGCACGCCTGCCGGTAAGCGTCTCGAGCAAGCACGTGGTAGGGGTAAGGCGACTGGCCTGCATTATTAGCTATGCTCGAAGCAGCTGGGCCCTTCTTGAGCAGTGCGCAAAGGATGCTGGCATGTCGTTTCTTGTGGTCATGATACTCCTTGTTGATGTCTAGACAACGCTCGCAGCAGCCCGGGATACGTGTCGGTTCGGCGGTGAGCTCGTGGAAATCAGCCAATGGCGTCCTAAATGCCGGAGTGTCGCGTCGAGGCGCTTGGATCAGAAATCCCCCAAGGGATGCGTCCTCCACGCGGAGTCGGAAGTCGACGGCGTCATGGAGCGGTGTGTTTCCATTTTCCCTGCGTTGCGTAAAAGTCCTGTGGTCGGCCATCTCGATCAAATCATCCACTACCTTGGAAGCTTTGAATCTGTCGTCACCCTTCACTAACGCGAGGTGGAGACACGTTGCCCCATTCTTGTCCGTCTTTGATAAGATCTCGGCTGCTTTGTCCCGACCTAACCGTTCATCTGCGATGCCCGACTTCATCAAGTCGCAGATGAATTCGGTAAAAGCAGTGGGCTTCAACTTTTTCTTTCGGGGTAGTATAGTGTCCATGTTGACGGCTGCGTGAAGTCCCGTCCCTTCGTTGTTGTTTTCTAGACCTGAGAATGCCAGGACGTCCCAATTCCCCGAGTCGGAAATGACCAGCGAGAGGAGATCCTGCCTCTTCCTGGAAGGTACAAGGGAATCATCTCTCCCGGTAACGCTCACCTTTTCGCATTTGATAATGGCAGTGACCAGGGGGCAGTTATCGCTACCTTGATCAAGGGTAGAATGTATTTGGCCCGCCATGTTTTGTCCTTGGTATCGCACTTCCCTTCGACGAGCTGGGCGAGGGCTTCATCCAGGCGGTCGTCAAACGGGTTGTCTTCGCTCATTGTAGGCACCAGTCAGCAGCACTCCTTCCAGTCGTAACCGTGGTCTTTGAGGTTTCTCGAGAGGCGGTTGCTGCCACCCTACCTAGGTCGGGTGCCTTGGGTAGTTTCGCATGCGTTGTGTGGTAATTATCGCGGCCGCTGGGCAATTGAACGAAAAGCTGAGATGCCAGGCCTGCCACGGTGGGTGGAGATGGAAATGGAGATGGAGATGGAAATGGAAACGGAAATGGCCCCGACTTTGGTGCTCCGTCTACCGTACCTGCCGTTTTGGCAGCCCGCCCTCCCATGGTTCGAGCACGCTATTACTAAGCCTGCCCGGACATTGGATGTTCCCTGCCTCGCCTCGCTGGGCTTTGATCTGTGCAAGCAACTTTAGCCGAGTGCGTCAGTCAATTCCTCACCTAATTGATCAACTCAGTCTAATCCGCAAGGTTGGCTCGGTCAGGCATGCTGTGTTACGGTGTAACCATGATAAGGCACAAGCCCAGCCAATAGCGATAGGTTATCACTTGTCCGTTCAGCTCTTCCCACACACTTGCGCTCGCCTTACAAATCGCCCAACACACCGTAACATCCATGGATGGAAGCAGCAGAGGCCGGGCGTGCGGCTCCCGCGCGATCGCCCTGATCCTTATCCTGACCTGCCCTGCCCTGGCCGGTACTGGACTGGGCTGTACTGTACACTAGAATTATAGGTACATTATGTTCTCAACCTCGCCCGGGCCAGAAGCAATCGACAGATAGGCCAGCAAACCTATTCCCCTCTCTGTCCAACTGATCCTAATCGGACCGCAGCGGCAAGATGGATTTCGGAAGGCCTTGATGTTGGCCTCGCGTCATGACAGATACAGGCAGATACTGGACAACACTAGCCTTGCGGTGGGTCTTCAACTTTTCTACTCTTTGGCGTCCCGACATCGCAGCCGTGTCTAAAACTTGTCAGGTCTTCTACGGGACGCCGCATCTCTCCTGGCCTGTTAATGTTCTCCGCAGCCTTCACTCTTGCTATACAGGGCTGCCTGGTAAATGGTTACCCGGCTACGTGGCGAGAATGGCAGATCACTATGACCGTTTAACTAGCGACTTCGGAAGCATGGCTGCTAATGCAGGATTGCAGGTGCTGAGTGTCGGTCAGAAGTCCGCTGCTACATCCGGCACTGAGTCGGCAAGTACCCCTTTCTATGAGCGCCATTCGCTGCGCCATTCGCTGCTGACCTTGGCTCAACGTACGACGGGAAAATCATGGATTACCCACCCGTCTTCGGCCGTATTGGGAATTGGAGGGGAGGCAACGCTTGCAGGCTAACCACCCCGAAAAAAAACAGGACATTGCAGCTCGTACCACGTCTTCATTCAGACCCTGAACTTTGCGGTACGGAAATCACCTTTACAGACCAGCAAGCGACAACAAAGAGACTCAGATTCGGCAAGGTCGGATCATTAATCTAACAATCCAGAGCTTGGAGCGTGGCGAGATGAATCTGGACCTCGCGCCCTTCGTCTCGCCATCGGGGATGGTGTGAGTTTTGATCAACTATGCGAGTCCTTGGAGGACCATTTCGAAGCTCAAAGTCAGCCTGCTGATCACGTCATCCTCCGGTTGGGATCCATGGAGGTTTCTGTTACACGCAGCAGGTCTTGGCCTCGCTGTGCTTGCAATTTCTCGAGCAACGTCCGAGGCTGATTCTCTAGGCACGGCACCTCTACCCAAACCTCAGAGACGCCATAATAGGTGTAGATAAGCGGTAGAAGACACGGGCGCTCTCCAGGTGTCTCAGGAACCTCTTCTTTACCACGAGGCGCCACCCAAGTTTCGTTGGAAATATTGTCCAAGTACACTGACGCAAGCATGGCCTGGGTGCTGCACGTCTTGGCTTGGGCCGCTTTTGCGATTCGCCCGCTGTCGAGTTCAGAGATGGAAGAAGCTCTCGAAATTGCATGTTCTAGGGAAGGCCAAAGTCAGGCTCGCTCGAAGCCGAAGAGAGCCCTGTTGTTGACGTTGGAACTTGCCCTCCCAGGCCTCCAGCGAGTGGCTGACCATGTCGTTTGGGCAGCGCCCGAGCTCTCGTCCTACCTTGAGGGAGCCTGGGCCGACTACTTTGGCGAAGAAGACTGTCCCGACCCTATCTCGCGCGCTCATGCTTTCGCCAATTGGCTCCCCACTTCTCGACTCAGGGGCCCCCCCATGAGACCGCCGATGACGAAGTTTTCAGGCCCCATAGCCTTTCCGGACTTCTGGCGTACGCCACCAAGTACTGGATCGAGCATCAGAGGCGGGTGCCAGCTCCCGTAGAGGGCGACGCGGCTGCCGTCGAGATAACATTCTCTGCTGTATTAGAGACATCGCCCGAGTTCGACGCGGACAGTTTCATCCGATACCTCATCTCCCAACACTGGTCCGCAGACGCTGCTGAGGAAGCAAAAACAAAATTGCAACCAAGCGCCATAAAGAGCGCCTTGGCTGTTTATGCGTTCGATGCTTGCTACATATCATACCGCATGGCGATTCTCCCGATAAGTGCCCAAGATGACCTAGACTGGATACTGTTGGGGATCGTGGGCGCGACTCTTCCCGAGGACAAGTATGTCGAGATCACTGTGAACTCGCCCGGCCTGATCAACGGCATCGCGCAGCCCAGCAGGCTCCAGAGAGCTGTGGCAAGCGCCCCCAGCCACTTGCGCAAGCGTCTACTCGCTAGAATGGAGGAGTTTGGGCCCGGGTTCCTCGATGAAAACTTTGTTGAGGTGCTCCTGACTGCCATCTCATTGGGAAACAGTGAAGCAGTGGCTGAATTAATCAGCTCGGCACCGGGCAGCCCTCTCGGTCATGCTGGGGCGGACGAGCCAGCAGCCCTGGGCTTGGGCTTGGGCACAGCCCTGCAAGTTGCCTGTGAATTCGGCGACGCGGAGGTTTTTGAAAAGGTGTTGGATCGCCAAGGTGTTGGATCGCCAAGGTGCAGAAGCGCTGAAGCTGGAAGCATCCTACTCCTAGAATGCCATCCACGTGCCTGCCAGCATGGCCGTGATGCGCTTGTAGGAGCACTAGCAACGAGGTACCGCAACGCTGCTCTGAATACAGCCGCCTCGGTTGAGCTGAGTCCGTTCCGGGTCGCGTCAGCCCGAGGTCTTCACAAAATCTCCTCTACTCTCGCGGGGCAAGAATTCCCAGCCGACGTCGACGGCGGCCAAGGAAGTATGTCGTCATTACAGATCGCGAGCACTGCCGGCTTCTCGGAAACACTGACCAGCCTGTCCCGTCAAAACTCATGTGGAATGTCGCTCAAACCGCACCAAAACGCCGCAATCGTTCTAGCGATAAAAAGCGGAAGTAACAAAGCTGCTTCGGTCGTCCACAGACGTCTCCGGGTAGCGATCTTCGACAAATACGTTGAGCTCAGCCGCCAAGCGCATGACGCTTCCAACGCTAGAATTGTCAGTGAAGGCGAAGAGGATGACGAGGCACATGCCGAAGATGCCGACGATTCAGATGATGCAAGCGATGCCGGCAGAGGCCCGGTATCAGCCATGCTCAAGGACGTCGAGAAGATCATCAGAGATGCTCTGCTTGCTATTGTAGGCACCCGAAGAATGCCTCTCGACATGTTCGATCTCGTCAGCAGCAACCTGGATGACCCCTCAGAGGCAAAAGACGACCAGAGCCGGACCTTGCTACATCTCGCGGCAAGAATGGGCCGTCTCAAGTTGGTCGAGTCGGTTTACAGCTTCAGCGACCCCATGGACCTAGATAACGAGGGGTAGACCGCGATGCACTACGCCTGCTACCATGGCCACCACAAGGTGGTCAAGTGCTTCTTGGAAAAAGATGAAGTACTCTCGCGCAATCTCGCTGTGCAGAACAAGGAGCTGGCGACGCTGGTGACAGTTGCCGCCATGGGTGGCCACTTCAAGATCCTCGAGCAATTGTTGCCGCGGCTGTCCATTGAGGAGCTCAAAGCCGAGTTCTCGCGGGCGGCGAAACGGAGTCTCGTTAGCCTAACGGACTCGGTGCTCAAAGCAGCCGTAAAAATCGACCCGTCATCCCGGCAGGACTTCGTCCAAGCCAAGGACGATCAGTCCCTTCCCCCGCTCCACCTCGCCGCTTCCAACGACCAGCCTCGGATGATTCAGTTCTTGCTATTGCATCACCACAACCACAACATCAATGACAAGGGCCCTGACACTGCGACTACACCCCTCGGCCGGGCAGCTCAAATATCGGCGGTGGAGTCGATGCGACTCCTTCTCGACGCGGGCGCGTCGACAGATGTCTCTGTAAGACGGGGCAGGTCGATCCTGTCTGAGGCGGTATTCTGGGAGCGGCCGGCAGTCGTCAAGTTGCTTCTCGAGTACGGGGCGTCTACACGCCTGACGGGCAGCTGGAGCCACTACGGGAGTCTCTTTAGGTTTGGCGTTCTGAACTCTTCCCTGGAAGTCGTTCAAGTCTTGCTCGAGCACCTAGAAGGCGCGTAGAAGCTAAGTCCTACCCCGCAGGACATTCCGACGCCCGAAGAGGCCCTGAGAATCACCATTGACGCAATAAATGCCAAAAATTTCATTCTCGCCTTCAAAAGCCTCAAGCGCAATTATCCAAACAAGGTTGGAGAGGTCATGCAAGAGTGCCGGAACAGTCTCGGGAGCATGGTGGAGAGCACCGCTCAATACGGAACTCTCGAAGTTCTTGAGGCCTTGTACGGAATCGCCAGGGATTACGTCGACTTCAATGACACGGGCGGGCCCTACGGCACGGCGCTCCAAGCAGCAGCCCTTGACGAGAGGCCCGTTGGGGCTGAGAAGGTCTGCAAGCTTTTAGCTGGGCTGGACCCCGAAAAGCCCGGATCGACGGCTGGTGGCGACGTGCCGAATAGCGTACTGGGGGACCGCGCTCCACGCGGCGGCTTGGTGCCAAAACCATGATGTGATTACGACACTAACTAACAACAACAACAACAACAGACGAAAGGACCAACGTGACGTGATGGGTCGGTTGCCTTTGCACCTGGCCGCCGTGCAAGGCGAATGGGGGCTGGTGCAAGAGCTTTCAAGCCAAGAGTCGACGCTCTTATCCAAGGACCACTAAGGCCGCAACGCGCTGTACATGGCTTGCAGATGCGGTAAGCTCGAGTTCATTAAGGCTCTGCTCAAGGATGTGGAGACTCGGAAGCAGCTCATTGACATGCCTGATGTTGACGGATGGACCCCGCTTCACTGGGGCTGCCGATCAAGGAACTTTGACCTCGTCACGTACCTCCTCGAGGCAGGCGCCCAAGCCGATATCCCAGCGGCCGTGCCGGATAAATGGCTACCCTATCATGTCGCTGTTGAAAACGACTGGGGGGAAGATGTACCACACAGGATCAAAGCCGCCTACAAAGACAGCAAATCACCTCCCGTAGATGAGTCGTCGGTAAAGGAGTACGTAGGTCGGGATTGTGACTGCTGCCGTTGCGTAAGTTTATGCAATATCTTTTTTTTCACTTAATACGCCTATCTACGTGGTGAGTGATTGGGTTCTAACCAGGCCTACCATGCCTGTCAAAGTGGCTCTCCTACCTGCGAAGACTTTGATCTCTGTGACAAGTGCTGGAGACACGCCGACGTTCTGCACTTTCCAGATAATGTCTTCAGCTGAGAGGTTGTTTATTTGTTGAGCGAGGCTGAGGGGCAAATAAGCGACAAAGGGGACAGTGTGTCCAATATATACTGCGTGCAGTACAGATTAAATACGAGCTCTGAAGCCAAACTCGACCTGGTATGCATATACGTACAAACTGGTGATGAAACGTTCTTTCTCCAAACCACCACAGGTAGTCCATAAATTAAACTCATTAATAATTAACACAAATACGGTAATCGGTAGACTAGTTCATTTGGAGCTACCCTCAGTCACAACCGGGCTTCGTAACTACCGTCGCCGGAAGTGAGGATATGACTTGTGCGGAAGAGATGCCTTCGATCGTCAGTTGCTTTGGGAGAGAGGGAGCGGTGTATATTCTTCTGCCTCCGAAATGGTCCGATTCCTGTAGATTCTAGCTAATTAAGTAGGGAGTCGGGCGTGTTCGCTGCCAATGCTAAGGGTGAAGAAATTCTCCGTTTGTGAGTACGACCGTTTTTTATTTTAATTCTTCTTCTCTTTTAAAAAAGTCTTTCTTTTAAAAAAGAAAAAACATTAAAAAAAAACCACCCCCGGACCCTAACAGGAGGGAAAGAGGGTGCCATTGTGGGAACTACCTGTGACGGCCCGCCTTACGTAGTAGGGATGTCAACGGTTGAAGGCAGCAACGAATGTGGATTTAAAGCTAAGGAAGAGAAAGGAATCTATCGCGGGGTCCGCGCAGGGCGCGGAGAAATAGGTAGTGGTGCTCAGTGCGCACAGGCCACACCCTAAGCACAATGCAGCCAATAGAATCAACCCTGTCACACCATGAGCCCTGTGGCGACCGTGACACTACCAGTCAATTAGAGGATGCAGTCGCACGTCTCGACGGGCCGCACAGCCTCAGTGGCTGGCCAGCGCGCGGGCCGCTATGCGGCACGTGCACAAGGACCCTTCGTGACAGTTACTATAGTGACTAATTTGCGAATGAACTTGTCATTCTAACACCTGCTTTTAGATCTCGAGAACTTCTAGTTTCTAACTTCCCTATTTTAGTAGCGTTTTCCTCCGTAATACATCGAAGCAATGCTACGAGACTGACCCTCTAAAGACCCGTTACACTCAAGATCTCTAGCCCGTTTACACCAGTTTCCTATACATACGGCCACAGATAGTGGAGAACTCGGGATCCCGTCCGCTCTCCCATAGATAAGCCACTAATCGCTAGACTAGTAGTTGGGTGGGTGACCACCAGCGAATCCCTGGTGCTGTATGTTTTCTTGACTTTTTGTTTATTATGCAGTAGAACTTAGTCCTACTTACTCTACTTAATATTTCCTTTTTCCATGTTTTTATTGTTAGAGATGTGGCGCTGGTACGGCTGATCAAGGTGGTCATGTCGCCCACTTTTGGGCCACTTTTGAGCCACAGTGTCAAGTCACATACCTGCATATCCCTTCATATCCCTTCATTCGTTACTTTCAGCCCTGATCCCTTTTTCGGGCTCCCGGACTTCCGAATGCCGTCTTTTTTCTCTCCCTTACCACGGCTGAGTCCCTTGCGTAGTACGACTGAACAGACTGTTGAACCAGGTTTCATTTGTCCTTTTCTTGGAAGCATAAAAGGCCTTCGTTCCTATATTATTAGATTAGATTTAGACAGACAATTCAAGACCCTTCAAGCCACTGTCAACTTTGATCACGGGCCAGACAATTACTATACGTATTATACTAGCCTCGCGGCGCCTCACACTACAGTCTCACGACAAATACAACAAAATAGCCAAGGTTTGAGACGCAGTATGTATTCTGCATGTCCGTCGGCAGTCGGCACTCGGTAGCACAATGTTGCAATCTGGACAACAGGTCCACGGAGCTAGGCCCGGCCTAGGATTGTGGGGGTCTGGATGGCAGGTCGGAGATGACAGGAGACAAGGAGTATCGTGCACAGATTGCGAAAGACAGGTTTTCAACACACAACCAATGTATGCTTAACTAGATGCATTGATAGCTGCAGAACCGTTCTCCCAGAGAGCGTACTGCCAGCCTCTATATAGAACTATGCGTGACCAATCACATTCCCTCCTCCGAGTGCTCAGTGCTCCTCCCGCGCTCAGTCCACTGAGCGCCCGGTACAACCTGAGCACCTGCTCAGTGTGCTCAGTCTGTCTTGGCGGCTGAGCGCACTGAGCGCTGCCTGATTGGCTGCATCCCTGCCCAGTGGCCCTAGCTGTTAGACGGAGCTGAGCGGCGACTGGATTGGCTGCCCGGCTACAGGGTGGGTCGCCCCTCTCTGTCACGCCCGACCAATCCAGTCCCAGCTCCGAGGCGCCTTCTGCACAGCGAGCCAGGATCGTAACACACAAGACTCGAACTTGGTAGAACTGCATGTATGTCATTGCCATACCGACATAATATAGCTCGGTACCTACCTAGTCTAGTAGATATAGTCATAAACCCCCAAATTCTAAATAGATAGCGCCCGGTGAAGATCCGTAATCCTAAATCCCCCTCAAAAAACTCCGCCACATGTACCCTCTCCCAGACACACAAACACATCGTACTATACATATCAACATCAGCGCAAACCCCCCTCGACTAAAAGCAAACATGTAGAAATCACCCCTCCTTCTCCCAATCCTTCTCCACCCGCCACTGGTCTTCGAGCCTCAGCGCCGTCTTCTCGGCAATATCGCAGTCGCGGTGGCCCCACTTCTCGGCGTACACGGCGCGGCCGGCGTCGGTGAGCAGCTCGAACGCGCGCGCGAACCCGGCCGGGTCGTAGTAGAACGGCTCGCCGGCGCCGCCGCGCTGGCTGCGCTGCCACGTGTTGCGCAGCTTGTCGCGGTCGCGGTACTTGTGCCAGCCCATGGCCGTGCCGACGCGGCTGAGGACGGAGAAGTAGGCCAGCGGGTCTGCGGGCATGGGGACTAGGATTGGGTCTGGGGCCGGGGCCGGGGCTGGGGCTGGGGCTGAAGCTGGAGGGGGGTTTCGTTTTGCTACTTCTTTTGCGTCTGGCTTTGGTAGAGGGGTGGTGGAGTTTAGCTTCGCCCGGGCCTCGTCGTCGGCTTTGGCCTTTGCGGCGGCCTCGTCGTCGGCTTTAGTCTTTGAGGCGGCCTTGTCGGCGATGATCTTGGCCTCTCGGTCCGGGGGCAGGGGGTTGGGGTCGGTGAAGGCGGGGGCGACGTGGGGGCTGCGGTACAGGGCCTCGAGGTCGTCCAGCACGCTCGACACGTCGTTAACGATGCCGACGCGGCGGTGGCGCATGGACCAGCCGTCCATGGCCAGCCTGCCGTTCATGTCGCAGTCGGACGTGTAGTAGGGAATCAGCGCGTCCCAGCCGCCGACGGCCTCGACGGCGTCGCGGTTGACCAGCGTTAGGTGGTCGTACTGGTGCCACCGGAACCCCCACCGCTCGCCGCGCCGCTCCACGTCGGCCAGCTCGCGCAGGCAGTTCTCGTATATCGTGCGGTATCCCCGCTCGCGCGCGGCCGGCGCGCCCATGGCGGCCTCCTCGTCGGCGGCGTCGTAGAAGTGCCACTCGCGGTCGCCGGGCCGCTGCTCGCGGTCGGTGCCGTTCTCGAAGGAGAAGACGACGACGTCCTGGTGGCTGTAGAAGTAGTAGGGCGTATCGTACGAGTACGCTAGCGATAGGAAGGCGTTCTGCAGCTGCGAAAAGGTTAGCAGCGTGGGCGTGGGCACCACGTTGACGACGCCGAGCCGGGCCAGGGTGGTGTAGTTGAGGTAGAAGGGGTTCTGCAGCGACAGCTTGCCCTCGCGGTTCTTGCTGTGCACGCCCGTGTTCTCGATCACATAGATGCCCTCGGGCGGCCACCCCGCCGTGATGTACGACACGACGGCCTGCAGCAGCATGGGCCAGTTGCGCGTAAAGCCGATGAAGAGCGGCGGCGGCTTGTCGAAGCCGTACTCGTTGTGCATGCCTACGCGCGGCACGTTGTATTCGGGGATGGGGGGCGGAGCCGCTGTCGACGCCGCGAGCAGCGGAAAGGGGTCGGTTATGGCGGGCGGCCCCCACGTCGGCGTGGGCTTGTACTTGGGCGGAGCATGGCTTGTCGGCGGCCGCCGGTCGACGGGCTTTGGCGTCAAGTCGGGCTTCGGGATGGACTTGGGCAGGTAGCCGTTGATCGAGGCGGGCGTGTACGAGTAGTTGAGGGTAATAAAGATGGAGCCCAGGGCGAAGCATGCGGCGAGGAAGACGTAGCGTCGGCCGCGGCGGCCAAGTCGTGTATTCAGCGGGGGCAGAGCCATCTCCATCACATTCCCAATGGCATTCCCAATGGCATTCCTAGTCGCTTTCCCAATCGCTTTCCCAATCGCATTCCCAGTTGGCGTAGCCGGCGCGCTGTGGCGACTGGCACGCGTGGAGGACGAGGGCGGGTCCCAGCTAGAGGTGCTTATGGCGCTGCCGGGTCATTCGCGAGCCCTCGGCGGTCATGCTTGCCGTCGACGACGTTGGTAGCTCGTCAGACGCGACCGGGAGCTTAAAATCTTTTCCTTGGATGGTGGGTGCTGCTGCGCCACTGAAGGGGCGCCAAGCTGCCAACAACGGATCCTCGGCTAGCGGCTCCATCCTGGCCAGCGGCCCCATCCTAGCCTGCGGCCCCATCCTAGCCTAGAGGCCGCCACGAACAGGGGACCTAAGCGGGCTGCTGACCCCAGGCTAGGCGCCATCGAGCACTAACTCTTTATGTCTAATGGCTGACATGGGAGGCTGTCAAGTTCAACGTCGAAGCTACAGCCGCCAAAAGGGTGCACAAGCCAAAGCAACAAAAGGTTCAAACAGCCAGCAATGGTATTGGTCGCGTTATTAACATGCAGCCCCGCTTTTGGACGCCTCGGGCTCAGATGATGCAATCTGCAGTGACCCGCGGCCCGCGGTGGGAAGGACTGGAGCTGGACAGGCTAGGGCCAGCTTAGTGCACTGTAGCTATCTGCTCCCATTGCTTGGCTTGGACGTTGGGGCCTTGGCCATCCAAGTTGGAGAAATGCAACGTTGCCAAGCGCAGCCATGCCTCGAATCCAATGCACCCCGCCATGCCGTGGAAAGCGTGGAATGGATCCCTCCCTGGATCGTCCGATTAACCTTCTGAGCTGTCTCTGGCACCTATTCAAGCTGGTGCACGGCGCCGGGGTGCCGGTTTTGCGTCCATGCTCTAGGTTTCTTTAGCTGCATAGAGTTACCTTCCGTTTCCAACATCTCTCAGTAAATTGCCGAGCCCCTCCACCGTTGCTGCTGGCTCGCTGGCACGCAGCACAGACACCATCCTCGCTCGGCAGGAGCCAGAGACATGCTGCTGTCAAAGCTGTCAATCTGCAGCCACCTACGCCGCCGTCACGCTTGGCTGTCCGATAGTGGTGTCGCAGCATCCCCCAACCCCCAATCCCCAACCGCCTCTTTGGGAAGGTTCAAGTTACACGGCATGCTCAGTTCAATCCTCAGGCCGTGCAACATGATGTAGTGCATGCGCAGAATACGCACTCTCGCCTACCTTCCAGCTTGTTTCTGCTCTCGATGTTGCACCTCTGCTGTCTGCGTTTCTTGGTCTGCGACTTTGCACCCTGGTCACTCTCCCCATCTTGCGCTTCTTCTTCTCTCTCGAGCGAATCGAATGTGCCGAGAACCCCACACGCTGTCCTACCCGCCGTCTGTTACTACACCACCGACCTGGCCAGTAGCACGACCTGGCGCCTTGATAGCCTGAATTGGAGGGACACCACCTCAATCCAAGTAGGCAATCTACCTTACCCGCGTCGGCGCCAAGCCCTACCACGGTTGCAATCGGATTACTGGGACGGGTTTGATAACGCTAGACTGCCCGGGGCAGGCAGGGAGGCAGGCAGGCTGCTGGTCGACAGTGCGGTGTGGGGAGAGAGAGTGGACGGGGTAGGTAGCTATCTCGGTAGTACCACCGCACTACCTACCTTACCTACCTACTCAACTAGTGCTCCGCTCAATTTCAATTCGCTCGGTTCTCGATAGGTGGTCACACAGGCAAGCAGCCGGGCTGCTCTGCCGGGAAGATAAAATAAAATAAATACGCAATGGCTCCCCACGCCGCGTCGGATCCACGTCCTCCTTCTCGTCGGACACGTTCTCGACCTGGTCCGAGCAGCTCCCCCTTCTGTAGCGAGACGCCGACTTCGACTCGAGCCCGGCAGCAGCAGCAGCAGCAGCAGGCCCGTCGTCGTCCTCCCACGGAACTTTTGCCGCCAGCAACAACACCAACAACACCAACAACACCATGGACCGCAAGATGTCGGACGCGGGCGGCGACTCCAAGCCTGGCGCGGGCGCCATCGAGGTCGCCATGGACGAGGCCGTGCGGTTCGAGCACAACCTCACCTTCTTCCAGGCCTGTAAGCTCTACCCGGCCGCCATCGGCTGGTCCGTGTTTGTGTCGCTCGGCGTCATCATGCTAGCCTTTGACCCGCAACTGCTCGGCAACCTCTACGCCATGCCGCAGTTCCAGCAGGACTTTGGCTATTTGTATGATGGAAACGTAAGCTTCCGTGCCCCTGTCGCCCGCCATGATCAGACCAGATACTGACCCGTTCTCCTCTGCTTCTAGTACATCATCAGCGCGCCGTGGCAGACGGGCCTGTCCATGGGCAACCCGGTGGGGCAGGTGGTTGGGGCGCTGATCGCGGGGTACCCGATGGAGCGGTTCGGGCGCAAGTGGACGTTTGGGGCGTGCGTGGCCATGACGACGGGGCTGGTCTTCATCCAGTTCTTTGCGCGGTCGCTCGAGGTGCTGCTGGCTGGCGAGCTGCTGGGCGGGCTGGTGTTGGGGTGCTACGCCGTCATCGCGCCCGCCTACTCGTCTGAGGTGTGCCCCATGGCCATCCGCGGCGTGCTGACCAGCTACGTCAACCTGTGCTTCGTCATCGGCCAGCTGCTAGGCAACAGCATCTGCGCCGGCACCGCCAAGCTCGGCGACCACTGGGCCTACTCCATCCCCTTCGCCCTGCAGTGGTTCTGGTGCCTCATCATCCTGCCCGGCCTGCTGTGGGTCCCCGAGAGCCCCTGGTGGCTTGTCCGCAAGGGCCGTATCGCCGACGCCGAGGCCGTCCTGCGACGCCTGGCCTCGACCAAAGTCGACATCCGCCAGACCCTGGCCGTCATCATCGAGACGGACCGCCTCGAGCAGGAGCTTGAGATGGGCAGCACGTACTGGGACTGCTTCAAGGGCGTCAACCTCCGCCGCACCGAGATCTCGGTTGGTGTGTACTGCACCCAGGTCCTGAGTGGCATCTACCTGATCAACTACGGCACCTACTTCTTCAACCTCGCCGGCCTGCCCACCGAAGAGGCGTTTGACATGGGCATTGGGTTCCTTGGTAAGTCCCAAAGAATTTTGTCTCGGATGGAAACAGACTGACTGGTTATCCACAGCCGTCGGCTTCCTCGGCACCGTCATCTCGTGGCCGCTGATCGTGCGGTACGGACGGCGGACCATCTACAACACAGGGCTGTTCGTGCTGGTGGTGATGCAGCTCGTCATCGGGATCCTCGACTGCATCCCCGGGCGGCCAGACAACGTCATCTGGGCGCAGTCGTCGCTGATGCTGGTGTGGAACTTTTTCTACGACCTGTCCATCGGGCCCGTGTGCTTCACCATCATCTCCGAGGCCAGCGCGACACGCGTGCGCTCCAAGAGCATCGCCGTCGCCACCGCCGCCCAGGGCGCCCTCGGCTGCGTCATGACCGTCGCCATCCCCTACATGATCAACCCCGACCAGGCCAACATGCAGGGCAAGCTGGGCTTCTTCTTTGGCGGCCTGGCTGCGATTTGTTTTGTGTGGGCATATTTCAGGGTTCCCGAGACCAAGGGCCGCACGTTTGAGGAGCTGGATCTGTTGTTTGAGCGCAAGGTGCCCACGCGCCAGTTCGGGGCCTATGTCATTGAGTCTGAGGGCCATTGAGGTGGCTGGGGCGTGTGGAGTGGGAGGGTTGGATGGTGTGCGTGGAGGGCGACATATAAATTGCCAGGTCTTTAGTTTTGTCGTTAATTCATCCAATATTCTGTTGTATGCGTCACAGGTTTTAAAACAGAAAAACCCTAACAGCAACAAATAAAGTCCAACTGTCATGAATGGTGCAAGCAAGTGCCCACTAACTCGATGATGCCGTCTGCATCTGATTCACGCCGTCGGCCAGCTGCTGAAAACAGAGCCCCATCAATTCTCACAATTGTACTCGATACACTTTGTCGCAAATTCGAGACTTTTAGTGCTGCATCCATCGCTAAGCGTAAGTACGTCCCAGCCCTTGGCATATGCATCTTGCATCGTAGACTGGAAACATTGGTCGGTATTGCCGCCAACAAACGGCAGCGTCCTGATGCCGCGATCCCGCAAGACCCCCTCGATGTCTGTCCCACCTCAGAACCCGGACAGGCGGTTCTTGTGGAACCGCATGTCCTGCGGCTCAGCCGATTCCATCAGCGCTGGATAGAACGCCGTATTCCACTGATGGCGCGTCATCACTCGGCCGGCCTCGATCTCGGTGCCATCTTCAAGCTTCAACTTACCCATGTTGTCGCCCAGCGCGCCGAGGTCTCTTGACCCACCGTCTTCGAAGTTCGAATCCAGCCCGAATTGATAGCCCCTTGCGATGCTAGGCGGCATCTCTTCCACATCTTTCTCGCTAAGACCTCAGCCAAGCCAGACGACCGGTATCTCAGCCTTTCGGCAGGCGGGTATGACGGTGTCTAAAAGCCTGTCGACCACCTTCAGTCCCAAACTGTCGCGCGGGCGACCGAGGAGAGGGGATATGAAGTAGTTTTGCAAGTCAACAACTAGCGCCGTTTTAGCCGGATCGATCGTCGCATTTTCTTTAGTCGTGGCCAGAGAGATTCTTGGGAGAATGCAGGGAGAGTCCGTCGTTGGCGGATGCGTGGGGTCAAACCCATCATTTTTGGACCACAGCCAAAAGATCTTGCTGCTGCCGATGACATTATTTCTAGCATCTTGGCGAGATGAGGCGGGCGATACTAAAATAGTAGTAGTAGTCGGATCGAAGTGAGCTTGAAGGTTGGAGAAGGGAAAAGTAGCATGCACCCTTTACTAGGGGACGGGGCAAGGCGAGCAATCAGGGCACGCATTTTGAAGGGGAGAAGGACCTCCCGAGCCAAGTGCGGGCAAGAAGCTGAGGGGACCTTATTGCCTGCAGTGTGCTGCGAGATGCCAGCACACAAGTGCTGCACGATAGGGCACCAAATTTCAACGTCTGTGCGTGCGCCTTCAGTTGTATAACGGGAGCCAAGAAGTCTTGCGCCACTTACACGCTAAAATAAGCCACCAACGCCTTAGTTGGCCCTCATACCCCTTCCCTTCCACGATGAATTTCTTCGCCGACTTTTATCCTTTTACAACTTTAAAACCACAGCATGGTCGGCATTTTGAAGAGCTTCAATTGCGAGCTTTGAGAAGCAAAAGGGCCTAAATTTGGGCTCTCCACGTCTTCGGAGCTATGAGTAAGACCATCTCGGCCCAAATGGGGTTCGGGAAATCCACCGTCAACCGCACCATACAGAGGGTTACCCAAAACCTAGCTAATGGCGATGAAATCCCGTTCATTTAGAAACCTGACTGCCTATAGCCTGCCGTCAAGAGTGGCCGTACGAAAGTGGGTGTGTGAGGATGGTTTATGGGGCCGGAATAAAGGGCCCATTATTGTCCTCCCTCAGGGGACTCGTCTCGGTCTCAATAAGTAGGAATATCCGATCAGGTCTTCATTTCCTACTTTCTTGCTTTCTACAATAAGATGGAGGAAAAATACGGTCACGGCGTGCAATTGTAGGAGGCTGGAGCTTCCTATCACCATAACGGCACAGGATTAAAAACGTGGTGTAGATGGCGTAGGCCATACGGGAAACCTGGGACTAGATAACCCCCGAGTGGATGATGAAATTGGTTAATATAATGCCCAAAAGGATGTATTAACTCAAAAAGTGAATGAACGGGCCAATTGAGTATTAAATTAAAATCATTTTAGTATATTTTGCTTGTATTTTGGGCTTCATTTGATAGAGTTGTGGTATTTTCAATTCAAACTGTGTGTGTAAGTGGGTGGCGCATGACTTTTTGGGTCCCATTGTGCATGGTCTGGTTGGGCGAACGAAGGTAGGATGCGAATGAATTTTGTCGAAATTTGTAACCAACAGGTACCTGTTTGCGAGTGGCGATCGGTGCTCCCATTCAGTAGTCGGATACTAAAATAAGTAGTCGGATACTAAAATAAGACAAAAGCTGCAAGCAAATTAGAAAGAACTCCGCCCCGAAACCACGCGCCGAAAATATTAACAAAGACAACCTAGAATGGGGTTGGTTTCGGGCCGAGACCTGAGCGAGACTATATGCTCAGGGAATATTACACTGCTACAGCAACTCAATCCGTATTTGGCGAGGTAAGCTACCACCTACCCAAGTGTAGCATATTGCACCTACTCTTTTCCCTCTTACCTTCCGTCAAGAGTTAGAACGCGCAGTAAATCGAGTAACAGAGCTACGATACTGAACAGGCCCTGTCCAAGAATCAGGCCTGTTTCAGTGCAGATCAAACCGAAGTACGCAACTCCCGTATAACTTTTTCCTAGGATGTGCGATCGTCAACTGCACAGGTTCAGTTCGATGTCGTCTTGGGCCTCGGTGTCAGATCGCTGTGCTCCCTTTTGCTTTCATGTTATGAAAAGCGCGACGCGCACCGTTGCGTGGTTGCCTAGAAGCGGAGAAACAGGTTTTACGTGAAAGCCACTTGTTCGCAAGGCACAAGTTGATGAGCAAGACGGTGCAGCACTCTTTTTTTTTAGTTCAGCCTCAAGGTTAGTTAGGCCTACTAAATCTCTAATATCAACGTTATACGTGAGAGGGGGCTAAATTTAATAGGCCGATTCACTAAACCGCGGCGCAAAATCAGCGTTGGGGCTTCTAAATTTGACCTTAATAACCTACCCAGAGGGTGGCTTGTTGACGACCTCCATTGTTCACCCTTGTCACTTGGGCATTCAAAATTTCTCATTCTTGTTACACCTAGACCTACATGGCACGCTGATTTCCAGCGCGGCACCACCACTCCCCGCTGTCCCGAGCCTGACTGGATTGCCTCCCACGTTCTAACCCCTCCAGACTACAAGCTCCCGAGACGGACAGCACATACTTTGCTATCACCCTTTCTATGAAGAAGACAGCCAATACCGAGGTCCACCAGGCTCTCGAGAGAAAGGAGACGAAGGATTCGCTGTTGCTACCTACCTGCCCCGCTCAGTGAGCACTCGGAGACTCTTTGAGGCAATCAGAACAGCATGGAGTTTAAAAGGCCGGGCAAAGTCAGGCTGGTTCACTATGTCGGGGAAGCCTCAGAGCATGGCGTTGAGTGCGTAGCCAGACCAAAAGAGACGTGCTAGAAATGAACTCATACTCGGGTAGTTTTGTTATCATTCCAGGAGTGTGGAACGAGAGAGAGTGTCCTTGGTGTCGAAGACGAGACCACGATAGAGTATGTGCGAAACCACTGGTGGCCTCAGATACGCCTACTACACCTTAGAAAGTACGCCGAGTTGACTTTGGGCAGGTCGGGACGCATCTGGTGCGCGATGGGCCACATCCGTAATGCACAGAAACGGTACGAAGAAGCCCTGGTATACCACGAACGCGCCGTCAGGAACACCAAGGCCACCGTCAGCGACACACACCACTTTTCAGGAGACTTTTTTCTACAGTCTCGCAGAAGACTTGATACGACGCGGGGATAACACAAGAGCAATGCAAGTAACTATTTTATGCGTATCCCCTGGCAGAGCTAGTTAAGGTACTGACGCGAATAGATTCTCAGAGATGCTAGATAGCGCTAGTCACGCATTCACGGTAGTGCAAGGCAGAGAAGCGTAGGCGGCGCTCGCTTTCTGGAAAAAAGGAAGCTTACCGAGAGACACCGGAGACGAAACAGCCGACACGGGGCTCTTTCAGAAAGCGATGCAGCTTCGGTGAGAGCTAGTGCCTGCGGACAAACGCTCAGTGACGGGGCTTACAGATGAGGACTGGACAAAGTTAATCATTTACTGGTCAAGGTAAAGAGCAGCAGGTTCAAGGATCGGAAGCTAGGAACTTCCCAAGGCTTCAAGTATAAGCTTTTCAGGCTGGGCCCAAGAGTGGATCCCGCTGTTAGAACAAAAGTTGCCACCATCTAGAGCAGAAACAAAAATGGCGCCCCAATCAAATGGAGATCAAAATCCATGTTGGGGCTCTAGGCTGGAAGTCCAGGGACGATTTGCTGGTCTAGGCTAGGCCTCCCTTGCCCCGTGTCTAATAGCACAGCACCGATATTCTGGTGCTTTTTTTCTCACAAGAAAGAGAAGCCCGTCATGACTTGTGATGTGATTGTATAAATTTACTAACCCCGATTTGGCCGCGCCAAACATTTGGCCCGGGCGCCGCGCGCACTCACACAACGCAACGCATTACATTTGAAGTTGTAGAAAAGGGTCAAATCAACTAATTACAATACAACTTTCGACTTCATCCTCATATTCCGAGCTCTCTGGTTCGTCAAAACTGTCAATATTGCGCCCCACTGCCCTCTACGCCTTGAGGATGTATTCAATCGTTAAAAACTTGGAATTTGGGCTCAATTCCACCTTCTTCTTACCACCCTTCTTATTCTCAATTTCGGCCTTAAGAGCTTCATTTTCGCGTCGCAGCTTAGCCAATTCGAAATCCTTCACGCTAGATGCCTTCTCGACCTTCCTGAACAGCGTACGGTGTGTACGGCGAGCCGCCGAATATATATTCAATTTCGCCAGGGAGACCGTAAGGTCTGTAACCATTTGGGGAGTCTTCCAGACGCTGTTTTCATCAGATACCTATTGCTACAGGTAGGCTAATGACCTACTTCCTCTAGGGCACATGAAGCTATATTCGTTGTGCCTTTATTCCTGTTTTCTGACAGCAATTTACTTCTCAAGGGCTTTTTATTACAAACCACTCGACTGTTAGGGTCGTCTGTCTGTAAGGGAGCACGGGCTCCACAGAATGCTGGGGTTGGTAATTATGAAGATAGAACAAAGGGCAAGCTCCTATCGCACGGGTAATACAGTCAAATCGGAATGCCACTCAAAGTGTATGAGTGCAGTGAATGTGTATTGCTTGCTTGAAGAACCAAGCAAGAACTATCTAAGACCGTGGCTACGGTCGTCGTATATATCTATCTAAGGCGGACCAATCAGAGCGTTGGTCCTGGGTGATCAGTGCGATCAGTTCCCACTGATCGCCCTGATCATACTGATCGCGCTGACCGCCACGCTATTGGCTGCACTCCCGTGAAGCGGGGAACTACCCCGCTTCCTTGCGCCAGCCAATAACGGGAGGCTCCGTGCAGCCTCCTGCGAGCCTGAACCAGGATCGTAACACTATTTTGTTGTCAGTCCACCCCTTTTCTGTAGTAACAAAGCGCCAATTGCAGATCTTCTGCATCTCCTGTTTAAACCAGGATGTTTGAAGGTCTTTTCCTTCAAAAATAATGCCTGGATCAAGGGCAAGACCCCCGGCACTAATGCATTCGATTATGGTGGACCAGCCACGGCCTTAGTCGCTTTTTAGGTATGCTTTCTTCGTCTCTGAGGTTCCTAGGACTAATGAATCAAGCCTTGTATAGTATGAGTAATAGATGGTATATAATAGATGTTATATTCTTACCAAAGCCTGCCATAATGCCGGCCTTATCGACGTTGAAGGTGAACTCCGGCCTGATCCAGTTGTATTCTTTCTCCCTGATATCAAAATACCAGTTGACGGCTTTGGGAGTGAACCCGTTAAAACGAGCGGCTTCCATTCTCTTGCCTACTTTGGCTTGGATGTCGAGATGTCGGGCTTTGAAGCTGAAAATCTAGTTCTTTCCTACAGGGTCTGGTTCCCCTGCAAGTTGACAGAGCTTTGTAGCTATACTAGCTACTGTTGAGTAGCTTGGTGCAAAGCCCAGTCTTTCCTGGTTGACGATCCACTCAATTAGTCGCTTTTCTTGAGGCTCTGTGAGCCTCCGTTGTTCCTGTAAAACCTCTTCTCTGGTAGGACGCCGTTGAGCCGCCTATTGAGCGTTGTATAGGGAACTCCATGCTTGTAAGCCAATTGACGAATAGAAAGCTTGTTGTCAGTGACGTCTAGGAACGCATTGACCATAGTATCTTCAGTATATTGAGACATCGTGATTGTACAAGAAGTTATTTACACTCAAAGGTAGGGGGGAAAAATGTAAGGAAGCTAATTTGGAGTCAATTTCGAGTTCATTCGCAGCAATGCAGCGAAAAAAGGAGGGCCTTTAGGGTGACAAATCCACATTCAAATTAAGCTACATGCAATTATCTAACTAGTTCAATTCTCTACTTATGAATAGCTTCACAATTGACTACGTTGTGGTTGTTCAAATATTTGGTGTTTTGGTGTAAAAAGGTGATCCGCTGCTAGGGTGATCCGTTGGGGGGTGGGGTATGGTATTTGATCTATACAAGGCCATATTTGAAGCCAAAAAAAATGCCAATTGAGTTGATTTGTGTAATTGAATTGATTTGACCCGGCACTGAAGAATATTAATCCGGCACGGGTAAACATTGGAAGACCAAAAATCTGCGCGCCGGGACGCCGGAAGCCAGTGATGCCCAAGACCATGCTTCAAAAGACCGAATTCTGCAGCCAATTCAACAGGCAGAGCAGCTTGTTGATGGTACCGCTATGAAGTGCTTGTCTTTGAAGCCAAATTACTAATTTGGCCACACCGAATAGCCTCTCGCAGTCGGCTGCATCGCCGGGATCGAGAGGATGTCAAAGGCCATGCGCGCAAGGCGTGGAAAGTCGTCTTTCCTGTCAACCCACCAAGCCAGTATATCATAAACGGGTTTGACGACTTCCTGAAGGTATTCATGAAGCTGTGAGCGGTCGGTAGCGGGCTCAACGTAGTAGCCATGACCCGTGAGGTATTCCCTGGAGCGGTCGGGGTTACCGGCTTGTGCTGCGGCAGGGACTTCGATGTGGGGGTAATGCGAGTCGAAGAACGCAGTGACTGGGGCTATAACACTGACGCCCTGTTCCCCCGGAAGATACAAATTAATCCACCTCTTCCTGTGCCCGGGGGCATTATGGAGCCTGCCCGGGAGCGGCGAGGGGTGTAGACAGGGTGTCGAGATCTACCGCCTTGAGGGTAACAAGCTGGCTCGCGAGCGTCGGTACAGCCTCATTCCCGGGGGCGGCGGCGATGCCGAAAATAGGAAAGGCCGGGGCGGCATTCGAGCTTGGCGAGCAGAGGGAGTGTCGGGAATGCTTGATATCGTATTGATCAGCCAGAATCGTTGCAACTGTGCAAGAAAGTGAGCATCGCAGAGCCTAGGCCGATTTTTACAGGAATGGAAGACCACCATGCAAATGCAGAGTTTTCGCTGTAAAAACACACTTTTCCATGGCGCCGAACCTACCGGGAAGCGCCGCATGCGAGGGCCTCTCAGGAAAATGTAGCCTTTTAGCCTTGAAAATCTAGATTTTCATGGCGACGGAACTTGCCGGGATGCCCTCAATCCGGGAAAAATTAGCCCCAAACAATGCCCCACTTTTGGTAAATATACACAAAGCAAACCAAATATGAAGCTTTTTTATTGCTTTATTTGAGCGGTATTTCGCCCCTGTTTGATTTGGATATATTTGGTTGTATTTGGGTTTCATCGGTTTATTTGCATTTTTGGGGCCACTGGTGCCAACCGACGAAGTATTTGAGCTTTCCCAGGTAGTGTTGTTATTGAAGGGTCTTTCCTTTTATAATGACCGCAGGAGGTAGGGGCTGGCTAGCCGTAGAGATGAATTCTACGAAGGCAGTCCAGCTGCGAGATCCGGGTTGTTTTTTGATCAACACGTTGCTTTCTGAACTGCCTAGGACCCAGCCGTTCGAACCCTGGCCTTCAAGAATGCCTGTCTCGTCTTTATTCCAACGGTTCTCCGGCTTGATCGGTTCTCCGGCTTGATGCCCCGAACAACTGGAAGGGCCACGTATTCGAACCAGGCCGTGATAGCCTTCTTCGTAGCTCCGTTGAGGTGCACCGAGGTTAGTTAACTTAGCTAAGGTTTGCGGAGGACGTGATTAGACATACTTCAGCTGTATAGCTAAGGTTGGTTTGTTCGTTTGTTCGTTATGCGTATCTCGTGGCTATAGCCAAATTTTGCCGCCTAACTTCATCTCGAGCATTCTAGTGGCATCGCTGAGGCTTTGCTAACTTGTTCTGGTCGTGTTAGAGGTGGCCGTGGCGGGATCGACAAGTTAAATATTGTTCGTGTCCCCTTCAACGCATTTTTGGGATCTCGTAGCCAGTGACATTGCGGAAACGATACTGTGATGCGGGTCCCCCGGCTGAGGGGGTGCGATCGACTTTGGTAGAATGGCTCTGTTCTGTAGCCTATGTAGGACGCAGGTACCTGCCTACTTTAGCTATTTGTTTCTCTACATGTTCTTTGTCGTGAGACTTGAATTCCATTCTAGCAGCAATCTCGGGGCAGGTGGACTGTTCCTCCGTTTACGATGTTGTTTCCTTTGTCGCTGTTTCCCGGGCATCGGCGGGGCCGACTGAGGAAAGCGTTGCGAGCGCATGTCATCCTTGGCTCACGTTTCGTGTCCATCATCCCGCAATCACAAGGGAAAGAAATCAAAATAACGGAAAACAACGGTAGCTGTGCTAATTGCTTTCTACGGGGTGGGATGCTAGTACCTGGCAGCCTACAGGTAGCGCTCTAATCTTTTAACAAATTTCTAGGTACCTTACAGAGCGAGCGAGAGCCTCACAGCCCTGTCTTCGTACGCAGCGCTGAAGGCTGTTCCTCTCCGTGGGGATTGGTTGGTCATCCAACCATGTCGCTCCCAGACGGCAGTTTGGTCTGGCACGTCCAATACGGAGCGGTCCGGCAGGGCAGGTCCCTATTTCGACCACCCTTCACCTCACTATTTTCTTACCTGCCCTCCTTTTTCTTGCCACCCGCTCTCCTCGATTCACTTTCCCTTCCAAGAGCGCATAAATCTTCAACCCCGCCCGTGGTAGCCATAGCTTGCCAATATCACACGCAACCACGAAGCACGTGGCTGAGTAGTATCCGAGTTTCCTTTTGCCCACCGCCTGGTAAGTTTAGGTATCATTTCCTGCCTGGATAGCTTCCCTGCTAGATATGCCTCACCACTGTGAGCAGTTATACTATTTAATTGATAGATAAAACACATCACACTTTCACATACATCTCTCGACACACAACTGCGAAGCGCATTGCTGAGTATTAGCCTTTGCCTCTTGCCTCCCGCCTGGTAAGTACATATCAATTCTTGTTCGGACATGCCTCAGTGCTAGATATCCACCACTGCTGTATTCCTGCCTGGATTACTTCAGTGCTAGATATCCAGCACTGCTGCACTACTGCCTGGATTACATCACTGCTAGATATCAAGCACTACTGTATCCTTGCCAGGATATGCTTCACTGCTAGATATGTTTCATTTCTGCAACCAGTTTTACTAATTGATTGATATAGCACATAACATACATTTCTCGACACACTACCTCCCTTGAAATGCAGAACGGAAAGGGTCTGTCTGGCATGCCTTCGGGCTATTTCTACTTTGGCCAGTATGGTACCGACCAGGGTGCGAACCAGGCACCGACCCAGAGCTCCGCCGGCAAGCCTAGCCAGGCCCCCAGCGCCTTGAATCCCAGCGCGGTAAGTTCATGTCAAACATTCTTCTAGCTTAGTAAACCAGTACTAGATGCCATGGCGTGTTTAGTCCAGCTTTGTCGTGCCCCAGCGCACCGTCACAATCCAGCCCGGCCCTGTTGCTGCCAGTCGCCCTGCTCTTGCCCAGCCTTCGGGCTTGGGATATTTCGCCCCGCCACCGTTCGGACGAACGGTCGTGACATACTCCGTCTCAGTCCCACGCCAGCCGAACAAGGTCATATTTGCGCAGACAGAGGAATACCGCGTGCAGGGTAGTGCACAGAGCGAGGCGTACCACATGCAACCACAGGGCAGTGGTAACGACGAGCCGTTCGTTCGGCACAGCCAGTTTCTTCCTCCTCCCGGCTTTGAGCACCTGGCTCGGCACATGCCAGCCCCATATGGCAATGCTCGTTATGCCGTCGACGCACACTCGGGCGTCATCTCGCGTTCGGTGCCGTCTGCCATACCGCCCCCGTCCATCGCAGGTAGTCGTCCTGCCCACCGCCCTCGCCCCGCCCAGCCGACCGCCCCCGCCCAGCCGACCGCCCCTGCCCCGCCCACCAGCCCTGCCGCCAGCACGCGCGGTGCGCAGCAAGTGGTCGAGCGTTATCGAGACGCTCAGGCCCAGCAGCACAAGGCTGAGGCAGCCAAGCTGGAGGCGTTCCAGCAAAACCACTACAACAGCATGGTTACGACTGCTGCTGCGCGCCGACCCGGTGCAAGCGGGCCGAATTCATCTAGGTCTGTCGGTGAGGGCAGACCCTCCTCGTCGAATATGGCTGGACAGAGTGTCCAGCAGCAGAGCCAGCCGTTCGAGCTGGTAGGATTCAAGCCGAGCGGATCCAAGAAGCCGTCCCCTTCTGCGCTAGAGCTGCCGATTCGCCGATTCTATCCGATGAACATGGTGCGCGAGAAGCAGCTGGAAGAGGCCGGGGCGCCGAAGCCTACGTTGTCGGAGCAGCAGATCCGGCACCGCATCGAAGTTGGTTGCTCGCCCAACTACCACGGCGACCCGGACAACGAGGGGAATATGTCGGCGGATATTCCCGACGAGCTAAACTGCTCGTTCTGGTTGACGAACTTGCCGCCGTACGCCACGGTCAACATGCTGCTGGGGAAGATTCGGGATGTGGGCCGCATATATGCGGTGTCGATCAGCAAGCCGGATCTGGAAAAGGGGCATCTCACCTGCGCGGCCAAGCTGGTCTTTTTCAGTGTCGCGGACGCTACTCGGTTCTTGGGCCGGTACCCCAAGTACGGGAGTGAGGGCCTGGTCATGGATCGATACCGGGCGATGATATCCCGCAACCGCACACGAGCCGCCGAGAAAGGCCACCTCCCAGTTGAGCACACGCGAGCCATCATCATCACCGGTCCAAAGGATGTCGTGAACGAGCGCACGATCATGGCATTCCTCAAGCCAAAGTTCGTCTTCGTCATGGACGAGGTTACATACCTGGTCCAAGGAAAGTCGATCAATATCATGGAGTGGCGCTTTGGCAGTTATCGTTGCCAGTCCAATGCCGCATATAATGCCTTGTCCAGCGATGCAGGCATGAGGAAGGCTGGGGTCACGGTGAAGTACACTTGTGACCCGTGCGATGTCATTGTGCGGGATCCGGCGGTGGAGAGGCTCCTGAAGCGCACGGGGGCGTTCCCGCCGCTCTTCGATGCAGACCTGTACGACTAGACGGGGTCTTCTGCTGGGGTGGACGGGGTCTATGTTGGAATGACAAGGTCATTCGTGCTAGTCACTATAGTAACCGCTGCGAAAGGCCGCAGCGCTGGCACCAATGCAAATACGGTAATGCAAACAAAGCAAATACAAATATATGCAAATACAAATAACGTATTTTATAAGCGAGCGGCGAATTTCTAACCAACCTACCACAACTATCCTCAATTAAACCACCACAACACTAGGAAATAACAATAACTGAACCAGAAATAGATGAATTAGGCAATTCTCCAGCTTCCTGGCACGTGCGTGCATTATAGCCAGGCTTGCCGTATAGGCCACAATATCAGTCATTGTTCACTCTCTTCAGTACCTTTATTGTGACCACCTTGATCAGGCGTACCTGCCTTCACTTACAATTGGGTTTATGATGGTAAAGCAGCCTGGCACCAAAGTGTGGAGCTGAATGTCCCGTCTCCCCTGGGGAGAGGTGCGGGTTGCGGCGCGCATGATATGAAGAGCCACCGACCAGCGCCACATCTCTAACAATAAAAACATGGAAAAGGGAATATTAAGTAGAGTAAGTAAGTTGACCATCCCTATTTTGGCCCAGCCCACTTTTGGTCCGTGCTGAGCCGCCGACTCATGAATGACACCCTACATTGAAGCATGTAAAATATCGCCAAATCAACTAATTACTATACAACTTTCGACTTCTTCTTCTTCTTCCGAGCCCTCTGATTCGTCAGAGCTGTCAATTTCGCGCCCTACTGCCCTCTGCGCGCGCCGAATGTCTTTTATCGAGGCAAACTTCTAATTTGGGCTCAATTCCACCTTCTTCCTCTTGGTTCCCTTTTTGTTCTCAAGCTCAGCTTTCAGAGCCTCATTTTCGTGCCTGAGCTTAGCCAGCTCAAAGTCCCTGAGGGTGAATGCCTTCCTGACCTTCCTGAATAGTTGATGACGTGCCCTGCGGGCCGGGGAGCTGATGTTTATTTTGGCCGAAGCAATCGTAAGGTCCGTAACCTTATTAGGAGTCTTCCAAGCGCCGTAATCGTTAAGCAACTGTTGTTGCTGATGAGCCGTATCCCTCTCTTCCTCGAGAGTAGCTATAGCCGTACTTTTACCGGCTTTGTTGCTATTTTCTAGCACTCGAGGGCTCGTGAGTGGCTTGAGCTTATTTACCGGCTACAAGCCGGTAGCATACCACCCTGCCTTGCAGTTTTCTTCCTTGAATGCTTCTTCCCGGGCAGCCCGGTAACAGATCAACATAGTGCGCCGACCGGAGACCGTTGAATCGGAGCACCGGGGTAAGGAGTTAAACCTCTTCCGGTATGCCCGCTTCAGGACCGAGAAAACCGTCAAATCAAGCGGCTGAAGCACGTGTGATGAGTGTGCCGGTAAGTAAAGAAGCTGAATGTTGTTTTGGAAGCAGGTCCACGTATAATCATCAGTTGTATAACTGCCGTGGCCGTCAACAATGAGGAGCCGGCGTTCGTTATTGGCCGTGCGGGTATGAGGAAGGAAGACTTCCTGAAGCCATTTTAACGCACCCTCGTCGTCAATCCAGCCTTTTTCTTACGTGTGGAACTTCCAGCCTTTAAAGGGATCAATTTTGGTTGGTTAGTGTTGTTGTTGTAAGGTTTTTCCCTTCATGATTACCAAAGGAGGTATTGACCTGCCCGTTACAGAGATGCATTCCACGAACGTGGTCCAATTCCGTGATCCTGACTTCTTTTTCTTTAGCTTCTTGTTGTTGGCTCTTTCCTCAGATCCGAGAACCATGCCGTTATCACCCTGGCCTTCAAGAAGGCCAGTCTCGTCTTTATTCCAACGGTTCTCCGGCTTGATCAGCTTGACTGCCGGGAGGGCCAGGTAGTTGAACCAAGCCGTGATTACCGGGACCGTGGCGCCGTTGAGGCGGGCCGTATCCATGCTTTGGGCCCGCTGGGTCCGGATTGACGGGTTCCGGGCCATGAAGCCGCGCAACCACTTCGGTCCTACCCATTCCGGCTTCCCTCCGTCCACGGCCTCCCTCCGTCCACGGCCAGCCGGCGGGCAAATTCCCGGACCGTTGCATGCGTCGGAGGCAGGCCGAGAGCGCCTTGGAGGATGATCCATTCGGCGAGCCAGGCTTACGTCGCATGAGGAAGAACCTGCATGTGTTCGAATGCAATATGGCGGGATTTGTGGCCAGCTATACGGTTGCGAAGAGAGGTCCTTGGAACGCCACATTCTAGGGCCGCGCGCCGCACCGGAATGCCTTCGCGGACTTATTGCATGCCCTGCAGCATTTCCAACTCGTTATATTGAGGCATCTTTGAAATAACGGTGAAAGAGCTATCGATTGTAGTAGAATTGAAGGAATTTGGTGTTGTTTTGAGGAAGTTGCGGTGTGTTGAAGAAAAAGGATTCATCACATGTGCTGTAAGTGCATGGAGGCTTGCGCATGGGCCAAAAGTGGGCCTGGCCAAAATAGGCATGGTCAACTTAGTACTAAGTTCTACTCACATAAACAAAAAGTCAAAGAAACATACAGCACCAGAGATTCGCTGGTGGTCAGCCACCCAACTACTAGTCTAGCGGTTAGGAATCTTTTTTCTGGGACTCAAAGCGGCCGAAAATGAGGGTATATAAGAGTCGAAAATGGGCTCCAGAAGTGCACCGAATTAAAATGCGGCATCTTATCTCTTATCGAGGGCTAACTGTCACGGTCGGCGCCCAGCTGCACCGAACCCCGCCATGACGCTACCCGGCACTATCCCCAATCGGGACTAGGGCCCGGGTGGGGCGCGAACTCTATTGGTCCGTGCATGATTGGCACAACCACCACTTCCCCGCGCCCGGGATCACACCTTTGTAGAATTTCTTCCTTTCTTTTCCTTATCTTAGAATCCTTAGACAATGGTATAGCAAAACTAGCGACTTTCTTCCTAGCTGCTGTTGACCGCCGTCACACTAACCGCTATACCCCATCCGGCCGACCCCGCCCCAGCCAAAGCTACGCCGATTAATCGCGCGTGGCCGCCTGATAAGCTGGCCACGATAAGCTTCTGAGATTTATTCAGCCGAACGGAGCCACCGTAGGCGAGCTTGCGAGCCGGAGGTGACGTAGAGAGGCTGTCTCTTTTACTTTACCGTGAAGGTGCCGAAAGTTTCTCGCACAGAGATTGGCCTGTTGGCAGGCGGACCTAGCTAGGCAGGTAGGTAAAGTTTGGATGAAGTGGTAAAGCTTTAGATTCAAAAGTGTCTCTGCCCCATTCACCACGGTTGCTACAAGCAGTTCTGAGGGAACGGGAAAGGAAGCAGGGTGCCCTAGCTACTATGGAAGGCTATGGAAGATCTCGGAAGGTCTCGGAAGGTCCTACCTTGTAGGGCACTATGATGGAAGGTAATACAAGAAGGCAGGGAGCCGAGAACAATAGGAATAGTGGAGACCGACGGTGACGCTATATAGCAGAGGAATAACGAGAACCAGTATAGAGCACAATTCGTAGTTGAAGTCTTTGATCTTGGCCCTGTGGGGCAAAAAGAAATGGTCACCCTCCTCCCCCGCTCCTGCCACCCTCAATTCAGAGGTATCACGAACTTCAGACGACGTAGGGTACAGAAGGCAGGTGATCCGTGCACGACTGCAAATTTTGAGGCTCCACTCGCCCAGGTGCTTTTTCTATTTAAGAAGCCTTCCCCTTCTGCTTTCTCTCTCTTAATATTTTTTTTTCCTTTTAAGCCGGCCAGCACACCACACCACACCAGCATCATAGCGTCAAGATGGCTCACCAGCTGCCCTCGACCCCGGCAACAGTGACTCGAACGAGTCAAGCGGCAGTTCGGGGCCGAGTTCCAGCAGAAGGCGTGGGAATTGATAGCAGAAATCAACATGGGGGTCGATAAGCGCGCTGTCCAGGTGGACCTTGTGGCGCGCATGTTTCGCGACGATCCAGATGACATTAAGCCAACTGTCCTCATCGTCGTAAATGCCGAGTGGACCGCAGAGTTGAGAAATACCTGGGAGCCGGTTGTGGTCAAGCTGAAGCGGTATATCGGTACGTGTTTATCTCTCTTCCCAACGATCAAGCTGACCTGATTGTTTGCCTACCTAGATCAACGCGTCGCGGGTACGCCTTCCATGGGCTCCATGGACATCTACGTAAAAATGATGTCGAAAGCCTTGGTTTTGCCCAAGTACCTCGCCATCATCAATCCTGACGAGCAGGGGTCCTGGCAACTGATAGAGACTTGGCCGCGTATCCAGGATGGGATCCTCGGTATCCTAGAGAGCTTTAGTTCGACAGCCGGCCACATGACAGCCATTTCTCTCTTTAGACTTGGCTTTAATATCGAGGGCAGCGAGAATCCAAAGACAGTCTACGTGAGCGTCGACTACGACTCACCGGCGTTGGGTTGGCCCCCGGTCTTGGATGCGATGCAGGGATACGTGGAAACCTTCGAGATGGACCTCAAGGTTCATATGGAATACAACCTGGTAGGGCACCATGCCGACTTTCCTCTGCTGCCATTGGAGATCACGGCGGCTGAGAAGGAAACCAGATGAGTGATTTTAATTATGCGCTCCTGGGATCATACAGTAAGAAAGTCAAGGCCGGATCCGACATTGGTGCCGGCTGCTACATCACCCGCAGCGACAACAAGCTCACCAACCTCATGGTTGGCACTCTTGGCTGTTGGGTCCAGATCAAGGTCAAGGGCAAGGACTGGGCGACCATGGGTCTCACTTGCTATCACGTCCTCGGGCCCTGCCTCGAGGGCTACACGGTTGGTGTCGCCAAGACCCAAGTTCCAGGCCTCTCCGAAAAAGTGGACCGTTCATGCATGAGCGAGCCTACCCGAGACTCAGCCTGCTGGAAGGCGGATATCGATAGATTTTCCCCGAGGGATATGCCAACGATCGAGATGGTGGAGCACCCCCCGCGCGTTAAACACAACATCAATGTCACCGACAAGCACGCGGATATTGAGGACGATTTGCCCACTGAAGCACAGGAAGCAGCGGAAGCAGAGCTGAAAGAGGTGCTCGACTTCTTCAACAATGGCCATCAGTATTTCGGCAGGCCATTCTTCGCTTCGGGGTATCTGCGACGCACCAAGACATTTAATGGTCGACTGGACTGGGCCCTAATCCAGCCGCTTGACGACAGCCGAGTTGGTGGCAACGCCCTTCCAACCGTCCAGGATTGGCAATCGAAGGGGTATTTCCAATCTCAGATGCCTCGGAAACGGGACGGTGTTTTGGAATCTCAGGGCATCTCTCTTCATAACTGTGTTAAAGACGTGACTGTCGTCCACGACAAGGTGTCTGGATTCAAGATGGGAGCTTCGACGAGATACACAGCGGGTGAGCTGTCGTGGGTCCAGACGACTTGCACCATCACTGAGGACAAGTATGTGGCCGGCCGGAGCCTGGAGGATCGCAGGTCCACCGAGTTCGTCTTCGCACCCGTACAGCTAGATCCCAAGATTAGGTTTGGCAATCGCGGAGACTCTGGGGCTGTCGTGTTCGACAAGCTCGGAAGGGTCATGGGGCTGGTTTTTACTGGAGAGCGACCCCACCAATGCGATGCCGGATATATCATGGTGACGCCCATCGAGGACGTGTTTGCGGATATTAAGGAGTTTAGTCGCGGACAGGTTGAGGATATCCGTATCCTCGAAAGGGGTAATTAAGGAAAAGCGTTTAGGTGTTTCTAGGAGAGAGAAAGATATTACAAACCACTCGACTGTTTGGGTCGTCTGTCTGTAAGGGAGCATAGGCTCCACAGAATGCTGGGGTTGGTAGTTATGAAGATAGAACAAAGGGCAAGCTCCTATCGTACGGGTAATACAGTCAAATTGGAATGCCACTCAAAGTGTATGAGCGCAGTGAATGTGTATTGCTTGCTTGAAGAACCAAGCAAGAACTATTTAAGACCGTGGTTACGGTCATCGTATCCCTTCAACCGCGAACGTGCAACAGTGACAAATCGACAGGGGTTTTCGGCCAATCAGACCACCTTTTGGAAAGGTACATGAGTTTACTAGTAAATTTAGCTGTGAAATAAGTACCTGTAGAACCCCGCTGTACATAATGCTACATCACACTGGCGGCAGCCCTTCCTCGTCATTTTGCGCTGCGCATTTCTCGATGCTTCCCCAAGAGCCTGGCTCTTGTGACGGGCCCCTTTCGAGCAAATGACGCAGCGTGAGAGCTTGCCGCGATGTACGAATTCATGCTGCTCAACGGGAATAGTTTCATTCCGGTTGTCCAACAGTGTGCCAGCCCGAGCCTGCTTCCGCGTCTTGACTTGTAGCCCAAAGGTCCCAATTAGCTGTTCAGAAAGCAGCTGCCGCCATTCTAGATGACTGGCGGCACGATCCCAGTTGGGCTCCCCTTGGTCTTGTAAAATGAAGGTATTCACCGTAACGACGCTTAGTAGGTAATCCCACGCGAGGGCCTGCCATCCGCTCCGCCGAATCGACCGCCCCGAGGCGTAATACGCCCTCATCTGATCCCCAACGTCAATGCCGTTCATATAATGATTATACTCGTCGATGAAACTCGGGATCGGCAATTCTTTCCGGGCGTCGGCCCCGAATACCTTGCGGGCAGCCCGCCCAGCAGTAGATGAAGCATGTGAGGGCCTGGTCCTCCAGGCCTCCCAGACGCTCTGACTAATCAGACGCCAGTTGGGTGGATCCACCCGACCAGCCAGAGCCCCACCTTGAGACGCCCTGGAAGAATCTCGCGACGGGAGGCTTTTGAGCTTCTTTTCCCTTTTCCCTTTAGTTTAGAATCTTCGTCTATAGCGCCCAATAGAGGAGTTCCGCCCTCATTCCAAGCCGGCCGTGACACAATTCTAAACTCTCAATTCTCATCGCTGGCTAGCGATCAATAAATACGTCAAACCCCACAAACAACCCACTACGTCGGCTGTGCACGACGATAAACCAGGCCACAGAAACCCCCAAACACCACAGCGTCGATGCCCAAGAAGAAAGATTACGGACCACCGATGCGCCAATCCGAACGCCTCTCCCAGCCAAAAGAGCTAAGCGAACGGACCCAGGAGGAAGCGAACTTGAAGACCGAAGAGTCCGACGAAGAAGTCATAGCAACCCCCTCGAGCACAGAGCTTGCTAAGCCCGCTCCACAGCAACGCGACACAGAGCCAATCGAGCCAGTCACCAGTATAGAAGTCGACGCCCCGATAGACAACATGCCGGGAAACGAAACCCGTAGCGTACCGGGTGACGATGGCGCCCCGAGCGCCGAGGATTACCGAGTTCTGCTTGCCCAAGTGGCAGAACTCAGGGCGGAGGCAGCCGCCCGCACCGCCGACGGCGTCAATCGCCGGGCCCGAACTGTCACCCCCGCTGAGAGCGCTTTCAGTGGGGACAGCTTCACACCCATTGGCTTCGCCGCCCTTCCCGCTTTCAAGCCCTACGGTCAGGACCAGCACGCCGCCAACCAAACCTTCGACCGGAAGGCTCGCAAGGCCGGTGTCGACCCTGGAGTTTTCAAGGGTGTTGACGGAACCTTCGATAAGTGGATCATCAAGGTGGCCGACAAGTTTGTAGAAGACGATGCCACTTTCAAGACAGAACGTAGCCGCATGGCGGTTCTGAACTCTCTTACGGAGGGATCCCCGAACGACCTGCTGGAGAGTCGGTACAGCTCTCAGGAGATGCCCTTCCGCAACGTCGCCGAGATGGTAGCTACGTTGTCGACTGTCTACCATGATGACAACCAAGCCACGAAAGCCAGGGCCGAGCTAGCCAAGCTCAAGTATGATCCGGCGAATGAGGACGTGACTATCCATTCATACATTGGGTTAGTCAATAGCTTGGCTGATAAGGCTAATATTGCCAAGTCTGAGCGCAAGACCCTACTCTATGAGCATATTCCCGCCCGGCTTGACACCCGACTCTTGGGAGACTCAAAGAACCCGACAATCTCCTACGAAGCTTTTGCTGGCAGCGTCGCGGATGCTGCTCTAGCCCACCAGCGCGCTTGGGAGGAGAACAGAGAGCGCAAACAAGAGAAGAGGGATCGCCGGACACGTTCGCCAACCACTCACAGCGAACGGGCCTATGTTAGGGAGTCTCGGTTTGAGAAGCCAACTTCCCAGCCAGCTGCAACCAAAGTTCCCGAGGCTAAGAAGGATAGAGGGAAAGACGATACTTGTTTCATCTGCCGTAAGGAAGGTCACTTCGCCCGTGACTGCCCCGAGCGGAAGACTATGGCCAAGATGATGCTAGACCTCGACCAGGATCCTCCTACCTCCCCGGAGCAGTCATCCTCGTCGTCTAACGAATCGGAAAACTGCTAGGACTGTCGGAAGTCTCCACGACAGTCCGTATACCACGACTAGCTAAAGTGAGCAGATCGTCTGGATCAAAAACCTTCCTATTCCCTATTCAACTCCAATTGGAAGGAATTAGCCTCAAAACCAAAGCTCTTTGTGATACCGGAGCAGATATCTATTTGTCAATGACCCCGAAGATGGCCAATAAGGCCGTGAAGCTACTAGGCGCCGTTCGAGAACAGCTATCTAAGCCCATCCGCCTTAATGACTTTAATGGGGTGCTCGCCGCCAAAGCCACCCACCAGATCCGCCTCTCCCTGGAACTCGACGGACGGAGATTTCCACGACAGAAGTTCCTCATTATCCCCACTGCCGACGATGTTATTATCGGACAAGAATGGTTCATTAAGTATCGCGTTGGCCTTTTCCCCGCCACGCGAACCATGATCTGGCCTCAAGATCTACCAGCGCTCGCCAAGTATTCGCCCACCATTACTATTCCATGCCAGACTGGTTTGCTCGACATACAGGCTCAGGCAGACGCGGTGCGTCGCGACCGCCTGATAGCTGAGGACGAAAGGCAAGCGAGGGTCACCAAGATTATCCAGCGCCCTTTGAGAACGAAAAACCCAGTTTTAGCGCCCATCGCCCTTTCTAGCCCCAGAGACCAGGACAAGTCCCTCGTGGTCAATATTGCAGCTCTCTGTAGGCAAGTGGAAAATGACCCCCGGCAACCTGGATGGGCTCGACAGAACATGCCGGATACACCTATTTCTTTGAACGTCGTTGCGCCTCGTCTAAACTGGCAGACCCACGACGGGCAGCCAATTCCTTTCCCTGCCGGCGAAGATCCCGAACACGTCAAGAGAGTTCGCGATAAACTCCCAAAGGAGCTCGCCCATCTCGAAGGCTTCTTCTCCAAGAAAGCTTCGACCGAGCTGCCGCCGAGCCGTGAAGGGTTCGACGTGACCCTAGACTTGGAGCGACCTTTGGAAGGGAAGCCCAAGAGGTTCTATACACCCGGTCACCTTCTCCCTCTGGAAAAAGAGACGGTAGACGAGCTTCTACGGATTGGATTCGTGGAACCCTGTATGGAGGAGACAGCCGCTTCGACGCTATTTGTACCAAAGAAGGGTACCGAGGAGAAACGTTTCTGTGTGGATTACCGATGGGTCAACCAGTTCCTGAAAGGACGCCAGTTCCTCGCACCCGATATCCAAGGAACGCTTTCCAACTGCCGTAACGCCCGCCGCCTGACCAAGATCGATATTATCCGAGCTTTTAATCGTCTACTAGTCCACCCCGACTCAAGATTCTTGACGGCCTTCAAGACCCGTCAAGGAACCTTCCAGTGGAAAGTCCTACCCTTTGGACTCAAGGTCGGCCCTGCTTGGTGGCAAGCCTTCATCAACGCTCAGCTGAACGAGCTCCTAGACAACTTTGCCAGCGCCTACGCCGACGACGTTCTCATCTATACTCAGGAGAACGAGCCACACTTCGCACACGTGGAGGAGGCCATCTATCGTTTGTATAAGGCTGGTCTACAGGGAGACATCAAGAAGTCTAGCTTTGACGTGGAAGTCATTGACTACCTAGGGTTAGTTCTCGAAGCTGGGAAAGGCGTACGTATCGACCCAGAGAAGATCAAGGCCATCCAGAGCTGGAAGTTTGAGGACCTACGTTCGATACGCGCCGTCAAGTCCTTTTTGGGCTTGTGCAACTATGTCCGAGTCTTCTGCCACCACTCTAGCGATGCCGCCGAGCCCCTGTCCAAGCTATTGAGGAAAGGTAGTGAATTTGTAATGGGACCCGAGCAACAAGCGGCCTTTGAGAAACTGAAGAAGCTGGCCACCGAGGCCCCAGTCCTCGCCTTCTTCGTTCCCGGCCGCCCGACGCGAGTGGAAACGGATTCTTCACGCAACGCCACTGGAGGCGTGATCATGCAACAACAGCCCGACGGAGTCTGGAGACCCGTGGGCTACTCGTCGAAGAACATGACTCCGGCCGAACGTGCGTATCCGATCCAGGATCAAGAGTTGCTCGCCGTGGTCAACTGTCTCAAGGATAACGAACCTTCTCTTCTCGGCCAGGAGTTCTTCGTGGTCACGGATCATAAAGCCTTGATCTACTGGTCTACTAAGCGGTTGCTGTCAACCCGTCAGGTCCGATGGTCCGATTTCCTAGGCCAGTTTGATATCACCTTCCAGTACCGCCCGGGACAAGAAAACGTGGTTGCCGACGCTCTATCACGTAAGACCGTCGACTCACCTACGGTTAAGGCACGAGAGGAGGAAGATCGAACGTTCCCTTTGATACCAGTGGAACGTATCCAACCAGTCCTAGCGCCTATCTCCCGAGCGGTAGTGAATCCGGATATGCCTCGCGGCGCTGACCTGGTAGACCTGATCCAAGAGGAAAACGAGAAGCAGAGTCTGGGCGTAGATAACGGTCGTCTCGTGGTACCG